CAATCTTTGAAGTCATTCGCCGATGGGCCACATTTTTTTTACAAACAACTCCTTTCACGACCATACTAGAAAAATACCATCCCAGTTGAATCAGTACTAAAGAGTTTACCAGCCAATCGACAGAGATATATATCCTCAAGAAATATTCACAACAAAAACATGAAGCTAATCTGAAAGTAGAACATTATGTTTTCAACTAGAATTTACGTAGAGAAACTATCAATAACGGAGAACAAGGAGGTAAAGCTTCAAATAATCCCGTAAGCTTTCGGAAAATTTAGTTGGCCTACTTTCTTCATTGGCTACAGACAAAAAAATGAAAACAAATAAAAATAAAAGTAACCCCTTTTCACTTTTAAAGTTCATAAATAATATTAATCCCTTACTATTAGAAAAGAGTCATAAACAAAATATGGAAGCTGTGCTAGAAAAAGAAAATTAAAACAAAAGATATGGAGGCCTACAAAATATAACAAACTCAGGGGAATATCCTAGAAATTGAATAGAAGTGTTAAACATTCGCCCCACTACATATCGAAATTGTGAACAATTATATAATGATAATTGATGAAGGCAAATCCAGGACAGTCTCTCGTAAATCCAAAAGAAATGTCATTCTAGTTAATCCTAAAGAAGTACGGATGAAATTGCGCAGTACATCAATCATACAGTTCAAAAGCACGAATACTATTTGAAAAACCCAAATGTAGCACTGTATCTAGAACAAACATCAAGCACAGTAAACAATCCCATATAAAAGGTCCAAAAATATCACCTTTCACTGCGACGTCCACAAGGGATGCATTTAACCTTCACGTATCCTCCTGGATCCATTCCTCCACTTTTACTTGTATCTGGCTTGAGAAGCGTTGCAGCCTCCCAAGATAATGATGTAATTATATCAAGCCAGCCCTCTTTATCCCCTTCATTGACCATGGGTAGATTGTCAACCTCCAAAAGTTGGGCTACCAAAGCCCTAAAGTGCCCTTCAACAACATTTTTCATAGCACCACTGGACTTATCCTTAGAGTGGAAGTCCTTATCATTAAAGCTATTTGATGGGCGAAGGTAGCCCCAATCACCTCTATCACCTTCATCACCGTCATCATCAGATAGCACTGCTTCTCTTTCATCTTCTTCGTTCTCTGGCTCTGGCGGTAGCCATAACAGGCCATCGCTCTCAAAATCCACTACTTCGGGCTCAAAGGACTCTTCACAAGGAGGGCTTCCCTCCTTCACATCGTTCCATCCATTTTCTTGTTGTCTGGTTTTATCTATCGTATCTGTATTCAGTGAGTCAAGATCTTGATCAGGGGGAAAGCAACTTATGTTTGGTTCTATTTTTACACCAACGTCATGAGCTTCATGTGACCCATAGATCTGGTCTACTTCATCGAGGCTGATGGCACCATAGTAGTCATTTCCTTGAGCGTAAGATTGTGCAAAATCAGAGTGATAATCGTCATCATCATCAGCTTCACCATCACTCCTGCCACTACTAATCACACAAATGAGCAACTCAACAGATAATTCAAACTGAGACAATAGTGAATCATTTGAAAAGACCCAGAACAACACACACAGTTGGTGATAGACATCATGCAAACCTCCTAAGCGTTATCAAAGACAACAGATAAAAGAAGCTACACACACAAAAAAAAAAAAAACGGTTACCTGTTCACAAAGAATTCAACTTGATTTTCAGAATCTAACACATGCCCATAAGGATCCAGGCTCCTACGCGATGTTGCATTCTGCTTCTCAGACTTTTCAGAATCTATGTTTAACGAGACACGACGGCTAGCTCGGGGATTCATTTTGGGTCTAGGGGAAGGTCCAGCAGTTGAATCAATGGTGCAATTGCTACTATTAGAGGTAGTACTTGCCACGCTTCTAGCAGAAGGGGATGAACTAAAATGAAGGCTAATAATAGAAGCCCCATTATCAGGGGGAACTATCCCCTGTTCCCACTGTTTGTAGCAGTAATTACAAACCCTAATCCTTTCTGGTTCCTCATGACTATCCTTTGTTTCATCTGATGGAGATGGAATAGAATTCGCAGCGCATTTGGCACAAAACACTCGACCACAAAGCCGGCAATGATGTCTTCGATTAAACACAGTGAACTGAGCATCACACTCGTAACACACAGGGCAACTCTGGTCAGGCATCCAAAAATCCCTCGACATATTTGAGGACTCACTCTTCCTAGGGATCCAAGATTTGACTATGTCAACAAAGCCAGGTGCTTTGTGATCTGGTGAGTCCATTTATTGAATCTCCCCAACAACAAGGAGAGTCTTCATGAAAAACCCATTTGCTAAATCGCATTAAGTCTAATCCTTGATCCCTGAAGATGGAATTATAACCACGAAAATCAACATAAATTAAAAGAACCAAGTAACATCAGAGAGAGGGAGAGAGATGCCAATGGATTTTACCTGGAATAAGATACCTCCGAGATTGAGACAAAGTCACTGGGTCACTATCAAACTTCAAAAATCCAGAATTTATGCTCGATTCAAGATCAAAGATCTCAATTTGAATTTCTCAAGCTCAAATTCTTCTGTCTGATCCCAGAAATCAACAAATGCGAATCGATAAACCCCAACGAAACGAGCACGAAACTCCAAATGCGAAACTAACACGAGCAAGAAACGATTTTTTTAATAGAAAATAAAACCGAACAAAATAAGAAACAAATTAAACACGGAAACTCCAGAAATTGGTTTAAAAACAGAAGGCATAAATTTTCTTATGGATAAGATTTGAAATCAATTTCGAAAAAAAACAATTAACCATAATCTCAAAGAAAAGTGCCAAGCTGAGAAAATGGAAAGGGGAAAAACAGTTTTCCTCAATTTTTCTCGGATACCCAACAAGAGAGATTCAAAGAGGAGAATCAAAAAAACGAAAAAGAAAAGAGCTTTGAAATTGGAGAAATACAAGAGAGGATAAGAAGATTTTACATAAACGAAGATTTGCAGTTTCTTTCTCTGTGCTCCTTTGGCTTTCTTTTTGTTCCTCCCGTTTTTATGTTCACGACTTGTCTGTCTGATTGCCTTTGCCCTTGTCCATTTCACTTTTTATTCACGTATATATCACCCATCATTATATCCTACACGTATCTCAATTTAATTATAGTTATATTTCACTTCAATTATGTTTATCACATATTATCCTCTATATATTAATAGAGAAACATTTTTTTAAAAAAAACTTACCATCATGTGTTATTAACAAGATTGCCACGCTGATGTGTCGCTCTCACAATGATTTGGCTTTTATTTAGATAATTACCCAAGATTTATTAGACTATTTACAAAATTTGCCTTTAGTCTCATACATCCATATATCCCATTAATAATTAAAAACATACACTTTTTGTTTATCATATATTACTATATTTTTATATTTATATTTTTCTTTATATACATTTATATAAATTTTCTTTAGCGGATGGGTATACAATCTTTTTATTTATATTTATATTTATGTTTATATTTAAATGATAAAATATATACATTTGGTTCAAGAATCTCGAATTCAAAACTACAAAATCTTTACATCTTTCATAATTTTTTTACTTAAATAAATAAGATAATCTCCTTTCTATATATGTTACGAATACTTAAAATCCTATTTTTTGGAGGAGTTCTAACTTTTCGAAGAAAAACATTATAACCACATTTGTATATAAACCAAAATCTGGCCACATTATAACCATTTCGTAAATAATCCATTCATAATCTAAGAATCTTAGATTTGGAACACTACAAAATCTTAGCTTGGAAACTATCAAATCTCATCTTTGCTAAATTTTGGATTTCTTATACTTATTAAAAAAAAAAATTATTTTTATACTACGAAATCTTTAAAACATACGGAAAGACATATTGCCATAAATGGTAACATTTCGTCAATACTTTTTTATCACGTTGAAGCTTTATTCAAGGTTCAAATATTTCACGGGTAAAACATATTCTTATATGAAATAGTCCCAAATTTGAAGAAAACATAAAAAAAATTGTAACATGTTTCGTTTTACACAAACGGATCTCGGATAATAATTTTAATCATAATAATTTTACTTGAATCAGTTCATCCCGCACATCGTACGGGTTGTTATCTAGTATCTTCATTAGTCTTCATTATGTCGACTAAATAAAGAAAACAAATCAACAGGTTCATGATAATAAAAAAAAAGATTCATTGTTGTCGACCAAATTAAAAAATTTATATATTATATATTAATATAATTCAATTATTAATTCTGTCAAGCAATTCTAAGAGATATCATATACAAACTAGTTACATCTAAATCAAAAGTTATGGTCTTGGAAAGAACCTCGTTGTTTGTAAAATAGTCTAATAGTTTAACTAATTATCTTAGATACGAGATGATCTAACTAATTATAGTTTAATCAGTCAAAATTTATCAATTAAAAAAAAAAGGCCAGTCAAAATATGCATGGGAAAAGAGAAAAAGGAGCACGTGACATGATTTGGTGTCAAACACGTGAGCTTCCAAATGGATGGCTGTCAATCTTCAGCTTGTGTGTGATCTGTGTAGAGAGAGGACGACAATACAAAGACAGTATCGTTGTATTTCAAACGACCTTGATTGTCAAAAACAAAGAAAAAACGACCTTCATACGAGTTTTTGTCGTGCCCGTTCCTATATTCCAAGAGACCTATGCGGAAAATTTTCTTTTTAAAAGAAGACAATTGGTGAATTTTGTTTGGGTTGTCTGAAAATTCGTTCAAGTAAAGTTTGAAGTAATGAAGTAAACTGAAGAAAATCAATAATAAACGATCCACTTCCAACACTTGTAGATGAAGTGATGCCAACCCTCCAAATACATGATTATACAGCAATGATAATTGAGAAACCAGTATTCGAATCCACTGAAGGTTAAAAAAAAAAACAAGAAACAGAGCTCTGAGTATAAAAACTATGGCATCCCAATAAGATTGCAAAGATCTACTACTTATGGCAAAGCCTTTGGTCTACTTGATTTTTAAGAAAATCTCTCCAAAATGCAAAGAGGAAGGCCAGTGCCAGAATTCACATTACTGTGTCTTAAAAGTGTAGTACATCACAAGAAAACAAGAGACAAAAGGAAAATTTGCAGTGTCCTCATAACTTGATTCAACCAAGGATGGGGAAGATGCGAGCGATGTGTTCCAAGGGAACATTCTCACCTGTATTTTTCTTAAGTTCCGGATGGTTAAATTCATTTTGCGGCAAGACAATACTTCCACCCTCTTTCTCAACAATCCATCCACTGCTAGTCACTTGGTGCTCAATAAACTTGTCTAGAGATGCACCATCCATGTTAACAGCCTGTGCAAAATGTTTATAACTAATGAGCAAGGGGAATTTATTTACAATAAAATGTCAACTAAATAGGTTTCCAGAACTATGATTTGGATTTAGGTAACCGAAAATTATACGAGAAAGTCAGAGATTTCATATCCAAAGTTCTACCATTTGATAACTTACGCTAATCATACTGAAAATCAGGCTATCTGTCACGAATCATAAACCAAACATCATACCTCAGCAAGCACAGATCTTGGAACTTTTTGGTAGCTTAAGCTAAGAAGGTGACTTGCATATGCTTGGATAGCTTGCTCAAAACCTGCATTCAATCTCTAACATATAAGACATCTACACACAATCATAAAATGAATAGACAGTACCATAAATCACTACTCAGGACTTTTGTTTGGGCTGGCATTTCTAGACGATTTATTCATCCTTGAGTAACTAATCTAGATCCAGTTATTACCACACAATTTTATTTAGTATTCAGAAGTTTTGTTACCTGGAACAGCCTCGAGAATATGACGGTTCTTGGCAGCTTCATCCCAGAACTGTTGGAACCTCCCAGTCTGCAAAAGAAAAACAAGTGTTTTAAATACACAATGTACACATTTTCGGCTCTCAACTAACATTGATGTTTACGTACCTCAAGGTAGTGTGATAGAACAATTAGTGCCTTGAACTGCTCCTCCATTTGCTGAAACACACAATCCAATAAAGTGCATTTATTAGTTCTCAAGAATCCAACACATTGACACTCACACTTGATCATGAATGCTCAGTATAAAGACTGAAATAACTTGGAAGAGCACAATCATTTGAGTCCACCATCAATTCCTTAAGAAAAAGAAAACATTTGAACGAAAACAAAACAAAACATTATGACGTTATAAGAAAAGAACAATACCACTCTTTCGGGAATCAAGAAGAGGCAAAGGCTGAAGTCTGGAGTTGGCATAGCCATAAGAGCCTTCAAAAAAAGACCGAAAACAAAATTAGGGAGACTAATTTATAAGACAAAAGACTAGGAGTGGTCAGTCATATATACCTTGACCAAGATTCGAGCCACGATATGAGTATTCATGCGCTCAGGCTCAAACTGCATATAAGAAACAATACCAATTAGAGACACTAAAAAACTTGAATTGGTATCAAAAGGTCCAGCTTATGATCAACTAAAGCACCTGATAGAGCCGAAGCAAGCATAGGTTTGCTTCCAGACTATACGTTTGAGATGTAACCTGAAAATCATAGCGAAACCAATAACAATCAGTGGAACAAGATTTCTACTATAGAACATTCCAATTACTCAGAAATCAGAATCCGGCGAGATGCTCATATCAAACGATAAGGAAGAAAACCCTAGAAATTAGGGAAGAGGAACCTGCTCATTAACGTAGTTTTCGAGATCAGGAAGGATTTCAGGGTTGAAGGGATTGACGGCGACGAGCTGCTCAACAGAGTAAGAGCTCTGTTCCTGCGGGGACTGGATCTCTACTCCCATCTCTCCTTCTTTCTCTTTCTCCGTTTCTGTCTCTTCGTGCTCCCGATTGATGTGCAGAGGGGATAATTCGCAGCTGAGACGGATCTAGGGTTTATGGACAAAACGACGAAGTTTTGTCGCGTGAGCTAAATGGTGCAATTGACAAAAGTTATAGGGTTAAGTTAGGATGATAAAAAGACTAAGGTTTGTTTGGTAAATAATATTTTCTGGCTAGCGAAACGTCCAAAAAAAAAGTTATAGGGTTAAGTTAGCAATTGACAAAAGTTATAGGGTTAAGTTAGTATAATAACTATACTTTGATAGGGCCTTTGATGGGATGAGAATTTTGTCATTTCTCAAAGTACCTTGTCTAGGTCTGATTCTCTCTCTGTCCGTCTTTATTATTTTCAGTATATTTCCATGTTATTTATTGGGATGTTGATCGAGATATCAGTGAGGGATTCTTGACAAATCTGATGAAGGTGAGTTCTGATTTTAGCTTTTAAATTTCTTCCATTCGTCTTATACGATCTTTTTATCCACTTATTTTGGAGCTGTAGTGTCGATGAAAAACTTGCTCTGGCATTAACATGTTTAATATATTAGACGGAGTCTTTCACTTCTTTTAGCTGGTGCTAACTTTCCTTGTGACGGTCACATAGTTTTAAGCTAATGTGGAGTGATTGAATTAAGTATTTGCTGCAGTAGCATTACGGAACTACTCAATGTGATCATAAAAACCAATTTCTCAATTGATGGCTACTTTCTTGTTTGGCATTAGTCTGGTGATTTTACATTTTAGTAAATCAGAACTCGCAATATACTGAAAGCTTTTGGTTTATGCAACTAGAGAGATGGATGCCGGGGAAATTCGATATAGCTGGACATAGCCATTGGTTGTTTCATGTTCTGGTGGTTGCTGGTGTGTCCACACACTATAGAGCTGGGCTGGTGTATCTTAAGTGGAGAGACATTGAAGGATGTTGAAGATGAAGATTGAAGATGAAGGAAGATTAGATGGAATCTTTGATGTTTTAAATCTTGTTTGTAGTAGCTTCATATAAAAGCTGGATTATGTAAAGTCTTAAGTGTAATCAAATGTTTAATTTTTTCCTTTATTCACCAAAGAACATAATTTCTTTTAGAAGAGGTGCATTGGCTTTGAAAGTGGCAACTGAATGTAGCCAAACGAAGGAGAAAGCCTTGTGGTTGCAGATACAGAGCTCGAGGTTACAAGGTTAGAGTCTTAGCAATGGAGGGAGAAACATGAGGAAGCGAGGAAAGAAGCTGAATTGCTCAAGAACACGAGCGAGAGTCGACTAAGGATTGAAGCTCTTGGCTTGGAATGGGAAAGAATCTGTGTTTATGAGTTGTATAAAGAGAGGAGAAAATGAGAAGAATTCACTTCTTGATGAATAATAGATTGCTTGAAGCTCTGGTCACTGCTGAGAATTTGAGTAAGAAAGCTGAAGAAGAGAACCATAAGGTTAGAGATATTCGAACAAGGGATTAACGAAAATAATGTTGCGAAAGGAGCAGCAGGGATCGCGAGAGCTGAGAATTCGAATTTGAAAGATGCCTTGTTGGATAAGGAAGAGGAACTGCAAGTTGCTTTTAGGGAGATTGAAAGAGTGAAGGTTAATGAAGCTTTGGCTAATGACAAGGTTAAGAAATTGAAGAAGTTGTCTTAAATAGAGGTAGCTGTAAAGGAAGAGAAATACATAAGCTTAAGCAGACAAGAGTTGAAGCATAAGTTGTTGAGAAGAAGGTTGAAGAGAAGGAGAAAAAAGAGAACAAGAATGTACAAGGTACTAATAAAAGTGGATATCTTTAAAGTGTATAAAATCATAATCTTTTTTTTTTCAAATTTCAATATATTCAAACTCAATCTCTATTTGTCAATATTCACGAAGAATGAATCCTTTAGTAATAAAAAATAGAGTCTTCACAGCTTCAACGAATACGATTCACGTGAGAAAATGGCTCGGAAACTGCTTTTGGAGCAGCTTTTTTGGCGGTCTCTGGCACTCCAAAAACGTTCCAAAACCTCAGAGTCTCGTCTCCTGCTGCAGAAGCTACGGTACAACCATCTGGACTCTGTAAGAAACACAACACAAACAACACAAGTTTTAGGACTAAAGACCTCAATATCTCTACCTTCTTTCGGCAGCTATAGTTGATTAAGTTTTTTAGTTTTTCTTTACCTGGGCCATATATAGAACTCTTGATGTATGACCAGTGAGCTCAGCCATTTTCACCATGGATGGGTACTTCCAAAGTGTAAGCTGATTCTGTGTAAACCCATGTGAGCTAAGCAACTCTCTTTCATTCTTGCTCCATAACAACGAACAAACTTGGGAGCCAGTGTCTACTGAATTCAAGCAAGCCCCAGTGTGAGTATTCCAGAACTTTATCGTCCTGTCTCCTCCACCACCACCAGTTGCAAGCAAATTCGCTTGGAAAGGGCACCACGCAAGAGCTTTCACAGCAGATGTATGTTCCTCAAGTCTGTGCAGCCATTGTGTGGTTGAGTTTGAGGAAGCAACAGAACGATCCCATATGTGTACCACATTGTCGTTGCCTCCACTTGCTAGTTGCTGTCCAGATCCTGACCACTTTAGCCCACAGACCTCTTGAGTGTGACCCCTGTAAGTTTCAACAATGGGTGATCTGATCCTCACATCATTGTTAATGATCAGTCCATCCATTCCTCCAGTAGTAAGGATGTGATTGTTCCATGCCAGTGATCCTACTCTTGACTGGTGACCACCCTTCAATGTTCTCAGCTGCAGAAATATGATAAACACGTCAGACTAAGAACACACAAACACCGGATGTTATATCTCAACATAAAAGAGAGGGATTAGTAATTACTTGACGGTTAGATGCAGAATCCCAAAGCTGGACTTCAGAGTTGTTGAGTCCAACTGCAACATGACGACCATCGGGTGCCCAGTTGATACTTGTGACAGGTCCCTTCTCCTCATCAATGGTCACAAGCTCAGATGTAGAACCAGTGGAAGCATCCCACAAGTAAACAGTGAGGCCCAAAGCTATGGCTAGAACATTAGCACTGCCCCAGTCCAGCAAGTTGAGGTAGAAGTCATCCACAATGTCAGGTGCATCCAAGGTTCTCTCAGAAGTCTATCATTACAACATAAAGATTAACAACAGATCAATACAAGTCCAAAGCAGCAACAAGTAGGTAGGGTTAAAATCAAACGCAAAACATATAGTACACACCTGAGGTATGTATCTACGAGGCTTTACGGATTTGGGTTGTTGGTGAAGAGAAGAAGAGTGATTGCTGGGAAGCAGTTCTACAGGAGCTTGAGGTTTGTTTCTGAAGGCGAGAATCCGGGTGTGATTCAAGTTCATGGTCTCAGCCAATTGCTTCCTGTAGGCCTCTTTGGATGGTGAACTTACCGCTGCAGTCTGATCCTTACCTTTTCTCCCTTCAGTGAGGGCAAAGTGAGCATAGTCGAAATCCATGGCTGATCTATTCGGTATGAACCTGTCCAGCTGGTGGAAGATAAAAGCAAGAAATCAGTACAATTCATTCAATATCACAAATCCAATTTACTGTATGCAAGCAACAATCAATCAATTGAAAAGACATGATTTTTCTTATGACAAAACCAACAATTCGTTCATACACAGTATCTGAATCAAGATTCATCAATTATATGGGTCAAACAATTCTTGATTCAAATGAACAACTTGCAAATCCAAATTCGAACCCTAATTCTTAACAGCAGTACGGAATCAAATCTGAATGATTGAAGTAGGAGAATACTCACATTTTCCTTGGAACTTTTTCTGGGAAGAAAGTGTTCTTGAAGTGGGCAACGATTCAAACCTGCATCCATTATAACTAAACACAAACAAATTCCCAAAACACACAAAGAAACAGAAAACACACACAAAAGCTATGATATACGAAATTGATTAGAAGATATAAACGAAATTAGATAAAGACAAATCAAATTAAGGCTGCAGAGAAGGGATCGTTAGTGATTTCGAGCAGAGAGATCAGAGTAGAGCGGAGCAGAGAGAGCGAAGAGTTGTTCTTCGCTGATGATGAGAGAGCTAGAGAGGAGAGAGCAGATTAAGGTGATTGAAAAGGTACGAAATTTGGGGTTATTTATAAAAGCAGTAGAGTCAATTTAGGGTTTTGGAGGAGTCTAATTCTATAATCGGAAAGTCGGTAACGGCTATATTTCTGAGAGAGCCGTTGAAAATTATGTCACGGAAAAAGCCCTCTATACCGGAGAGACGGCAATTGTTGGGCAACCCTGAATTTTATCGGGTTTTGTTTTTTTTTTTCTCTGAAATAATTAGCTTTTTTTTATGTCTTGTTTTAATATTTGTATATTGAAAAAAAACAGGAAATGTAAATAATAATGATAATATTAAAATAATCTATACTATTAATTGGGAAGCATTTTGTGAACTACAACATTGTGAGGGTAGTTTAAGACTAACTAAATGAATTTTTACATGGGTAATTTAGTAAATAAACAACTACTACAACTAAATAAATATATTTGATTCGGATCCTTCATTAATTTTTTGCAAAAACAAATAACGAGATTAAATGATCCAATATATTCCGAGATTTGCTTCGTCAATATTTTTGGTATGATTTGTCTACAAAAAAAAAAAAGAAACAACATTAAATATTAAATAATAACTGAATATTCAACATCAATATATTTATTTCGAATATAAATCAAAATATTTTGTATTTTTCAATTTGTTAGAGATAAAACAAAAAAATTCAACATAAATCGAATGTCATTAATTGAAAAATACAAAATATTTTAAAAATAAAATCTAAACTAAATTAATAATAGAAATAATATGTTTTTAAATAAAATTAAATATTTGCAGGTTGGTAAATACTAAAATTATAAATATTTATCAACGATATTATCAATTTTGCAACGAGAAAAATTTATCAACGATGTTACCAATCTATAAAAGTTTATGATATTAATAGTGTAGATTTATACTATTAATTGGGAAGCATTGGATAAAATATAACCTTATAAAAGGTAAATAATTACACCTAAATAAAACATAGATTTTAGACTAGAACAAGTTACAATTAAAACAAATTAACGTTTGCAATCAAATATGTAACATGTGTTTTCAACTTTTATAGCATAAAAATGTTCAAAATAATAAACGTTATTATAGTATGTTCTATAATAGTTAAAATTTTAAAAACAAACAAATGTAATTTAATATTTATGAACAAAATATAAAAAAATAAGAATAAAGAAGTCAATTAATTTTGTAATATTTTTATTATATCATCATATAAAAATATACAATGAATTATATTTGTGTTTGTCCCAAACAAGATATCGAGAATTTTTGTTTCCGTCACGTCATGTTTCTAATCGGGAATACAAAATTTGTCTTATATTAGAAATGCATTCTCTTATGAGATATAAATTGGAGAACGGGTAAGATATAATGGAACATGATAAAATTGAATGGGAATTACGCATATCTCTAAATATTTCTATTTCTCGCAAACGTATTTAATCATTTTAACGGTTTTATCTATGGTTTGATAGTTTACAAGTTTAATGTTCACAGGTTTAATAAAAATCTGCCTGGCCATTAATTCGATTCAGTTTGATCTTGGTCCGACCGTTTGATTGTTACGAATTTTAAAATACTATTAAAATCATTATTATTTCAAATATTTCAACCAACTAATATGAGTTTAGGTTATAGATACTATAACTATATAATATTTTTTTTACATCAATCTAACTTATATTATATTTCAATCTAAGATTTTTTTCTAATCTACTCTTCAGTTTCAAACTCCAAAAAATGATTTATGGTTGCTATTGTGTCATAAGCAAACATAAATAACATTTTATACTTTTCTGTGTACATTATAATTTATTCAATACAATATATATCACTAAAACAACAAAATAATCATATATTTAATAAAAATTTATTACAACATATTTCTTAAAATATGAAATCCCGCACGTATGTGCGGGTCAGGATCTAGTTATTTGTATTATACGAGGAAAATAAAACACTGCTTAACACACACTCACTCAAAAAAATATCAACACTCACATAAATACCATAGTTACCTTCAATCTAGAATTATACAAAAAAAAAAAGTTTCATACAGGAAATGAACCAAAATAACCATTTATCATCTACCTTAGACCATCCAACGTATTTCGATGTATGATTCTTGTAAATAATTGTTTTTGTTTTAACCTCCATAATATTTGGTTTGGGTTAGAGGGTGGATGATTTTTAGTGAATGATATTTGGTTTATGCTGGTAAAGACTGCTTATGTGTGATCGAATATTTTCCACTGATAATATTTGTTTTATTATTATTTTATCAAATAAAAATTGTATATCCCCCTTATGAACAGATTTTATTTTGTTTTATTTTTTATAACCTGAATATATTATTTTTATTGGGCAAAAAGATACAAAAGCTTAATCAATTCATTAACCTGAGAATGAAATATAACACAATTACATAGTCTGAATAATTGAGAATGAAAAGAAAAAAAACTCGTACGAAATTCCAATCACAGTAAGAGTACACTGTACACACTACACACTAGTGTGATTAGATTAGTGTGGTTTTCAATGTCTATCTTGATGAAGTTACAATTACCATCTTACAGATTACAGTCCTTATGCTTCTTGTATCATCTGACATGTATTCTCTGCTTACCAAAAAAAAAATCATCTGACAACATGTATAATCAAAATCTTTCTTTCTATTCAACATATGCAAGCAATTAAGTTTGACTCAAGAATTTACATATATAAAATTGTACAATGTGCACTTTTCTTGTCAATACAATTCATGAAGAATGAATCCGAGAAAAAAAAATTGAATATTTTGCATCTGTATCAATGGCTCTCCTTGTTAGTCTTCACAACTTCAACGAATACGATTCACATGAGAAAATGGCTCGGAAACTGCTTTTGGTGCAGCTTTTTTGGCAGTCTCTGGTACTCCAAAAACATTCCAAAACCTCAGAGTCTCGTCTCCTGCTGCTGAAGCTACGGTACAACCATCAGGACTCTGCAAGAAACACAACCCAAATAACACAAGTTTTAGGACTACAGACCTCAAACATCTCTAACTACTTTGAACAGTTAAAATTGATTAAGTTATTTTTCTTTACCTGTGCCATATATAGAACTCTTGATGTATGACCAGTGAGCTCAGCCATTTTCACCATAGATGGATACTTCCAAAGTGTGAGCTGATTCTGTGTAAACCCATGTGAGCTAAGCAACTCTCTTTCATTCTTGCTCCACAACAACGAACAAACTTGAGAGCCAGTGTCTACTGAATTCAAGCAAGCCCCAGTGTGAGTATTCCAGAATTTGATCGTCCTATCTCCTCCACCACCACCAGTTGCAAGCAAATTCGCTTGGAAAGGGCACCACGCAAGAGCTTTCACAGCAGATGTATGTTCCTCAAGCCTGTGTAGCCATTGTGTGGTTGAGTTTGAGGAAGCAACAGAACGATCCCATATGTGTACCACATTGTCGTTGCCTCCACTTGCTAGTTGCTGTCCAGATCCTGACCACTTGAGACCACAGACCTCTTGAGTGTGACCCCTGTAAGTTTCCACAATATGTGATCTGATCCGTACATCGTTGTTGACAATCTGTCCGTCCATTCCTCCAGTTGTTAAGATATGATTGTTCCATGCCAATGATCCTACTCTTGATTGGTGGCAACCATTCAATGTTCTCAGCTGCAGAAAAGTCCAATTCAAGGGTTAAGACATGACAAACAGGATATTATAACTCAACAAAAGAGAAAAGGATTTTAGTAATTACTTGACGGTTGGAAGCAGAATCCCAAAGCTGGACTTCAGAGTTGTTGAGTCCAACTGCAACATGACGACCATCAGGAGCCCAGTTGATACTTGTGACAGGTCCCTTCTCTTCATCAATGGTCACAAGCTCAGATGTAGAACCAGTGGAAGCATCCCACAAGTAGACAGTGTGGTCCAACGCTATGGCTAAGACATTTGCACTTCCCCAATCCAGCAAGTTTAGGTAGAAATCATCCACAATGTCAGGGGCATCCAAAGTTCTCTCAGAAGTCTGTTAACCACAACACAAAGTTTAACAAGAGATCAATACAACTCCAAAGCAACAAGTAGATGACAATTTTCTTTCAAACTCAATAATAATTGCAGTACACACCTGAGGAATATATCTGCGAGGCTTTACAGATTTAGGCTGTTGGTGAAGAGAAGCAGAGTGACTGTTGGGAAGCAGTTCGACCGGAGCTTGAGGTTTGTTTCTGAAGGCGAGAATCCGGGTGTGATTCAAATTCATGGTCTCAGCCAATTGCTTCCTGTAGGCTTCTTTGGATGGTGAACTTACCGCTGCAGCCTGATCCTTACCTTGTCTTCCTTCAGTGAGGGCAAAGTGAGCATAGTCGAAATCCATGGCTGACCTGTTTGGTATGAACCTGTCCAGCTGGTGGAAGATATAAGCAAGCAATCAGTACAATTCATTCAACATCACAAATCCAATTGCAAGAAACAACCAATCAATTGAAAAGACATGATTTTTCTTATGACAAAACCAACAATTCTAGTATCCAAATCAAGGGGAAATTTATGGGACAAACAGATGTTAATGCAAAAAGAACAATAACCCACAAATCGATATCCTAATTTGTCAGAAGGTATCGATTCTGAAGAATTAACCCCCAAATCAAAACCCTAATTTTTAAATAGCAGAACGGAATTCTATAATGATAATCGATTCTGATGAACTAATAATGAGCACCCGAAAATCGAAACCCTAATTCTTAATGAAAGAATCAGACTTACGTTTTCCTTGGAAGTTTTCCTGGGAAGAAAGTGTTCTTGAAGAGGGCACCGAGCCTGCGCCTTGTAGTGAGAAGATGTGTTCATACCTGCATCCATTTTCACCAAACACAAACAAAAATCCAAAAACAAACACAAAAGCGATGATAAAAGAAACGGATATTAAACAAAATCAGACAAAGACGAATCAAATAAAGCTAGCGGAGAAGGAATCGCCAGTAAATTCGAGCAGAGAGAGCGAGTGAAGAATTTCTTCGCTGATGATGACAGGATGAGAGCAGATTGGGTGATTGCCTAGGTACAAAATTTGAGATCTTATAGCAGCAGTGGAGTCAATTTAGGGTTTTTGCTGACTCTAATCTTTTATAATCGGAAACTGTAACGGCTATATTTTGGAGAGAGACGTTGTGAAGTATGTTTTTACGGTAATGCCCCTGCCTCTAAAATCAGCAATTCTTAGGCTAAATATAGCAAAAGATCCGACCAATTTTACAAAGAGACTAGTAATAAGTTATGACTGATTTAACAAGACTGAACCAAAAGATAAAGAGTTGGTTTACTTCTTGTGGCAAGCCCCGACACAGGAAAATAGGCATTACCAGAAGAGTTCCGTTATATACACCCAAAAAAGGCATAGTGAGAGATAGATTACACACATTCTTACGTTTACCTTTATATACACAAGTTTTCATCTACACTACACATACTTTACACTACCAGGTTAAAGAAAACATTGTAGCCTTGCTTACTTATTCACTTATAGTGTGAACCGAGTCAACATTGTTGCTTCTTTCCGTTTCTTCACCACGGAATATATAGACATTGAGGTGAAGCGGTGGTCTTGTTTCAGAATTGGCTGGCTCAAACACACAGACATCACCTTCGCGCAAGTTATTGTCTTGTACAAACTTCTTCCACCCTGTTGAAATCCCACCACTACCACGAGCTCCGAAAAAGTTAAACTTCATGTCCCATTTCCTTTGATCCACCTGCATCACCACTTCTTGACGTGCCATAAGCATGTTCTTCACGCACCATTTGTATGGGATTGTCTGTTTTCAAAAGAAATCGTGACCTCTTCTTTTTTTTTTCCAATAATCAGAGCTTCAAAAATATTAAAGACGATACACAAAGCAATGCAAAAGTCTTACCAGAAAACACTTTGATAGCACATGAGAGCGTCTCATGAACACCAAGAAACCATCCGGCGAAATGGCTCTCTTGGCCAGAGATAAGGCTCTGTTATTGCTTCCAGCTGAAATCATCTCTACGTCTTAAGACAGTTGATAAGGGATACATATTATTATTTTAGATGCATAATAAATGAGATAGAAACTGATAAATATATGGACTCATTCACCATCTAAAGTTATAAACTTTAAAGACAAATGGATCAAAGGCTATTATTATGGCTAGTATGAAGTTGACAATTTAATAATCTCCACAACTAATCTCCAGAATCATATAATATCCAAGACTAAGGAATCAGTTACTCCAAACTGTTATGACAGCAAAATTCTCAAAACCTGAAACTCTAACCAAACAGTTGTATGCAAAGTAGAGTCTCCAGACAGGGCTTATCAGATGATTACAAGAAACTAGTGCACTGTGTAATCAATAAGTAAGATGATTTTCATACCAGTTCTTTGATCGAGATTGTCATTACTTATTTCTCCTCGCATCTTCTTAAAACTGCTAAGGGGATACTTCCTTTCACTGACTCGTACTGTACTAGTTGGAGATATAACAGGAAGCTGGGCAGATGCTGTATCAATGTCAGAGTTAATATGTTCTTCTTGCTCATAACCGGTCTGAGATACTACAAGAAGCGGATTTAGCATTGTATCAATATCAATATCAACATCAATGTCAATGAGGTCTTCTAGCTCATTATCAACCGGAGATATAACAAGTTGTTGGTTTGGTGTAGTTTCAACATCAGCAGGGTTAAAGTGTCTCTTAGGAGATCTCGAAGAGGTTGCATTAAAATCAGTACCTTTGGTCTTCTCTGCATGACCACATTTCCTGACGAAATAAGAAGTGGGTTTCTCACATAAAGTCTGTCCATCGAAAACCAGCACTTCAAACTCAGACAGTCCATGGAACTTGAAGACCAATAGATCATTCTCCTCTAGCGAATGATCTTTCACAAACTTGTCCCACCCAAAACCAAAAGCCAGTGTCTTTTCATTATCTTCCTCTACTCTTACACTGTATGTAGCGCCACTTGGACTTTTGAGGGTGACAATCTGAGGTAGCTTCCTTTTGCAATGTGTAGAAAATTTTTGCGGTATGACCTGTAATGATTTGCGAAAAGTGGTAATTTTGATGTTAAAAATGGTAATCTCAGGACTCTTAGAGCCACAAAGAAGTGATTTTGAGAGATAAAAACAACAATTTCTTAAACCCTTAAATAGATTTGAGGGTAAAATCCCCAAATTAAAACCCAGTAGAGAAAAAGGAAAGTGAACACATGAAGAAATCGAAATAGGAACACAAATTGCTGATAAAGATGCATAAAGTAGAAGGTTAGAGAAAGTGATAGAAACATACGAGGCGATTGTGGAAACCAGGAAGGAGGAGCTGAGTGAAATGGAGGGTTTGAAAATGTGTCCAGTAGAGTTCTTCTTCCCATTTCATGCAATCCTCGCAATTTTCTTCCATCTTCTTCCTCTCTCTTCTCTTGCCACCGAGATATGTTGAGACTTGAGTGAGATTTGCATTTGCTTCGATTAACGGATCCAGTCAGGCCTCTTTATACTACTGAGCCTAGAGGCCTGTTTGTTCTCGCAAATGTAATTTTGATTAAGCCCCTAAAAGAAGAATTAGTTTTAACATACACACTTGGCATTGTGGAATAAGTAGGTAAATGGGCTTGCATTGGGCTCAGAAGAGAAATTTGATTTTAAGACATGCCTTGGTGGGAAAGCAACCAGAGAAACCCTAATTCAGCGATTCGGGGAGCAAGATGATGCGAAACATGTTTGCTAAGGTAATCAAGATTATCATATCTTTTCATCCGGTTCCTCCTTTCCTACTCCAGTGACTAAGATATTAGGGTTGCGTTCATATACAAAGAACATAAGCTATCCTTTTGCAAATCTAAGAACCATAACTCTCTGAAACACACAAAGGTCCTTATCGCCCAGTGACCGGTAAATTATAAGGAAGAACATAACATATATGTATCTCCCAACAGGGTAATAAAAACAATGATGAACAAGAAAATAAATAGAATTAGCTGATGAGGATAGGGGAGATGAATGATGGATGGATGGAGGATTTGTCACATGGTACCAGCTTCTTCAGTTTTATAGGCTTGAATTTGGAGATGTCCACAAGATCCCCGAATAGCTTGTCCTCTGGTTTATTCTTAGGTTTCATTGGGGGCAGATAAGATGTCGTAGATGATGATGGTGGTACCTGATGCGATGTCTGGTCTCTCATAGATAAACCGAACATTTGCTGGTCCAGATATGGGCTGCTTCCTTGTTGTTGTTGATTATAGCCATATCCGTATCCTCCCATCTGGTTTCCATACGCCTGTTGCTGTTGCTGTTGTTGTTGCTGTAGCTGTTGCTGTTGGGCATAGTACTGAGCCATCATCATCTGCTGCTGCTTTTGTTGCTGAGGTGGATAGCCTGACCCAAGAGCCTGATTTGGTTGGTTTGGCATGTACATACCGTTTTGTGGCATTTGAGGATATGGACTGTTGTTGTTAACTGCTTGATCTGTTTGGGGCATTTGAGCATATGGACTGCTGTTGTTGACTGGTGGCCTGGTTTGGGGAATTTGAGGATATAGATTGTTGTTGTTAACTGGTTGAGCATGTGTGAAGGCGGTCTGTGTCGGATGCACTCCAGTAGAAAACGGACTTCCTGACTCCGCAGAGGGACTGAAGTCTTGGAGCTGAGCTTCCCATGGGGGAGGTGGAAATGCCATACTGTCTTGGGCACCTTCTTCACATCCCAAGATTACCATAAAAACAGAACAACACCACTCCACGGAACAAACTCGTACAATTTTCAATCATAGTGTACACAAACCTGCACATTTACAAGGCCCCAGAGATTTTGTAAACTATCTTCTTTGTAACATTGTATATTCACAGTGTCATTGCTTAAGAAGATCATATTAGTTCATACCAGTGCAGCATTTTCATAGGTCTCAGTCAATCCAGGTAACTGCCTCAACCAGCCACCTGCGGTCAAAGCAACTTCTACACTTGCTCCTTCAAAGACATTACACTGGACCTATAAAGAGACATTGACGAATAAGCTATCGAACAAGGTTCAAGTCTAATACATGTGGGTGCATATACAGGTCCAACTAGATGCCTTAAAGTCTGAAACAAGAAATGTAGCAAAAGGATCAAAGTTTTTACCCAAAACCATTTTCTTGGGAAGCCTCCACCCCAATTCTTTTCTGAAAAAGAAGGTGCATCTCGAAACTCAAACCTTTCATCGCCTCATTCTATCCATCCTGCAAATTCAAGAGATAAAAAAATAAGAGCTACAATAGCAGTTTCTGATGATAAAAGAGGATAACTAAGAAAGTGGATGGTTTCTGTCTTAATTTTCTGTTAGTACTAGGCAACTAAACTTCACCGTCTTTTTTTTACTAACTTAAGTCAATCAAGCGAAGCTCACACCTGTGGAAAGGCCTCCTGCCATGCATATCTGCCAATGAGGCTCAAATACAGGAAAAGCTGCAGGCTAGAATTCTGTTTGGCCCCAACATCACCCCCTACCGTAAACAGGACGAGTACTATACTCCCAACGAGGAGATTTCACAGTTTCCGCATAGTCAGTCCTGCCAAAACAAATCAAGCCAGAGTTAAAGACAGAAAGTTTCAACTAAAATACTCAATAAACAATATTTATAATATAGTTAATTCTTGCTGTGCATAGAATCAGATAATTACCGGCCATCATCGAAAATGTGACCTAATGCCAAAATGGGGTAAGCTTGGAACCCTTCGGACACCCTTCTGTTAAATTCCTACAGTAAAACGCCATGCTTTACAAATCCACATTCAAGAGAATAGTAAGAGTAACAAAAACTTGAGATTTCCAACAAGTATAAGTAGTACACTACTATGCCTCAAAATGGGGTAAGCTTGGAACCCTTCGGACACCCTTCTGTTAAATTCCTACGGTAAAACGCCATGCTTTACAAATCCACATTCAAGAGAATAGTAAGAGTAACAAAAACTTGAGATTTCCAACAAGTAGAAGTAGTACACTACTGTGCCTATGCCTATTAAAATCACAGAGTATTTTAGTGAGGTCCCGGATATGATCAGAAATAATAATCACATAACAGGGTAACCAAATGAGATAGAGAGGGATAACAGCAATTTGTTTCCACCTCTGGTGGAACCTCCTTGTCTGGAGACTTTGCGCCTGGCACAGCACCAAAAGTATTCCCCAAAACTAGCTCATGTATCTATGCATGAGTAAAATGTTTGGGTGAGGAACTTTAAAGTCATGTAAACTAATGCATGTTAAAGAAGACAGTACCAGCACCAAGATATAACAAAACTCAGATAAGACTTAGAATCTTTCACATCAATAATGAACATAAGTACTAGAAGTAGAAACAAGACTCGGATTTGACTTCTTATTGTCATAAAACAGAATTTCCAGGATCAAAGAGTTACCTCCCCAGAAGTTGTGAGACTCTTGTGCATATTGGCATACAATATTTATCATTAGCTCCAAGAATCTGGGCTCCGACACCAGTGAATCTGGGTCCAGAGCCACTTCCAATGGTGACAAACTCTGCCGAAATGCAGGATTCTCCACAGAATACATAAAGCAAAAACTCTCCCTCTTCTCTGGAATTGAAACCCTGAAATACCATCCCTCGAAGAACTTTTGAGGTGTTCCATCGAAATGGTATCTGTATTTTTCAAAAGTTAAACAAGTTATCAACAGCTCTAAATTGCAGTTTTCAATAATTCAAGTCACAACTAGTCTTCGAATGGTGAGCCACCAAAGGTATACAAATAAATCTTCCAACTTTGTAATACTCAAAACATATTGAAGCAGTAAAGGAGCAATTTTTAAGTCCCACAGATCGTGAGAACAACATAGAAATCAACCAAAGAAAACTTAAAACAGCGGAGTTGTAACAGAAGATATCTACCTTGGAGTCGGAAATTCTGGCTCTGCTGAAGGTTCAGGCACATCATTACCAGGTCCAGCAATACGAAGATTTGGAGGGTAAGACGTCAAAGGCTGTGTTTGTGGAGGTGTGAACACAGGAGCTGATCTCTCTGATATCTGAGGGAAAACAGCCCCAGCACGCTGAAAGGGACATGAGTAAGCACTGGTGGTTAGGCACGAGTAGTGGAAGTTTTCCAACAGAACTCACAAAAGGATCTAAGAAGAATTCATTATGAGACATAATTAAATTTCAGTACCCAGAATCAGAAACAATACTCTACTGAAGGAAAAAATTGAAACCCAAAAAAAATATATCAAACGACAATTTATGTAGACATACCAACAATTCCTAGTATCCTGCATAGTTTTGTGGATATCTTGCCCTAGGGCCACCAGAGGCCTCTTGGCATGTATCGGTAAGAACCAGAATCGTCTCTTTGACATGGAAGTCCGGCTATATGCATCAGAACAGTTTGGATTAGAGAGGCAGAGCGAGGGAGAGAGAGAGTTAATTATTCCCAACAAGACCAATTTGGAAGAACCCTTACCTTCTTCTTAACTATCCTGACCATCTCATGAATAACACCTTTCTCAGCCACATGCATATGAACCATGTCACCACAGTTCTTCACTATTGTCTCAAGCAGCTTGAACATAACAAATGCATGATGAGTGAATATACTATCATTGCAAGACAAACGAGAAAGATGAAATTATGTGAAAATAATGTATCATTCTTGTTAGGAAACTTGTAAGTCATATAATCTCTGCTAAAGAGACAACTGCCAACAGCATTGGAATTTGAATCTAGGTGCGTAACTAAAGCTATCTAAATGCAGAGTTACAGGAACAACAGTGGTTATTTCAATGAAGTAACCATAAAGAGACAGTTATCTAGGAGCTCACAGTTAAGAAGCTGAGCTTTTGGATTCCTGCTACCAATCCGTTTTTTAATGCCTTTCACAACATCTTTTGCTTGCCTGCAAAACAGTAACCAGTTTCAAACATCACATTGGATTGGTCCATTTAGTATAATAAACACTGAAATCTCCTTCTTCCAATCACAAAGTATATAAAGGAAATCACTTCCCAGCTTTTACAATAGTTTTGTTTCTACCTCTGGTGGAACCTCCTTGTTTAGAGACTTTGCGCCTGGCACAGCACTGAAAGTATTCCCCAAAACTAGCTCATGTCGATCTATGCATGAGTAAAAAGTTTAGGTACGAAATCTTAAAGTCATAAAAATTAATTCACGTAGAGAATTAAAGCCATATCATGTGGCCATGAGAGGGAAGAGCAAGAAATGGAGCTTTGAGACTTCGCCAGAAGTTCCTTATGTTTTGCTGATGAGAAATTAAACTTTTGGGATTTGTAGAGCCAATTGAAAATTTCTGTAAAAAGATTGGGCGTTTGAGAATCACCAAAAGACATGCATGATGAATGGTGTATCTGGGTTTTGGAGCTTAAAGGCTAATTTGATGGATCCCACCACATCATGGCCCATACTATCGGTGTATATGTGTCAACAAGTAGGGTTCTTCTTGAGACACGACATGCCGCGTGTAAGAAATCACAGAGTAAGCCCTGCCTCTTTGTCCATAAGAGTCCTTGTTATGATTCTGAACCTGAATGTAAAGCACGAATAAGAAAATCACAAACCATAACTACAATGAAGACCAATGCGTAATGTCTCATCCTCCATATTCATTCTAACAAAAGATTCAATATTTTCAAAAACTAGTTGGTTTCACATAACCGAAATAGCAGCAAAAAAGTTCATAAGACACTTCCACATAGATCAATGGCTGGCTGCTGCTTCCACAAACGCTTCTTCTTATGGAGTCTTTTTGGAGAGCGCGTTTACCTGATCTTGGAGACTCATAATAAGCATTTTCAGCTCAATGTACTCGTCAACGGTTACCCTTTTTTCTCCGACACGTTCATCTGCCTTGTCACGCGGTGCAAAAGAGCAGATGTTCGCTTCTTGGCCAGGGCAATGAAGCAAGAGTCAGCAGGTCCCATACCGATCTATAACTCCGTCTCTGCTTCAAAGGCATTTGCTTACACGGTATGTCCAGTCGATGCTTTCGGTGGGCTTTACACGAGCAAGTGGCTTTACAGCAGATACGAAACCCGACGAAAGCCACTTGTCCCATGCCCCAAGTGGCTTTCGTATCTGCTGTAAAGCCACTTGCTCGTGTAAAGCCCACCGAAAGCATCGACTGGACATACCGTGTAAGCAAATGCCTTTGAAGCAGAGACGGAGTTATAGATCGGTATGGGACCTGCTGACTCTTGCTTCATCGCCCTGGCCAAGAAGCGAACCTCTGCTCTTTTGCACCGCGTGACAAGGCAGATGAGCGTGTCAGAGAAAAAAGGGGAACGGTGGCAAAGGTTCTGGACACAGAGAAAGGTCCGGTGAGAGACGGCAGCGACCATCTTGCGGAAAAGGGATTCTGCATCAACCTCAAACTTCAAAAAGAAAGAACACAAAATCAGTCAAATATAGCAGAATCTCTGGCAACTGCACAGCGAAGGAGAAGCAAAGAACGCACATATAATCAAAGAAGCAAAACAGCTCCATGAGAAGAAACCTTAAGTTATGACATATAATAATATACTTTAATACTAGCACTCATGAAGAATAGTTGAAAATTCTGACAAAGTAACTTGAATCCAAGCCAAGTCAAACACGTTTGTTCGAGTTTCTTTCTTGATAGTATATAATACGATGTTGAATTTTGACTAGCTGAAGAATGACACGATACGATTTGGGTTGAAACAAGACATGCCCTAGATTAAACAATTCCTAAAATTCCCAAAGACACATGAGCTGATTACAACTCCAAAATTCCCAGAAGTATATGAGGAAGAGAGAGAGAGAGAGAGAGAGAGAGACTCACATCACGTCCGGAGGAACAAAATGATCTAACTGCAGATCTCAGCATCATCATCGGAAAAATCGCCGATCTATTCCTCTCTCTCTCGAAGGAAACTTATTTGGGGAAAACTGATTTTAGGGTTTTGTAATGGGCCTATTAATGGGCTTTTGTTTTATTTCGTTATAACTTAGTCCGTAAAAGTCATTAACAACAAATCCACCAAATGTGTCATCTTTGATTGAAAACTGAAAAACAAAATTCGATTTTTGTAAGTGGACCGGTTAATAAAACCGGTTTAGTTAGTCCTTGAAAACGACACAGCTTTAGCTATCCAGCCATGGCGACCAGAGCTTTGCTCGCCGTTATATCTGCGTCTCCGAATCGCTACTTCATCTCTCCGAGCAGGATCAAAATCCAATCTTTAACTTCTTCTTCTTCAAGTCATTATTACCAAAGACAGAGTAGAAAAATCCACAAAATAGCTCGAAGTTACTCGTCTGACTCGGATTCCTCCGTTCTTCAGCCGCCGGACGTGTCCGGAATTAAATGATCGCCGTGAATAATGAGCACCGCATTTGACTGCAGATCTCAGCATCATCGGAAAAATCGCCGATCAGTTTAGCCTCTCTCTCTCAGGAAACTTCTATTTGGGGGGAAAACTGACTATTAGGGTTGTGTAATGGGCCTACTGGGCCAAAATATTAATCATATCCATATGGGTTTGAGAAGAGAAGCTTGCAGCTTTATTTCAGCACGAATCATATCCATATGATATGGGTTTGAGATATGGATTACGACGACTAAGATTAGGTCGAAATGGTGTCGTGGAACAAGTTCTTGAGAATGGACAACATAATGGGGAATGGTTCCATTTACATATGCGGGTTTCTTCATTGACGAGAAGAAGAAAGTCTTGCCATGGGGTTTGATGAAAACTATCACAAAATATTTAACATTATTGGAGAGGCTGGATATTTAGGAGAACTTGCAGGCGAAAACTGTAGGTCAAATGTGTGCTCTTATGTTCCAAGTTTGGTCCAATTTAAGAAAAAACCTCAACCTGACCTCATTAAAAAAGCCAGTACAGAATGACCAAGAAATCTATTTCTTTTCTTATTTTCTTTATTTTGGTATCTTTGTCGAGGAACTTGGAACAGAATCTGCTTTGTTTCACAAATCTTTTCAATTTCCGGATTAATTGTTAAGATACTGGTTTTGAAGCTTGTGTGTGTAGATTATTACGATTGACAGAAATGAGAGAGTAGAAGTTTGTTATGAAAGGTTATCCTTTATTGAATTTAGAAATGAGAAAACAGAGTACAAAGAGGTCTATACAAGCTGTTTAACTTAACAGACAGACTCTAAACAAAGAGTTTACACTTTATACAACAACTTTTATGGGTTTGGGATCTACTCGTCAAGCCAATCTAGGCTGAAGCATTTCTCAGCAGCTTCAATCTTTAGTCCTGGAACGACCTTCTTAACTTCGTCCCACATAAATGCAACGTCGGTATCGCATATTACATGGCGCAGAGATTTCAGTGAAACAGCAGAGCTCGGTCTACCCGAAAAACAACATTCTCTCATGTCGATCTTCTCAAGCTTCTTTAGCTTTCCTATTTCCTCTGGAAGACAACTCAGGCTAACACATTGTGAGATGTCTAGGTACTTAAGCCCAGGAAGCTCACAGATTTCTCCAGGTAATGTCTTTAGCTCAGGGCAAGCGTATAGCCTTAAGATTTCGAGAGCTTGTAGCTTACTGAGGTTCTTGGGCAATTCACCGAGGCGTGGACAATTTGTTATGCTTAAGCAGCTAAGAGAGCTCAATCCGCAAATGCTTGAAGGTAGTGCCACGAGATCATCACAGTGATCTATCGTCAGATCCCCCAATTTTGGGAAGATATTGGCCACGTCAACTCCAGTTTGATCAAAACTCTTATTGATCTTGCACAGAATCAAAGACATCTTGTGGAGATTTTTCAAGGGGGTGGTTGAGTTGGAGAGTTCAGGGACGTGAACCCTCTCGAGCCAAAGACTCCTTAATTTCGATAAATTGGCAAATATTGAAAAGTCATGGAGAACTGCAGGGGACATGCCGTTGTTGATAATCACTAGGACCCTAAGCTGGGGCATCTTAGTGATAAAAGGCGGAAGAACATACTTGTCTGAAGAGAAATTCAGTATTAGAATCTCTGCCTTGGGGAACTCCATGTCAAACCATTGCATTTCATTCATTTCCCCTGCAAAAACAAAATAAAAAATCCATACCAACATTATGATCCTGGTGATTATCACATGAGAGAACTAAGTAATATTTGCAGTGTAAAAAATCTCTTGCCAGTATGAATAGAGACAATCTGGGCAATGTAATGCTCATCATTGTTCCTTTCCCATTCTCTTGGAAGCTCTAACTCTCTTTTCGGCATCAGCAACCGCTTTCTTCTGTTTACTTTCCCTACGTTGCTTATATGAAGAGCTAGGTCTCGCAGAACATCATGCTGTGTCACAAAAATATCATAGTGGCTTGCATACAGAGAGCCAAGCCTGCAAATTAATGTAACAGTCATAATTTCAGATGACTTTTGAACCTTATAAAAAGTGAGCAAGTACAAGTTTTGTGATCCCTCACCGTGGATCCTTCCCAAGAGTAAGGAGATTCTTGTGTGACAAATCAACGAGGATGGCAAAAGCATTTCCTTCATCTATATCATGTAACTCAATCCACATGTTGATGAGAACATCAAGAGGAATCTTCCTGTCTTCAGGGAATGCGCCAAGATCCAAGAAACAATCTTTGGTTGTCTGGTCGAGATTTTCTAGACTAGCTTCCATTTGATTAAGCAATCTACTCTCGTGAGAGTCATCAGCAGGTTCACCTCTTGATAACCTCTGCAATACGCCCTCCCAGTATTTTTCAGGTTTGTCATTTAATGAAGCACCCGTAACTTTGAGAGCTAAAGGTAGACCTTTGCATTCATTAGCAACCTGAGTCAAACAGAGAAATCTGAGAATCGAAAAGCTTTGGATATGCTGCGCGTTGGAGAAGAAACTATTAAAACTACCTGCTTAACCAGATCATTGCAGAAACCAGGAGGGACAGATTTCTGACCGAAAGCACAGAGACAGAAGAGAGAGATTGCTTCATCTTCACTTAGTACTTCGACATCATAAGTGAATTTAGGCTCTGTGAGTTTGGATCGTGAGACCACAAGAGTTGTGCAACCAGGAAACTTAAAGGACGTCAAGCGGTCCAGGGCCTGTGTGGTCCAAACATCATCAAGAATCACGAGCTTCCGGGTGCCCTCAAACTGAAAACTGCAGTCTGGAACAGGATTTCCAGCTTCACAACCAGATAAGAAACCCCATATATGTTCCCTCAGCTCCTCAAGAAGCGGAGATTGTGATACAGTCAGAAACAAAATCCGGTTCTCGAAGTGACCTGGAGAAAAACAAGTGAGAAATTGACCATCTCACTCACTAAAACAGTCTCTGGACTCTTAAACCAAAAGTCAGAAAAGAAGAAGATGAGAGTGTAGACTTACATCGGACTTCATGGTCCCGTTCAAGCTCTCTAGCAAGAGTGGTTTTACCAACACCGCCCATTCCACTGATACCAAAAACCCCTCCTTGAGGTTCGAAGATCATCTTCTTAACCTTGATCTTTCCCAATTCCAATCCAACTCCAAATTTCTCCAAATCGTCGTTGGTCTCAATCTCCATAGCCTCGGCTCTCTTCATGGCCTCTCTAATCATCCCACCTCCACCGATTTTCATGGAACCCACTTGCTGAATCACCCTCTCGAGGCTCCTGTCAACACGATCCAAACGCTCTTCGGAATCGGCCCGGAGACGATGAACGTCAGCGAGGATATGGGCCAAAATCGGAGCTTTAAGGAAATTAGTGATTGTCTTCTCGAGCTTCTCCATTTTCCTCGCTAAGGTTAGCTGACGGAACATGTTCCAGCGACGGGCGCTTAGGACTTTCTCGGTGAGTTTTTTGCCTTTCTCAAAGGTATCAAAGAGCATACCGATTTGAGCCTGGCGGTGAGCAGGAAGCTCCACGCCACTGTACTGAATCTCCTTGATCGTCGGTTGAATATCCTCTATCAAGGCGATGAGTTTATCGGCCGTGCTTTTGTATTTCCATGCTTTGGCAGATATCAAAAAGAGCTGCTTCAGGAGCTCCGTCGCAATTTCACCGGCGAAAAAATCGGTGACGGCCATTGGAAACGAAGTCAATGAGAGAGAGAAAGAGAGAGCGCGAGGCTAATAAGGATAGAAGTGGTCGAAATTTCCAAGCAATTCCGACAGTGAAAGTAATCATAATCTATTGGCCACTGTTAAATGAGGAAACTGTGAAAGAAGGAACGAGCAACAAGTTAGAAGACTTTTTTTGTTTTTTTAGGAGACTTGGGCTTTGGCGAATTAAAAAAGAAAAAAAGAAAAAAGAAAAAAGTACAGTAAATGAATTCAGACACATCGTGCATGACATAAGAATAAGACAACATTCTCAACATTAGGTAGGGCCGGTGGAGAGGCATTGAGTGGTCTGCATAATATTTGTATTCTTTTCTTCCAATTCTTTTGAAGTTTTGAGGTCAAGTCCACACAAAAAACCAATAAAATACTGAGAGGCAAACCAAAATTTTTAAAAAATATAGTGTTATTACTTATTAGCTTATAGGACTTAGTTAAACACATGAGTTAATTTGAAACAAAGACAAAAGACTTATTAGTTCAAAATAATTTTAAGATTCTCATAGACATGGTCTCAAAACAAACAGAAAAAAAGAGAGGGACAAATTGGACAATAATGGGTGTCTGTCTTCATCAGTTCATATTATATCTAAAAACAGAAAGAAAACAAAAATTAACCAATCAAATAAGAACGACGTCGTCTTGGATCAGTAACATTGATCTTCCAATGGTAATCAGTAGAACCTCTAAGCCTTGCTTTCCTCCTCTCCCAGTTGATCTCCGTTCTCCTCTTCTTCGTCAGCCTGCAAAACTTTTGCAACGCTTTGTCCATGGAGTCGTGAACTTTCCACCACCTAACGTGAGCCGCATCGCTAGCGTACACTAATTGCTCATCCACGTCGTAGTTGCAGTCGTAGTCTCTATAGCAAAGCCATGGTTTCCAACCTAAGTAGTGGACCGCGTAGACCTGAGCCGGCTCCGCGGCGAAGAGGTTGTTCTTCATGTTTCTTTCTTTGGTTGTGTTCGACCAGAAGTTCTTCAGAAAGTTTACTCGTCGAGGCAATCGGTGCCACCACACAAATATCTCGTTTAAGTACCTGAAAATATGTAACAACATATGTGTTAATATATATAACTGTTAACTATAAAGTCTATAATTTGTAATACTAAAAGTACTAATCACCCTTGATCTCCGCCGTTATATGAAACGATCTCGCTTCGCTGGCTCATGATCGTACTAAACGTACAATTAGAAGGCTCGATGACCATGATGCCTGAATTAAATATCCAGACATCATTTCCGGTGGCTGACATCTGAGGAAAATGGAAGAGAAGATCTAGGTTACGTAGGACGATGATGTCAGCATCAATGAAGATCACTTTGTCATAATCTGTCAATTGCCAAAGTCGAAATTTGCTGTAATTGTATTCATTGTAAGAGTCCTTCTCGGCAAGTGGGTTTCTTATTCGGATGATCCGACGAAGCTTCCATCCTGCGGCCGCGAGAGCTCGAAGTTTGGTAATGGAGATGGAATCATCGTGGAGAAGGATAAGATCGCGTTTGGTGTTTGTCTGAAGAAGGCTTTGAGCCAAAGTTATGGCACCACAGACATAAGACTCGGAAGAGTGGAGGACTGTTACGTAGGCTTCACGTTTTGGTCGTTTTGTCTCTGCTTCTATCTTCGATAGGTCATACACTTTGTCTACACCTGTTTTTTTTTGGATAAAATGTATATTGGAGAAAAATGTATAATATTAATTTTTTTGATAAAAAAGTTACTCCACCATAAAAAAAAAATTCATTATATTCATTTAGTAGGTCATTAAAAACCAGTTTCAACGATTATTATCAAATTTTAGTTATTACTAATTTACTATATATGCATGGATAAATGGTTATCAAACTCTAGATTCAAGGGCAAAAGAGCATTTTTGTGATTAGAAATTAAATTATCGTATTTATAATCATATCTATTAATCTTAGTTGAAAAACAAACAAATTCATAAAGATTTGAATAATGTTCTAGTAATATATTAGCATATAAGCTATCATTAACCTTATTCGATGATTATTCGTTTCTTAAACCACCAAACATTTAGCTAACTAACTCGATCTACCAACGAATACGAATGCTATTTTGGAAAGACAATTAAGATTTATTATCTCCTTAATTAAAAAGTGTAAGGTTGCTTGTATGACAATTCATATTTGGTGGTTAGCAAAACGACATACCTAAAACACAACCACTAACATATCTAATTAACACACATCAATCAATTATAAGCAAAGTATCCAAACATACTGAGTTGTTCTATATTACACCATAAAGTTGGTACCTTTCAAATCAATTTCACGTAAGCAAGTCATTTTATGTTCCAAGGTCTTAGTCACTTCACAGTTCATCTGAGACACTTCCGACTATACATCTTTTTACGCTTGCGCCACAAAACGCGGTTAACTCGACGATTTCAAGTTCAGTTCGACTTATTATTTTTGTTTAATTAATTTAACATGGACAAAATTTAACCAAATTCAAAAACAAAATATTTGCTAATGATACTCTTAAAGTCTAAATATATCAAAAAATAAAATAAAACAAAACGTTTTTGGTTTCATCATAATTTAGTTATTTATAATTTGATATGATTCATCTCAAATTCTTAATATCTATGTATGGGAGTTCAGTTTAGGTTTTGAGTGGTTTTTTACTTTAGTTACTTTTGCTGAAACTATAAATATCAACAAAAAGAATAATTAGTACTCCCTCCGTTTCAGTTTAGTTGTCGTTTTAGGATTAAAATTTTGTTTCATAATAGTTGTCGTTTTAGGTTTTCAATGCAAATGTTTGGTGAAAATTCATGTTTTGTCATTAATGTTTTAATGTTTTGACCAATGAAAAAATTATAAAATATATTAATAAAGGGTAAAACAAAAAATTTAATGATTTTCTTAATTTGTGTGCGAAAACCTTAAACGACAACTAAAACGAAACGGAGGGAGTATAAAAGTAATTTTACCTTGTGGTGCCCACAAAGGAAGAGCAAGATTGCAAGATCCGATTGGCAAACTAAGCTTCTGTTGTAACCTAACCACTTCAGGGCGATACAACCACCAATCTGCCTCTCTCTTCTCCAAATCATCACACCGGAAAATCTCAATCATCGGTTGACATTTGCTCCAAAACAACACTTTGCTCTTCCATCTCCAATCTGTCTTCCCTTTCTTGGCTGCCAAGTTAGCCGCAACTAGGTTCACTTGCAACCTCAAAACCTCTCTTCTCCACCCTTCTTCAGGATAATTACAAGGCAACTTCACTACTACCAAATCCAACTTCTCAACGCTTTCAAAATCTGGCATCGGTATCTCAGGACATGTGGGAACCTCGGTTTCTTCCTCTTCATCTATCCACTCGGGGAACAAGTCTTGCCATTTGAAGAGCTTAGAGACACGCTCAAAATGTATGTGAACTGTTTCGCCATAACGTTTCCAATTAGTAAGATCATATTCTTCCATGTTCACCATCCCTATCTTTGTTTTCCCTAACCCTCTTGTTAAAATCTCTTCCATGAAGCTTGGCGCCTCCAGCTTGGTTTGGTTACTAGCGGTTAGCAAATCTCTCTTGTTTATTTCGTTCTCTTCAACGAGTTCTTGCATCTTCACTCCTCTCACCACCTGATCAAATAGCAGTATAAAGATATACTTATTAGCCTGAGTTTTGGTATAAGATTTACTCGGTAAACAAAAAGGTAAACTCACCTTACCTTGGGAGTGCAATCACGAAAGGAGCATCCAACAAAGGAAGCTCCACTGCTGAAGTATACTGATGAAGAAGGGTGGAGCAAAATGGCAGTGTAGAGAAGAAAAGAGAAACCCAACAAGACTAGATTGAAGCGTATCAGTGCGGATTTGGATGGAGCCATCTTCATTATCATCGTCATTATCGTCATCTCGTTTCTCAATGACAAACATTTCTCTTTCATCTTATATATATACACACTCCTAACTCCTAAGTCAAAATGATTAAAGGTTTCACGAGAAATGTGTGTAGGATTATTCTTAATATGCGAACCACGTGAAGGGTAGAGAAAAAAACAAAAACATGGTAATTAGTACTTTAAGTAGAGGTTGAGTTTTTGAGTAAAACAATAAAATAAATATAAAAAACGTCTAGAAGAGTTTCATTGGACGTGTCAAACTCAAAGGATTTTCTTTACTCAAACACAAGCCTGATGGATTATTATTAAACAAAGATATATCGCCAACGATTTTGGGTGGATGGGCTATACACATAATGACATGAGTTTGCCATACGTATGCCTTAAGTTACGTATTTTGCTCTCACCTTCAAATGTAGGACCAGAATTACATTTTTTTTTATTTTTAACAAGTTAAATTAGGATACTATTATAGAAGAAAACCACCTTTTAATTTATTAAGGTTTCTACAGTCATTAGGAGATAGAAGTATTTTGTCTAATTATGGTGCTCTCCAGAACAAAGACTTTTGTTACCACTTTATCTATTCACAAATTTTGGTAACTAATGAGACAAATCGTGAATGCTTGCTGTTACATACGTTCGGAGAACATGTAACCTCTGATAGAGACTATACAACAGCTTAACACAATATAAAAATAAAGTGGTAGTTATAGCTCAATTAAATAAAGGGAAATGTCATCAAAGGAACATAATAAAATACATATTTCCACAATTTGATGATCTTTATCAGAAAACGATGCAATACATCATACATGTTAGAAAATAAATTATGTTACAGATTTGTTCACGAAACCTCCACCAACTACAACTTTTGAAAACTTGGTACAAAAGATCATAGGCTGCAAATGGTTGGAGGAATAAAGAAGAGAAAAATGTTAGTAGGTGTAAATAATATGCGACGACGGAGGAAGTCAAGCAAGCAACATGTTTAGTTCTGCTGTCAACATCGGTTGCTTATTACGCTTATAGGAAGGCAAAAGATCAATGCTTTTGAAACAATCACATTTCCTTTTCTTTTTCTTATTTCAACTTGTTTTTATTTTAAACAGTAATAATTAGTAAGGATGAAAATAATCACATTATCATTAAGCTGAGATGTCAAAGCGATTATGATGAGGGGAAAACAAAATGAAAATAAGGATTGGTAAGACATCTTAGTTTTAATAATCGTATGTCAACCACATTTAATCAATAATTAGCCTAAACCAACATATCATTTAGATGTCTCAACCTCCTTGGATTAGATTATGCTGATTTAATCTAGTGAAAGATGGATTACATCTTAATTTCTTTTTAAATAAACATTTTTTTTTTTTGGCATGTAAGAACCATGATTACAAGTTGATGATGTGTTAAGTGAAAAAAAGAAAGATTTTTGGGACTGTGTTGAGCTCTTTAGGCCAATGATAATAATGCAAAATCTCAAAAGAAGCTGTTTTTATCAAGTAAAAATACACACATTGTGTCTATTATCGTTTTTACTCTTTGATCAACTCCTGCATGTGTTGTGCATAACTTCTTCCCGGTGGAATGAATATTACATCTTCCCAACCTGAATTCTTCTCGCTCTTCTACAATTATTCAATTCAAATTTCATTAGATTAACGGTTTCTCCGCGCTCATACTTTTCAGTTTCTTTAAACAAAGAAGAAGAGTGAGTACCTCCATTTTCCTCAACACATCTTCCAGACTCCCAACCTGCAAGTTCCATGTTGAAGATAAGTGAAGTTAGGTCTTTGATAATGATAAACCTTGGAATTCGTTTTACGTCATAGATATATGAAGGGATGTACAATCTGAATTTCGCTCGTTCTACAGGTTTCTAAAACTTTTCCTTTTCTCTCACTGTTCCTCTAAAAACATGGTGTTACATGAATAGAAAGGGTGGAGTTGCAGAACATGTAAGCACAATAACTGCAAGATATTACATATGATGCCAACACAGCTACTAGCTACTCCCACTTGTTAGTAAACCACATGTCTTTAGATCAAGGTGTTTCTATCTTAAGTGGCATACCAAAAATTCAAAATACAAGGTAAGTAGGAATCATTACCATAATTTGTTGATCTCCTCTTGATGCTCTCGTATATTTAGAAAGTTCCCTCTCTATATCTTCCTGAAAGTGGTCACGCAGAACAGGAAAACAAGAGTTATCATCCTCTGTTTTGGCTTTTGAGAGATCTAGTAGTATTCTTTAACGTGTGAGAAGAAACTAACCAACCTTACTGAAATATACAGGGCAGTAACGTCTATTTTTTTTCCTCACAACAAGAAGCTCAGACTGCAGAGAAAAATTACAAGAGATAGATATCAAGAAAAAACAAAGCAAAAACACCAACACATAGGAATATCTATATTGGTATAATAGATAAACACAGAAAATAAGTAGAGCAATTTACCTGGAAAACTGGAACTCCATCAAACCCATTCTTATTACCTGAGGATTTGAGCTGGTACACAAGAAAATATAGCTTAAGGATAAGATCGAAATAACAAATAACTGCATAACTAAAAGGCTTTTTAGCATGAGCCAACCTCCAATGCATTCTTTATTTGGATTGGATCTGGCAAGAAGCGAAAAGAAATCCCTTCAACTTTTAGCAAGTACACCTGTAAACAACATCATCTTCAAACTTGTGGGAATGTAGCTACCACACATGAGTGTAGCTACCATGATTACGCAAATAACATCAAAAGGTCCCCTAATGTAGTTATAAGTTCCAAGCCATTAGAGAGATTATAATCATGTAGCTAAGTTTTCCCATTTCAGCATTCTTTCTTGCTGTTGTTTCTAGTGAGAGATAACCCTAGTCAACGTTCTGGTGAAGATTTTGTCAACATTGCTACATGCACAAGAGCACAATCTCCCATTCATTTCAAACTGCCAACATGAGTTCCTATTACCGTATCATAAAACCACTAAAATGAGGCTAGACATGAACAAGACAACTTAGATTGAACTCCTGATATCATAAACTCGTAAGAAATAGTCCCAAGAAATTTGTTTGTTTCGTTTGATTTAATCAAATGGCTTCGACAGTGATCTAATGCAGTGATCATAGGGAAAGGGAACTACCTGGTCCAGAGTAATGGGAACAACCTTCGCATTGGTTTTCAATTCTCTTCTCCGAAGTCGCGCCTAAAGGATATTAGAGAATTATGAGCTCAGAAACTTTCCAATTTTTTTTTAAAAAAACCTTTTGGGAAGAGAAAAAACAAAACCTGAGCTAGAAAAGCTTCAGCATCCTCTTGTCGAAAACAGAGCAAGCCAATAGACTTGTCACCGGTAGGATCCGAGATAAGAACGAATTCGTTATTGGTGTTACTGACTGTAAACACCGACGTGCCAGCGAGAGCTTTAGCGACAAGCGATGGGCTCAACGTCGTCGTCGGGGTTCCAGACTTGGATTGTGAGACGGAGGCGAAGGGTGGAGGAGGAAGAGAAAATCGTCGAGTAGCTAGGGTTTCGGCGAATCGTTTAGTGTCTTCAATTCGGGCTGAGAGGTCGGAGCTGAAGCGGGTACAGTGGTGGTGAATGAAAGAGGAGAGGGAGAGGAAAGGATTGGGTTTTACTGATGACTCCATTTTTTGGATTTGCAGAAAGAAGAAAGAAGAAGAAGAAGAAAAGGAATTGAAACTATGAGTGAAGAGACTGAAGTAAAAAGGCTTAAGAGTCGTCTTCTGGGTTTTATTTGGGCTTTTTTACTACACTTGATGACTCTTTATTGGGCCTTATCGACAATATTTTTAGTAAAGTCTTAAGTAACAAAACCTTTAGTGGACTTGATTGGTTTTAATTTGCGTTTAATATGGCCCTTGATCAAAGTTCGGTGACAAAGCGTTTATTAATTAACTTTCTAAACTCAACTTCCACACCATTCTAAACACATGACTTACAAAAAGCTTTTGTCACTTAAAATTCATGTAGATGACATTCTTTTTCTTTCAAATTTCTCCCTATAAAATACTAGACCAAGCAAACAACACACAAAAGAAAACAAAATTGTTAAAACTCTCAAAAAGTGGAAAATATGAGGAACATTACTGCTACAACCCGAACAATGTTACTGCTTGTGATTACAATTTTGATGGGGAATGCGTATCATGGAGAAGCCATAGCATGTCCGCAGGTAAACATGTACTTAGCACAATGTTTGCCTTATCTAAAAGCCGGAGGAAATCCGTCTCCGATGTGTTGCAACGGACTTAATAGTCTAAAAGCCGCTGCGCCTGCGAAATCCGATAGACAAGTAGCTTGCAATTGTTTGAAGAGTGTAGCTAATACAATCCCTGGAATTAATGATGATTATGCCAAACAACTCCCTGCTAAATGTGGTGTTAATATAGGAGTCCCTTTCTCTAAGACTGTGGACTGTAACAGGTAGCTCTTGCAGTTTCTATTTATTATCGCGGAGACATGCATGTGTAATTGTGAGAGCTTCTAACTAAATAATCCTCTAATTGACATCTCTTTTATTTGTTCTGTGAACAGCATAAACTGAAAAGAAGACTTGAATACCAACGGCCATGCAGCTACGATAAAGTGGATATCCTAAAAGACCAAAAGCAACAATTTCTAGTATATATCTTCTGATCATATGGTTTATAGATGTAAATATATCATATAGTTCTTGCCAAATAAAATGTGATATTCCCACATTTACATATTCCTCTTTCGTACTCAGTCTCTTAAAACGCAACTCCTAAAACTTTCTGAAATTTATACTTTAAAATCCTAGCAAAGACACATGATATATCCAAAAACAATTGACTCTTGAAATTTAATAATAGATAACTAAAACTAGTTGTAAGATTTGAACTCTTAAAATCTGATCATAAGCATTGGCATATAAAATGTTTCACATTTGTTTGACATACAGGGTTGAACCGTGTGATTAAAATAAAAGTGATTGGGTTAAAAGTGTAAAGGTGGAAGTAAAAATGTAGTCATCATAGTGAACAAACCTTGAATTTAAGGGAATATTATTCTTGGAAATACCTGAAAGATGGGAAATTTTAATTTCAGTATTGAATGACGCCCAAACTCTTCAACCAAGGGAGCATCTCCTCCAATCCTTCCTTTAGGCTTCGAGGGTTATAACCAAGTTCCAGCTTAGCCTTGTCACAAGAGTATGCCCATTGATGTCTCAGCACTTTCACTGTCTGTTCATTACAAAATACTACGAATTGATTTATTCTATACCAAATAATATAATCTATAGTCTGTTGGCAACTAGTGAATGCAATTTATACTCACCGGAGGACTGATAAGTGGAAGCTTTCCTGTAACCCGAGAGATTAGAACAGATAACCATCCGTATGCGTTGATTGCCCATAATGGAATGCTAAAGTTTGGTTTTTTGGTTCCGGTAATCAGTGCAGCCATGTCGAAGACAAGCTTGAAAGAAGCATTTTCCCCAGTAAGTAAGTATCTTTCACCAAGCCTACCTTTTTCCATTGCAGCAACATGACCCTCCACTACATCATCAACATGGCTGAAGGAGTATCTATCATTCCCAGAGCCAATATATCCCGGTAATCTCCCGTTAAAGCGCTCGATTAACTAAAAGAACAACATTTGGTTAGTCTAATTATAGTTGTAAGTTAATCCGAATGCAAGAATTCAACCCTAACAAACCACAATTGGAAATAACAAACATTCACTATCCAGTTCAATAGAAGGAATCAGAAGGCTCAAGTGATAATCAACCACATAAATGGATCTAGAAAGGTGAACACTGTCAATGTATCACTTCATCACCCCACCAATGCAACTCTAATCAGCAAAAAGAAGATGTTGAAGAAATGTAGAGAGAATCATACCAATTTAGCAACCATATTGCCTGTAGTGAGCTTGCCTGGACCATAAATAACACCAGGATACAGCAAAATTATCGGCACACCTTCAGATGCAGCATTCAAAGCAATCTTATCAGCAGTAGCCTTGGATCTCTCATACTCAGTGCAGAAGAACCTCTCACTATGAACCTAATGTCAAGACCAGATCAAAATCAGAATCAAAATAAAATCAAACACAAAAAAACAAAATTCATTAGAACTATCATACTTTATTCTCATTAGCAACAGATCCATCGGTAGACCCAAGGGCGAAGAATGAAGAAGTGTAGATAATCTTCTGCACTGTTTTCGTCTCCTTAACAGCTTCCAAAACGTTCTTGAGTCCACCAACGTTGACCTAAGCTTCGAAATCACCATAACCCATGATCTCTCCGATTTTGAGCTTAAAACTTAAGATGTGGAACAAAATCAAGCTTACTTTGACAAATCGAGATGGATCAGGAAGCCAAGGCTCAACTAAAGCCGCAGCGTGGAAAACGATATCGCAACCGGAGCAAGCATCCGTTAGAGAACGGTAGTCTGTTACGTCTCCGTAGGCGAGCTCAACTTCTGGAGGTAAGTCAGAGATATCGCTGGTGCGGCGGACCAAGGCGCGTACAGAGTGGCCGCGACGGAGGAGAGCGTGGCACAGTCGTGCGCCTAAGTAACCAGTAGAGCCGGTGACTAATATTTTCATATTTGTTTTATGTTGGGCATCTTTGGGCCCATCGTTGGTTTTGTTCGTGGAAGGCCAAAACCTCCAACTGATTGAGAGGGTTCTGGTTAATTAATACAAGCATCATGCTCTGAAAGCTGGATCACCTTATAAACAAGATAGCAAAAACCGAATTTTCTTACGTATATATATATTTTTTTTGATAACCCAGTGTCCAGACCACACTGTGATCCGACTAGCCCACTGGGCCTAAACCCGCGTTCCTTGGATTTTTAAGCCTCCACTTAAGGGCCCCTCGGATCTGGTGGTCTGGGACGCTGCGCCCCGTAGGTAAATTGCGCAGTGGCCGAGACTCGAAACCGGGTGGCGGGTGCCTCAGCCGAGGTTCCTATACCACCAGGAGACAAGCACCCGGTTATGTATATATATTTAAGGGACACAAAACTTTATTATAGATACAAGAAAATACAACATCCTATACTAATATTTGGGAAGTACATCCTAAGGATCATAACTTAAATTTTGTAAGAAATTACAATATATGCCATTATATAATTCTAATCATAAAATTTATTCCATGTCACTAATATATATTAACGGGTCAACGGGTTTAAAGATATTAAAAGATTTTGTTTATATAATAAATAATTAATATAATTCGAGAATGTTATATACTAATCAATATTCGAGATTATATAATACATAAAAATGTTATATAATACATAAAAGATTTTTTTTATATAATATATAAAAATGTTATATACTAATATACTAATATATTATTCGAAAATGTTATTGAAAATTGAAAATGTTATTCAAAATGTTATATAGTAATCCATTATTCGAACATCTTATAAAAAATGTCATTGAAAATGTTAATGAAAATGATATATTATAGTTCGAAAATGTTATATAAATTGAAAATGTTATCTAATTCTCCATTTTTTGAAAATGTTACTAAAAATTGAAAATGTGTCTACGTTCTTATATCTAAACAAAATTTATTTTCAACTACAATTCGTAATCTTTGACAATATTTTCAGTTTCTTAAACATTTGTTATCATCTTTGACAATATTTTCAGTTTCCTAAACATCTGTTATCATCAATTTCGTTGTTTTTGATTAAGCTAAACAATACAATATTTTCAGTTTCCTAAATCTTTGTTTCTGACTTTAGTTGATTATATTGTTTAGGTAGTATATTCATTTTTTAATTACGCGGGTCATTGGGTCATCAGACGGGTTTAATTATACTACCTAAATAATATAATCACATAATTTTGTAATTAATTAATTAGGGAGATTTCGTAAATAATAAAATCAATTTCGTAACGTTAATTTTGTAAGAAATTATAATATATGCCATTAGAGATCTCTAATCATAATCATTTTAATTCCATGTCACTAACATTAACAAATTAATTAAAAAATGGGTCAAATAACGAAAAACGGGTTTAAAGATCTTAAGGATATTAGGTTGTTATATTTTGTTTAGATATAAATTCGTATTCAAGCAATTCGTAATCTTTGAAAATATATTCAGTTTCCCTAAAATCTTTGAGAATATATTCAGTTTCCTTAAAACCCTTTATAAAAAAAAATAAGTTATAATAGTTGTTATATTCTAGATCGTTTTTTTGTTTAGTTTTACGTTTTTTGTTTAGCTTAATCACGCATCAATATAATCAGCTATTCAGTTTCTTTAAAATCTTTTCTAAAGATTGTCAAATCTCTCTGTTATATAATTTTGATCCTATATTCCCAATAATTTAGAATATACCTTTCTAAAATATTATCTAACTATTTTATGCTAATTAATATATTTCTGAATCTCCTAATTATCACAAACAATCTACAACTATAAATATCCATTTAGGTTTGACGTACCTTTCTCACAGAAATCATCTCAGCACCATTCTCATATCCTACAATTAAAAATACAGCAGAAATGGCTATGGTTAGTCTCTACACTCCTATTAACAACTTGAAGCCTATTAAGACTTTTTGCTGTATTCAAGTTAGTATACTTCATTCGTGGATTCATTTTACAAAAGGTTCTGGCATGTCTTTGGAAATGATTTTGACAGATAAGGCTGTAAGTACCATTGAAATTTTATACAATTCTCTTTGTAATATACTGTATGTGCCGTAAGTATTAAGTCATCTTATTTTAATTACAGTGTAACAAAATTCAAGCAGACATCAAATAGGAACACATCAGCAAATTCCAAAGGTATGTTAAACCGTTTTTTTTTTCCTTTTTTTTTTTAAACCATGAAACTAGGCCCCACAAACCCAATATAATCTATTAAAAAACTTAGACCCAATACAACTATTTTTTTTGTTTGGTCACAATCACACAATAAAATTATCAATTCCTAATTGAACCAAAGAAATTGTTAATCTCATATAAAAAATACAAATCTAATGCTGCTAAATATATTAAATTCTAAAATACAATATTCTCTCCTTCTTTAGTCAAATAAAATATATAACATTATATCCAAATAGTAAGAAATATAAAATATTATGATATATTCTATTTTATATTATACTATTATACTATATTATTCCTTATTTCTTCGAACAAAATATACAATTTAATTCATGAAAAATATTAAATCCCGTGCTGTATAGCACGGGTCATGATCTAGTTACAAATAAAACTTTATTTTTTAAAAATATCTTGAATTGAAAAATGGCAATGACATGATTATCACCACATTAAAAATAGTATCTACATAAGAATGCAATAAATCCTACAAAACTTCCTATCCAGTTTGTATATAGGAAAGAAGAAAAAAAATATAGACGCTGCCAGAAAATACGAAGCTTTTATACAACACGCATTGATGAGATTGGTATATATCTCTGTCGAGTGAAAAAGAAATTAAATAGTAGTAATAATTAAAGGCTCTCTGCTCTCTCTCTCCCACGATTTCCTTTTTCCGCCGGAAGAAGCAAAAGACGAAATCGAATCTCTTCTAAGTGTTCGATTTAAAGCAAAGTGTAAATATAATCGAAGCGAGATCTTTAGAAATGGTGGGATGACGGCGGAGGGAGATGGCGAGGGGAGGAGGAGAATGGACCGGAGGGATCGCCGGAACCGGAGTTCTCTCTTTCAAAAGAATCACTCTACTCGTTTGCTTTTTCAACATTCTCATTGCTCTCTTTGTTCTTCGCTTTCTCTATGCTTCTTCTCTCCACATCTATTCCAATAACGATAACGGTGCCTCCTTTTTTTCCTTTTGATTTTGCTCTCTGATTGATGAATGATGATGATAATTCGTATCTGAAGCAGCTCTGTTTTTTTTCTTCTTATACAGTTGTTAAGTACACAGCTGATGAGATTAGGAAAATGGAGGAATCTATTCGGATTCGAAGATCGAAAGAACCTACTCTGCTTGTTCAATTGGTTAGTGCCTTTTTAATCGGAACTCGGGTCGAATTGAGATGCATTGAGGTTCTTCTCACAATGTTTGATGTCTTTCATAGGTGAAGAAGCTGAAGCATGAGGTTTCCACTGCGGAATCTAATACTGAACTCTCTCCTAATGTTAAACACAAACTAGTTGATGAGATCCTGCAGCGTCTGAAAAGCTTTGACGAGAAATCTAATGTTACTCAGCTTAGAGGTTTGTGCTACTATACTATGAGTCTATGACCATTAGCTTGACAATCAGAGTCAAATATAAAAGTCGTCATGTTTATTTTCAAACTGCCACAAACTTACATTTCATGACTTTTCCTGATCTATCTGCTTAGGATTTGTCTTCTTCCCTCTTTGGAATGTGATGGTGATTTGTCTTATTTACCTAATCTGTGTTAGATTTGGTTGATATCAAGTGCTCAGTTTAGTAAATATCTCATTATCATTCACGTAGAAGTGGAATTTAGCTCAACTAATGCATTTAGTTATCAGGATAGTAAAATAGGTACACAGAGTTCACACCTTTCTACATGCAATATCACACACTAGACAGGTTAATTGATTGATTACCAAGAATTAACGGGGTTTTCTTCAATGGAGATTTTGCATGCCTAATCATTCTATCTGTTCTTGTATAATAACTCTTAACACTTATTATGTGCTGACTAGGCTAATGAGCAATATGCGTTAATTCTTAGTTATTTTTACAAGAGTTTTAGGAATAAGGTGGAAGGTAGGAATGGGTTAATTTGTTTAATTAGAACGCATATTGCTTTTTGATGCTTCAAACTGAGTTCTAAAAATATATTTTGATGCTTCAAACTGACTTCGAAGACACTGGATCGCTTTTTGATGCTTCAAACTGAGTTCTAAAAATATATTTTTCCGTTGTGGTGTTAGTAATGCACGTAGACTTGTTAATGTTTTCGCCTACAATAGTTTTCCTTTTGACACATTCATGTTATCTCTGTAATGACCTTTCACACCTTCTTATCTTCATTTGGCAAACAGAAGTTGTAGAAACGTGGCGCAGTGAGAAGCTGGAGGAAGCTAAAGAGCTAATTCAAGGGCAAAATGGGGTAAATTCCACCCTTATAGTGGAGGAAGCAGGTATTACTCCTTTAGAAAGATTACTGAGTTTCTCACCTTGAGCAAAGATTCATTTTATGGAATCCTCCGGATACTCTACATTCGTTTGTATAATTAGAGGGAAAACTCTTTTGTTCTGTAATTATCTAGGGATGCTTGTAAGAGCTTTGGAGTTGGAGTGGGATGTGCTGTCTGAAGAGATCGGTTTCTGGTTACCTGCTGAGGTTACAAATGAAGAACACGATGATAAACCTGAAGGAGAGGAAGAGCCTGGTAATATTTCTCAAAATTTTCTACATTCTTGATCTCTGCTTTTGCAGTTATTTGGGTGGCAAAGTGTGGTGACACTGGCAAATTCAAAACTCATGAGGTTGTGCGTTTTTTCCTTACAGAGGAGATATTAGCAGGCAGACCAGTGCCAGCAGTATGCAATGCAGAGCTTCACACAGATTATGGTGGGGCTGCAGTGAGATGGGGACTTACACATCATAAAGAGAGTGCAGCTGATTGTTGCCAGGCTTGCTTAGATCAGGCAAAGCGTGCGAAACCTGGAGAAACGAGATGCAACATTTGGGTCTATTGTCCATCTGAGTTTGGTTGTTTCTCTCCAGATATTTATGAGCATAAACATCAGGAATGTTGGCTTAAATACGTAAGAACTTACCTCGTTCACATTCTACTTTACTCAATTTTCAGTTTCCTTGAGTTTACTCGTCCAAGTTGGACTAGAAGCTTGTCTCATATAAATTATGTCTATGCGAATTGCAGGCAGAGAAGCCAAAACAGAATTTTAAAGACAGATACTCTGAGACATACAGAAACAACCACCCAAAAGCGCCTTCTATCGTTCCATGGGTTTCAGGTGTTATAACGGCTTGAGCAAAACCCATGAGGATCATTGATGGGACAAATAGGAGATAGTTTTGTTTTTTTTCTCAGTTGTGTTACCATTTTCAGTGTCTTGAAAATTGGAGTACCGTACCAAAGATGCTAACATCTTTGGGCAGATGTATACGAGAGAATAGAATGTTTTGTTGTTTTTGTTGATTGGCTTTAAACACTTGTGGTCAAGTCGAATATAGTTTGAGGAATCATGTTTTTGTCCAAGCTTGTTCGATTCTGTAGTGGATGATTGAAAAGCTATCTATAGACGGTCTATGGGAATTACGTCGATCAAAATGTCTATATGATCTGGTCAAATGCTTATGTCTGGTCTGTAATTTCTATTATGTCACAAAACATAACATTAAAACTCTCAAAATGAATAATGGATAAAGTATAGGAACTAAAAAAAAACAAAGCAAAAATTACGGAGGGAAAAGAGAAAAAGAGGGGTGTTCATATGTTTTGTGTTCCGGGGTTGTCTCTATTCTAAATACAGACTTTCCAATTGTGTACCTCTCTTTTCATGTCTTCTTAATCGGAAAATCAATAATTCTCTTCTACTTTCTTCATTTTTCCTTTCTCTTGTAAGTCTCTCTATTCATTGATTCTTTCTTTTGGTGGCAATCTTCGTTTTAGCGTTTCTCTTGTAAGTTTTGCTTTCTTGCTTTCCTCCAATGGAGGAGTTGAAAACAACAGATGCAGTATCTCCTCCAGAAGATTCTATTGTTAGTAGTAATGGTGGCATAATAGAGCCTGAGTTGCATCAGCCTCAAGCAATACCAACAAAACTAGAGAATAATGACGAAGAAAATGGGAAAATTCAACAATCTCATAGTGAAGAAGATTTAACAGAAAATGGGAAAATTTATATGGATGACACTTTTGAACCTTCAAGTTTATCAAACTCTCAAGTAGAAGAAACACAGGATTCTTCTACCACTCCTACTTTTGTTTCTCCCTCTGCTGAGATTGCTCTGCCTCGCGTAAACACCAAGTATGAAGCAGAGGGCACAACAAGAAATGCAGTGTCTCCAAGATCTCTGTATTCCCCAAGAAGCATTGGATCTCCAAGAGCACTCCTCTCTCCAAGGTTTGCAGGATCATCATCACCATTGAGCAATGGAACACCCAGAAGTATGGATTCTTTTAGAGACTCTATTGATACAGCATCACCTTTTGAATCTGTCAAAGAAGCTGTCTCCAAATTTGGGGGAATTACTGATTGGAAAGCACATAGAATGAAAGCTTTAGAGGTATATTTACTTACGTATGTATATATCTCTGACTTCTTTGCCTTTGTAGTGGCCAAGAGTTGTGCTCACTGTTTTCGTTGCAGCGACGCAATTTTGTGGAACAAGAGCTCGACAAGATCCAGGAGGAGATTCCTGAGTACAAAAAGAAAGCAGAGATGGTCGAGATGTCAAAAATGCTAGCGGTTGAGGAGCTAGAGAGTACAAAGAGACTCATAGAAGAGTTGAAGCTTAATCTTGACAAAGCTGAAACAGAAGAACAACAGGCAAAGCAGGACTCTGAGCTGGCCAAGCTGAGAGTTCAAGAGATGGAACAAGGAATTGCTGATGAAGCGAGTGTTGCAGCTAAAGCACAGCTTGAAGTGGCTCAAGCAAGACATACATCTGCAATTTCAGAACTAGAATCTGTCAAGGAAGAGCTACAAAATCTGCAAAAGGAGTATGATGATTTAGTAAAAGAAAAGGAGTTGGCTGTGAAGGAAGCAGAAGAAGCTGTTTTGGCTTCTAAAGAAGTTGAGAGGAAAGTTGAAGAACTCACTATAGAGTTGATAGCTGCAAAGGAGTCATTGGAATGTGCACATTCTTCTCATTTGGAGGCGGAAGAACATAAGATTGGAGCTGCCATGTTGCGAGATCAGGAAACTCACCGGTGGGAGAAGGAACTAAAGCAAGCAGAGGAAGAACTACAAAAACTTAAGCAACATATAGTTTCTACAAAGGAACTACAAGTGAAACTTGAATTTGCTTCAGCATTGCTGCTTGATTTAAAGAAAGAACTGGCTGATCATATGGAATCATCCAAGTTAAAGGAGGAAACGGGTGAGTCAGTAACAAACAGTGAGATTTCATTACAGGAAAAGACTACAGATATACAAAAAGCTGTTGCTTCTGCAAAGAAGGAACTCGAAGAAGTGAATGCAAATGTGGAGAAAGCAACTTCTGAAGTGAATTCCTTGAAGGTAGCATCATCTTCCTTGAGATTGGAAATTGAGAAAGAGAAATCAGCACTTGACTCATTAAAACAAAGAGAAGGGATGGCATCGGTAACGGTTGCTTCTCTAGAAGCTGAGATCGACATAACGAGGTGCGAAATAGCTTTGGTTAAGTCCAAGGAAAAAGAAGCCAGAGAGGAAATGGTGGAGCTACCAAAGCAACTGCAACAAGCAAGTCAAGAGGCTGATGAAGCAAAATCATTCGCTGAACTTGCTCGTGAAGAGCTGCGAAAGTCTCAAGAAGAAGCAGAGCAAGCAAAGGCTGGAGCAAGTACAATGGAGAGCAGATTATTTGCAGCTCAGAAAGAAATTGAGGCTATTAAAGCTTCAGAGAGGCTGGCATTAGCTGCCATCAAGGCCTTGCAAGAGAGCGAATCTAGTTCAAAGGAAAACGCTGTTGATTCTCCAAGAACCGTAACACTCACAATAGAGGAGTACTATGAGCTTAGCAAGCGTGCTCACGAGGCTGAAGAAGCCGCCAATGCAAGAGTTGCAGCAGCGGTTTCTGAGATCGAAGAGGCGAAAGAAACAGAAAAGAGAAGCTTGGAGAAGTTGGAAGAAGTTAGCAAAGAGATGGTTTCGAGAAAGGAAACACTTGCAGGAGCAATGGAGAAGGCTGAGAAGGCTAAAGAAGGGAAGTTGGGTGTAGAGCAAGAACTGAGAAAATGGAGGGAAGAAAGTGAAAAAAAGAGAAAGAATGGTGATAATAATGGAGTGAACATAGAAAAAAGTCATGGAAAAAGCATTCAAGGGTCCAAGGAGAAAGAAGCTGAGACTAATGAGTCAAACGTAACAGAAACAAACCCAATTCCACAGGCAAATCCTGTAAAGAAAAAGAAGAAACTTTTCCCAAGATTTTTATGTTCTTGATGAAGAAGAAGTCACATAAGTGAGTTCGATGTGAAGAAGTTAATTGTGTAAAATTCTACAAATGTTAATCTATACTATAAAAGAAGAGCTAAAGCTTCTTTAGTTTCCAAAGATGTCTGAAACAATATTTGAACCCAACAAGATCAATGTTTGTTTCTGTGATGAGTTAGTCAATGAATCAGAAGATACACATTTGTTGAACACTAGCTTTGGCGCAAATTAGTGTCCTTGAATAAAAACTAGGCAGAAATTGGATAAGCTTTCTTCATGATACATCTTCCAACATAGCTTCTTTCAAGTGAAAACGAAAAACCAAATCGTCTACAATACGACCAAACATCTTAAAAGTCAAAGCCAGACCAAAGTAATTTAGCAACATTGCTAGATGTCTTTTCTCTGAATCTAACATCGTTCTAAGAGCCAGAACATTGAAATTTCACATGGTTACAAATAGACTAGAATTTAAATTAAAAAAGCTAGTGGTCCGGTCCATCACTTGCTTGTTTCATCGCTTGCTGGATAAGCTAAAAGAGCTGACTTTCATGGGAGTTGCAATGACCAAAGGCGCTTCAGGTGAACCGGAGATTGCAAAGTTGTCATTCATGAAGCGACTGTCCACGATAGATTCATTTCGCAGGACTATCTTGTAGCAGTAGCATTTCTTCAGCCCTTCTTGATCATGGTAGCATTCATGAGATCCATTCTTCACTTGCTGAAAGTTCCATATCACACTGAACTTTCCAACGGTTGCTACCACATGACGCTCCTGTTTCCCATCCTCTGTGACCTATATATCGAAATTTTCAACAAGAAAATATTAGATAAAAAGAGTCAGGAATCAACTATTAGTAGAAAGTCATTTCAATAGATAAAAAATTCACCAGTAGTAAAAGTTCCTTTATCAAAAATCAAGGTTGAAACACAAGGCAACTGAGGAACACCATAATTCAATTTACAGAAAATTCTTAAGACTTCAATATTATATGCACTATACTATTGAGCAAAACGTGAAAATTTTCAAGAATGTCACTTTTTGTCAGCACGAATATAAACTGCAACTAGAGTTTTGCTTACCCAAGAAAACTGAGCATTGCGGAACTTGTTGTCAGATCCAGCTAAATGTGCATCAAGAGGCCTCAACTTAAGCAACCTTGGTGCGGCAATCTTATTTCCCATGCGACCCTCGAAGCCAGTCTTTGTTTTGCCACTTTTGTCAGTGAAAAGGGTACAGATAACAATCAAGTATGTGTCAGTTGTACCAACAATCCATTTCCCATCGAATGTAGCATCCACATGAGTTACAGGTGCACCAAGTCCAGGGAAAGCCGTCTTTGCCTGCCTCATAGTATTGCTAGAGTAGAGTCTAATCTTGCCATCAAGAGAGCCAACAACAATTGAGCCATCACCAGTAGTTGCAAAGCACTGGAAGTTAGTCCCTCTAGAAAACTGATGCCCCTGTGCCCAATTCAAGACTGGAGTATTCGCAGTAGCAAGATCCTGAACCATCCCATATCGGTCACGCATATCCCACCTGCAAAGCCTATTGTTATCCAGACCGAGAAACGTTGACGCAGATGGGTCCAATTGAGCACCTTTACCATCGTTAGTAATGTCACTCATAGAGATATCCACTCCATCTTTCTCAAACTTCCACTCTGAAATAACCTTCCCCGTTTCAATGTCAAGCTGATGGATTCCTCGTGAATGAGGCGTTTGGCTCATAGGACTCATGAGCAGCATGTTAGTCTCAGCTCTCATGAGAAGAGCCTTCTTCGGTGCTGAGGAATGAGCCCGACCATAACCAGGTTCAAAGTTAACACAAACACCTTTCCCTTGAATCCCCTGCCTCATGTTCTTGAAAACCTGAATACCAGAATCTCCCACAAGAAAGCTATTATCTAAAGCACCTAGAGCTAAGCTATGTATGCCCTCACTTGTAGCTTCTTCAAAGGCCTCAGTCAAATCCTGTGTATCTCTCGCCGGAGTTGCAGATCTTCCTCCTGGGCTTTGAAGCAAAATATCATCAGCATCTTCCCACATGGAATCATCAGCAGCCTCAGGATTTGCCCAACCAATGAAATCTTTCCCATAGATTTTTGCCTTATTGGCCTCATTAAACTCAACACCATGATTGTTCTCAAACAAGCAATTGTTATAGCTGCTTACAAAAGACGAAAAATCTTCACTGCTGGCGAATTTCATAGCCCAAACAGCTTTAGCAACGAAATCAACACGGCGTTGATCTTTATAAGCCTTCAATTGCATTTCATCTGAAACCTTTTCACGGATCTTGCTTCCGACTTTCAAAACCCACCATTCGTTGTCCACATCTCCATTCTCATCGTCGTCTTCATCATCTTCATCTCCTTTGTTAGTCTTAACGAAACAATAAGCAGTCAGTTTCTCAGCTGTGACCCATTTGGCTTTAGGAGTGTTTCCATTGATGTAGCGAAAAAGCCGAGCTGAGTTCTGAATAGACGAGGCTTCCGTCGATTGGTATTTCAGCTTCAGAGCTTGGAGTTTTGCCTCAACGTCATCAAGTGATGATGAAGGAGATTTAGGCCGGAGACGACGAGCGGAGGAAGAAATGCCTAACGTATCGTCCCTCGAGTCCTGGAACGTCTCTTCCTCTTCCTCTCCGTCTCTTCCTTCTTCATATTCTTCATATTCATCCTCGTCTGAAGAACAGATCTCCAGATCTTCATGACTGTGAGATGCTCCCATATCGAAGAATCCAGGAAATGGAAAGAGCTAGAGAGAATCTGGAATAACGGCAATGAGATTATTCAAATGAAGGTGGGAAGTTGAAGAAGAAGAAGAGCGTTAGTTTGAATTTTGAAAATTAGGGTTTTTCAAAAGCATGTGTTGCTGTTCCCCTTTAGACAGATTGAAAGTTAACTGGCTATAGCCAGTAAAAGCGGATCTGTAAGTACTTTCAAAGACCGGCTACAGCCCGTTGAAATTTCGATGTTTGGTTCATTCAAATTCAAAATAGAAATGCTGGTCCGATTTTTAAGAAGTACGGTTTATGTTTTTTAAGATCAAGCAGAAATTTTAAACGAGAACAAAAAAACGAGAATTTGGCAAAAAAAAATTACAATGGAGATGCTGTTACCTCGTCATAAATACGTTGTTGTCGTTTTAGTCGCATTACAATACGTTATCGTTTTGTTGATATCGTAATAAAACGTTAGCTAATGCACACTTTATAATAATTAATAAGATATGTTTTTCAATTTTATAGAAAAGTTTGGTCCTTTAGTCGGAGAGAGTGATATGGGACAGAGGATCCGACCTCGCGACTGAAACCTAGATCCCAATTCTCCGTTTCGACCACTGTCTCTCCTCCGTCGTTAGGGTTTCTCAGGTGAGAGTCTCCGCTTCTCTTCTTTTCCGTCTTAATCTAATTTCGCCGTAAAGCGGTTTCTGCAATCTCTACGTTTCTTCTCTTTTAGCTGAGATATTGCTTGATTCCCACATTAATTGTTGCTGAGAAGATGAATTAATTTCTTGATCGAATTTACCAGTTCTCAATGTTTTGTGTTCGTTGAGAACAACAAATTCCTTGATTTTGATTCATTGATTGAAATTCCAAATTGATTTTTGATTTCTGGGTTTGTTATTAAAATGTAGACAGACACTTGGAGAGCTTAGTTTCCTTAACTATAATCTGGTCATAAACAATTTGAGATTTACCTTGCTTCTTAAAGAACTCAACTTTAGCTTGAGGTCTGAATTTGTAATAAACATGTACATAGTAGTTTAGTAACCATGTCTTGTGAATTATTATCTTTGTTGATGTCCCTGAATTAGCAATCACCCTTGTTTTGTAAATCTTGTAAAAAATTAAGCTTTTTGGTTTTAAGGTGGCTTACATGAGTTTTGTTGGTGTGAATTTATCTTTTACAGGTTCACATCTGTTGGAAACTTATTGCAACGTCCAACGGATTTCATATATTCGCTTATATGCGTACGAGGCTTGGAGGATTTTTATATAATCCGAAGGAACTCTTTTCTTATCATGGAGACTCTATGGACTCTTTTGTATCTGCTAGAACCTGCTCCAGCTACTCTCATTGTCACAGCTGTCACTGTGACATTTGCATCTGCTTTCCGTGCACTTAACTACGGGAAGGAGATGGAGAGAAATCGTGACTTCTCTGAAGCATCCATAACACTAGATAGCTCTCAGGCCTTGATGATCCCAGTTATGAGCTCTTGCAGTTTGCTTCTCATGTTCTATTTGTTCTCATCTGTTTCTCAGCTCCTGACCGCGTTTACAGCCATCGCCTCGGTTTCATCTCTCTTCTATTGGTTATCACCATATGCTGTATATATGAAGACGCAGCTTGGTCTGTCTGATCCCTTTCTTTCACGTTGCTGCTCCAAATCATTTACAAGAATCCAAGGATTGCTACTTGTGGCTTGTGCCATGACAGTTGTGGCATGGCTCATCTCTGGCCATTGGGTGTTGAACAATTTGCTTGGAATCTCCATTTGTATAGCGTTTGTCAGCCATGTTCGTCTGCCCAATATCAAAATATGTGCAGTGCTCCTTGTGTGTCTCTTTGTATATGACATATTCTGGGTTTTCTTCTCTGAGAGATTCTTTGGTGCTAACGTTATGGTGGCCGTGGCAACCCAGCAAGCCTCAAACCCAGTTCACACAGTAGCTAACAGTTTGAATCTACCTGGACTGCAATTGATCACAAAGAAACTCGAACTGCCTGTGAAAATTGTGTTTCCTCGGAACCTATTGGGCGGTGTGGTGCCCGGTGTGAGTGCTTCAGATTTCATGATGCTTGGTCTTGGTGACATGGTACACACTAAACCCTTCTCTGATTTTAGGATTGGTATGTCGTTGTATGTGTACCAGACTATAGTGACCAGGAGAGAAAAAAACATGTTGTTTTAATTAACTGTTTTGTTGTTCCAGGCTATCCCTGCAATGCTTTTGGCTTTGGTCCTCTGTTTTGACCATCGAAAAACTAGAGATGTGGTGAATATCTTTGATCTAAAATCTTCCAAGGGACACAAATACATATGGTATGCACTTCCCGGATATGCCATTGGCTTGGTGGCGGCTCTAGCTGCAGGTGTCTTGACTCATTCACCTCAGCCAGCTCTACTTTATCTGGTAATATATCTCCATCTTTTGAACTTCTTTGTTCCTCTTGGTCTAACATCAAAAGTACATATTCTACTACATGTATTTGTGCACAACCGATATCAACACTTGATTTAACCGAAATTTTGCTGATAGAACCTTTCTAGTCTCAATCCAATGTTTTTATGAGCTTGATCAGTGTGAAGTATTGTGAGATTATGATGTTTAATCTGTTTTCGATGCGGTATATACACAGGTACCATCTACATTAGGACCGGTGATCTTCATGTCATGGCGGAGAAAGGATCTTGCGGAGCTGTGGGAAGGACCTGCATTATCCAATCCCATTGAGAAATCTCATGAAATAGAGATCTGAGTTTATTATATCAATCAAGATTATTCAGAAGCCTAAAACAATACATAAAACAAAGACGTTTAGTAGGAGCGATATCAAATCAAGAGTTCTTGTATTCTTAAGTTAACAAAAAAAGAAAAGAAAATGGTCACCAAAGAGAGATGTTGTCTGATATCCCTCATTTTATTTTATTTTGCGTTACACATGGCTTACATACAACCAAAACATACAAAGGAAGAAAAACATAAACAATTAAGTTCTTTTTTTTTTGGACAAACAAACAATTAAGTTCTTTATATCTTTTCTTACTAGAAGAGAGACCAATACTAAAAACCGTAGGCATTAAGCTCTATATAAACTAGTGAGGAAATCTGTAAAATGATTCATATAAGAATTTTCAAAGTAGACCCTATATGTCAAAATGAAGTGTATAACACTTAAATCTTAATAGCCGAGTTTTAACAAACAAAAAAATAACATTTCCGAGATCAACTATGTTTTGTCTTCATCAGATAAGGAAGTGGAAGAATGTACCACTACAAATTCCGCGTAGGAAGCACTCAGTTATTAAAGCGAAATTGACATGCGATTACATTAAAAATACCAAACTCGCTCTTGTCCATTTTTATTGATATTGCTTGCTAATGGAAGCCAGCTACATGTCCGCTTTCTTGTTTGACTTTCTTTCTTTTCTCTTTGAGTTCTCTTCAATAATAGAAGATCCATTTTATGTTTTGCTTATTGTGAGTAGTCGTGAATCAAGTCGCCATTATCTTATTCTGCACTAATATTATATATTTCTAGATTTCAAGAATGTTGACAAGTTCTAGAACGCCGTCCACAGTTCCAAAAAATCTAGCTAGTTTTCTATATTCCACATAAAAGTTCATCTAATTTTCTGTTCAGAGAAATATATACTTTATCTGAAACAAAATGGAACATCAAACTCCACAACCAAAATTCTCTGTTCAAATCTTAAGGAAAACGGCAGAATTTATGGAATCTAGTGTTTAGTTGGGTTTGAGATTTCTCAATCTCCATATATGTGCTAAAAACACTTATGATTATATTGGTTAAGCTTTTCTTTTGTAGTAATTAGTTATAAACTCTCTATATATGAAATTCACATTCATATGAAAATGAGAGTATAAATTTTAAATTTTAATTGAAAACTTGGTCAGATATTATAGTAAGCGTGAGGTCTAATTATTAAATAATAATAACATTTTTGTGGACAAAGAGAATTCGGGTTTTGGCAAAGGAAAGAAATGGTCATATGTGTCAACACTACGTGCCACTTTAATTTTCATGCAATAACATGCAAATATTAGGTCAGCCACTAGGAATAGAATAAGTTGAATAGTTTTTTACGATGATAAGCGGGAACTGGGAAGGCACAATAGATGACCACTATCCCCAACTTCAACTCATTGTGGGACCAACCAATACATAATTATATGTATTCCATGTTCCAACCACTCCAATACGAATTACGAAGCAAGCGTGTCTGAGGGCGACTTCTTACTATATATATTAGCGATTAGCGATATACATATATAGTGAAGCTGCTTAATTAAGCTGATCATTATCATTGTTGACAAGATTTAAGATACAAAATAATAAGATGGTTAGGGCAAATTTAGTGAGCATGATTCTGTTGATGCATGCCATTGTTGGGTTTCCTTTTCATGCGAGGGGCTTAAGTATGACTTACTACATGATGAGCTGTCCTTTCGCTGAACAGATTGTGAAGAACAGTGTTAACAATGCTCTTCAAGCCGATCCCACTTTATCCGCTGGTCTTATCCGTATGTTGTTCCACGACTGTTTCATTGAGGTACGTATAACGTTTTCTTAATCGTGTCTTTTACGTAGAAAAGCCCTAAACTTAATTAGTGTTTTTTTTTTTTTGTGTGGTCACATTTAAGGGATGTGACGCGTCAATTCTGCTAGATTCAACAAAAGACAACACTGCGGAAAAGGATTCGCCTGCGAATCTGAGTCTACGTGGCTACAAGATCATCGATGATGCAAAACAGAAAATCGAGAATAGATGTCCAGGAGTTGTATCTTGCGCTGATATTGTTGCTATGGCTGCTAGAGATGCTGTCTTTTGGGTAATTAATTAAGCTGATCAAGATTTTGAATCTTATATATGTGATTATATTAAAGATGATTAATTTATGTACTTAATATAATCAGTAACTGGAATTAATTGTTAGGCTGGTGGTCCATATTATGACATACCAAAAGGAAGGTTTGATGGTAAAAGATCGAAGATAGAAGATACAAGAAATCTACCTTCGCCTTTTCTCAATGCCTCTCAACTTATTCAAACTTTTGGCCAACGTGGCTTCACTCCACAAGATGTTGTTGCTCTCTCTGGTGAGTTCTTTGCAACACTCTTGGATTCCATACGTGTATTATTGTGTGTACATATCTTTTATATCTACTAGGTCTTTCCTCTATAAATGAAAAAAAAATGGAACTTTAGCTCAATTAAATATAAAAAAAAATAATTGTTTTCTTGATTTCAAAGTTTTGTTTTTATATTTTTTTGTCAACAATTAATTTATTTCATCGGCCGCCATAATATTAATAGTGTTGGAGAATAAATTTGTTCATGTTTCTCTGTCGTAACTTCTTCTTTAGCCATAAAAGATATGATTGGTTTCTATAATACTATAAAATTAAGATATTGATTCACATCACTTGGAATGAATCCCGTATATGTTTATCAAGATTCAAGACAGTGAATGCTCCACGATATGATTTGGTTTTAACTTAATTTATGTGCGGAATATAGGAGCACATACCCTAGGAGTTGCGCGATGCTCCTCCTTCAAGGCTAGACTTACCGTCCCAGACTCTTCATTAGACTCGACTTTTGCAAACACTCTCTCTAAAACTTGCAGCGCGGGTGACAATGCAGAGCAACCCTTTGATGCTACGCGCAACGATTTCGACAATGCTTACTTCAATGCGCTTCAGATGAAATCAGGGGTCCTCTTTTCGGACCAAACCTTATTCAACACACCAAGGACCAGGAATCTTGTTAGTGGCTATGCCCTTAACCAAGCCAAGTTCTTCTTTGATTTCCAACAGGCCATGCGCAAGATGAGCAATCTTGACGTTAAACTTGGCTCTCAAGGTGAAATCCGTCAAAATTGTCGGAGTATTAATTAGCCTAGGCCATATCTATTTACGATTTTTGTATCTATGCTCCCACCTTTAATTAATAATTTCTCTACTCTTATCATAAATATGAAGAATCATGAATCTCCTAGGCTACCATGTAAAATTTGTGTACTATCGTAATATGCAGTTGTATACACTTATTGCTTGTGGTTAAAAAACGTAATATATATATTTGGTGATCTTGTATTTGATTTGATTGCATTTTTTTTTGTCCAAATGGTGGTTATGCGACTATATGATATATGATGTTCTATATTGCCATGAATCTAAGAACTTTTGCTTGCATTATTTATTTGGTAAAGGCCAAAGACCCTTTTTCATTTGAACAATCTCCGGATCTATAAATCACAAGATGAATGGGTCTTAAAATGTCTAAAATAATATAAACGAGTTTGTTATTGTCAACATAGTGTAACCAAGAAACGTAAGAAGAGAAACCTGACGCACGGTGAAAATGAACAATTGATGGGATACAAATGTGTGAATTAAGTCGCAACAATCCTCAAGTACCTAGAGACATGTTTGGGTTTCAGCTTTCAACAACATTCAAATTCTTTTTCATATAACACTTACAAACCCAATCAGATCCTCGTGTATTCACTTAAGAACCAATAATATGGAGCAGCAGAAACTAAAGCCCTCATTAAATACAGAAAAAAAAAACAAAATACAGAAAAAGCATTCGTGTTCGGATATTATCTTGGACCCGAGGGGTACTCGTTTTCGATCTGGGAAGTGGAATCACCAATGATCCAGCCAGATACGGCTGGATGATGGGTTGGGTAGTTGAAATCTTGTCTGAACATTTCCTCCTTTTGCCACTCTTCCCATCTCTCAGCTAAACCATCTCCTTCAAGCATTCTTACAACTTCAGACATTTTGGGTCTTTCCATTGGTGAACTCTGAGTGCAGAGCAGAGCCACTTGAATCAGCTGCTCCACTTCTTCGTCTATGTAATTCCCCTGAAGATCAACATCTACTAGTGCTTCCAATTTCTTCTCTTTTAACAACCCTTTCACCTGTCATATGGTACAACCCATAATTAACAACGTATAGAGGCAACACAGATCATGAACTATACAACTGGGAAACACATATGTATATATACCCAGTCTAGTAACATGACATCATCATCATTTGCAAGGCGAGCAAGATCGAAAGCCCTTTGTCCAGTGATAAGCTCAAGAAGCATGACTCCATACCCAAAGACATCGGTTTTCTCTGATGATTTTCCTGTAGAAAGGTACTCAGGGGCTATATGACCAATTGTACCACGCACTGCGGTTGTCACATGTGTATCTTTGTAGTCCATGAGTTTTGCAAGTCCAAAATCCCCAACCACGGCTTCAAACTCTTCATCCAATAAAATATTTGCAGCTTTCACATCTCGATGAATAATCTTTGGGTCGCAATGATCATGTAAATATGCAAGCCCTCTTGCAGATCCCAACGCAATACGCTGTCTCTTTGGCCAATCAAGTGGTGGCTGGGACTCAGGACGTTCTAGGGAGAAAATAAAATATAAGATTAATACAGATTCACACTTATGAAAATCAGTTTCCCTAGTCAGGTGGCTTAAGCAGAGCTACGTCTACTACCTTCCAGCCAATCCCTCTCCCTATGATGTATATTTGAAATAATCCAAAATACCGTATTACCATCAGAAATTCAGAATATAATTTTTGCCTAACAGTTATTAGTTTCTGAATGTTGCCCCGCCAACTAGAAGGCAGATGAATTTTGGTAAGCCCAACTAAGAAACATAGAGCACTCCAAGGATGGATAGATAAAAAGGAACCTATTGGAAGGAAATATTGCAGTGATAGGGAGGCAAAGAAAAAAGCACAAGATGAAAGATACCTCTTAAACAGGAGGCAACACTTCCATTAGCCATGTAGGGATAAACAAGCAATCTTTCGGTTGGAGTCATGCAAAATCCACGAAGCCGAAGCAAGTTTCTGTGAACCGCCATACTAATCATCTCAACCTCGGTCTGGAACTGCAGTTCGCCACCTTGGGTGCGCTCCTCTTTTAGCCTTTTAACCGCCACTAAAGTACCATCAGCTAACCGTCCTTTATAAACTTTACCAAAACCACCTCTACCCAATATGTTTCTGTTGCTAAAATTATCCGAAGCAACTTGTAGTTCACGCAATGAAAACCTCTTGAGTTGTCCTAAATGAACCTCTGGGTCCTCTTCAGCTGCAAAAAGATGGTAATAAAAAAAAAAAATTAGCAAGAGAAGTGTCAATGAGGAAACAGGTAAAGCAAGTTTAGCTAACCTGGTACATCAAAGAAGTGGTCCTGTGGTTTTTTCCTTCGCCACCAAGCAAGTGCAATGGCCGGAACAGCAAATAGAAGTGCAGCACCTGCAGCAACTCCTCCCGCAATCGCTCCAGTAATTCTATTACTCCCTGCAAGAAAGATATGAACAATCTCTTTCTTAATACATAATGGATCGGCTTAAAATGTTTACTTATTCAGTTAAATAACATTTCAAAGACAAAGACATATACGAAAGGAAAAACCTGCAGGTGATGGCGGTGTAGGAGAGATAGGAGGCGGCGGAGATGCAGGAAGGGGAGTCAACTTGGTGTTGGCAAAACTGCAGATAATTTCAATAATTAATCAATCATTCTGACCAGTCCACCAAGATTTAAATTAGGACCAGGAAGCAAAACCTGATAGGTGTGAAAAGTGAAAAGGAACCATTAACAGGAATATCTCCAGTGAGACCATTATTTGAGAGATCCCTGCATAATAAGATGATATCATTTTCTGACTTAATGCCAAGATTGGCCAAACAATAATCAGAAACATGAACACAGAGGAATTTGAGGGAGATAAAGTTACACTCACAGAACTTGCAGCGTCAGGACAGCAGTCAGAGACCTTGGAATTTCTCCAGATAAGCTATTGTTATTAAGACGCCTAACCACCAATAGAAAAAGACCATGTCACAAATAAGTGAAAACGCACTAACCAGTAATGAGTTTATAGTGACGAAAGTAGAGCAAAAATACACACTTTTAAAGACTTTATAAGACTAGGGGTTGTTCTAAAATCCCATCCAACAGATATGAAGCTGATTGAAAAATAACGTATATTTTCCTAATTAGCGACTTACTACTTTAGATGCGTTCACTCTCTAGATTTACAGAGCACTTACAAATTAATCAGCAACAATAGGGTTTAGTGCTTAAAGCCTAAGGCAGAACCGCAGAAGACTGTGAATTCAGAACATTGTGTTGCTCCAGTGAAATTAAGTGAACCCAAGGATAAAGTTCTGATTCCTTTTACGAAAGCTCATAATTAAAATAGAACATATAGTACAACATCCTAGTCTCCAAGAGAACACCTTTTCATTTAGTAAATAACGTTGCATCTATTTGGCCACACTACTTTCTGACTCCTACAAATGTAACACGTTGTACGAATAGCTTTTTAAGGAAGACAAACACGATAAAGGAAACTGAAGGCAATAATTAGGCTGCTCATTAAAAACGTATTAAAAGAAGAGAGTTGAATATGGGTGCATACAAGAAACGGAGTTTCTTAAGTCGGCCAAGAGTTGACGGGATAGGACCGCTTAAATTGTTCAAGTAAAGATCCAAGCTCACCAATTCCGTCAAATTTCCAAGCTGTTCTGGGATTGTCCCAGTAATGTTATTGCTATAAAGCTCCCTGCATTACATGTTCTTTAATATTAATTTCTACATAAGATCGGAAAGATATATAACTACTTCACCAATAATCTATGATAATGCAAAATTATGCAGTTATTTGGAACATTGCCACATTTTTTTACATCCCACATAGCTCCAGATGAATCAACGACAGGAGTACACAACTACACATGCATCAAAAGCTACAAGACGGCCTTTTAAAGAAAAGATGACTTACAAGTACTGCAAGTTTGGAAGCTGACCAAGTTGCATTACGAGCTGTCCAGATAGATTTGCATTCCCAAGGTCACTGAGCAAACATGAAGTTCAAGTAAATGCTTTACAGTAGATGCGAAAATACGAATCATATTGGCTAGATACAGAAAGAAACTTACACACGTGTAACACTATTATCGCTATTGCAAGTAACATGAAACCATGTACATGGAGTGACAAGAGTAGCATCCCAGCTTTGAAGCACCTTGTTAGGGTCAGCTAAACTGTTTTTCAGTGCACTCAGAGCATCACCTACAATTAACCAAAGAAAATATCAAATTCCTGTCAAACTCTGCAATCATCAAGGGTCACGAGGATACAACATCACTGGAATCAGTCGAAACAGATATAAAAACGTAACGCAATATAACTCTCAAGTCAACACAGCAAAACAAGCAACAGATAAGTTAAAAAAGCCTTCTTTAGGCGAGAACAAGTTATCACAAGGACAATGATAAGCCTAAACTGAACAAGGGGACTAGTGGCGTCAACTAAAAATAGGAAAGAATGAAAAATGAAAGAGAATGAGAGAGAAAGGGGAAACCTTCGGCGTTGCCCGAGACTCTGAGAACCAAATCCAAAACGAGAATCAACCAAAAGAAGCAAGGGATCATCAATCTTCGTTCCATTTTATCCTTAGAGATTAAAAACAAACCCTAGAACTCTCCCTCATCAGAGAAAATCCATCATTGATAAAAGGGATCTCGAATCTTCGATTAAGCTAACTACCACAACGAGGAAACCCCAAGATGATGAAATTAGAAGCAGAATAAGAGAAAAGCCCTCTCAACGCGTATTCATCCGTTGACTTAATTTGAAGAGAAAAGAAGAAAAGCCCTCAAATCGATACTAATCGAGGAAATCAAAAAGTAAAAGCTCAGCTAGATTTTCCGATTAGAAGAAACGCCGAGATCGCTGACCGTTGACTACTTTGCTTAGAAGAGAGAAACTGAGATAGAGAAAACGAAAGAGGAAGAAGATATTTCCTGGAAATATACTAAAAAAGAGTCGCAAACAGAGAGAGAGAAACCAAGTTATCGCAGAGGAAGGAAGACGTATTTAATTATTTCTTGCTTAAGAGAGGGATTTTACTGGGTTGAGTTGTTGTACAGTGAAATTAAAAATGACTTTAAGATTGCGAAAACGACAAAAAGGATGATGACGTGGAAGAGCATTTCAAAGCCTTTTTTAGAGCTGGTCAAAGTCAAAGACGCACGACTTCATTCGGAATCATGTTCGTTATGTTCGCCGTATCATCCATCCATTATATGACATAGATTAAACCAGTTATGATGGTGATGATAATCGATAGTGAGTGATATACCATCATCATAATCCTCATCATCGGCCCAGCTCTGTTTTTTTCAGGCTTTTATTATTTACTGGGCTTGGGCTTGCTACTATAGCAAGTTCGTTTATTCCAAGGATGAAACAAAAGCTTTAAACGATAACAAGATTATTATATATAACAAAAAAAATCCAATCTATTGAAAATATAAGCTGAATAATGAATAATCCATCTGGTCCAATGATTTAAATATCATATAAACTGTAATTAAATATCTTAAATAAAAGAACAAAAATAATTTTGAGGAAAAAAAAATCAAGTAAAAAATCACATACGGACATATTTGTTGCCAGCAATAAAATACGGACGTATACATTAGTTTGTCATTAAAGAGAAAAACAAAAAAGACAGAACAACCATTGAGTACAGTAGGCTATTTTTAAAGGCCCATTAGATTAAGACTTGGAGAAGTCTGACGAGATTGTAACGCCTACCCGTGATTGAATCCATATCATCTTCTTCTTTTTTCTATATAAACAAAAATATATATTTGTGAAGGAAGACTTTCACTTTCTCCTTCCAACTTTGGCTTTTGTCCCTCTTGACAATTCACATGCACCATCCATATATTAGTGCCCTTTTCACGACATATCTGTGTCTGTATCCAATCTATATTTTTATTACATCTTTTTCTATTTATATACAGAAAAGAATCAAAAGAGAGTAAGGTATCTATCGACTGACTATCTTCCTCCACCTTTGTTTGTTGTCACCACCACCACGCTAATCATTGCCGCACACATGCAAATTCTCTCCAACCATCTAAAAGTCCCACTTTAGTATTCTTCTGTTTGTAATTTGTCTGCTTCTTCATGGGCTTTTGAGTTTTCTCTCTGTTCCAAATAACAATGGAATCGGAGAAGAATCCCACCACCGTTTTGAGCGCCATTACAAGACCTTCGTGGGCGTTTCTTCTCCTTGTTTTCACTGCCTTAGCGATTCTCTCTCTCCAAATCTCTTCCAATTCTTTTATCCCTATCTGGATCCCGACTTCTCTATATCACGACCCGGTTACCTGCTCCGGGTTTTTCAACCATGACCCGTTCCCGAACCGGAAAGTTATGTCGATTACCGATTTCGGCGGCGTAGGAGACGGTAAAACGTCGAACACGGCGGCTTTCCGCCGCGCCGTACGGCACCTTGAAGGTTTTGCGGCCGAGGGTGGGGCCCAGCTTAATGTCCCGATGGGCACGTGGCTCTCTGGAAGCTTCAACCTCACCAGCAATTTCACGCTCTTTCTCCAACGCGGCGCTGTCATTTTGGGATCCAAGGTCATATCCAATTTTATATATCAGCATTAGGAGAATTCAATTGGTTAATGTTTGTTGATTGCTCTGTGAGAATCCAAAAGTTGGGTTTGTGATTGCTTTTTGATTTGTGGGTTCATAAAGTTTTGTTGGTAAACACTATACTGATTTCGCTAATCACGGTCAGTGGTTAAAAATGGACCCACCATTGTTTGATACAGCGCAAAAGCTGTTAAGTTTTGAGTGGGGATAGTCTTTAGTGGAAATCTGGATTTGCATTTCAAGAATCAGTGTTTTGCATGAATTATGTATTAACACTTGTTAATTTCGGATTGACTTGTTCAATGAATGTGATTTTGATGTCAATAGTAGCTGTAACAAAAAAAAAATCAAGTGAAAGAAACCATTTTTATATGATCAGATTCCAAGAGGAGGAGTTAGATGTATAGACAACTTTTGTCTGAAGCATGTTCATGTACTACGACTTAGATCTATCAGATTACTTGTGTTGTCTCCTAATTTAATATTAAAATTATTACTGAGTTTTTGCTGTCAAGTTTTATTCTGATTAAAAGTTTGTCTGCTAGTGTAATTTTAGCACATTTTCATGTGTCATGTAAACTCAGAAGTCATCAGTACTAATATAGATACTTTGGAACTTTTTTTTTTCTTTTTCTTTTGATTCTTAATTTTACGTTGTAATTACAATATTGATATTTTTTTTGTCTGCGATTATGGTTTGATAGGACCTAGACGAATGGCCAATAGTAGAGCCATTGCCTTCTTATGGAAGAGGCAGAGAGAGACCTGGTGGTAGACACATTAGCCTCATTCATGGAGACAACCTCACTAATGTTGTCATTACAGGTACTTTGCTCTTTCATTCATCGACAATATGCTTTTCTTCATCCGTTAGCTGGAGCTTGTATAAATTGTTGGGGTTTATTGAACAATTTTGGCATGCTTTCTCTGTTTTTGTTAAGAATATTACTGCAGTCTTTCTGATTCCTTGACATCAACTAAAATTCTAGAATCCAATCCAGTTTCCGAGTATTTGGTGTTTGCTTCTAAACTATTGGTAGTCTGATAAGCATCAGAGGATAGATATCAGCAGGAAATCAAGTGGAAACAGAGACAGTTTAAGAGTAAAGATAATTTCAGACATTTTGGATCCCATTGTTTTGGGGGGTTTTATGGTTTATGAGAGTTTGGAGTCCTCTAGAATTTAACTCCTTGGCTTTTGGTCTACTTTCTCCTTGGTTTAGTGTCTGTACTTTGATTCTCTGCAAGTAACAAAGCAAAATCAGTTTCTACTTCTAAAGTAATCACATCTAGATAAAAAAACAAATTGGCAGGAGAAAATGGCACAATCGATGGACAGGGGAAAATGTGGTGGGAGCTATGGTGGAACAGAACATTGGTGCATACGAGAGGCCATCTTATTGAACTCAAGAACTCTCATAATATTCTCATCTCTAACCTCACTTTGCTCAATTCTCCTTTCTGGACAATCCATCCTGTTTATTGCAGGTTCTTAATTACTTCCAACTATTTTTCTTGCGTTGATGCTGTGTTACAAGTATGCATGGTTCGATGACCTCTGGAACTTTTGTTTTGCAGTAATGTTGTTATTAGAAATATGACCATCCTTGCTCCGATGAATGCTCCTAACACCGATGGTATAGATCCAGGTAAATTCTCTGTTCTGTATTACCCCTATCTCTTGTCTACTTTGTAACCACCCTTGTTTAGGCCTTAGTTGTATCAAATGCCAATCTCTGCGTTTTCTTTTTAGGCAGAAATCAGTGTTTGAAACGATCAAAGCCTAAATTTAAAAGAAAACGCAAACCAAAACAAACAATAGATGCTTTAGAGTTACATAACTTATCGAATTTCTCTGAATATATATTGCAGACTCAAGCACCAATGTCTGCATTGAGGATTGTTACATCGAAAGTGGTGATGATCTTGTAGCTGTAAAAAGCGGGTGGGACCAGTATGGAATGGCCGTGGCCCGTCCGAGCTCAAACATCGTAATCCGAAGGATCTCTGGTACTACTCGCACTTGTTCAGGAGTTGGAATAGGCAGTGAGATGTCTGGTGGGATTTTCAACATAACAGTCGAAGATATTCACGTCTGGGATTCTGCGGCTGGGCTCCGTATAAAAACTGATAAAGGAAGAGGCGGGTACATTTCAAATATCACCTTTAATAATGTGTTGTTGGAGAAAGTGAAAGTTCCGATCAGATTCAGCAGTGGCTCAAATGATCACTCAGACGATAAATGGGATCCCAAAGCTCTTCCGAGAGTAAAAGGGATTTACATTAGCAATGTTGTGAGTCTGAATTCGAGAAAGGCACCTATGTTGCTCGGTGTTGAAGGTACGTCGTTTCAAGATGTATGCTTAAGGAATGTTACGCTTCTCGGGTTACCGAAGACCGAGAAATGGAAATGCAAGGATGTTTCTGGTTACGCGAGTGACGTTTTTCCTCTGTCATGTCCACAGTTATTGCAGAAGAAAGGTTCAATATCTCAGTGTTCATATAGATGAGGTTTGAGCAAGTTTTTTTGGGTGAAGATAGAAGGAGGCCATGAGTTCGATCAAGTTTTTTTTGAGTGAAGATTCATGGTCTCTTTGAAAAATGTTAATCTTGGTTTTGCTTTTCACAATTTTTTTGTTCTTGTGTTGTGAATCTTGATTCTTTTTATACATACATTGTGTAACGAAATATACTTTGAAAGTTTGAATTATTCCATAAAAGATTTTTGCTTATACATTTTTACCGTCATTGTCTTCTACACCGTTTGTATTTCACCCACTACAAAAAAATATTGTATTTAGGTGCATGAAAGCGTCGTCTTTGGTCAATAGATTATTTTTTCGACATAACGACGTAACGAGTTATCTTAGAATGAAAATTTTAAGTTATCTGCCGTCGTTTTTTGTATAGCTAATTGGATTTGTTGACTTGAGAACAGTAAAACCTCTTTGCTTTTTAATTTTTATGAAAATTTTGGTACTCATAATTGATAATTTGTAAGATGTTCAGATACACACCTCCTAGTTGAACTATTGTGTTAACTATATATTGTTGGACAATGGAAATAGAAGACCGCAGCCAAACAAATAAGATATATACGTTGGTTTTAAGCAAGTCCGTAAAACAAGGACGGAGAAAATGATTTATCACTTTGCCCAACACCATGCAAGTACTTATGTAGCTAGTGACGGTCTAATGTAACTAACGCACTAAAAATATCATATGAAATGTGCTTTCTGATACAAGCTCCCACATACATATCTATATGTACACATCTTTTCTTTTTCTTTCGATTTTGTCAACATGTGTATATATACACTTAGGTTAGCATATCTTTGTGAATTACGCTTTACATACGTACGTTTTTGTTACATGATCCTGTACAAACCAATAAACCATGCAATGTGATAATATAGACAAACTATCACATATGTTTGTGTATTCACCAATATTAAGCGCATGTGATACACACATATATATACACACACCTACATGTATGATATATATTTGAATGATATAGAAAATGAGAGTTGTAATTGATAGAAGATCCATATGAGAGTTTAAGGAAGCAAAAGGCTGAAAATGATGCCTAACCCTAATGATAGAAACCCTTAAAAGCATGGAGTTGTGATGTTATAACCTAAGAAGCTAATCCAACACCAAGAAAATCAATGAAAGTAACATCGTTCTTCTCACCATCATCTCCCATGGATGGTCCATCTTCATTTGAAGTCTTCTTATGATCTGGTGTGGCTGCATGAAATGTGTAATTGTGAGGATCCACCAACCCTTTCGACTTTCTCCTCTCAAGATAAATTTCGTGGTGTACATTAGAGACAGATGAAGATCCAAATTGATCATTTCGAGGTTCTGAAACAAAAGAGTAAGGCCAGAGACCGTGACTCCTATCCTTCCGATACCTCCATAGCCCAAACTGGGATCTATTAAGCCTTGTAAGACTAGAACTAGGGCTCAAAACATTATGCCAAGTTTGGTTGAACGTAGAAGTAGCCGTGGAAGAGAAGTTTTCGCGTTTGCGTCTAGCCATGATGACATGAAAATGGTTCTTGACAGCGTTGTCGGTCCTCCCGGGGAACAGTCGGGCTATGGAGGCCCAACGATTCCCCTGGATCCGATGAGCTTTAAGCAGTCTCTCTTCTTCTTCCTCGGTGAAGGGTTTCTTGGTGATGTTTGGATCAAGTTGGTTGTACCATCTCAATCTACAGCTTTTCCCTATGATTCCATATATGTCACTCAATTATTTATAAAACACATATATGTAGATCTAATACAATACATACATATAAAGGAAATATCAGTATATATGAATATTGTTGATTACCTGATCTTCCATAGAGATGTTGAGCAATGAAATTCCAGTTCTTGGGACCATATTGTTCAACGAGTTGCCGGAGATTGTCGTCTTCAACAGGTCTCCAGTGACCTCTCTGGCAACTAGGCTTCTTATTGTCAAAACTGTTGCTTCCTCTAGACATTTCCATGGATATGATGCTATCTCTATCTTCACCTATATCAAACCAATTAGCAATTGTTGAAGAAAGAGGTATAAGATAGATTAGTCTAAGGTGAAATGATAACAAGGATGAAAATTAATACAAAGAAGAAGAAAAAAAAAGGAATAAAAAAGAGAGGGTTGGTCTTGGTTCTCTTCTCTTCTCTAGGGTTATAGATGATAAGTCACTTTTCTTCTTTTTACAAGACACCCTCTCCTTTTATATAATATAATTATTATACCCATCTCAACAAAAACTCTTCTTTTAAAATTAAAACAAAATTTCTTTGTATTAGACTATTAGTTCTTGTTTCATAGAGATATGTACACTACATATACTAGTACCAACATGAGCCTCTACGTACTTATGTAGTTTTCTCTATATATATAATATATACAGGTTTGTAAATAAATATCGTTTTGAATCGCTCTAGTCCTAACCCAAATTAAGAGATATAGCAGTAATTAAAAGAAGGAAGCGATTTGATTTTCTTAATAGATAATAGTTTGGTGAATGAAGCAGACTTTATATTTATAGCCCCGGTGTATATATATGCATTACGAGGTAATTAGACTAATTGTTTTCAAAAAGAAGCTAATGATCTTGACGCTTCTGAACTTCAAACATCCATACTAGCTAGATTTGTTCGCAACCAACTTGCATTGACGATCATTCTTATTATTTTTGTTTATTTTCCGACAATTATTCTTCTTATTTTTTAAAACATGTTTATTTTGTTGTATTCACTTTACTGTTGTTCGTACTGTCAAAGATGCAAGTAGTTGTAAACCGATTAAAAAACAAACGACAAGTCTTCTAAATATAGCAGTCATCGTCATTGGTTGCTGTAAATAAACATGGTAATGTGATAGATAGACCTTTACAAGTTAAGCATAATTTAATATTTCTGTTACACACAAATTCGGTTAATTTAACATGTTAGGTGGTATTGTTTGATTGCTACTAGATTTGAGTATAAATCTAATGAGTTAATTATGAATCATAAGAATTTTCATAATATGATCTCAGACCTAGATAGAATAGGAGACAAATATTTGGAATTTTGTGATTACAAGAAAAAAAATATATATATATATATATATATATATATATCTGTTACAATATGGTTTTCGCTTTTCAGTTTTCACAATGTATCTCCAATAATTTAAGCCTTGTGATAAGAAAGGCCTCAAGCCTTGTGCTATTCACATAATTTAAGAATTTGAAATGCTCCCATGATTTTTTTAATTTATAATACATACATTTTGCTACATTATATAATACGACGATAATAATACATTTTACTAGCGATGCCAGTGGTGAAATTCTAGCATGATCAAAGGCAAGTTTTGTTCTGGTATTTCACTTTGACGAAGTAAATGGTATTAGTCAAAATAGGGGGCACACATACTTTAGACTTTTATGTACATTCATACACAAAACTTCTCTTGTACTTTTTTCATGCTTTCTATGATTTAATTATACTAATCAATATTTGGAGACGTACTTAAAATTTGGAGTTTTCTCCAAACAATCTTCCCTTTGGAAAAACAGAGGATTTCTCGTATTTAACTCTAGTTCGAACCCTAACTACAGTACCCTCTGCAGAACTATATGATCACAACTTTTTACAAAATCTTGGCAAATGTCTACTTTTCATTGCCTCTATATATATGCTTTAAAATTTTCAATTAAGAAAGAAAAATTCCGTAACAGAAGAAGTTAAGAACCAATTTGATCAATGTAAGACGACTGTTTGGCTTTAATGAAATCTGAGATGGTGGCTGCATCACCATGCCTGACCACTCTACCGTTCTCCATATACACAGCTCCATCCGCATACTTGAGCTCCTCTAACCGATGTGTCACCCATAATGCCGTCACATCTCCTTTCTTTGCATTTATCAGATCCTTCACAGCTTTGATCACACCCATCTGCAGAGCAAGAAAAACCCGAGAAAACAATATGCATTGATTAAGAGAAGCTTATATACACCATAACATATCTGTCAAATTCATTTCATTTCTTATAGATACTATATCAAATGTGCAAGTTACTCACTTCCAATGTCTACTATATACAACAAGAACAAAGTAGCTCAACACAATCATATTCTAGTTACAGAAGGGTTCTCTTGCAATAATAATTGTGTTTCATTAGCATTTTGTTAGACTTAATCAAACCTTACCTGGTCAGACTCATCTAGGAAAGTTGTGAGCTCATCCAACAATAGCACTTTGCAAGCTTCAGCTAAAGCACCAGCAATGGCAATTCTTTGTTTCTGACCACCACTGAGAGTTTGAATCGGTCTCTGGAAACAATACCAGAATCTACATTTTGGTAAAAGGAACTAGAAGACATAAACACCTTATGGTTGTTCAATGTACATAAACTGACCTGCATATAATCACGCATACCAACTGCCTCCAAAGCTTTAATCACCCTAGACTTAACTTCTTCCTGATTCATGTCATGATACTTGCCAAGACCAAATGCCACATCAGCTTCTACTGTAGGCATCACTACCTGCGATGAACAAACAAGAACGTTCAAATGTGTCCAGAATGAGCGGTTTTACTTGAAAATCCAATCGTTACTAACTGATCTTCCTCAGAAGTGACAACAAATTGATTCTTCTCGACGTCATTAACATAACTAGAAACATTGCTTTCTTTTCCAACAAAATGAAAGATTTGGATTAAGGCTGTCTGAGATATGGAAAAAAAGACGCTCAACCACAAGGCAACTCAACCATAAAACAAGAATACAATTTAGAAAGAACACTTCAGAATAAAAAAAAAAACAAAAGATGGGAAAAAGTAAGATCCTTTAACATTGCAAAAGCAAGAAACTTAACCTGGTGATCAGGATTCTGAAATACAAAATTCTTGGGCTTCTCCACAAAGACAGAGCCGCTAGATGGATTCACTACACCGGCTAAAATCTGCAGAGTTCCAAGCAGTTAATGAAAGATAAAACAGTTAAATGAAATTTCTTTTTAATCAGTCTTAGTTACACATAGAAACAACATCCAAAGATTTGACTTCTCCCAGAGTTTCGTGCTATAAATGCCAAGATTAGCTATTGCTCTAAACAGTGTGATGATCTAAGAATGTACCCAAAGTAGCAAATAGCAAACCTAGTCTACAACAGATTAAAGGATGACTTAAGAATAATAATAGTTCATTAACAAAAGCTTAAGTCTTTGCTCTGCAAATGCAATGTTTAAGGAAAAGAACAAATGAAGGGAGAGAGAGGATAAAGACCTTCAAAAGGGTAGATTTACCACAGCCATTGGGACCAAGAATCATCCACAATTGTCCAGAAGGAATTCGAAAGGAGCAGTCACGGAGGATAGGAACAGATATACCTTGCCTTGTACTAACGGAGAAACAGAGATTCCGACACTCAACGGCGACATTATCGGAGAATTTGATTCTGTAACTGCCGGATGGAGAAACACTCGATGATATCGAGCGAAGAGGGAAGAGACGAGGAGGAGAGGCTGCAAATAAACACTGGCCATTCATTTTCTAAGGATTTGTCAAGAATTCGCTTCTAACAATAAGAATAGAAGTTGCAGCTTCCTTCTTCTTCTTCTTCTTCTTCTTCCTCCCAAAACCATCAAAAAAGTTTCGTCGAATCGATTACACACAGATTACGAGCAACAGAGAAACCGTAATCTCTCGCTGGTTCAATCCAAGCCAACCCGGTTTTCGATTCGATATCACTCGGTTCGGTTTGATACGGTCTAATAATTCTTTTTTTTCCCTTAAGAAAGTACTATATATGGATAAATAACTTTACCACTTTAAAATTGTGATTTGAATAGACTCCAAAAAAAAGTTAAAACCATAGAAATTATTTTTATATACGAAAAAGTGAAAAAAATAGCAGAATTCTGCCGATTCTGCCGATCTTGTTGACTTGGCTCCATCCTTATGTTTTTTCTTCTCAAATTTATCGGAACAATTACTTTGTTGTGTGGTTAGTATATACTACGAGACTACGAGTGAATTGTTGACAAGTGACAGCAAAAGAATATATTTATCACCAGAGTTGGACAAAAATTAGTTAAATTCCTCTATCTATCAATTTTTGAAACATGAGGTGTACCACTTTGTTTATGGTTTTTTCTGTTTTCATCTGTTTGATTCTAAGCCATGTTCAAGGTAGTATATAATTTCCTTTTTTATTGATTGTTTGCTATCAACAAAAGTATTGTTGCACAAAAAAAAAAAAACAGCTCTAGAACATGACGTAATTTAGAACTATAGTATTACTAATTTCTTATATCTATAACCTAACAATTTGTTTTGGTTGATGACAAATTAGAGGTAGAAGCTGGAGCACCTCCTCAAGATTGTTGGAATCTTGTCACATTCCCTGGAAAATGTGGTTTTCACGGAAAGAAGAAATGCTTCAAAGAAATGGAATCAAAGTATCAACAACGTTTTCTTCAGTGCACATGTAAGAACTTAAAAGAGGAACCCAAATCACCTAAGGAAGAACATGACTGCATTTGTCAAAGAGCTAATCCTTATGATTGTAATTCCTAATCTTAATTTTTTTTGGAAAATTAATTCAGACAACTATACTACAGTACCATTTATTTATTTGTTAATTAATTAATGAATAATAAGGAAACACCTATACATGAGTTTTTGTTGTTGACGCCATAGCTTGAAAATGGTGTTTAGCTAATGTTTTATACGGATAATAGTAATTGGCCCAAAACTTCAGTTGTATAACCCATTTCACTGACGTAAGAATAAAATATGTTGCTTGTTAATCTTGTTTCAAGACTGTTTAAATCTATTATCTATATAGAATTTTTGTTCAAAAGGGCCTCTGTGCCAACTTTGTTGAATCGGATCTATTTTTGGCTCCAGTTTGAAACAACATGTATATTCAGACTTCGATACCGTATTGTTGGTTTGTAAGTTGTAACATTACATAAGCCAATGAGATCATTACAACAAAAGTGCACGTGCGCCGTGCGCATCACAAAATTGACTTGGATCAAATATAGTAACGCTTTGAGATATACTCCTTAAGATAATATAAACTGTTGTACAATCTTTTCGATTGTACTAATACTGATTTTTTCCTTCTACAAAAAAACGAAGGTTGTAAAATATACTGCTTATCCAACATCTATATATCCTTGTAAGTATTCAGATATTTACAAGAAAGATTAAAAGAGTAGAGGAAAACTGAAAATCAAATAAACACAAAAAAAGAGTTCACAAATTAGAAAGGAGCTGTAGCAATGTCCCAACCATGAGGACTCATAAACGTCATTCTTTCGTCTTCATCATCATCATCATCATCCTCATCCTTGAGATTTATGCATCGTCCTCCTCTTTCCTCACGAGCTCTTAAACCCTCATGCGTCTCCTGCTTTTTTGTTTTCATCACATCATTCATTAATTTGCAAAGAAAAAAAGAGAAATTCAAGAAACTCCCAAGAATTATAAAGAAAATAATTAATATACCTTTGTGAAAATATCCATAGCTTCCTCCATTGTCTTCGTTTTCATCACATAAATTGCTTCTTCTCGAGCATTTTCTAATTGATCGAGATGCAATGTCATGGGCTCCGTCTCTATCGAAGACCTCCTCTCTAACATCATGTCCATTCTCTTGCTTACTTCCATATCTTTCGAGATTTTTTTTTGGTGTAAATCTTTCGAGATTTTATAGCGTGAAAACAAAACAAAAAGTGTTGATGAATATCTCTTAAAGTCTTTTTGATTGATTATATATAAGAAGAAAAGAGTGGATATATTATTCAATGTAATGAATCTATTTGAAATAACATCTCATGCTTTTTATAAGTAAGTACGATGTGGGGACGTAAGTAAGAGACAAGAAGATGTATGACGCAACGTGGCGTGGTGGGGCGGATCACGGCGGTGGATTGGGGACACGTGGCGTGTGAAGGATGGTGGTGACTATGCACGTGGCGGATTGGTTTGTAAGATGGCTATCAAAATTCGAATTTGCATGAAGACTGTTGATAGATAACGTAACGAGAAAGTTCTACTACTACTTCTTTCCACGATCTGTATTCTTTTATTATTATTTAAATGGAGTTGGTCGGCGTGACGAGATATTTTCGTTTCTTTTTTTTTATAATGATATAAGTGAATAAGTACGTGGAAAGTTTTTGTTTTATGTTATTAATTAACAGTGACATTTAGGTGTGACGGTCATCCGTTTTGGACTCATTTGATAGGTTCATTAGAAGAAATACCTACACCACCCCGATTTTAATTTATAAACAAAAACCGTAATCATAATTTCTGTTACGTAAATGAATTCTAATCAACAATGTTTACAATGATATTTTTGTAAAAGAAAACATAAGTTGGCAGTCGTGTAGAACCTGGACCTTTCGAGCAAATCCTCATAAGCAATGAATACTTTTGGCTCTCCCAATTGCATCTCGCACCTTTCGCATTGGTTCATCATACAAGTAAGCTTGGTTATCAAACTCTGATGCCAAGCTTTCTTCCCCAAGCAATGCTCGAAACGAGTCTGCCACAGATGATGAAAGCGATTCAAGATTGTATCCTCCTTCCAAGAAAAACACACACCTCCCGCCGCATACTTCTTTTGCTAACCGCTTTATATCTTTCGCCAACGAGTAGTATGTTCCGGTCGTGAATTGTAGATTTGCTAGTGGATCCAGGACATGAGCATCATACCTTAAGCAGATAAAAGCAATGAAGCACAAGTGTTAGTAAGAGTATGATGATAGATACAGTTCAAAAATAAATGAAAAACGTTTTACACTCACTCACCCAGCAGAAACTAGAATAAGGTCTGGCTTAAACCGTTGAGCACATGGTACAATGATTTCTTCAAAAACAGTTCTCATTGCAATATCACCTGAACCTCCAGGTAAAGGTAAATTTAGAGTGGTACCTTCACCTTTTCCTTTACCTATGTCACTGATTTTCCCTGTCCCAGGGTAGCTTCCATCCTGCATTTTTCATTATATAAATGACTTGTGTTGATTTCTGAAATTTAATCCTAACTCTGTGTTATTCAATCATTGATCTTGAGGTTTTAGTTGAACATTCATGTGTTTTTTAATCAATGATTGTGAAATACAAGCTATGGCTAATTGTCAATGAACTAACTAGAAACATGTCATACAAAAATGTTAGAGGCTTACCTGATGAGTTGACAAAAAGAATATATCAGGGTCCTCAGAAAATGCATCATTTGTGCCATTCCCGTGGTGAACATCGAAGTCAATTATGAAGATGCGCTTCAGACCATGTGTGCGTTGGGCATGACGAGCGGCGATTGCCACATTACCAAAAACGCAGAACCCCATTGGACCTTTTGGCACGGCGTGGTGTCCTGGAGGTCTTATCAATGCAAAACCAGTGGGTGGATCTGGGCTATTTCTGGATGCTGCTATCTGAAACAAATAATCATATAAGAAATCTATAACCATTCCCAACATAATGAAACTGAAGCAGTAAAAGCAGACTAACATGTTGAGATGAGACATCACCACTGAATCAACTAAAGCCATTCCGGCTCCTGCTGCGATAAGTGAATCTTGGAATGTCTGGCACAGAGGGAAGATATTTAGGTAGGAAAAATGGGTTCCTTTGGAGATGTTAACCAATGAGCACAAAGCAGTTACCGTTGAAGTGGCATATGTTGGTCCAGAGCCTTCGATGAAAATTAGTCCCGAATCCGAAGCCTCATCCATTGCCTACACTAAGAATGCCTTTGTAATGGTCAGAATAAAACTCATACATTCTCATTTTGCAATTTCTTGCTTTGCTATTATGTGTCAGTGTATTGGTTACTTATGGTATCAAAAGTTGTGAGTAAATGCTAATAATATAACATGAGGAAAGTTAATAACCTTCTCTAGGCCAAAGACATAAGCCTTGTCGTGAACATTTGCAATGTCTTCTATAGTTGCCGTCTTGAAATTTGCAAGTTCAAGAATCTGTGAGCCACGGAACTGAAATACACGAGGAAAAAAGATTCATATAGGAGAATTCATTGATAGACCCTACGTCATTTTCAGTAAAGAGTGACAGAGATCTTCACCATCAAAGAAGCAAACCAACAAAAAGAAGAATGAAAAATTGAGGCTTTGACACTGAACGGTGTATACAACAAAAGCAGACATATGACGTATATCGAACATTTTTCGTGAAAACTCCACTTGTTTGCAGATTGAAATGTGCATATCTAACTAACTCTAGAAAAGTACAAGATCAATCCTACAAAATTTCAAGCTAAGGTAGCTTTCCACAAGAATTGTAATTCAGAGAGATATGTTGGTCTCCATCCTCGTGAGATTTGCCTTAATATAGTAATTCACGGTTAACCAAACTTCCCTAGCTATATGTGCATAATATATATGAATGTCACATAGAAACGATAGAGATGGATTGTTTCGTGCCTTAGGAGTGAGCTCATTCTTCTCAAGAGCATTAACAATGGCAGGAACTCTTGCGCTGCATTCTGGATGTGATTCCTGCGAGCAAAAAGATTTTCTTGAAAAAAATGTGCAAAATGGAATTGAGAGGGACACAAACAACAACCAAATAGAGGAAGTAAAAACCTTGTTATGACCCAATGCAGCAGATACACTATATATGAGACGAGCATCGATTAACTGCTGGATAGACGGTAAGAGAGGATCCTTCTCTGTACTATATGAGCAATTAATGGAAGCTCCATTGGGATTCAAAAGAGACTTCCTCCATTGATTTTTCTTGCATATGTTTCTAGTCCCAGAAATCCCAGTACTTCCTAAAGCAATTAAAACCTCATATATCATTTCATGAAAAAATTTCAATATAAAGAAAAACAGTGAGAACATGATATGGAAACTAATCACTCCTTTACGTGAAACCATGTATACATAAAATTGGGCGTGAAACATCCCAAAGAATCAAATTTCGCTTTTCTTTACACAAATTGTTTAAGATCGGAAATAAAATTCAGATAAACCCTTTCTGCTGAGAATTATCTAATGGATTACAAAGAAGACAAATTTTGCCTAAAAAAAAGGTATTGAAGAGAAGAAAGAAGAGATTTACCTGGAACAAAGAGTGGTCGGACAACTAGCGCCATGGACAGGAGTTTCCCTCAAGCTCATAGGTTACTGAAGAATGAAGACAGCCATCAAAAAGTTTAAAAGAAAAACCAAAACTTTGTTTGATTTTCTTTGTTAAATGGATAGGTTTTCTACGGTCCTACTTCCACAAGAGCATACATAACACATTATTGAATGTATATTAGTGGAAATTGAAATGGATCCTTCGGTTTACAAGTACTAAGGTGCATGGTCATTTGGAGGGACTTCTATTTCCGTAATTGTTTACAAGAGATTTGGAAAGGCAAAATGAGTTTTTATAAAAACAAAATGATAAGAGAAATTTTAAATTACAAGGCATTGCAATTATGGAATACAAAAAGAAAGCTAAGTAGTCCCTATGAAGACATTAAATTCTTTCCCCAAGCAGTGATTCCAGTAGAGCCGCCTCTTCCTCCTGCACAAACATTACTTACCACGTTCAACATCATTTTATCATCAAATACCTCTTAAATTAAAAGTTTGTTGAATTCTCTTCGTACCACCAAGGCATTGAATTCGGTTTCCTCATCTATGGCGCTGATCACAGCTGGATCGTCTAAGAGCTCCTGCAACCCATTCGCATTAGAGTGGTGAGCTTACTTCATATTGACCATCACACACAAATCTTATTTAGAATTGTAAGCACTTCTCTCTTCTAAAAAACAGTGAACCAAAAGTAACCACCAAGAATCACCAAGTTGTGTTTCCTTTAACTCTATATTGTCTACTAAACATCATTATTGTGACTAGTATCTCCGCCAAGACCTATCGCATATCTAGTTGAATCAATTCCACAAGTCTCTTCTTCGCTGAATTCACAGACTGGCAAAGTCTGGTGGTGCAACTTTTGCTTAAAACCTTTTTATTAACCCAACGAACCGCTAAGGGTCAAAACCAAATTGCAGAGGAGAAAAAGTACGTAATAGAGGTTCAACTTACATCATCAGCGATTTGCAGCAGCCCATTCTGATCCTGCATAGATAAAATTGCCATTTATCACTCTGTTTTTTTACATTTGTTCCTCAGATTCCATATTTCTTCTATAAAAGTAACATCTGAAAACTGCTACAGCTAGGCATAACTTTCACAATAAACAACTAAAAATAACAAGCTTACCTTAGCAGCAACAAAGAGAAGTGGATCTGAAGGTGTGTAGACCATATAGTGTGATCCATCCTGAATAAGAATTTATATTTAGACAACTAAAAAGGGGCACATCATACCTCTAAAGTTTCATGTTCTACAGAATTCAAACTATACATTTCACAATCAGAGTGTAGTGGTCAAATTTGGATCCACAATGGAGCACTAAATACAAACTTGGTTCAGAAGAGAAATTGAATGTCATGTTTAGTGTTTGAAAGTACGCTATAATAGTGATATCTCCAAAAATTGTTCAGAATACTCTAAAAAGCACCTCACATATATCAATAAGCAAAATGCCAAAAGCAATGGTATACCAAATGGAAACACGTAATCTCAACCCCTTCAGTTGGCAAGCCTTCAACATCCTGGCCATCATCTGCAAATAGTTGATGCTTGAAACATTTATTATATAAAAAAGGTAGGACACAGAACATTAAATAATAAGTATATGAGCAGACATGTAAAAACACCTCACAGTTAGAATGAAGCAGATTGAGGGGACTAAACATGAGGAAGAATGCAGATAACCACATACAATTACTAAGATGCAAGTTCACATGACCATGATATTGATATTTGATACATAATATAAAAATCACGAATTCATGATATCCTATATCCAACGTATGTGAAGCCAAAATCATTTAGTGTGCTCATATAGAGCAGACACCACAAAATATTAATCAGAAGTATTTTCGTCATGCGTAAATATCAGAAGAAAAAGGGTGTTGCCTGTGCGAAAATCAAAGACATTATCTTCGGTGTAGCAAAAGCCTCCCCTTGCAGTGTAACAGAACCTGATTTACAGTGATAACCCATATCAGACACAAAGAAGAGACATAGGATGTTAAATGATGTCATGCTTGAAACAGGGTACGGTCATACCCGCTGTGTACTAGATGCATATGGATCTTTGCAAGAGCATAAGCAGCAGCAGGAAGAAGAGATTCAACCTCTTCATCACTGACCTAAAAGGAAGAACCATCCTAGATAAGCAAAAGAAAGGTCCTGATCGAAGCAATATTCATCTAGAAAATGATTATTCTACAGTTAAATTAATATTCGAGTTCTCAAAAGCATAGTGTTCATGCATCCAGAAGGTCTCTCTACACCAGGTGATGTGCAGACTTGAAGAAACACAGGAAAGAAAGATTCATAAAGGAGAAAACTTACAGCTGACCATCCATCAATATTTGTGCTCTTCAAAATCTGAACTGGCCTGAAGCAAGAAATGAATCAATCAAGCAGAAAAGAAGAAGTTGCTAAAATGATAAGAGAAGAAGAAAAACAGTACTTACGTATCCACAGGGCAAAGAAGCATACAATCCTCTCCTTTACTACTTGTAAATACTCTTCTTATCACACAATCCAAAGGGCTATTGTTTGTTGGATCAATCTGCCTCACAACACAAACCTTTTTAGATTCTCTTTTTCCAACACCAAAACTTTTTAATGTCCAAGAAAAAAAGTGAAACTTAAGACTCACCACAGTGGCGATACGCTTCTTAGAGGCCATAAGAACCCTACCAGTTTCATCAATCACAAACCCAGCAGGTGGTTTGGGTATGGTAGGAGGAGAGTTAAATGTTGCTAGAGACCTCGAAGAATTAGAATAATCGGCATCATCATCTTCCTCAAAAGCGTCTTCTGAATCTCTCAATTCCCAGTTCTCCACAGGTTTCGCAGTTTTCCCCTTTTTCTTCCGTTTCTTATTCGTACTACTACTCTTATCACTACCAGTGGAGGCCTTCTTCGTCGGCTGTCCCGTCTGTGGATTCAAAGCAGAGGTGATGAGGAGACGAAGATGGCGGGTATTCTTCGGAGATGAGACTGATAATGAGACGGGAAACGAAGAAGACGGGTTGAGAAATTGATGGGTATTGGAATAGGAGAGAGTCGAATTTGGTGATGGCGAAGTTAAGGAGTATGAGAAAGCCATGAAAGAGAGAAAGAGAGAAAGAGAGAAACTTGGGACTTCTTTCAGAGTCGAGAGAGTGAGCAAGTGAATTCGCCGGCAACGGAGATATTTGTGGTAAAGTTGTGATTGTTTCGACTTTCGAGTAAGGCACTTAACAACAGTAAACACCAACAGTGTAATTATCAAAACTCAAAAACTAAATTTCTTCTAAAAAGTCACTTTGTAATAGAAGTATCATGTAATTCAGTAATCATAGGATTTGATCCCATCAGTTAAAGGTTCTGGGAGCAGTACATACAAATATCTAATTACAACTATGAGCTCTTGTCCCAACTGCTATATAACATTTCTCAGTATTCATATACTTGAGCAGCTTTTAGTGAAGCAAGTTCATCGCAATCCGCTGGCATCCACCCGATTGATTGTTTCTCGTTATCGTAGATTATCATCTGATCTTGCATCGATATATCTGTTAAACAAAAGAGAGAAACATGGATTTAATACGTCTAATTTCAAAGCCTCAATATCCGAAATTTGCCAATGGATGTAATGAAGATTGTACCGCCGATGAGGTTTAGGTTCTGGAGACCTATTTCTGTGCCATTCAAGATTCCCAAACATACATTCCCCTTCACCTGCAACATTTTTATGAACCGGATTTTAGAATTTTACGAGAAACAAATCATGGAACAGAGAGAAAACGCGATAGAGAAATGCTTACAGAAATGATTAGATAAGCTTCTGGGGGTATCTCAAACAGAGTTTTTGATCTCCAGCCTGTTTTGAAGCTAAGAGCTAGAGGCTTGAAATACTTCTTGACTTCCTCAATGCTCATGAATGGTCTACGTCCTTGCCAGCATAGAGGCAGCGTGTGATCATCACGTGCTTCTTTCAACGGTTTTCCGCTTAGTTCTCTCTTTAACTACAAACAGAACAAAAATACTTTTATGAAAAAATGGTCTCTTCTCTCTTTTCTTCCAAGGTTACAGCAAGTTCCTTACTAAATATGTTACGGCTTGGTACGCCTTGGCATTGAAGTATGTGTAAGAACTTCCACTGTCAAAGACTGTCAATAGATTCTTCAATCCCGTTGTTCTTCCCCCGAATAGAAGTTCCCCTCCCATTGCAGGAGAGTAGTGTTTTCTGAGAAAGAAATTTGTCAGATTATAGCAAAAAGAGAGAAAAAAGTGATCGGGGTAAAAGATAGAAAAAAGAGAAGAGCTATAATTACGAGTATTCACGCGACATTGGTGTCCAAGAGACTCTTGAAGAATCATAAAGATCATCGCCAAAAAAGAGAATTCCTCCACCTAAACTGCTTAGGCAATGACCGATAACATTCTTGACATAACCTTGGCTATGAAGCTGTGACAGAATGCTTACTTTCCCCCTACCTAGTCCCAGTACTCCATCTAGAGGATGATGACTCGATGCCCCTGGGATTTGATCGTATCCGCATCTGTTGCACAGAAAACTCCATTGAGGATTTGCTAGGAACTACAAATGCTTAAATCAAACTGAACATTGTCGGTCCAAGGTTGTAGAAATAGATATATACCCTAGAGCAAGACGGGGAGTGAGCCGGAGACCCTTTGTATAGTTCATAGAGAAGACATCTCGAACAAGAACACCGAGAGAAGATCCTCCATCAGCATACTCAACCTCATAGTCACATTGCTCTGGAGTCTCACATCTCTGATTACTATTCAAATGCAAAGCCTTACACAGTGGATCATTGCAAGGAATAAGATCGCTACTAGGCTGATAGAGTGGATGAGGCGCCTGAAATAGAAAGAGATTCACGAATTCGCTATATGAAACTATGACAATGAATCCAGATAAAAAGAGAGAACTGAAGATGAAAATTATAATTTTACCTCCAAGCAACGAACACAAGGAGCATCACATTGGAGCCAAGTGAGATCACTACCAGTATCAAGATCGAGATAATAAGGTCTTGGTGGTTGTCCTATGTTGATGGTAACATTATAATACCTGTTTCAACCAAAATAAATTGTTTTAGAGAATTTCTGAAATGAGAGCAATAATTTTGTGAAGTTTGAGTTTGGAAATATATATACCCAAGAGGATAAACATTCCCATGAACTGGGAACACGACTGAAGAGACAGCTCTGGTGAATCTACCTGAGAATCCTGCAGTTTTCCTCAATCTGAAATCAACTGCCGACGAAAAACCCAGAACCAGAGACATCACCATCAACAAAATCATAAAACGAACATTCATTTTCTCCATCTTTTCACGGCTTGTGGCAAAATAATAAAATAAAGAGAAATTTATTTGTATTAGCCAATCACGTGATGGTGATGATGAAATTGGAAAACGATAAAGGCCAAGACATTTACGAGTTGAAAGATATTTATTACAAAGAATTGTCTTTTTGTTGATCCATTTGGGTTTTTGAATAAGCAAAGAAACCTTTTTTATTTGGTTTGCAATGAGTAGACAGGTAATAAGGATTCTTGGCTTAAACCATAGGGGACTTGAGGAAAAAATATTCCAGGTTGTTTCTTAGTATCTGAGGAAATCAAGAATCGAGTTAAGGAATATTGCTGATGAGAAAGAGTAGAGCCAAAGTATATCTTGCAGCTGAAGTAAGCAATCTTGTTGGCATCTTTCTTCGGTTCAAATTGTCACAGAACAATGAGTGAGCTTCACAATCATTAATCCATCCAAGTGAAGAAGCACCATTTCACAATCTTCCTCCTCATCATCATCATCAGTCCACTTCTAGCTTTCTGGGTACAAATCTGCCATTACAGAGGAAAACGATAAATTTCAAAGGTCAAAAGCATTTTCATTTGGCTATTAACTAATCAGAGGAAAGCTATAGAGACATAGAGATCTTACAGTAATGCCCAGAGAATGAGAGTGTAGACGGAACAACAGTCAAGAAAATCGTATGTTTATTCGACATCATCTTCGCCATCCAATCCATTTCTGTAGCTAACCAACTCTGCATCAACCTTAGCCTTTCTAGGACTCATCAACACAAGCTCAGCTAATCTCCTCCTAGCTAAATACACATCATTTGGTTCAACCAATTCCCCTCTCTTATACGCCTCTCTAAGAAACACCGTATGAAGCTTCCCGTAATTCCCACGAGTCGATATGTAAAATATCCCCTGATGTTGCAGAAGAAACTCTTTCAATTTCTTAGGCAAATTCATAACATTCCTAAAATGAGCAATTCTCTCAAGCGTGATCTTCTTCTCCACAGTCAAAGACAGCAATTCATGGATACAAGCAACAGCTCTTTTCTCTAATCTATTCTGCGCTTCCATCGATCTCAAATCGTAACCCGAAATATCCTCATACGGTGACCAATAAGGAAGCCTCTGCCATTTCCAAACAGCAATTCGAAAATACTTTCCAATCTTAAATCCAGGAGGAAAATTCACAATGAATGAGAATCGAACATCCTCTGCATCAATTCCTTTTGTTCTATACTCAATCTCTCTAACTCTCTCTATTGCACAAACCGATAAATTAGGATCCTTTTCCACAATCTCAATGTACTTATCTCGAGTCTCTTCAGCATCAATGAGCCTAAAGAACTGTGGATGTTTCAGAATCACAGAGTACTCGAAATCTTCAGGGAGCCCAAACTCAGTCCGAGCAATCCTGACATGTTCAAGACGGATCCGACCCGTATTCGACATCATAACGAGTTTCCGCAACCGGGTCACGACATCGGGTATTTGGGCGAGAACAGCTTCGTGCTCGTGACGGATTTGATCCAAAGCTTTACGGGTTAATCGACAATAGAGGATTCTTTGAACTGGGTGCTCGTATATCTCGAATACGTGTGGGAATTTGAGGAGGAAAGCACCTGGCTCGTGTTGCTTGAAGCCGAGACCTAGACGACGAGCGAGCGTGTCTAGAAGAGAGATTGCGATTGTGTTGTTGGGTTGAGAGAGAATCAAGCTGTGAAATTTGATGACTTTACGGATTTTCTTCTCGACTTCCATGTAATTGTCGTAGCCATGGTCACGAACTCTATCCTGTTTTCTGGGAATGGTGGTGGACTGAGAGAAGGGTTTAACGAGAATTAGATGGAAAGGAAGAATCGTCGTCGCGAGTTTGCTCTTAGGGTTTAAGGTTTTGGAAGCATGTCTCAGAAAAAGCTTCATCCTTTTTTGTCTGGAAAGGCTCCAAGAGCGAGTCAGGTTTGGGCATTAGTTCATCATCAGTCACTATGAGACTAGGTTTGGGTCGGAAACTGAATATCGGGTCGGATCCTGGACTGATCCGGCTCTCATGATTGGTGAGATTTTTTCACATGCTTCTTAGTTCTTCGTACGACAGTTTTACTCCACTGTACATAGTTTCAATAAAAAATGGAAAAAACTAGAATGATGTTGTGAATGTGTGTGTCTCTCTCCATTATTTACATTTAACAGTCGCAGAGGAAGATGCATATTTATGTAGAGACAACTTTTACGAGTGAAACGATGACAGTAACAGCATCAAGTTTACCACCTTTGTGTCCATCATATCCTTCTTCTTTAGCTGCGTCTGCAAATGGCGTTCTCTCTGTCTCTGATTGTCCCACTTCTTGTGCCTTTGCAGCTACCAACTCTGCTATTTTCTGCTAATCCCCAACACAATTTAACACATTAATGTAAGAATTGATAGGCTTTCTTCTCAAAACCAAAAAAAAAAAAAGGAGTAAAATATTCACGACATTGAGCACCTGAGGTTCCAAACTCTGTTCCAGTGACCTGCACACTATTGAAACTATTTCTTTCTCGTACAAATTGTCAAAGAGTCCATCAGTTGCTGCGATGACAACATCGCCCTCTTCCAGATTCACATGGTAAAGCTGCAGATTGTGAAGCAAAGCAAGACCACAAATGTTGTATATATTCTGGTTTAGATGAACCACTCAAGATATCATTGCTTAAGTAACAACAACATCGTACCTCTGCAAGTTTTAGGACATCACAGCCTTGTGTTATATGCAAGGGAAAACAAAAATGATGAAACATTGGAGACGAATTCTGCAATACTGTGCCATCCCTAATAACCATGAATCCCGAATCTCCGATATTGGCAATGTGGAGTTCCTACAAAGCAATTTCGATGATGACAAACTGAATCTATCTCAAAAGGATTTCCAATGTAATATATATTGTTAGGGACCAATTCTCACATTATTGTCAAGATGAGCAATTAAGGCTGTTGATGATCCAGAGGACTTAGTCTCATTGACACTTCTATGGAGAACTTGAACTGGGTCACTTATCTTAGCAGTTTCATCGGAAATAATCTTTTCACAGTTGCTCATGAGTTCTTGAGCATATATTCCCTTATTGAGCCCTGAAAAGATGAACCAAACATATATTCAGCAAGAACAAATACAAGTGACTGAGTTTCTGCAAAAAAACTATGTAAAAAAGATACTTAAATGTACCTTCAAATGACCACTCAGAGACTCCGTCGGCAATACCTATCCAATTGTGGTGAGAGACAAAATAAGCATCTTCACGACCTGCCAATGCCTGGCATCATTATTTATAAATTACTAACCACATAACATAAATATAAGGATTTAAAAATTCAAAAATTGTCAGAATGTTAGAAATGATGTTTTTGAGGTGGTGGGAAATGAGAACAAGATATGAAAGATCTTGAGATAACCTTGTAGTATACTGTTTCTTTATTATGGAGTGTTTATAATTAATATTTCAACAACTCTCCCTTATTCTAGTTTACTAAACAGAAAAAATCACAGGTACCTTAAAGGGGCTTTGGAGTGAAGCAAAACCAGAGTCCAAGTAAAATGCTTTGGACACAAGTTCTTCCCTGTTTAGATTCAAACATCCAACCACAGCAAAACAAGCATACTTTTATAAAAGCTGCAGTAAGATTCCTAGCCCGATATGGAAATATACATAGACACATACATATATATGCATGTAGCTGTATCTATGCAAGACATAGTACAGTTTGTTTAACACAAGAGTAAAATATATCACTTACTAACCTGCCAGAAGCCACTTCAATAGGTTCAAGACTGGCCGTTTCAGGTGCAGGAAGTTGGAGATCTTCATCTTTTGTGTCATCGGCAGTTTTAGATATGCTACCATTATCGGTTATTGTGTCCCTCACAGTTATTTCATCTTCTATGGTTGAAGCCACATTTTCTCCATCATTTTCCTTCATGAATGATAAGTAATTAGAGTGGTGGCATTATATTCTGTTCCAGAACACTCTATGATGTCTCTTATTCCTTCTACAACTGTTAAAACTACTTAATGGTTTAGAGTTAGTACTCACCACATCAGGCGTATCAACTACAGGCTTTTCAGTGATCTCGTCAATGCTGAGATGCGCTGCTTTTGGTTCAACAGGAGTTTTCATAGGGTTTTCCTCAGACTTGTCAATAACAGGCTGTTGAGCGATCTCATCAACGCTGTGATGTGTTGCTTCTGAAGTTGAAATTAGTTCATCAGAAGACACAGCCGCTGTAGCTGTTGGTTCAACTACAAGATTCTTCTCAGCTTCAAAAGTTTTCATAAGGTTTTCCTCAGACGTATCAATTACAGGTTTTTGAGCGATCTCATCAACGCTACGATCTGTTGCTTCTGAAGTTGAAACGAGTTCATCAGGAGACACAGCAGCTGTAGCTGTTGGTTCCACGACAAGATTCTCCTCAGCTTCAATAGTTTTCACAGGCTTTTCCCTCACACCTAAATTCTCGTCAATTTCAATGGTGGATACAGGCGCAACTTCCTGTTGCGCAATAGATGATGACGGTCTTGCTTGAACCTCCATAGGATTCTCAGTGATTCGTTGATAACCATTTGTCTCACGGTCTCCTATTTTATCGACAGAAACTTTCTCCATGACTTGAGAAGAAAGAGGCTCTACATTATATGACTTGGCCGTGATTTCCTTCTCATTGATTGGCTCAGATTTATCAGAAACAACTTCTTCTTCTTCTTCTTCTTCAGTAGAGCTAGTTGGAATATCTTCTGCTACACTAACTATGGAGCTCAGATTGGAAACACTAGCAATCTTGGCATCAACTTTATCTTCACTCTGTGATACATTCACAGTTTCTTTCTTCTTCTTAGTAGGAGAACGAACTCTTTTACGATCCTTAATTTTGATGACATTACTAAGATTGGAAGGAGCTGTTTCCTCTTTCTCAGAACTTATTTCAATATTAGAACTGACCAATTTCTTCTTCCCATAAGAATTTTCCTTCAATTCAGAAACAAGATCAAGATCTTCTACCCCTTGTTTCCTTGAAAGTTCACTTGCTTCTTCTGCAATCTTAGCATTTTGCTTTTCTAACTCAACGCATCTCGCTTTTTCTTGAGCCTCGAGATATTTCTCAATTTCGCTTGCATCCCCGAACCGGAAGACATGACTTCCATCCTTAAGCTCTGCAAGATCCAAACAAGTATCAATATAAGAGTATAGCTCAGATTTCAAAGTAAATAACTTTTCTATCCTTAGCATCGGAAGCTATCATTCAGCATTTTGAAACTAAGTAAAATTGGTGACAATCTAGTAATTGAGGGTTCAGACACTTCAAAGCTAAAATTCAAAACTTTTCCGGTGAAGGAAGAGAAAACAGAAGAAGAAGAGGAAACACGAAAACTTACGAGTGCTGGACACGAGATCGAACTTCTCTGGAGCAGAATTCTCCGGAGGACATGGAGAAGAAGAGGAAGCTGGAGACTTTGAAGGTGAAATGGAAATAGCCAACTGTAGTTGAGAGGAGAATCGGAACTCGGGAACGGAATATCCGGGAAATCTCCATGAACGGTGAAGAGAACAAGGGAATATCAGAAAGCGAGGAGCTTGGAGAGAAAGAACTATATGATCGGCCATAACAAAGAGTGTTACAGAAATGGTTTAGAGTAGACGATGAAGATGATAATTTGGTGACGTTGGTAACCCTCTGTTTCTGTCAGATGTGTTCGCTTCACAGATATTTGTGGCTACTCTTTTTTTTTTCATAATTTGGCTATAAAAATCATCTCTTTTTGACTCTTCTCTTTTCTATCCATTCTCTGCCGAACTAGTCGTCAATCAAAATCCCAAAGCAATGGTGACTCTAAACGCTTCTTCTCCTCTCACGACCAAGTCATTCCTCCCCTACCGCCACGCTCCTCGCCGTCCGATCTCTTTCTCCCCTGTTTTCGCCGTTCATTCGACTGACCCCAAGAAATCTACCCAATCAGCCTCCGCTTCGGCTAAATGGAGTATAGACAGTTGGAAATCGATGAAAGCTTTGCAATTGCCGGAGTATCCTGATCAGAAGGATCTCGATTCGGTTCTACAGACGCTTTCTTCTTTCCCTCCTATAGTTTTCGCTGGTGAGGCGAGGAAACTAGAGGATAAGCTCGGTCAAGCGGCTATGGGTCAGGCCTTTATGCTTCAAGGTGGTGATTGTGCTGAGAGTTTCAAGGAATTCAACGCTAATAACATTAGAGATACCTTCAGGGTTCTTCTTCAGATGGGTGTTGTTCTCATGTTCGGTGGCCAGTTACCAGTTATCAAGGTCGAGTTTTTCACTCAGCTCGAATTTATCTGGAGGTTTTCTGTGTGATGAATCTGGTTATGGATAGTTTATGATTTTGTGGGTTTTAAGTTTTCAGGTTGGAAGAATGGCTGGTCAGTTTGCGAAGCCGAGATCGGACCCATTTGAGGAGAAAGATGGTGTGAAGCTGCCGAGTTACAGAGGAGATAACATAAATGGTGATGCTTTTGATGAAAAATCGAGGATTCCTGATCCTCATAGGATGGTTAGAGCCTACACACAATCTGTGGCTACGTTGAATCTCTTGAGAGCATTTGCTACTGGAGGTTATGCAGCTATGCAGAGAGTTAGCCAGTGGAATCTTGATTTCACCCAACATAGTGAACAGGGTGACAGGTTCATAAACTTCTCTCCTTGTTTATTATCTTGTTTGTTATGAATATATTTTTGTCAAGTTGGAGAACGGTTTCTTATTTCTTATTGTTGTGGCAACAGGTACCGTGAATTGGCCAATAGAGTTGATGAGGCTTTGGGATTCATGGGTGCAGCTGGACTTACCAATGCTCACCCGATCATGACTACTACTGAGTTTTGGACTTCCCATGAGTGTTTGTTACTGCCTTATGAGCAAGCACTCACAAGAGAGGATTCAACATCTGGACTTTACTATGATTGTTCTGCGCACATGCTTTGGGTTGGAGAACGAACTCGCCAACTTGATGGTGCCCATGTTGAGTTTCTGAGGGGAATCGCTAACCCCCTTGGAATCAAGGTATGTGACTGTCAAGTCTCGGTTTGTTGAATTTGAATAGGAGTATCAGTTTCATAGCTTTGTTCGTATAGAAAGAAACACTGAAATGTTGAGGAAAAAACGAACGTTGTGTGAAATCTATGTGATGGTCTATACACTCAAGAACTGTTGGTAACTATATAGGATACCCTGCAAGTCTTAATTTCCTGGTATTGAAGATATTGGAAAACCTCTTATAAAGAAGGTTCAACAAGTTTTTGTATGAGAAATTCACTGATGTTGATACTTTGATGCAGGTGAGTGATAAAATGGTCCCTAGTGAACTGGTTAGGCTGATAGAGATACTAAACCCTCAGAACAAGCCTGGAAGGATTACAGTTATTGTGAGAATGGGAGCTGAGAATATGCGGGTTAAGCTTCCTAATTTGATCAGAGCAGTACGAGGAGCCGGTCAGATTGTGACTTGGGTTAGTGATCCAATGCACGGAAACACAATCATGGCTCCTGGTGGGCTAAAAACTCGTTCTTTCGATGCAATCAGGGTAATCATTCCTACTTACTTCATCATCCGACTATATGCATAATCTTGCTGATGATTCATGTAGTTTCCCATTAAATTAATATGGTTTGTATCAGGCGGAATTGAGAGCGTTCTTTGACGTGCATGATCAAGAAGGGAGTTTCCCTGGTGGGGTTCATTTAGAAATGACAGGGCAAAACGTGACAGAATGCGTTGGAGGGTCACGCACCATCACTTACAACGATCTAAGCTCACGCTACCACACTCACTGTGACCCGAGGCTCAATGCTTCTCAGTCTCTGGAGCTTGCATTCATCATTGCAGAGCGTCTACGAAAGAGAAGGCTTGGTTCGGGGAAGTCATCTATTGGAGTCTAGAGAATAAGAAAATACTTGTCCGAGTTAGGATGTGTGTGTATAGAGAGGCTCCCTACTTATTAAGTTGCGAAGTTTCAGAAATCAAGCTTGTGTACTGTTAAAGTAAAACTAAAGTTGTTTTTTTGTGTGTGTTGGGTCATTGAGGAGTATATGAGAAATGTTTTATTGGTCAAAGGGTACAAGAGAATAACATCCCTGATAAGTGGCTGACTTCATAAACCGGTAAATCTTTATGTCACGCTTGCAAGAAAAATTCAATATTTTTATTTAATCGCCATGAAAAGTCCTTCCATTAAGCTGTAAATTTTTGACTCAGATACTTTAAAGTTTAAACCTTTGACAAACCGAAAGTTGTCTGAAGAAATTTGGAAAACTCTGAATGCGATTTCACACGTGGACACCATTCGTTTAAAGAACACATAAACTACAAACGCAGGCCTGAAGATAACGGGACTCGAGAGATTGAGATTACGGAGCCACCACTTTCATGGAGTCTACCTTGTCAGCTTTCTCAACCGTCACGGCCACAGCGATGGCTCGAACCACTGGTGGTCCTTCATTGCCTCTCCTCACTATTTCTAAAGCTCTTAACCGTCACTTCTCCGGCGCCAGACACCTCCATCCTCTATTGCTTGCTCGCTGTTCTCCCGCCGTGCGACGTCTTGGTGGGTTTCATGGCAGTCGATTTACTTCGTCGAATTCAGCTTTGAGAAGCTTGGGAGCTGCTGTTTTGCCGGTAATCCGACACCGTTTGCAGTGTTTGTCGAGCTCATCGCCGTCTTTCAGGAGCATCTCAAGTGGCGGCGGCGGTGCAGGATTCGGTGGGTATAATGGTGGAAGCGGCGGCGGTGGTGGCGGAGGATCGGAGAGTGGTGATTCCAAGTCAAAATTGGGTGCTGGAACAAATGATGGTGTCTCTGTTCCGTCGTCAGATATCATTATTCTCGATGTTGGAGTAGGTTCTTCTCTCTCTTTCTATATGATTTTGAATTCACTCCAATACTGTTATGTTACTAACATGGATGTTCTATTCTATTGAAGGGGATGACATGTGGAGGTTGTTCAGCAAGTGTGAAGAAGATACTCGAAAGCCAAGTAAGTGTCAAGATTTTTACTTTACTTGCTCTTCTTCCTCTCCTGATATGCTTTTGTCAGCCTAAGACCAAACTTGGTGTGTTCTTGTCTCAAAGAATGGTTTCCTGATTATTTTGATTTAAAAAAAACTCTTTTTTCTTGTTTTCTTTTCTTTGATGTATAGCCTCAAGTTGCTTCTGCTAGTGTTAATCTCACCACCGAGACAGCAATAGTGTGGCCTGTACCGGAAGCTAAAAGTGTACCTGATTGGCAAAAGAGTTTAGGCGAGACGCTTGCAAACCATCTGACCAATTGCGGGTTTCAGTCTACTCCTCGAGGTGAGAGAGGGTGCACTTTCTATTTATCAAGTTTTCTTTCTGAGAATGCATGCCTAACATAATCAATTATTAGCATTTTATCTGTGACTCTTGATATTTTTTAGTGATCCTTTTTGTTTTTTTTTCTTCTTGCTGAAAGTAGGATTTTATATACCCTGCCCATAGGTGGAGGGAGTCATGATCACTTATTTTTCCTTACATGCTTGTTTAGGTTCTTTCTGTAGTCTCACATCTCTTGTTTGTTTCTTTGGCCTGCAGTTCCTGCATACTATCTTTATCTTTGTGTTTTGAGATTTTCTGAACTTCTCGCACTCTAGTGTCTAGAGAATAGGGTTCCTTTGGAATCAATCAGGTAGCTAATCTGGAGATGAAACATTAGCTAGCAAGATTATTGCATGAGGCAGAGAAAATTATACAGCTGGACGTTATAATAGTGTGCCTAAAATTTCCCATAAATTGTTTAACCCTTGATGTATAGAAATATAGTGTCAAAAGGTTTAGTGCTTCAATAATGCTAATTGACTGGAAGTAAAAACAAAAAAACTCATCATCTTTTTGCAAATCCGGTGGATACTTGTGGGGGTAGGGGAAGTTCCTGAGGATATTGCAGGAGAGTTGGCACCTTGAATGTACAAAAGATTTCTCCAGCAGCAATCGTTATCGTTATGGTATGTTCTTTGTTTGAAGGGATTTGAAATTGTGCATTATCGATTGAAGTCTATTGTGGACTAATTTCAAGTCTACTAACTTGATTACTTCTCCTTCAACAGATGATTAAGAGCAGCTGCTAGTGGCGAATGGATTGTAAACATAAAATTCTGGTGCTAGTGGTTCCATTTATGTAGATTTTGTTGTCAGTCCTTGTGATAAATTGATTATCCTAAGGCCATGTATTTATTTTATGTTGTCCATTGCTGACATGCCTTCTCTGAACCAAACAGCATAACTCTGTAGTGATGATCTTGTTCTATAATGGTCGATTTTTCAAAAGGATACATTGAAAGCTATAAACTTTCATACTATTCCAGGGCATTTGACTTATGTTTTGACGGTGGACCTTTATTCAATCATGCTTTTCTTAACTGACCTATTCACTTGGCACACACTCTTTTCTTTGCTCTTTTGTAATTTGTTTCTTTTGTTATCTCATATCTTAGAGTATGGTTTTGCTCTTTAAATGGTAGTTTTAGGTATATCTTCTTATCAATGCAGAAAAAATCTGGATGCCCCTGCTTTTCTGAGTCAGGGTATTTTGCAGTTATATTTCTTGGTATGAGCACTAAGTATCTATGTTTGTTCCAGATTTGGTGACAGAGAATTTCTTCAAAGTTTTCGAAACAAAGACAAAAGACAAGCAGGCTCGCTTAAAAGAGAGCGGTAAAAATAGTTTCCCCAAATTTGATATGTTCTTTCTTATAGGATATTGATGTTTTGCTTCTGAGATTTGTATATCTCTTGATTGTTTTACAGGCCGCGAGCTTGCTGTTTCATGGGCCCTATGTGCTGTATGCTTGGTTGGCCATTTAACTCACTTTCTAGGTGTTAATGCTCCCTGGATTCATGCAATCCATTCAACAGGGTTTCATGTGTCCTTATGTTTGATTACGTTACTTGGTCCTGGACGCAAGCTAGTACTTGATGGTATCAAGAGCCTTTTAAAAGGTTCCCCAAACATGAACACGCTAGTTGGTCTTGGGGCTTTGTCATCATTTTCTGTTAGCTCACTGGCAGCCATGATTCCAAAATTGGTAAGTTAACTATTCCTTCCCTCACACCCTCTAGTTTCCAATCGAAAGAAGTTTTGTTGTAGGTAAAATGTTTCTAGATGGATAAACACTAAGAAAGCTTTTATTTAATTCTGAATAAAGCTTTTGATCTAAAAGTTATATATGCAACTACCTTTACCCCTTGTATACATGAATACCATATGGTCATTTTGATATATTCTAGTAATCAACTTTCTTATTTAGTTCAGATTTCATTGTGCCAATAAAATCAGTCTGGCATTTTAATCTCGTGTTACCAGATGGTAAATGTTCTTGGTCTTAGTTGAATATAGTCAGATAACTTGAGTAAACTATGTTGCATGAATGTTTGACTGGTTCATCATTCATGGTTCCAAATGCTTTAAAAAGATTATTTGGAGCTGAATGAATGGTATGTAGCAGATGCGTCTCCTAGTTTTCAATACAGGCTCCAATAATTTGAGACAGAACAGTTTTGCTGCATTAACATATTTTAAAGTCAACTGCATTAGTAGTAATGATGCTTGTTCTTATTTTCTTTCTGGATTTTTTCCTTGTAAGCTGGGAGTACTTAAACCCTTGACCTCCATATCTGTATTGGTTCTTGCGATTGATAGCTGATATTACAAACCTGTACAACTGTTTTGACATCCAGGGTTGGAAGACATTTTTTGAGGAACCAGTTATGTTAATAGCTTTTGTGTTGCTGGGAAGGAATCTTGAACAGAGAGCTAAAATAAAAGCCACCAGTGATATGACTGGCCTTCTCAGTGTTTTGCCTTCAAAAGCTCGCCTTCTGCTTGATGGTGATCTGCAGAATTCAACTGTTGAGGTCCCTTGTAATAGTCTCTCTGTCGGTGATCTAGTCGTCATACTACCAGGAGTAAGAAGAGAGAATTTTCATTCTCATGCATAGTATGTTGTTGTTTTCCCATTTAGTGATATTTTACTGCAAGGGATATTCTCATTCATTCTTATGCAAAGACCATCTTATTTTAATGTTTTTCTTCATGTATCCTTTTTATTGACGCTTGGGTTTTGTTCTCCTTTTTTACCAGGATCGAGTTCCAGCAGATGGTGTGGTCAAGTCAGGTAGAAGCACCATTGATGAGTCAAGTTTCACAGGTGAACCATTGCCAGTGACAAAAGAATCAGGGGTAACTTTCTATTCCACCCCTATCTATATCTAGTGTAGCCTGAGATAGATGAGAATGTAATCACAACTTTTTGGGTTGTCTCTTTGCACAGATTATACATTTCATCAACTTTGGAAAATTATTCTGCAGATATAACTCACATTTGCTTTGTTAAAAATTATTTTGGGCTAGAGTCAAGTCGCAGCAGGATCTATAAACCTGAATGGAACTCTTACCGTCGAAGTGCATAGATCAGGGGGTGAAACTGCAGTTGGGGACATTATTCGTCTGGTTGAAGAGGCTCAGAGTAGAGAAGCACCAGTACAGCAGTTGGTTGACAAGGTCTCTCCTCTCTTTCCTAGTGCATTTTGAATATCAATCTGGACTGACCTTGATTTCCCATGGAATAAACCTGTCAGCAAAATTCAAATATATAACCAGGACTAACAATTTTTTTGCAATTACAGGTCGCAGGGCGCTTCACGTATGGAGTGATGGCACTCTCTGCAGCTACATTTACATTCTGGAATCTTTTTGGCGCACATGTTCTTCCTTCTGCCTTGCATAATGGGAGCCCAATGTCTTTGGCCCTTCAACTATCTTGCAGCGTTCTGGTATATTTCTAATATATATATTTTTGATTTTTATGTTAATATTTATTGAGATCAAGAATGCGCAAACAAAGTTTTTGAAAGCCTATTATACAACCCCTCAACTGCAGCCTATGATATCAATTGTAAAATTTAGAGAATACGAAGGAAATTTGTGTTTCACTTCTGATTCTATTACCTTAGTAATTTATATTGATCAAAGCAAGGATGGCTTAAAAAAGTTTCTCCCTCTTTTATTTGGATACAGGTTGTGGCTTGTCCTTGCGCCCTTGGGTTGGCTACGCCAACTGCAATGCTGGTAATTGTTCTACTGCATAAACAGTTTTTCTGATATGAATCAGACAGAATAACACGTTGAATATCTTGATATATTCCTTAGGTTGGTACATCATTAGGAGCAAGAAGAGGATTACTTCTTCGTGGTGGTGATATTCTTGAAAAGTTTTCCTCTGTTGATACTGTTGTCTTCGACAAAACTGGGACACTGACAAAGGGACACCCTGTTGTGACTGAAGTTATTATTCCTGAAAATCCAAGGTTAGGCTTCTGGGCACAGCACTTCTATACTTTTAAATCTTTTTTTATTTTGCTGAAGCCTTGTACTGTTTTAGATTAGTTTTTTTCTTTCTTGAAACTTTCCGCATACTTCTGTATTTTGTGAAAACATCTGACCCATCATGTTCTTACGCAGACACAATTTTAATGATACTTGGTCAGAAGTAGAGGTTTTGATGTTAGCAGCTGCTGTTGAATCAAACACTACTCACCCTGTTGGGAAAGCGATTGTAAAAGCAGCCCAGGCTCGTAATTGTCAAACTATGAAGGTAGGACTGTAAATGATAATTATTTCCATAGTTTGATGAAGTTAATGAACTCCATCACTGCAGGCAGAGGAAGGAACATTTACTGAAGAACCAGGGTCTGGTGCCGTTGCTATTGTCAACAACAAAAGGGTTACAGTTGGGACCCTCGAATGGGTCCAGAGGTATAATATGTTCATCCTTTATAAGTGGTTTGTTAACTAGTTTAGGAGTGATTTGGCACCTGATAAGTAACCATTGTAGTCTCATATATCTTTCATGTTTAGTATAATTCATATCAGTATTGCCGTTTATACATTTTCCGTTGATGATGTTGTCCTTGCTGTCACAATTTGACCTACTTTTGCTGTCTGGCCACTAATCAAGATTATACATATCTTCTTTTTTCTCTCCATAGGATTGTACATAGCTAACCATAGAGTACTTGTGAAGCTGAATAATGAATAAATAATACATGATGAAAAATATTTTTGATCAAGCATAAGGATGGTGCAGGATTTTAAACGATGAAAAGATATCTTTTTAATTCACTCTTCCGCTATGCAGACATGGAGCCACCGGGAACTCATTACTTGCATTAGAAGAGCATGAAGTTAACAACCAGTCTGTTGTATATATTGGGGTGGATAATACACTTGCTGCAGTCATCCGTTTTGAAGATAAAGTCAGGGAGGATGCTGCTCAAGTTGTTGAGAATTTGACTCGCCAGGGAATTGACGTGTACATGCTGTCTGGTGACAAGAGGAATGCTGCCAATTATGTAGCTTCTGTCGTAGGAATTAATCAAGAACGGGTATGTTCTTATTCTTTACATGGATTGATAAAACTTCTTTAGGAGTTTTGGCATGCATGGTTTGCTAAAAGGTGGTATTTGGTAAGAATTACCAAACATTTAAAGTCATGACCTAAAATTTGAGCTGTAGGCATAAACCTCGTTTTGATAAAATTTGGTCATACTGACTTTCATTGTTATACAAACTAAAATTTGGCAATCTCCTTTTTCTTTAAAAATGTCTGGTCTTATTTGTTATACAGGTTATAGCAGGAGTTAAACCAGCAGAGAAAAAGAATTTTATCAATGAACTTCAAAAAAATAAGAAGATTGTTGCAATGGTGGGTGATGGAATAAATGATGCTGCTGCTCTGGCATCATCTGATGTTGGAGTGGCCATGGGTGGTGGTGCAGGAGCGGCCAGTGAGGTGTCTCCCGTTGTCTTGATGGGCAATCGGTTAACACAGGTTTCTCATATTATCCCCACAACACTTATACCTTTCTCATTTTATTTTGCTATAAAGTGCGAGCTCTATGATTACTACATCAAGTCATATAGTCACTGCTGTATTGATGAACATGTCATTATGCATCTTCATCTAGTTGTATAAATTTTTAATTGATGCGTAAAATTGATGGTCATAGGAAACTCCATTTTCTTACTGAATCAAGGGTAATAGATGTTTCCTTTTGGCTTCCATGAATTTGGACACATGAAGTTAGTAGTTACATGATTTCCATGCAGTTGCTTGATGCAATGGAGCTAAGTCGGCAAACCATGAAGACCGTGAAGCAAAACCTTTGGTGGGCGTTCGGATACAACATTGTAAGTTGTTCTGCATTTTCATGTCTTAATTTTCTTGCTTTGAGATTCAGTGTGAATATATAATCAGTTAATAATGTATTTTGTTTAAAATAACTATGTAGGTAGGAATCCCAATTGCGGCTGGAGTGTTGCTACCATTGACTGGAACCATGTTGACTCCATCAATGGCGGGGGCTCTCATGGGTGTAAGCTCTCTCGGTGTCATGACTAATTCCTTACTTCTAAGGTACAGATTCTTCTCGAACCGAAACGACAAAAATGTCAAACGGGAACCAAAAGAGGGAACAAAACAGCCACATGAGAATACAAGATGGAAGGAAAGCTCTTAAACGGGGCATTTCCGCTTCACTGAGGCACGATATCATTGATTTTTGCAGAGATAAATCTCTTTTTAGTTTACTTTTCATTCTTAGCCATAATTTTGGCTCTTGTTCTTGAGAGGGTTTGTTAGGGTATTGATAATTTGGAGAATCATCTCGACGTGATTTTTCAAACAATTGCTTTGAGCTTGTAACACAGCCACAATAACACATGGTCCAAACTCTACATTGGCTTTGGCATTTAATACTCTGGAATTTGATTGTGTATAATTATAGTGACTAAGCTGCGGGATTTCAGTTATTTGTGTACCCAGCCATGAATGATCATGTCACACACGAAATGGAGATACAAAATTTATGTGACGTAGCAAAACTCATTGCAAGAGCAAGTCCTTCATTCTAAATTCCAACACTCAGTCTGGAACGAGCCAATACAAATCAATCAATAAATAACAAACACAGAATCAAGTATCAACTCTCAATACAAAAAATCATTTTGTTTCTCCTGCACTTTTATAACCCATCACACTTTTGCAACAATGTGTAAAAGAATTTTGTTTTCTCTTGAATTGGTATGTGGTTCATGTTCTTCGACAATTCATGAGACCTGCGCGTAGATGAAAACCAGTAGTTTGATCGGGTCTTCTTCATACCATATAAGTCATTCCAACTTGCATCAAATGCGAATGCGGAACACTTAGGTTTGTTATCCCTCTCCTGGAGTTCTTCCTCAAGAAAGCATACATGTAATTTATTACCAGCTTCTTCAGAAACCAAGAATCCTTAGTAGCCCTTATGTCCCCATGTCCCAGTAGATACACCACCCCTGACTCTTTCGCTTTGTGTATAAACGACAATTCTTTTTCTAGACTCTGCTCCACATCCAACACCGTTGAAGGACCTGCCCCAAAATCTATGCTGGCCTTTCTTCTCTCCATGGGTCGCTTGTTTGATAAATCCATGTGCTCAGCTAAGAGAGGCACTCCAAGTGAATACACACTTCCATTGGGTGCTATCAGAACTCTGGACAGAGTCGTATCATCCTCGGAATCTGTATCATTATGGTCTCCGTCACTCTCAAGTGCACGCTCCTGCGCTTCCTTACGTATAAATTTTTCTAGACTCTCAATCAGTATCTGCTCAAACGCCTGGTGATTTTCCTTCCGCACATCTCTGTACCCATACCTGTTTTGAATGCAAAGCACTTTATATATGAAAACGTTGTTATTATAACTAAATTGTCTTCCATACGAAAAACGGTTGCTTTGTTTACCTGGCTACACAGCGGAATAAATGATAGCTTCTCGGGCAGACACGCCTGAAAAGAAATCTCTCGGTCTGAGGCACCGTTGGAACAGGGACATACTTTATACACACAAAGATAACCATGGAATGGATTGCAGGAAGGGTGGTTAGAAAATGACCAAAAATTGCCGGAACTCCTTTAGCTAGCTCATTGTAAAGCAGACCAATACCGGGTGCTCTAATCGTCCCAAGGTTACTGCCCAGTTCTCGTAGTAGGTCCATTGGTAGCTTTTTCTGGACTTCAGTTTCATACTTCAGTTTACTCCCGTAGTTCCAAACGAACATTATGAGAAACATAATTGTAGCAAAAACCAGGATTATCCAACTTCCATCAGCCACACTTGCACAAACTGATGAGAAGAAAATCAGTTCGACGACCAGGGAAACAAATGCAAACATGCTCACAACTATGATGTTCGTCTGCCAGATAAGAAGCATGATAAGGGTCACCAAAATTGTTGTAGTCATCATAATTCCCAGCTCTGCGATGCCTGAAGATCCAAATCCAAAACCACAGGCGTTAATATCTCTACGATTAACGGACAAGCCACAAAAAAATGGACATAAAAGTTGAAAAGTAAAGAATAATGACGGATCATCTTTATAACAGAAAAACATTAGACATGATGTACCAGAACTTAAGTTTCAACAACTTGTGCCATAAAACTACTTAAAAGTAACTAAAACGGGTTTCAGCTAAATATTTCAACTTTCCCCAAATCAGGTGCTACAAGAAGAAAATATTACCATATGCGTTTCCAATCGCGAAGATGTTTGAAGTAGAGCAGACAACGATCAGACACACCACCAGAAGGGACCAGTTAAGAACCGGTATGTAAATCTGTCCAATGAATTTCTTTGAGGTGTGAATGATTTTAAGACGTGGGAAACAGCCTAGTGCTATTGACTGTTTGATGCATGTAAATGTGGCTGTTGTCATTGCACGACTGGCAATTAAAGCAGCAATATTAGAAATGAGAAAGACTGGCCAGAATAAAGAACCTGGAAAAAAAAGAGTAATAAATAGTTAACAACGTGATATGAGAGGTAAAATCAAGCCAGCAAATGAAGGAATACCCTTGTTGATCTTGACGTACTGTGGAAGCTAGTGGATCTTACTTGGAACTGACGAAAAGAAAGCATCCCCAGCATCGCTGAAATTTTCAGAAAGGTATGCGGCTTGACCCAAATAACCCAGCAAGAGGCAAGGTAACACCAGAAGGGTAAAAGTAAGCTGCAGATAAACACTACCACTGAATCAAAAGATGACTCTAAGAAAGACTACTATCAGAAGAGCAGGAGCAAGAAAATGAGTATTTATCTCCTTAAACTACCTGGACAGAGTGAACAGAAAAATAGCTAAGATCTGCAAACATGGCCTCCGATCCTGAGACAAGATCCACATGTATACGAATGAGCAATGACATTTAGTCAAAAGGTCATTCAATATATTTAAGTTTGTAAAATATTTCCCAGAGTATGAAACTAACCAGTTGCACATAGAACGCAACCCCCAAGCGCATACCATGCATTTACAGAGTTTCTCTTGAAAAAGAAATAGATATATGCAGGATTGAATGCTTTAAAAACGCTGCTGTCATATTTAACAAGGTTGTAAATTCCAATGCCCGCTAGACAAAAAAACCACAGAAGTAAAGCAGGACCCAAAACAAGCCCCAATTTGCTGGTTCCATATTTTTGTACACTGAACAAGATCACAAGAAAGCTGATTGATATCACGACCACCTGATCTGCAAATGAAGCCATAGTCAGAAACTTTTCACAAAAAAATAGGTCACTAATCACTCATCAAGATAAGATTAAGTTTTTTGAAAGCTTAGAGGAATCATTAGACACTATTGAGAGGGAGTTTATCCTCTTCTTAATTGTATCTATGATCTAATTGAAGTCAGGGGGCCCAGGAATACATATATCTAAGGGAACGTTTACAAGTTGTGAAAGTCAGATGAAATCATGCTCATGACCATATATAGGCTAATAAATGTCAACGAGAATTATGAGTTACCTTGTTCTATAACACCAACTCCAACCTTCAGACCACCAATAGCAGACATTACTGTGTCCAAAAAGAGGATAGAATTAGCTGCAGTTTATTCATGCAATAGTAATGCTCACATCCTTTTTCCCTATAATTTATATGTGACATAGTACCTGACATTGCTGGCGTAACAACAGCATCAGCGATCACCATAGCAGTGCCGGCAAGAACTAAAATCAGAAGAAGCTTTTTCAATGCCATTGACGCCTCAAGTCTTTCTTTAATTATCAAGGATCTTTCAAGTTCTGGAGATGGAACCTTCAAACCAAAGCCTGATATACGAGCATCTGATGGAAGTTGATTTGGGATAAGGCTAACATTTGCGTGCCGGCAGATCAAAGAATACAAAGCAAACGTACCACCTGCAGTTCATTTCCAAAAATTAAAACTTTTCACCTTAAAAGAACTACAACCTACACCATATAAAGGAGGAAAAGATATATACCTTCACCATCGTCATTGGCCCAAAGAACAAAATGTACATACTTTACAAGAGGAATCAATATTAAAGTGTATATAACCAATGACAAGGCTCCAAGAATATCATCTTTGTCGTTAATCGGAGATCTTCTGAACATGACAGTGAAGGTATACAATGGACTAGTTCCAATATCACCAAATACAACCCCAAGTGTCTGCAAAGCAAGTATGAGTTTCTTCCCTATACCAGTGTCCTGCAAAAACAGATTACCAAGTTCTTCTTCAACTTAATCAGATCGAAAAGTAAACAACATGAAGAAGAAAGAGCATTCACACACAAATGCTAACCTCGATTTCGTTTTTTTGAGTTCCAGGAATCTCAAGAGCATCTACATCGAAAGAGTCAACGGCAGGGCTAGTTCGAATCAAACGCTGCTCCACATTGTCATCCTCCTCATCGGAATCCATTTCCGCGTGATTATGCTCATCATATCCGTCATCGTCGTAATCTTCGTTAACCTCATAATCATCCTTCTCATCGAACACCCATCGCGACAATGACGTCGTCGAATCGTCCCCGCCAAACTCCTCATCAATCTCAGACCCATCGCCTCCACTGCTTTCTTCTTCAACGTGAAACATCAATTACCGTCGGAAAAACACTGAAGATCTCGAGATTGTGATTCAGATTCGTATCTCTGATCCAAGGAACAGGGTCGGAAATTGTGAGATTGAGAGATGGAAGAGAGAGATGATGATCTACAATGGAGGACCTGGCACGAATGAGAAAGAAACTTACACGTGTCTAATCGGGATTGGATTTGAGAATCACGGTTTAAGGCAAAACAAACGGGAACAAATTAGGATTAACCGGAAACAAACCGGGTTACGATTCCCTCTGCTACTACACTAAAGAGAAGAGGAAAGAGACGAGAACCAATCACCAGTCAGTGTCAGTCTCATGGCTTCAGCTTCTTTCTCTGCGATTTCGTCGCTCTCGTATCACTTCCGTTCAAAAGAAGTCTTCTTCTTCTCGATTATCCTCTGTTTTGTCCTTGCAAACAGAACAAGTGTTGTGTGTGTGTTTGTCTCCGCGCAAATGTTTTGTCACGGCATTTTGTGCTTGGACGGAGGATCATTCAGACCGAATAGCACTTTGAACAAGAACCGTCTCCTACTCCTCTCTAACGTCACTCCTCAAAAAAGTTTCTTCTTCAATGCTTCTCTAGGCCAAGATCCAAACAGAGTCTGTGCTCTACCCAGCATAATTCCTTGACACTGTGTTAGTCTCATGGTTTCTGCTGGGGGCTTAAAGGCGCAGCACTTGGTTGTTACAAGAATAGTTGCAAGAGTAGTTTTCATGGTGCGTGTGCAAAACTGATACCAGAATGCAGATGGGACAAATATGTAGAAGAAGCTCTATATGTAGGGTTTTGTAATCAACAGGAAGACTCTTGTAGTGCCATAACCTTTGAATGCATCCTCTTTAAGTTAGAGACTAGTCCAAAAGAAAGAAAACGCAAGCGTACTCCCAACGGGGTATATGTCGTTTACAAAAAGGGTATGATGTCCAAGAGAAGCAAATAAATCTCACCAGGCGCAAAACAGCAACTTTCAAAGAAGAAGCTATCTAACAGGAAATCATATTTAAAGAAAGAAGAAAAAGCTATATCTAAGAGGGAAGAGCAATTCCTTACACGAGCTTCTCTCACTAATTCCTTGGCATTCACAAGATTTTCTGATTGTTGTTAGAGAAATAAAGATGTTGATGGAACATTTCATTACAACTTTGAGAGAGATAAACGATACAGAATCAATGGCAAATACACAGTTACTAGAGAGCAAAGCCAAATTTTTATCATCTCAGTCGCAACAAGAAAGATACTTATAGTCTCCATAACAACAAGGCCAAATTTTACCATCTCACACACAAGAAGTCTTGATAACAACAAGGAAAGGCATAGATAGCTATCTTTGAAAGAAAAGCAAGCATGATGATTTTGATCAAATTCGTAAAAGTGGCAAGCGATCCTCAAGCTCCTCTTCTCTAGCTTTCTGGATTCTCTTGAGAACAGATCTTTTCCGCATCTCCTTCATAAGCTCAGGTTTACCTCTCACAAAATAAGTATCTCCAAATTCCAAATGCCCAGATCCCTTAATCCTTTGGAATCCCTACCAACAAACATACAAAACCATAGATAGATATATAGTGAGCGAGATTCAAAACTGAGTGTTGAGAGAGATAATAAATTAATCTTGCAAATACAAAAAGACTTACATGGAAATCAAGTTGGGAGAAAAAAGTTGAGTAATCGGGAGATAGTAATTTTAATGACGTCGAAAGAATTCTTCTGTGAAACTCTTCCGGATTCCATATGATGAAACTACGGTTGCTTGTGCTCCACGAGATAATTGAATCCAATGAAGGATCATCAACAGCCTTGTATACACCCTCGTAGAATGCAGGAATCCAGATTTCGGCCTTATTGCTGCTGTTCATCGCTCTATTTCACTTCAGATCTCCCTTAAAACCCCCCAAATATTTATCCCACTAACGAAGAATGGATGAGGCAAACCCTAGGGGCTAGGACGATACACAAAAAAACATTGTCGTCATTGTTTTGGGCTTTTCACTTGTTGTCTCTTTTCTAATAGCCTTTGGGCTTGGCGAGACTCATAGAAACAAAAAAAAGTGGACACCTAACCTAACTCAGAGTGAAGATGATTGATGAAAAAGGTCCATACATGGTGAAGATGGGAAAAGACGCGGGGCAAGAATTGCTTTCTCGTGCTGGTCCTGGCTTAGTGGCTTCTTCAGTCCAGATTATGAAACTAGTTCACAAGAAATTAGAGGGACAAATTAAAAACCAGAGGCTTCAGCTCCATCTCCTTCGCATCTTCTTATATTCATCAAGTGGAATATACCACTCCGGTCAAGTGTCTTCAGCGCAGGAGCATCCAAACTGCTATTACTTCCTGTCCTAGACAAGAAACTTCCGAATCTCCCCATCTTTACATCTCTTGTGCTTCCGAAAGCTACATTCGGAATGTATGCTCGCATCTCTGTCTCTGACAAAGGGAAGTCGTAAGGCCTAATCATGACATTAGGATTACCGGGGTGATTGATGAAATGACCAAACGCTAACGAGAAATGGAATCGGCTGAGAAGAAAGGATTGAAGCTGACAAGACACGATAAGCTGTTGAACAAGTTCAGGCATAAGGAAGCTCTGGTCTCGGTGTTGGAGGAGAAGAAACCGGCCAATGTTGTGGCAGTGATGGAAGAATTAGTGGCGAGGAGGAAGCTGATGAAGTGCGTGTCGAATATGGAGGAAGGCAGTTGGGAATGCTTCTAGGTTTCTTACAAAGGTACTGCACTGTGCAGAGGTATTCAGGATTGTTGATGGGATTGACGAAGAAGGTTTTAGAGACGAGAGCTGATGACATTAAGGGTAAAAATGAGTTATCTATTTTATTTAGTTATTCAGTTGAAGAGGGAGGTTAGGAAATTAGGATACAACAGTCTCTTCTAGAGATTCACGGTGTTATTTGCTCCTTTGATGAGAATTGCTAGTAGAAGTTGATCAAATTAATATCGCAAGTTTTGTTTGTTTCTTTTTTTTTTTAATTATGCTTTCAATTTTTTCTGCTAAGGATAGATTTCTTGGTAATGTCTACAAACTTGAAATGATGGATTTTTTTTTTTTGTTGAAATGATGGATTTATATAACAAAGAGCAGTTTTGTTGGGTTCCTTAACTGTATCAAGTTATCAACTAAAAAACAAACTTTAAAATCAATACATTAGTTATGTCCACGAATAAATAGATTGACAAGTGTTTTACCCGTCACTGTCCCTTGGACCGTTCGCCCCTAGGCGCTCTCCCTCGTGCAGCCGATCTAATCGTCTCGATTAGAGGAGCGTCCTCGTCTAGCTTATCTTCTCTGTCTGACCCGCCACTAATAGACTCATCCTCATCGCTTCCACTTTGCTCATCAAACAGTCTCTTTCGCTCTGTTTCCGGACGTTTACTTGGCCGTCCCTGCGCCTTACAGTTGCTGCTTCCTTTTCTTCTGTGCCAGACGGATCATCACAAGTCTAGACTAAGTATGCAGACCTATCATACTCATCTACCGGCTTGATTAAACCAAATCAGATGTTATGCGAGTGCACATTACATACCTTGTAAATCCTCTTTTTTTCAAGCATTTCTCCTCCAAGGTTTCCAAGAAGGTGAAGCAAGGACGCCATCCGCTGGGATCTTCGTCTGTATTAACATGCACTATACGCCCTTGAACGTCCTTCTTACTGTTCAGCAAGCAAACAAGGGCATATATAAAGTTATTTATTAGCATAGAGCTTCCTACTTGCTCAGAGAGTCATCAGTCTTACATGTCAATGATGTCAGGCACTGAGAGTCTGGTTGCAAATGGAAGGATAGCAACTTCCAGAAACAACAGTTGCTTTGGGGCGTCCCTAAAAGTAAACTCAACACCTTCCTTGACCACACTCAAAATCTCCAATCTGTATTTGTTGCGCGCAGCCCCGATATACATATCTGAGAGCCCACCTGCAAGCTCCCGGCAAACTTGAAGACATTTATCTACTCTGGATTCTTCACGGCCACTAGAAAGTTCACTTGAATACCGGTGATAGGCCTGCCCAATTACATAGTGTCAGCAATTTTCTTGGACTAAGAAACTCGCATCTTCTGAAAATCTTTGCCAAAAGCTTACCCTTTTCAAGGATTCCAGATAGATATTAGAGATGTCATCTTCTTTTTTCCTTAAGCATGTAATAAGATTCTTTATGATGCCTGTTACACCAGGTCCATGCATACCAAGATGCGATATTATCTCTGGTCCTAGATAATCCTGCAACAGAAAAGAATCCATATAAAAAAATCGATATGTGAGCATCAATCTATATAGGTGTCAGAACAACTAAGATAATAGCAGCAATGTAAAATGCACTAGGTAACTACCTTTGGCACTACATCAGTAGCAACCAACTTGCAGGCAGCAATGACTGCAACATCTCTGTTTGTCTCTTCAACGTATTCCGTATTTTCCTCCTCCTCATCGGTCTCATCTGTGTCAAAGTCCGGCAGAAATAATACGTAATTTGGAAAATCAAGAAATGACAGGGGTTTGTGGAAAAGCAAAACAAAGAGTCACCTGAAGTGTTAAAAATTTCTGCACAGAGTATCCAAAATTTCTCAAGAAAGACACTGTCGGGACAGTATCCTAATCTTTCAAGTTTACTCGAGTCATAATTTGACTTTCTAAACAAACACCATGTTTCGGCGAGTATAGCACAGATCTGCAGCATTGAAGATTTCACTTTTGAGGTGAAACGTGACTCATTCCTTGATAACACAAGCACATATAAGGAATGAAATGTGTAAGTTAAATTGGAATGTCAAATAGTCTTACCCTGAGCGATAGCTGATTACCATATTTCTTCGATTCCTCAATTCCATTCAGGAAGTACGAAAGCTCCTCAAACAGAGTATCACGCTTTGATATAAGGGAAGATAAGGAAGCTTCAGAGATAGCTTCACAATTTATGATGGAGTGCAGAGACCACGTCAAATACATGTACATATTCATAAGCAGGAAACAGATAACCTAAGCAACAACCATGAACAACTGTTCCATTAAGATGTGAGAGACACAAAAAAATAGTAAGAGCTTTTAACTAATTCCTTGAGCACCTCTTCGTCCAAATTTCTGAAATTACGGAGCGTCAAAGCAATCCCATCGAACATGCTCTCAACAAGCACAGGCTTTAACAATTGAAGCTCATGCAACCTTTTCAGATTTACAAGGAGGGAGTATTCATCATTTCCATCCTGCACAGAAAACAGATGTAAAATTGCATCCCTAAGACGAGTATGAAGATAGATGGCAAAGGAAGTAAAGTGTACCTTGACTTCTCTAATTGCATAAGTGAGCTTATCTAAAAGCTCATCTTCAAGATCTTTAAGCTTCCCACGGGAAAAATCTTGAAGCTCCCCTTTACTTTCTGACGCACAAAATGTTATAGCCTTGACGCAAGATCTTAGTGCTTCCTTTTCCCCGTGTTTGAAAAAAGCATCCTTTATGAGTCGGACGGCAGCCTTCAAACTCTATTACGGGGGACAAAATGTAACTTTCACTGAGAAAGGTGAATAACAAGAAGAAGAAAAAGGCATCCATTAAGAAACAAAATGATTTTAGTCACCTGCTCCTGTCTTTTAAGAGAATAGAGCTCAAGTTTCATGAACATAATAATCTCAACCAAAGACGACACTTTTGCTTTGTCAGCCATGAATTTACGTAGAAGCTGTGGATAATTCTTCATCATTGCCACCGTTAAGTCTTTCCTGTTGTTTTCAAACATTTCCTGTTATTCACAGCAATGAAACATCAAAGTCATTATCTTTATAACCGAAAGGGAAACAGAGTATAAAAAAGTATAAACAGAGTACAGTGCCTTATAAGATCATTTAAATGTATTTTGTCCTTCCTAGTTTCTTTCAAGAAAAAGAAAAAAAAAAGTAATGTATGTCTCATGCTTCTGCAACGTTATATCAACGTAACAACATGAAGACTCTCTCACAAAGAGAAAAGATAAAATCTTACTCGCTGTGCTTTAGTGTGATACTGCTTTCGATTATCTGTTGAAGGAATTATCTTCTCCCCGACAGCCTTTCTGATTGACACAAACAGAAGTCTGATCATGTTTGTCGAGTCCTCGTCAGTAGTAGACCCAGTTCGAGGATTCTGATCCAAAAGCATAGAGATGATACACTTCCAGTCCTGCAAGAAAAGCAGCATCATAACAATGATCAAATAAACTGCAGAAGGTACACGTCACAGCTATATAATGAACGTGCAACAGTAAATAGTAATTTCTCTTACACTCTACCTTCATGGCCTTCATGTACTCCCAAACACCATCAATTACATAAACACTAAGAATCGGATCTGTGGAGAACTCCTGTAATAGTTGTAACATTCTGAAGATATGGATCTCAGAGGAAGAATCATCAGGACCTGAAAAAAGGATGTAATAACTCTGAACCAAGTTCTATAAGTAAAAAACTCTAGTTCCCAGGACATGGACTATCTCGGAGTAAAACCTGTAAGACTGGACGGAGAACTGTTAAACTTCTGTGTGATCAAGTGGTCATACACTAACTCTCCTATCGCACGTCTGATTTCTTGAGGTTGATCAATAAGCAAATCGTACAAAGGGCCTAGGTCATCATCAGGTATCAGCTGGTGCCTGCGCAACAAAAAAAAGCTCAAGTTTTAACTCATGGCAGTTCAACATATTTGCGGTGAAGCTTTGGTTGAGAAAATTATCTTGAGGGGGAATACCTTAGCAGTTGCTTTACAAGCCCTATAGCACATACAGCTGCAGACATATCAACATCAATACCCATCTTGATCATTCGATTGGAAAATCTCTGAGTGAATAGACCAAGCGTGGGGACGTTTTCATCCTTTTCATAAAGTTTTCGCAATGCCAATAGAGAAGCTTTCCTCACTCCAGCATTCTTCGGATAATTCAATAAACAGACAAGATCAGTGACTATAACCCAACATATATTTGATAACATATGAGAGAGAGAAAAGGAGCTTACTTTGTCATTAAGCGTCCATCCAAGATATTTTAAGTACAGATCTTGTAAGAAAAGAGAAGGATAAGACAAAATCCAAATGCCCAGAGACTGAATGCATGACATCCGAATATCGTTATCAATATCTCGATATCGGTGTACAAACAACCTTCAAAATAAGATGTAACAATGACTTCAGTCAGTAACACTCGCATAAACAGAGTACCCATTTCCTTTTTCTTTTGAGTGGGTGTAATACTTAGCTGACAGTATAATCTTACCCAGTGAAAATTTTCCGAATCATGTCCTCCAGTGTAGTTATCTGTTCATGAGTAACAGACAACCTTTTGTTGAGGGACTCCACACTAGGCCCGTCAGCTCTCTTCTTGGTTTCAGCATTTAATTGTCTTTGGGTGGTTTGTCGCTGTGAACCGAGAGCGTTTGCAACAGAAATGAAAGATGTAACTAGTTGGAGGCCCATTAGCGTGGCAGTTTGACGGTAAAATCTAGGTCGAGTACTGCAATAGAAAAAGAAAAGACAAACATGAATAGAATTCTATGAGGCATATAAGTATGTAATGTTTGAACACAAACCATGACAGTGCGATTATGTAGTCCATGCACTTGTTGAACAAGAGTTTATCAAACAATGGTCCGTGTTGGCACTCGATAATCAGGTTATTCCAGAATGAAACAAGATTTTCTTTGAAGTTGTTGAGAGCTTTGTTTCTCCAACTCTGATAATCTTCAACTTCCCCCTATATGCCAACCAAAATGAAAAGAAAGTTTTGAAAATTTCTTAAGAAAGAAAATGTAATCAAAAGAGAGGAATCAATTACGGCTTCAGCACGATTGACAAAGGCAATGACAACATCATGGACATCAGTCTCATCAAGCAGATCTTCATTGATGGAGTAATTAGCACCGCAAGCCTACAAGACACAAAAGCTATTAAGAAGGAGGTACTCAGGAAATGGTGTGGTCCATTTCTCGTGTATATATTAGGGCAAATATACATAAAGAACTTAGGAGTACCTGAAAGAGCATTGACAAGAGCTCATTGGTGGCAAGTCTGGGAGAGTCTTGATATCTTTCAACCCAAATCTTGACGGCTTTAGAAATAAGATCCCCGTTGCCTTTGACAACCTCTGTTGGCAAAAAATGAAAAAGGAACAAGATGAAGCTCTAACAAAAAAATTAATCAATTTAGGAAACAGTACCAATGAGATTCTGTGGAGGAGGAGGATGGGTGCGACTACGCTTGGGCTTGGGACGGGTTTCCTGGAAATCGTCATCAGGTGAAGCATCGAGCTCTATCTGGTCGCTGCCGTCATCCTGATCCCGATCTCTTCTCCTTTTCTTCACAAGGCCTTGAGGACTGTCTTCCATGGTGTTTGCAGACGAGCGAGAAAGTTAACCTAGGGCTTCCACTACTACTTTGGAGACTAAAACTCTCCCGCCAATTTTCAGCTTTTTAACATTTCTCGATAATTAAAATTCAATTAAAAGTTTCGATTTTCGCTCGAATATTTTAGTAGTAGCTTTTTTTTTTCTTTTGGCCAATTTGCCCCTGAACAAATTATTACGTAAAACGAACATGCTATATCATTTAATATCAAGAAAAGAAAAAACAAAACAGACAAAAAAAAAGCACAAATTAACAAGTATTGGCCATTGATTCGATGAGCAACGCATAGCCCTCGGGAACAGGCGACTGCAGACGCACACACTCAGCTAAGGCAGGGACGTCGAATGACACGTCCAGAAACTGAGCCACGAAGAGAAGCAGATGAAAATCTGACAACGGCGAGCTCCAAATGTGTTTTCAGAGTCCGCATCGTTGCTCCGGTTCTCTATTGGGAATGTTGATGACAGAGGTCCCTGATCAGAGCAGCTAAATGTTTTAAAACTTAAAACACATGGACCATTAAGTCATTAGCAAAGGGAGGACCTGGCACGAATGAGAAAGAAGCTTACACGTGTCTAATCGCGATTGGATTCGAGAATCACGGTTTAAGGAAAAAAATACCGGAACAGAAAACAAATCGGGTTCTCGTTAGATTCATTTAAAAGTTATTTTCACGTTTAGTAAGAAATTGAGTTTCTCTCTCACCGTTTGGCAAAGTGAGAATTGGTTCTCACCATTTAGCAATTTAGGTTTTTTCTGACCAAAATACCCCCAAACCATAAACAGTTCTCGTTCAGTTATGTTTGGACTTCTCCTATTTTTTTTTATCTTATTATGTGTAAAAAAAAATGAAAAAAACAGAAGAAGAAGCAGAAAAACAAATCGAAAATCAAAATTTTCAACTTCAAAAATCTTTGTGATAATAGTTTTCTTAAAATCTGAACAATCTCGCATTCATCTTCGATTGAGAGTTTTTGAGTCGAGTAAGTAGAAACAAATTTCATATTTTCGGCGATGAACAAAATACAAGAAATTTCTTGAGATTCAAACACTTTAGTTTTTCAAATTTAAAATATGCTAACGTTTACTAGATTCATATGTAGAAAGCATTCAAAACTTAAGGAAAACAAGATTATGAGATACCTGCTAAAGACGGCCGCAAAATTAGGGTTGCAGAAGAGAATACTTAGGTTGAAGACGACAGGAAAATTACAGTTTTACCCTTCATCGAATTTCTTCTGTGTACGTATATATAATTTACGGTGTACGTACACGAACATATTTAGTGGAACGTATATGATACAATATTAAAGTGGTTGTAATAATTATATATCTAACCACCCTCTTTTGACTCCAAAATTAAGCTATTTTGTTACTTTCGTCTATCTCAATAAAATTCATGCATATATAATAATTAAGTAAAAATATATGGTCAAAGAATATTTGTTCCTCATATTTCTGAAAATATTATGTACGTATACGTATAGTAATGTACGTACATCTTTGTTGGTGAATTAAATTTGTTAAGATAAATGTATTGATACAATAATAAACTATTATTGGCGACATGTACCATGCCAATTTGCATTTGTGTATATCAAACATTCATCGTCAGATACTTCCTTGTGTACATAATTAGTAATGTACGTACATTCTTCTAAAAATCATGTTTTACCTCCTGATTATGACTACAAATGGTTGAATATCACCATTCTCTCCAAAATGATCGATGCTTTTTCAATTACGTACATGTTAATTAGTATACGTACACATTTTCTAATAATCAACTGAATTTTCATGTTAGCCCCACAGTAAGTTGAGTGTCACCAGCATTTCCGACATGTCCTATCCCATATTTTTCAACAATAAGATGAGTCAACTTATTGTAATGTAATCTTTGCCACTACCTTGTAGCAAAAGCAAACTTTGATTGCAAGATAAGCCATTGTTTGTTTTATGACTTGCATGTTCATAAAAACACTCCCCACATACAAAGTAACACTTGTCGTACTCAGTTCAACTTGTGTCTCATCGGCTCAAAAACTGGGTAAATCATCGAATACCGGAGCAGCATTACGTATATATTATTACCGTGTACGTATATATTATTACCGTTACGCACATATGTGTATATGATATTGCTAATCGTGAATAGTCTTCGATGATAATAAATAAAATATTATTTAAAATAGAAATAAAAAATATGAAAATGGGTCTGATAGAAAAAAAAGAATTTTAACTAAAAATATAAAAACAATAAATATTTATAAAATGGAAAAGCGAATCATCTACTGACAAGTGTTTAAGATTTTCAAACCACACACGGCTCTGTGTCACGTTAAAACATACTATTCCTCAATGTTTTTCTTTAGTTGTGAGGTTTGTTTCTACTGCTTCTCGTATTTGACATATGATTATGTAAATTGCGTAACAGAGCTGGAGTTTTGTGAGTCTCATTAGAGTCAATTTGTGTGTTGATCATAGTTGATTTCAATTATTTACTGAAAACAAATTATTAATATTTTTTAATTGAGTTCGTAGAAAACTTGTATGAAATTGGTAAGATATTTTTGGTAGAAATATGTCCTTATTTGAGTTTTTTCTATTTACGTGTATGTATTTTACGGTATACACAGTATTGATTATAAAATGGATATGTACTTCAGTTATATCATGTACTATTGTGGAGACGGTGTACGTAATATTTATAGAGTTTGTATTTTAGTTTTTTGACTTCAAAATACGCTAATATAAACTAGATTTACAAAATCAATAAATAAATTAAATGTAAAAAACAAAAGATTATAAGAAAATTGTGAACAATGGCCACAAAATTAAAGTTGCCGAAGAAGAAACCAAGTTAAAGATGAATACAAAATTAGAATGATGCCTTTGAGTATATGGACGTGTACGTCTTTCAGAGTATGTAGCATTGTTGAGGCAACGTACGTGTAATATTTACAAATTCTTAAATTGCAACATTGGTTAATTCAACAATCGTACTCTGATTTAGGTAAAACAGATCTTCCAATACTAAATTGCACACAATTACCATACAGTGAATAGTGTACAGTGTACAGTGTACGTAACGGAACCGCATAATTGAACCGTACAGTGAACAGTACATCGCATAACTGAACCGCATAACTGAACCGGAACAGTGTACGTAACTGAACCGCATAACTGAACCGTACAGTGAACAGTACATCGTTACGCTGGCAGGGGTAAAATGGTCAGATTTTGGCTAAATTGTCAAAACTTGAAAACCAATTCTCACTTTGCCAAACCATGAAATTAAAAGATGGTCTTATGCCCTGGCCTGCAATTTACCCTTCATTTAATCGAGTCCTCCTCGTTTTAGTCAAAAAGAGAGAAAAAAAGGATTTGTTTTATGAAACTGCGAAGTGGCGAAGTTCAAGATGAGTTGCGACTCTTCTACTACACTCATCGAAGCTCACATAAAGAGAGGAGAAGAAGAGACGAGAATCAATCACCAGTCTCATGGCTTCAGCTTCTTTCTCTGCGATTTCTTCGCTCTCGTATCACTTCCGCTCAAAAGAAGCGATCTTTTCATCGAAAGCTTCCTCTTTTAGTTCGACGGCTTTATCAGGAAGGAGAGTATTTGGTGGATCTATCAAAGCAGCTCAAGTGACAAGCCATCAGAACCCTCGAAGACGCTCTCAGAACGTCGAAGGAGATATATTCGTTGGTAAATAAAGTCCTTTTTTTTTATTGCTAATCGAAAACAAAGAGAGATCAATAACGCCCTCTCTGACTCTCTCTGTCTATCTTTCAATGGATTTTTTACAGACAATACTTGTATTGATTGTGATACATGTCGTTGGATGGTTCCGGTAAGCTTTTCTTCTCTGAAATCTGTAAAGCTCCTAAATTTTTATGCTTTTTCTCCTGTCTTGTGGACCCTTTTGGTGGTCCTATGAAATTGATGAACAGTTCCATTGATTTAAGCATTTTGGGTCTATTGGTTGGTGGGGTAAAGTAGTTGTGGGTGTTTCATTTTGGGTTTTGGGAAGTTGATGTCTTAGGCTTGATCTCGAAGAATGATATTATACTAAATCTGGATTTTGGTTACCCTTTTGAAATGGCTTGTTATCACAGTCGTTACATTAGAACGCGAAGTTAGAATGTTCATGTTATAGTTGTTTGTTAGTAGGCCAAAGCAGCTGTTAGAGCAGAAATTTACATTCCTTTTACATTTGTTCAGCCAATTCATAAACAGCCTTGTCTGATTTATCTTCACAGAAATTATTCACTCGAGTGGACAACATGTCCGCGGTTATCAAACAACCAACCTGTAAGGAGGAAAGACTCAATGCTCTTCAGGTGCCTTAGCTACCTCGATTTTCTTTTTCTTTCTGTTTAATCTTGATGATAGTTCATTGAGGATTTTTTGAATCTCTTTTTTTTTTGTGTCTTTGATAGTTTTTATGGGTACCTTCTAAAACATAAAGACAAAAGTCTGTGGAAATGTCTGCTAGAATGTCCTAGACTGAGAATTTCCTTATGATGAAAATTTTCCCGTCTAAAGCGAAATCTGTGAGGTTGTCCTGATTACTCATGGTTTCTTGTTTCTTTCAGGCCTTATTATCTTGTCCGACGGGCTCTATTCGCACTGAAACTCCACCTGCTGACATAGGGGAAGCTCAAGAGACCTTTCCACTTGCAGTGGACAAGGACACACTTCCTGTAGTTTCCCATCTCTTTAGCTTTCATTTTTTAGGATGGTTATTAATAAACAAGTCAACTAACTCTGATTAGATAATTGTAAGCATACATTGGAATTTGAAATTTTGTCTAGGTTTTGAATAGCTGTAGATACAATGATCTTAAGTTCTTAACTGATTAAGCTCCACGGAGAACTCATACTTCCATACTACCCTGTTCTTATATATTGAGACTTGTATTATGCTCAGGGTGTTTTTCATTGTGGATTTCATTCCAAGAAATCCTACGGAGCAACTTCCTACTTGATCCTTCATCGTGAGGGAAATATACTTGTTGATAGGTAAAAGGCATCATGGATTCTTATTTTCTTTGTTGTTTAGTAGCTTATACATTGTTGATGCAATGTTTTTCTTGATATACGTCGTTTTGGCTATTAAATTGGCACAACTGATAAACCAAGGGTTTGTTGTTTGCTGCAGTCCTAGGTACGTGGAGAAACTTGCTCGAAAGATTGAGATGATGGGTGGTGTTCGCTACATGTTTTTGACACACAGGTAGAGTTGATAACACCTAAAGAAGAAACTCAATGTTTTTCTCTTGTAATCTCTGTTAACAAGGATAATCTATTTCATTCTTCAGGGATGATGTTGCAGATCACAAGAAATGGGCAGATCGATTCAAGTCTACCAGAATTCTGCATTCTGCAGATGTATGTCCTTGAATTTATCACACCTCTCTGCTAAACTTTCTACACATTCTTAATAGGTTTTCACATCTAGATTTCGTGGGAAAAAAATGCTTGCTTACAGAGTTACAAGGACCTTGGGCTGATTATATGCTCTGTAAAAAATAGAAAAAGATTCTGAGGTTATCCGTAAAAACCAAACTGGCCAGGAAAACAATTTTGTTACTAAATCCAGCTTTGATTGACTATTAAGGGATATTTTATTTTTTGTTAGGTTGAACCTTCGACCTCTGATGTGGAGTTGAAGCTGGAAGGAAGTGGACCATGGAGTATCTATGAAGATGTCGAGCTTATACACACTCCCGGTCATTCAGAAGTAAGTTTGTTCAACTGCAAGAACATACATGAAAACGAATGTTTATTTTTTAACAAAAAAATAATTTCATTATGATCTTGGGATAAGAGCTTTGTAAAAATTTGCAGGGATCGGTGTGCCTGTTCCATAAGTCCCTCAAGACATTATTCACTGGAGACCATGTAATAATGACCGAATCTGGATTGAGCATTTTAGAGCAGTACAATCACGGGTCAGGTAAAGACTTATTTGTGGAATGTTTTGGATAAATGTTTTTGAATATTCATTCAAGGTAGAAAGATTGATCTAAATGTTTCGTGTCTCTGGCAGTGCCTCTCCAGCTCGAGAACGTAGAAAAATTGATCACCCTGGATTTCAAATGGCTAATACCGGGTTAGTGCACTTCTGCTATCCTATATGCCTATATCTGCTTTACTTAAATGGAGATTTTGGATTTTGATGGCGGGTTCGTATATCAGGACATGGAAGAAGAGTACACTTCAAAGATGGTGAAGAGAAGGCGAAGAATCTGGAAGCACTTGTTCAGAAGCACAGAGAGAAACAACTTGTTTCCTTTAGCAAATCCGGGAAAGCCTAAGAAGACAAACTTTGTATGCTGATTCTAAACCGGTGAACCAAACTAAACCACCAGACCGAATGTCTCTTCGGTCTGACTGGTCTGTGTGTCAGTTAGTTCCCACGCGAGTGATGTATTTCTATGTAACATTGTAAACCTACTTAAACGCATATTAAATTGAAACGAAGATCGTGAGTAAAAAGCTTTGTAAGTCTACTCTTTCCTTATGCAGCTGTTTAGTTACGCTATTGTCTGTCAGCTAAAGTGTGTTATTTTATTTTATTTTCGTTTTGATATATTAGATCAACCTCACATCTCTCCAGTATATTCAGCACATTTGACTTGGAAATTTCCCTTCCAAAATAAAATCTTAAAACACAAATCAACTAATAGTGGTCCTGTGGGTGGCAAGATTTATGGGGATCATGGTTCGAACCTTTTCACTACGATTTTTTTCATGTTTAATTACTTCGAATGTCTTAAATAGCGAAAATTTCTGATTTCTTCACAAGCTAGCATCGGATGCATTATGCATATATATGATTTTTCACAAGCATCGGATGCATAGTTAGGTATATCTCATATATAGTAGTAAAAGTTATTTAACATATTCTTTTTGGTACCATTGCTACAATAATCATACATGCAGATTGCAGAGATAATCAGAAAACATCACATATTCACATACACTGGAACGTAAGAAAGTACATGTAAAAAGAAAATGCACTAATAATCATTCACAAACTTAGTTATAGATTAGCGATCGAAAATTAGTGACACCAAATTAAACTTTTTAATTAAGGACGTTCATTCGGAGACAAAAAGAACTTCATCAACAAAAATCAGTAGTCACTAAACTATTTTTCAACCACTCCACTAAATAAGTGGAACCTCGTTCAAAAACTGCCACGAAACATTCCCACCAACAAAGATAACAAATAATATAGAGCACTCCTTCCTTTCGTGCTTCCCACTACAAACCCAACAATTAAAATTGTTACAATTACTAAGCATCGCATTAACGTTATGCTATATATACAAATCCCTCGTTTGACCAAATATTCGCATCATAGATTTCATTACAAATTAACAAACCATATTGACAAAGAAAAATAAAAGAAATGGGGAATGGCATGATAAGGACATTGGTTGTTCTAGCAATAGCTTTATTCATGATCGGTTCCGACAATATCCACGTGGCAACAGCTCAGGTCTGTGGAGCTAACTTGTCGGGACTGATGAATGAATGTCAACGCTACGTCAACAACGCCGGGCCAGAATCTCCGCCGCCGTCTCGGTCTTGTTGTGCTCTAATCCGTCCCATTGACGTACCTTGTGCTTGCCGCTACGTTTCGAGGGATGTTACGAATTACATTGATATGGACAAAGTGGTTTACGTCGCTCGTTCTTGCGGCAAGAAGATTCCCTCCGGTTATAAATGTGGAAGTAAGTACCTTTCTTAATTTTCTTATATTAATTTCGTAATTGTTAAGCATATATATGTCATAATTTGGATTTGAATCTATTATAGGTTACACCATTCCGGCGGCTTAAAAAGGAAGGAGACCAACAGAATTTGGATTTGCTATAAAAATTAATAAAACGTATTAGTATCTGAATAATGATGATGATGTTATCAGTATTTTAGGTCTTGTAATATAAGCAAAATGGGGTTATTAATGGTCGGAAGATATAATAATGAGACTTGTAATATGTTTATGTTTTTTATTTGGAACACCTAAAAAAACATCTGAACTCGCAAGAACTCATTTACTGCCCTGCCCTCATAACAAAACCACGAGCTCCGAGATTTCCTGTGGCTTCTTTAGCCTCTTGTTTTCATTATGTACCACTTTCTCGACTCCACCCTTTATAAACCTAATCCTCCACGCAACTCCAAACACATTGTCCAAAGATCAATACACACTGTTTAAAAAAAAAGAAAAGAAAGAAGATGAACGCCGGAAAGCAAGCTTCGTGGGCGGTGGCGACGGCGATTGCAGCCGTGGAAGTACTAAAGGACCAAGGCGTTGCTCGATGGAATTACCCTCTCCGCTTACTCCAGAAAGAAGCAATGGCTCGCGTCCGTACCATCACAGTCCCATCTCGTCACTCTCCTCCTACGTCTTCATCTTCGGCTGATTTCATCAGATCCAAACCCATGACGACTACACCCTTTGAGAAATCCTTTGAGAAAGCTATGGGTCTTAGCTCCTTTGGTCCCACCACCGTTAGATTCTAGATCTCTATATGTACTGACAGTACTGTGTTGTACACTAATCAGAATGTGCATGCGTACTTGTTTTTGTTTACCCACCACATCTTTAGCTCCATACCAACTTGGAACCATGGTTCTAACATTTAGCTTAAACATTTTTTCCCAATTTTGAAATAAATTTGATTTTATATAGAAATAACTAAATCAAACCGGATTGTGTAAGCCGGTTTATATTATACCACAAAAGAATCTTGATTTGATATAGAAATTCACATCACCGACAGTTAGACACTTGTGAGTCATAATTAGTCTTAAGGTGCAAATGAGTCTACATAATGCATAAAACATTGTGGAATGAAGCATTCATCCTACATTTTGCTAAAATCTAACCATTTTCACTAGAGTAAACAAAATTTAGGGGAATATCCCTCTACGATTATGGTAAGGGATGAGTACAGAAAATTTATTTATTTTTAATTACATCCATTTTTTCATGTTTACCAATTAGATCAGAAAAGAAATTAGTCAGCATCATACTGCAAATGAAGCGTCGACGAGGAAGAGTATGATCATCCGTACCGGAGGATGAAATAAATAGGAAACCAAAAGCTTCGGTAGAAAGCAAAGAAAGATGAAAATTTCAAAAAAAAAATAATGTTCAGTCGAAAGATATTGAAACAATTTCAGATTTTCTTTGCTATGATACCATTTTATCAACAATAATTATTTGATTTATGAAAATAAATTTCATTATGTAGAATATTTTGTACTTGATCTGGTTTATACTATACCGGTTCTTAAAGAATTTAGACACGAAAAATTAAGTCCATACATATACACATCAAAGAATCAGATACACAAGTACAACGACTATTCCGTGGAAGCAGTTTGTTGCGTGATGGGACAAGCTGAGAATACGCCCACAGATATCGCTATTGCTCACTTGAACCATTTTGGTCAAAGTCACTTTGCCAACTTCTTAATAAAGATTGATACAACTTAACATTAAAACCACCAAATAAAACTTCTTGATAAAGATAAGCCTCATTGTACCACAACCACACACCAAGCCAATAAGTCAACAACTACTCCTAACTCACTTAAACCTAATCAATACAATTTAATATTAGACCGACTACGTGAGGGTGCATATGCTTCTTTTAACCAAAACATATTGAAGTAACATTTCATATTTTTCTATTCTCAATTTAATCAAGTGAAGAAATTTCGGTTACTTGTTATAAATGTTATTTTTTGGTAAAGCTTATACTTTAAAATATTGTAACGTTTAAAAAATCAATTATCTTGGTGCATTAAGATGATAGATACCGTAAACCTACTTTTGTTGACCAAACTTGATTCTAAAGAAAGAAAGCAAAAGAGAGAACAAAAACGAAGACAACTCTCATCTTCTTTTCTCTTTCTTTTTCCTCTCCCTCTCTCTCTTCTAGAGCTTGTTGATTGATGATCTTGAAGCAAGAATCATGAGATTCCTTCACAGATTTCTGTTGGAGGATATGTCCAACGAAACCTTATCGGACTCGGCCTGTAAATTTAATTGCCTCCAAGACTTGAAAAGTATAGGATATTGTCCATCCTATTGTCTTGACGACTGTCCTTCAATATGCGAGATCGTCGTAGTTACGGGTTTTTCTCCACCTCCAGTGATCCACCACGACGACAACTTAAAGAGGATCTTGATCATCTCTGCTTCATCTATCATCACAACTCTGTTTCTCCTTACTTTACTTGTTCTCTGCTTCAAGTTTTACTATAGGAGGAGAAGATCAATATTAGCAATATCAAGAAGATGGAGTATGGAAGAAGCTAGGAATTGGGATTTTGATGGACCAGCACCGGTTGTTGTCGATCATCCGATTTGGCATATCAGAACCATAGGATTGAATCCAACGGTTATAAGTTCGATCAAAGTTTGCCAATATAGTAAAAAAGATGGTGTTGTGGAAGGAACTGATTGTTCGGTATGTTTAAGCGAATTCGAAGAAGAAGAGACGCTTAGATTGTTACCAAAGTGTAGACATGCTTTTCATCTTTCTTGTATTGATACTTGGCTAAGATCACACACCAATTGTCCGCTTTGTCGTGCTCCTATAGTCGTGGCCAACACGATGATTGATGATCATAGTGAGGGTCTAGAGGAGATCCGTGTGAGTATTCCAGAAGAAAATGGAGATGATATCGATGAAGAAATCGAGGAAGAAAGAGATGGGTTTGTTAGTAATATTAGTAGAGAACATGGTGAGTCGCAGCAGCGAGTGAGACGATCAGTGTCGTTGGGCTCGTTATCAGGTTTAAGGGCAAGTGAAGTTGTTGTGGGTAGAGAAAAGGAGAAGTTGAAGAGAGGTAATAACATTGGATCTGGGAGGTCAAGTTTCTTGAAGAGATCTATCTCTTACAGTGGAAAGTAGTACTAGCTACACTGCTATGAATAAAAACAACAAGTCCATTAAGTAAGTTTCTTGAAGAAGAAAATGAAATCAAAGCCAACAAGATAGATTGTATTTATATGTATGAAGGTGATGTAAGATTTTTGTTTATCAAAGCTGCCACTCTTGTAAAGTTGAAAGAGAGTTTTTGACAGCTTATACTCTGCTTTTGGATCCTCTGGATTAAGTTGGTAAGTATAAATATACACCAAGCTTCATTTTGTATGTTACTTGTTTATTGTTCTTGAAATACCATCTTGTTTCTAGTTAAATTAACTCAGATTCAACTGTGTCTTATGTGAATGGGATTCACATTTAGCGTTTTGTTTTAAGCTATACAATCAGTTTAATATGAAACGCTGCGTTTCATTAAAAGAAGGAAAAAACGACAAAGAGAACTCTTTGTCTTCATCGATTATATTTTCTTGTGTAACTCTGGTTCCTCTCTTCATCAACGAGAAGAGAACACTTCTACTTCCCAGAGAATTCACCTATATGTCTTTCTTCAAGGAGAAGTCTTCCTCTTTCCCGATTTAGGTTCGATTCATGTTATAACTTTTTTTCTCCGATTTCTGAATTTGAATTCGAGTTTGAATAACGATTTAGTTTTAGTGTCGGTGTAGAACTGAATGATACTGATGCAAATGATGGTTTGATTGAGGTCGATTTGGCGTTACAATAGAAGTTCTCACATTCTCGTGTAATTTGAAGGGTCGAGTCGTCGGGGTCACATTGTCGCAGGTTTATGTTTATCTTCGAAATTAGGGTTTGTTATATGAAATTGGGGATTATTTTGTCTGCTTACAAATCATGCTGTTTTCATTCTCCTGAAATTAACTTCACGCTGTTTTTCACATAAAATACGACAGACAAACGATAATTAACAAAACTGTTAAGATGGACGGAACATAAGATGAGGTCTAAAAATGGATAATTTTTTTAGGTCAGTTTTTCTTTCCTTTTTTAGTTAAGGTGAGATTTGTTTTGGATTTTCTTATGTATTTGTACATTAAAGTTTATCAAATCAATCTTGGTTTATGCATTGACAAAAATACTAAATAAAAGTACAGTTTAGAAAGTAAAATCACATGTTAAGTTTTGATCTTAAACTCTTGTTGATGTTTTTGTTGTTGTATGCTCTATGCCTATAAACAAATTACTAGTGAATTACCATTTACTTATTAAAATTATGAATCTTTGACCAATAGCAAATTTCCATAAAATCAATCATGCCCTTAATCCATATCTTCCTCCATCAAAGAGTTTTTGCATTAGTTAGCTTCTCATGAAGAGAACAATTTGGTTTAGGGAAAAGAATTTGTGGGGTGGGGTCCAAAACTGACACGACACAAAAACTTTGGTTTCTCCGTCTTTGTTGGAGAAATGCATTCGCATCCACTTCTTACCAAAAATAAATAAATCAATATTTAATTAATTAGAAGGCCTTCTTGTTTTTTCAGATGAACAAAGCTATTCAGATGCCTTGTGCCTTGTTGATCCAGATTCGAAATACCCAACTTTACTCTCTAGACCTCTTTCATGGCAGCTACTCCCACTCACTTCTCTGTCTCCCATGATCCTTCTTCTTCCACGTCTCTCCTTAATCTGCAAACCCAAGCGGTATGTGTCAACTCTCTCCCTCTCCCTCTCACACTGTTTCATTCATATCTGCTCATGGTTTTTGTCTTTATTCTCTTGCATTTTTATTCAGATCTTTGGTCCCAAGCACAATTTAAAGGAAACCCAGTTGAGAATTCCAGCTTCTTTCAGGTAATTTCTGGACTTTACTAACTTTTCAGTTTGGAATTGGGATAATGATCCGTAATTTTGATTTTGTTTTGAGAATATATAATAAGCATCTAAGAGAAATCACTTGGTGATGCATTGTACTTTGTTGGGGACCCCTTTCGTTTGTACAGCTTATGTTTATAGTTTCTTAGGTTCTATAATTAAGTAGTGTGTCGTTTTATAAGATTTGAAAAGAAGAGTCTTTTTTGTGATTCTTCAAATTCAAATGCCGAAATCTCTGTGGAGATGTTTTGTTTATATTAAAATGTTTAGATTTTGTTTTTCGTTGGTGTTTGCAGAAGAAAAACTGTGAACTTGCAAGTGATGGCTTCAGGAAAGACACCCGGACTGACTCAGGAAGCTAATGGGGTTGCAATTGATAGAGAAAATAACTCTGATGTATTTGACGACATGAAAAAGCGGTTCCTTGCCTTCAAGAAGCTTAAGTACATGTAAGTGGCAGAGAACCAATTTCTTCAGTCTTTTCCTTTTTAATGGTTTATGGATTACTTTTTGCCTTTCTGTTTTCCCTCGTCTGATGATATACTCTTGAGCAGGGATAACTTTGATCACTACAAAAATTTGGCAGATGCTCAAGCTCCAAAGGTACCTTTACAATTTACAGATGCTTATTGTTCATTGAAGGCTTGAGATATCTTCTGTGGTTTAAATGTTGTCTGGAGAAAGGAATAGTTGCTAACAGTTTGAGCAACAGTTTCTGGTGATTGCTTGTGCAGACTCTAGGGTTTGTCCTTCTGCTGTCCTGGGATTCCAACCGGGTGACGCATTCACTGTTCGTAACATTGCAAATTTAGTACCTCCATTTGAGGTATAACATTTAGTGCAGACTACCATTTTGGTTTTATGGCCTGGTTCACATTTTGACATTTTTTAATTTGCCTGTTGCGTGAAGTCTGGACCTACTGAAACCAAAGCTGCTCTAGAGTTCTCTGTGAATACTCTTAATGTAAGCATCTATCATATCTCTGACAGTGTTTCAAGTTTTAAATAGAGCGTTTTTCACAGTTCAGGGTTCGGTTTATTTCATGAAATTAGCTTTCTTTTCACTTAAACTCAAATCTCAAGGCAACATAAACAGCATAGACACAATGTGTAGATACATTCATCTATAATTCTTGTCTCATTGATAAAAATTGTAGGTGGAAAACATCTTAGTCATCGGTCATAGCCGCTGTGGAGGAATTCAAGCTTTAATGAAAATGGAAGACGAAGTAGATTCCAGGTTTTTACCAGTTTTTGATTCATTCTATTAAACAAATCCATTAATTGTTGTTGAACTTTGCCACATTGCATTTCCCTGTTAACAGAAGTTTCATACAAAACTGGGTAGTTGTGGGGAAGAAGGCAAAGGAAAGCACAAAAGCTGTTGCTTCAAACCTCCATTTTGATAATCAGTGCCAACATTGTGAAAAGGTGATGTCTTTTTTGTGAATCAGTGGAATTTATTTATATCTTCCATTATTAATCAGTGAACTTATATTTAATCTAAACCTGCAGGCGTCGATAAATCATTCATTAGAAAGGCTGCTTGGTTACCCGTGGATAGAAGAGAAAGTGCGGCAAGGGTCACTGTCTCTCCATGGGGGATACTATAATTTTATTGATTGTACATTTGAGAAATGGACAGTGGATTATGCAGCAAGCAGAGGTAAGAAGAAAGAAGGCAGTGGAATCGCTGTTAAAGACCGGTCAGTTTGGTCTTGACTTACGACTATCTCAATCTTCATAGAGTTTTTTTTTGCATAATTTATAGAGAAACATCAAACCCCGTGGGGTGGGATTATCATGTGTTTGTTCCACTTGTGTGTTGAAGTCATTTTCTTCTTCTGTCTTATTGAGGCTAAAACTTGGGAGACCCCTTCAGGGACTTATGTTTGTTCTATCTTCCATTTGTATCGTTTAAATTCCACATTTGTGCAATGAACTGATTGGTTTTTCATTAAGATATAATCATTTTGCCACTGTAGTGAGATCGGAAGCATACATTACAGAGATAGGATCATAATTGAACGCAATTTATGATTGATTTATTTGATCGACTTTGCAATAGTGTTATCAATCGGTTACAATCACTTATTATTTATTATAGATAAGTTACAAGTTAAAAAACTGAGTAATGTTACAGTCAATACTCATCAATCCTACAGCCAGCAGTATATATATAGCCAGTTAGCTTATGTTGATGATAATCTTCACATATGCCAATGAGTTTGGTTTCAATAATTGAAACAAAGAGTTTAAGTATGGAGGAAACAACTCAAGTGATGGAGATCGGAGTTGCAGGGAGAGAGGGGGGAGTAGAGAGGGGCGGAGTGGGCGATCCAGGCGTTGCGGGTTTCGGAAATTGAGGGAAAGGAGATGGGAATGGGAATTTTGGAAAACCTTGCCCCGGAAACTGAGAAAAACCGGGTGTAGGATTGCTCGGAAAACCGGGTCTCGGGAATTGAGGGAAAGGCATGCGATTGGTTGGAAAACCGGGCCTTGGAAACTGAGGAAAACTGGGTACTGTTGGGTTGCTTGGAAAGCCGGGTCTCGGAAATTGAGGGAAATGTGGTCTAAAATTTTTCGGTTTTAACGTTTGTTTCTCCGTAAATTGTTGTGCAGCGCGGCTTGAAGTGATCATGGAGGGGAACATCAGAGCTATGAGGAGAGAAGCGACTAAGAAGATTTTAGATGAAGCCATAGTGCTAATAAAAGAGCTCTTCAGTTAGTTGATGTGTGTTTTATTTGATTACTTCTTTCTCTGATGGATTTGAGTTATATAGGAGGGAAACTGAATAGAGATAACGACTACAATTTGCATATCATTTGACTGAATTTTCTTTTTATAGATTTACCGTACCTAATGGTTTCATTATTAAGAATAGGAAACGGTTGATATGGTTACCATTTTGTTACTATTAGTTTGAATATATGTTTGTTGTATCAACAAAGCATATCCATAAGACTTAGAATTGACCCTGCCTCATTAAATTGTCATATGGATATAATGTAGATTTCACATTGAATATCAACTACACACATCTAAAGAACTATTACCGTGGTTGCACTCTGCAAGCTCTTTCATCTCTCTTATGCTAAACTTACCCAAAACTCTTCTTGCCCACTCGCCAAAATAAGTCTCATTGTATCCGATCATAGCATTCTTATAGATCGACATACATCGCCTATCTGTATCGGGGAATTGACATATTTCGCCCACCGGGTCATGCCAAGAGCCTTCGTGTCTCATCCCTGACCAATTAGCTCCCCATTGGTACACAAGCTGGCCAACTCCTGCAAGCTTAAGCCATCCTTTGGGGAAAAACTCCATTACACTACTATTTTTATTCATTAGAAACAAGTTAGTGAGCTGTGCACCGTGTGGTGATACTAACACATCGGTCTTCTGCATTAGCCCCACTTGCTCACAAAATGTTAGATTATTCGAATATGAAACATTAATTTCACACCCATCTACTCTTTTACACTCTCTCTTAAAGACATCAATCACCATGGATTCATTTCTGAAAGATCTGGCTCCAGTTCTCAATAGCAATGTCATACCGATTCGCGGTTTTGATCTCTCGGATGAGCTGATATTACAGTAGTTCCTCGCTTTGCATCTAATGAGATCAAAAGCTTCCATTCTTCTCTCCCTTGACATTCCACCTTCATTGTGTCTCATAACAACTGCCTTCTCGAAACAAACTGGCTTATCCTGATCAGCAAACCGTAAAAGCTCCGGCTCTTGACCGTAAGTCGCTGTGATTATCTCACTCAACCAATGCCCCATCCCGAACCTTAGTTCTCCCCAGTGGTATAAAACCCATTTTTGAGGCTTTTCATATTGGTTTCTTAAGCTCCAAGCAACAAATGGGACTACTGCCGTTAGTCCATGCCACAAGTTACCGTAATCATATTGATTGTAAGAAACAAACGTCAAGCCCTCCTGAAGAACCGCATTGGTCGGAAGAGCTTCGGGCCAAGCCAGCGCGTAGGAGTTCCATGACCCATCATGCTCATCAACCCCTTTCAAGCACAAAAGCCTTCCTTTCGAAGAATCTGAAGGAAATTCTTGATACTGAGCCTCACCTTTGGTTTGATTATCATAGAGAGAGCTCATAAACCAAGTATGACCTTCAAGTGGTTTGTTTGAAAAGCGATAATCCTTGAGAGGAAGGAATGTCACCGATTCACGTAGCTTTTCCACCAAGTAAGCCGTCTTGTTCTCGGATATTTGTTCAGGTTGGTGTCTCAGATACGTCAAGAGTGCAGGAGGGAGTGAAAGAGAACGTTGAGTAATTTGAAATGAACAGATTTGGAGAAGAACAAAAACAGTGACAACGAGGCACAAGACGTTCAAGTAGAACTTAAGGGAGGATAAGCAAGTAACTAGCCTTCGCCAAACACTAGCTTTAGTTGTCATTGTGAATCAAATAGAGTGAGGCAGAATCAGTTTTAGTTTGATGGAATATGTGAATTAAACTTGTGAGGAACATATATGGTCAACGGTTAATAGTCATTGAAGATTTGGAATTAACCAACACATGCTTTCCGTTTTTCTCTCCTAGTTTTACAATTTTTTATTGCATGCATTACATTCTACGAGAAGTTTTCTATGCTAATCTCAAAGATAAGTTCACTACTCTGATTTAGATTAGATGCATACAATAGTCTACTAGAACTATTTATATAATTTAAGCCACTGGTCTTTGTTTTAGTTCATGTTTGTGTTATGAGTCATTGATCATGTTTGTCGATTTTCGTGCTAGATCTTTTAGTATTGCCGAATATTTTTTGGATCTGGAATTACAAATCTAAGATTCAAGAGATTTATTTTTTATTTTTTCATAGTTTTTACTTTACATCTAGCTTTATCTTTATTAAAAACCAGTTGGCTATATACTCTGTTATTTCGTTATACTAAAAAGTGATTAGAGTATTATTTGACTATTTTGGTTGCCTACACTTCCATCAACACCGACATCCATCTAGCGAACCATAACTGTGGTTGCGTCCTACAACATTTTCCATCTTTCTTTCTCTAAACTTACCCAAAACGCTTTTAGCCCACTCTCCAAAATAAGTCTCATTGTATCCGATCCTACCGTTCTTATAGACCGACATGCATCGCCTATCAGTATCGGGAAACTGACATATTTCCCCATCCGGGTCATGCCACGAGCCTTCATGCCTCATTCCTGACCAGCTAGCTCCCCATTGGTACACAAGCTGACCAACTCCTGCAAGCTTACGCCATCCTTTAGGGAGAAATTCCATCACGCTACTATTTCTATCCATTAGAACCAAATTAGTAAGTTGTGCACCATGTGGTGATACTAAAACATCAGTCATTTTCATCAGCTCCACTTGCTCACAAAATGTTAGATTATTTGAATAAGAAACCTTCAATTCACACCCTTCAACTCTTTTACACTCCCTCTTAAAGACATCAATCACGGCTGACTCATTCTTGAACGATCTTGGTCCGGTTCTCATTAGCAATGTCATACCGATTCGCGATTTTGATGTCTGGGAGAAGCTTATGTTACAGTATTTTCTCGCTTTGCATCTAATGAGATCAAAGACTTCCATTCTTCTCTCCCTTAACATACCACCTTCATTGTGTCTCATAACGACTGCCTTGTGGAAGCACACGGGCTTGTTCCCATCAACAAACCGTAAAAAATCGGTGTTCTGACCGTAAGTAGCTGTTATTATCTCACTCAACCAGTTCCCCATCTTGAACCTGAGTTCTCCCCAATGGTATAAAACCCACCTTTGAGGACTTTCGCATTGGTTTCTTAAGCTCCAAGCAACAAACGGGACCATGGCGGATAGTCCATGCCACATGTTACCGTAACTGTAATGATTATAGGAAACAAATGTCAATCCCTCCTGGAGACTGGCATTGACCGGAAGAGCTTGAGGCCAAGCCTGTGCATAGTAGTTCCATGACCCATCATGCTCATCAACCCCTTTCAAGCACAAAAGCCTTCCTTTTGAAGATTCTGAAGGAAATTCTTGATATTGAACCTCACCTTTTGTTTGGTTATCGTAGAGAGAGCTCATAAACCAAGTATGACCTTCGAGTGGTTTGTTTGAAAAACGAAGGTCTTTCAGGGGAAGGAATGTTACCGACTCACGTAGTTTCTCCACCAAGTAAGCCGTCTCGTTCTCAGATATTATTTGTTCAGGTTCTTGTTGTTGTTCTTTCAGATATGTGAATAGCGAAGGAGGAAGTAAAATGGGTTGTTGGGTAATGTGAAATGAACAGATTTGAAGAAGAACAAAAACTGTGACGACAAGACACAAGACGTTCAAGGAGAACTTAGGGGAGGCTAAGCAAGTAACTAGCCTCCTTGAAACGCTGCGTTTAGTCATGTTTTGAATGGGGAGAGTGAATGAATGTGAAGAAATGAAAGAGAATCGCTTTTATCAGATGAAATGGGTCAAATGAAACCCGTGAGGAAAAATAAAGGTGACTTTATTTGCCAAAGAGGTTGATGCATTGCATGTTTGAAAAATGAACGTTATCAAATCTGCCCCCACATTTGTGGCAGGTTTTAGCATCGACCAACACATGCTTCTTGTTTTATTTTCTACAAGATTAGAAAGCATTTCTAAATTTGTTCACAAAGTTCGTACTAGTGTAGATATATTAGACCAAAAAATATTAATAGATGAAATTTTTTAAAAGAAAGATATAGAGAAAGATGTACTTATTTTGATAAATTGACAGCCAGAAATTGTTCATGTAAACTGACAGATTTTAATAACTGTTTTACTGCAAATTTAACGAAAAACCATGCACTTATATATACCTACTTATACGTATACATATATCACAAACGTCACCAATTTTTTTTATATTACTATGAGTAATTAAAGAACCAAGAAAGCACTTTCAGAAACCACAAAACAAATGTAAAATACAACATATAAGGTACAAATCATCAAACAGGGGTATGCGTAATTAACCAAACAAAAACACACCACAATGAAACAATCTTACAATAAAAGATACATCATCAATCACATGAAAATGATAATTCAAGGACTCGATGTAGTTGTAGAAGGTGGGGGAGAGAAGAACGGAATGAATGGGAGACTAGTCGGAAGAGAAGGAATGGACGGGAGATTAGTCGGAAGAGAAGGAATTGTTGTCGGAAATGAAGGCAAAGTTGGCATTGGAGGCATTCCAGTGGGAATTGTTGGAAGATTTGGTTGTGGCAAAGCTGATGGCAGTGGAAATGGAGACATTGCAGTGGGCATTGTGGGAAGAGTTGGTAAAGATGGTTGTGGCAACGTTGATGGCAATGGAGGTAGTCCCATTGTTGGGATAGGCAGATTTGGAATTTGAGGAAGAGGTTGTTGTTGGAGAAGGCGGCGTGATGCTGAGCAAGTGTTGATCATCATAGAGGAAGAGAGGCTCACTAAGAAAGCAATGAGAAAGAGCTTGTATGATGCCATTTTGGGTGTGTTAATGAATCTCTAATTATGGTTAAGCCTCTCTAATTGCTTCACTTGTATTGCTTGTTGTTGATGAGAAATTCAAAGATATGTGATTGAGTTTATATAGTGGCAAGAGTCTTTATGGATTACAAAGACTTTGCATACAATATCTTATATGGTTTTTGTTAGGTGTACTTTATGGTTGGCTTGAGCTTTTGTTAGTTCAACTTAAATGTCTTTTTTTAGATTATTTTGACAACTTAAGGAATTTTATTAAAGTTAGTTCAACAATCAAAACCTTCTAACTCTAATACACATTTAACCCATAAGTCAATAACCAAACTTTTAAATATCATTTAATGCTTACAAAATGCACTATTACACACACATTACCAATTACTAATTTACTAGGGTAAAATATTTACAAAATGTTATTTAACTTTTCATAAAAGATAGACCAAATCTAATTATATAAAATATGATAGACCAAATCTAATTATATAAAATATGAAATACAAAATAATCTCCAAAACATCAAATAAAACAAAACAAAAAAGCCCTAATTTTCCCCAGCAAAAAACTCGAACCGGATAGACCAACAATTAATGGTTTAACGGATCTGACCAGTCGAACCGAATAGACAAACAATTGAATTTTGAAAATATGTGGTCATTTCCGAAAAGTCAACCTAACCAGACAGAATCGAAACCCAAATTCAAAATTCCGTCTCTTTGGTGCAGAATACGCTTCAAACCTTCTCGAACCCATCGGAACTGTAACTAAGTATAATTCTCTGGCGCCGATGACTCTCCGCTCAGTTCAATCCCGCAGTAAACGGAAGGCGATTGCAGTATTCGATTACACTGACGAGGATGAGCGTATTGAAAAGGTGTCGAAGAAACTCCTTCGCAAATATGATTCCCCAGTTACTAAAAAAACCTCCTGCGCCAACGATAAGTATGAATTCCTTCGATGCTGTGAGTGTTTCTTCTCTGAATTTCCCATTGAATTTTTGTATCGATTTGTTTTTGGCTGTGTCTTTTGGATGATCAAGGTGGTCTTTTACTCAATAAACTTGTTTTGTTGAATTTGCGTTGGTTCTTTGATGCAAGAGTCATTCAATTGTGTGTGATGTATCTGAACTATACTGGAGTGATTATGATGTTTTCTTAGAAATAGAAAATCATGGTAACACAAGAGACCGAAGATCTTATTTCTGTGTTAATATCTTTCTATTACAGTTGCGCAGGATACCCAAAGCGAGAGTAAAGAACTAGACCACATTGTTATTGATGCTGAAGGTAAAAGTACGAAAACTATATGTTGGAGGACAGTTCTCAACTACATATGATGAAATTGTTCTTGGAAAAAGTGTTAGAGTTTCAAATTTCAGATGCTAGTGTGGTAGATCAGCAATGACTTAATTTGTAGTTTAATCCTTAGAATATGTTTTGAGAAAAGTTTCTATAAAGATGGGAATTGTGGCTATATGAGTTACTGCTGAAGTTCCAGTTTAGCGATCACCATTTCCTTGATCTTTTTTTCTGTTTTTCATCTAGCTTGGCTAAACTAATTTTGGTTTATGCAGTCCCAGCAAAAGAAGAACCGTCAAGGTGTGAACTCAGCGGAGATGGAACTGTGAGTTTTCTCATGCAGTCATGAAGGAGTTATTATAAGGAATAAGCATGTCTGGAAATTTTCTAATTTTTGTTGTACAATATATTGCAGGGTGACCTGATTAATGTAATCTCCAATAGCTCCCATGGAAGGATTGGAATCGATTCATCAACTTCATCATCTGTAACGGAAAATGATGAAGGTTTTTAGCATTTTAGTTTTCTCTATCTTTAGTTTCAGTTTTTTTTTTTTTATGTTTCTTATCTCAAAATTGCTTGCTCTAAAGAAACTTCTGAATTATTTTAGCTTCAACTGGAGAAGCCACCAATCCTGCCCCTGATCCACATGAAGTTGTAAGTCTTTTCGAGTATCTGCTGTTCTTTTAATTAGAGATAGTTAAGGATCACAAAAAAGGTGAAAAGCATAATCTCTACTTCTTCTGAAAAGTTGTCGATATGCTGTTTGTCTCAAGAGTTATGCACGTGGGTTTATATGCAGACAGTATCTCATGTTTTTTCTTTTTCTGCATACACAGGATCCCGAGAATGCACAAGTTCTTATTATCCCTGATGTTATTATATATGGAGATATATACTGTACAAACTCGAAGTTAACATTTTCACGCAACTGTATGAGCGTTGAAAGTTCATCAGTTAATGCAACTAAAGGGACCTTTAGTTCTCAGTGGACAATAGAAGATATCATCAAAATTGAGTCTCAGTGGTGTTTAGAGGTGAGTTCTATTAGATCTTCATTTGTGGGTCGATGGGTTTTTTTATGATACTTGAGTTGTATTTTTTAGGTTGAGACTGCCTTTATCAACGTCCTTCTGAAGTCCAGGGAGCCTGAAGGAGTTGACAGTGCAAAAGATATTTCAGGTCTACCATAAAGTTCACTTTTGTGTATGTTTGTGTGGCTTAAGTGCAAAGGGAGTTTCTTTCTTTTTCAAGCGAGGGGGTTCCTCAAATTGGTAGCTGAATAAGAAGGGCATACACATCATATCTCTCTATTGGTAGTTTTTGATGTTTAAAACGTCAATTTTAGTCTAACTAACATTTGTACTCATGCTGACAGGAATTGATCTCCTAAAATTTTCCGTGTATGACCCTAAATGGTCTAAAGAAGTAGACACCATCAAATCACTGGACTCGAGATACAAGAATATTTGGTTTGACACCATAACGTAAGTCATTTAGAAATACTTATTGGCACCATTATGTTAGTATATTCATTGCAGTTCTCCCCACTTCCTCTCCCATCATTATTATGTTTGTGGTATATGACTCAACTGGTCTTTTGCTCAAGTCTTGAAATGTATATATTTGTGTGTGTTTGTTTTCCACATCGTTCACACTTTACAGAATTGATGACATAGTGAACAAAATATATATATTATCGTATAAAAATTCTCTTGCAATCAACTATTTCCTTGTTACCTAGATATATTTCTCATTTCCTGGAAGCTGTACGAATCAATATATGAAAAGAGCTTTTGTCCTTGACAAGGACCACTTATGTTTTAAATCCTGTAAAAGGTTTGGGGAGAAAGAAGTTGTTAAGATAGGAAAACTATCTGGTGGGTTCTAAGTTCTAACTTTTAACTTTTAATTTGTCGTTGTTGAATGTTGACAGAGAAAGCGAGGAAAGTGTTAGTGGACATGATTTGGGAACTTCACTCACCAAGTGAGTATGAACTATAATATCTTCGAATAATGTGGTTTTGTTATATATTTTGGTAAATGTAATCTGACAATATCGTGATGCACTCTTCTTTTATGTTATTTTATGACTTTATCTTACCTCTTGATATGTGCTGTTTGTATTATGATCTTCAGTCTCGCTGATTCATTTGAAGATCTAGTCTACCCTCAAGGAGAGCCAGATGCTGTAGTAGTTAGGAAGCAAGATATTGAGCTTTTGAAGCCAAGGCGTTTCATCAACGATACAATCATTGATATTTATATCAAGTAAGTTACTACCTTTCCATATTAACTTAACACTAGAAGGAAATTAAAACTGTATCTGTAGAGCAGAGGATGCCTACAAGCCAAAAGCAAGGCTTGTCATACTATATTTTCTTTCATTTATATTTACCTTCTCCATGCATAAGCAAGTTCGAAGCAGCTTGTAAAGTTGGGTTTGATACTTGCAGGTACCTTAAGAATCGAATTCCACCGAAGGAACGAGGCAGATTCCACTTTTTCAATTGTTTCTTTTTCCGTAAGCTGGCTAACTTAGACAAAGGTACACCTAGCACGGTTGGAGGAAGGGAAGCATACCAACGTGTGCAGAAGTGGACTAAGAATGTGGATCTTTTTGAAAAAGATTATATATTTATTCCTATAAACTGCAGGTAAAAGCATATTTCACACATAACTATTTTTTCCTACCGCTGATAAGATGACTTATACTTGCATTTGATTGCAGTTTTCACTGGAGTCTGATTATCATCTGTCATCCCGGTGAATTGGTTCCTTCTCATGGTAAGATTAACTTGCTATGTTATTTTCTTATGCTCATTGACTCAGTTTTACAGCTTACAAATAAATTTCCACTCTTCTGATGATGAAGTCGAAAACCCACAAAGGGTTCCCTGCATCTTGCATCTGGACTCAATTAAAGGAAGCCATAAAGGTGGTCTTATAAACATTTTTCCGAGGTATGCTCTAACACGTTTCATTAAAGTTCACTGCCATTGCATTTACTCGTTCTTGACATTTGGGTTTCAGGAGACCATTTTAAGTCGTGATACTTTTAAATATAGTCTCGAGAGTTATTGTTAGTTAATACAGTGTTGGATGCACGGAGGCTTGATCCAATTTTTTTGTTTGAGATCAAAGCTGACTAAGGGGTGTTTGGGTTTACAGTTGATGATTGGTTATATTTATGGGAAGTCTTTATTAATTTTCTACCCATTTACATCTTTTTATTATTCCGTTTTGTCACTTTTCCTTATCATGCCTAGTCAAATACATGGATTTTATTATAACCATTTAAATGTCCATCATGTGGTCATAGTTACCTACGTGAAGAGTGGAAAGCTAGGCATGGAAACACAACAATTGATTCCTCAAGAGCTCCAAATATGCAGTCTATCTCACTTGAGGTATTGCTTCCTAACAAGGATTAAATTATCTTGATCTCAGATAGAAAGCACATGTCAACACTAATTTAGTTCTCTCATGATTTTGTAAACCTCTGGTTCTAGATTATTTTCGTTTACATAGTACTCCTGCATGTATGCTTGATAGGTAAGAATAATTCGGTAGACTTGTTTGTTGTGTAGCATATCAAATCAGTTTTGGTTGGTAGGCTATCTTTGAGAAACATGTTACTATTCTAGTGGAGTCAACTGATATTACCATTGTGGACTTTGTGAATTTCTTTAGTGGCTTTTCTGATGCTATTGCTTCATTTGACAAATTCAGCTCCCGCAGCAAGAGAATTCATTTGACTGTGGCCTCTTTTTACTCCACTATCTGGATCTTTTTGTGGCTCAAGCTCCTGCTAAATTTAACCCATCCCTTATTACAAGATCGGCAAATTTTGTAAGTATTCTTGTTTCCATCTTTTGGATATGATGAAGTTGCATCTGACATACTGAATTTACTATTCCTTAGTAAGCAGCTCGCTGTTAGTATGCTCTGGCAATTATTTTACCTGTTTCACAAATAATATATAGAAAATTGATACAAATTATTAGAATCTTATTTACGTTCAGGAGTCTCTTATTGAGTTTGTAGTGTAGGTGCTTTTACTTGTGTTAAGAAATTAAGTTGTGCGAAGATCTTCATTTTTCTTATGATATGAAAGCACTCCATCGAGAAACAGTGATTTGAATGAGTTGGTTTAACTTATTTTCTGCTTCTTTTCAGCTAACTAGTAATTGGTTTCCTGCAAAGGAAGCTTCACTTAAGCGTAGATACATCTTAGAATTGCTTTACAATCTCCACAAAGGTCATGATCCAAGTATTCTGCCAGCTAATTCCAAAAGCGAACCTCCTCATTGTGGAGTTTCCAACAAGAATGATCAAGAAACTGAAAGTGAGAATGTGATTGAGAGCTGTAACTGGAGAAACCCATTTGATGGTTCCTCATCCACCGTTACAGACATTCCGCAAACAAAGACTTGCTCGCCAGATCTGATTCTTAGCAAAGAAAACTTTTACACAGGAGGTTATGACCCTCAGTCTTCTAAGCTCCGAAAGGTCTTTATGTCGCCTATTGTGGTAAAGTTGCCTTTTCTATATCTTCAGTTTTGACTCTACTGCTAAGTATCTTATGTTGATAACGATTCTATACACTTTCTTCTCAAACCAGGAAGAAGTGCAAGAAAGTGGTGAGAAAAAACTCCATTTGGCAATGGACATACAAGAATCTACTGATCACGAGATAGAGACGTTGCGAAAAGAGGAATGCATGCTTTATATTGAGGACAGTGATGATGAAGAAGCTGTTTCAGTAGAATACGTCTCTGATTCTCAAGATTCATATGAAGTTGAGATGAAAGGAGAAGATGATGATGACGATGAGCTTATAGTTACTGGAGAATCTGCGGGGATTCATAGAAGCGGAGAAATCAAGTCTGATTCAGCATCGATCGAAAAAGGAGTGAACAAGAGTAGAGATTCAACTGCTGCTTCTTGTTATAATGACCTTCTTGTGTTGTCTGATGATGAGAGAAGCTCAGAAGACAAAGAAAACTATTTAATCACTAGTTCAAATGTGATGGCCAAGAAGCCAAAAACTTGATATTTTAATGAAGATGAATATCGCCAATCTAATGCGATTATTATTTTCCTGTTCTCTGATCTCTTAGCCTCATTATGAATTACTCAAACTAACCATAAAAATCATTTTGTAATACCCCTAATTTTCTTTTTGCAATTAATCTATATATACTGCAACTAGTTTACATCGATATGTGGAAATTCATATTCATTAGTGCTCTTGTCTCTTATATGACAAGTATCAAAGCTTTGTTTTTCAACAGCAAAAAAAAAACAAAAAATCTGCTGTTATTATCCAAGTGGGAGGATGAAAACAGAGAGCTCACACAATCCTTTAATACAAAAAGAAACAGATGGCGTCCATTCACTGAAGCTGTACTTGTGATCACATTCACACATCGTCGTCTCTACTCCGATGCTCCAGGAGCAATTGTTCCAACTCTTCCTTGCGTCGGGCTATCTCCTGCAATAAGGGTCAATGATTTAGAAACCATTTGAGTGATGATGATAATGATGCAAATAGACTATCAATTCTTGCCTCAAGATCCTTGACGGCTTGTTCTCTTGAAACTTCCTTCTGCTGTCGAGCACGCTTCAGAAAGCCGATGCAGAGAACTCCCTGAAGTTCACACAAAGATCAAGATTGACAGTGAAAACATAAACGGGAACTCAGATATTGGTAAGAAAAGGGAAGTTGTTGCAAACATAGGCAGATAAAGAAAATGATTGCCCAAGAAGCTCATTTTTAAAGTTGGAAATAACCCTACAGATTCTCTATCCACCACATCAAGCACATATTGTTTAGAGTTAAGAGTTATCCAAGTGATCCTAAAGGTTTGGGGCCAAAGTGCCAACATGGGTTTTTACACGAAAACCCATAAAAGGAGCTGGTACCCTTCATATAAAAATGCTAGACTCTTCACTTAAGTTCAAAAGAAACAATAAGATACACAATCCAAGAATCATTTTCACGGGAAATGCAATCTGATAGATGCAACCACAATATCTACCACAAGGCACAAACTAATACGAAAAGATTCAACAATAAGGCAAGGACAGAGAAGGAATAAGCAGATGTGATATAATAGGATGAATGGCGTTATCGTACTGAAATGACATAGATAACACCACAAGCAAGAAGCAAGTAGCTTGCGATGTTCTGTAAAAGCAGGAAATCCTTCTTTTGAGCCATATAGTCAGGGAAAGCTCTTGTCATCACAGCAACACTGAAATGAACAAAGTAAACAGATATAAACATAAAATCGTATAGAAACCAAGAAATGATCTCACTCTTGAGTCTTGACATCACAGCATCACCGAAATGAGCTGAAGCAGCACTCAATAAACACATAATAAAAGAACCACACGATTTTCATTCTAACACAAGAGGTACAAAAAGGCGGTTACAAAGGAGTATATATCTAACTTACAAAATCTGAAGCATTCCTCTACCAGCCCAGAATTCAAGAACCTTTGTAAAAAGATTTGCAAAATTAGAAACAACAATTCATGTTAGAAAAAAAAAGAAGGAAAGAGATGAGAAAAGATATGAACCTTGGAAAATTTGAGAATGAAACCCCATTCGGTCTCAACGAGAACAACAAAACAAGCAATCACCACAGCATAACACCGGAATATTCCATCGAAGATCTGTTCAGAGGAAAAAGATAAAAGCTTTAGACAAAAGCTCAAATCTACAAGTAATCTAATGCCTGCGCAGAGCGAGAGAGTGAGAGAGATTACATCGTGGCTGTCTCGGAAGGAGCGAACGGCAGCGAGAACATTAACGACAACACAGAGAATGGCGATGAGAGAGGTAACGACGCTGAAGCATCTGCAAACAACAAGGAAAGGATCTGCTCTGTTTGCGAGCTTCAATTTCGTGGATCCGGAAGAAGGTCCGGCGGAGGTTTCTTCGATTTCCTCAGGCCTATCCATCTGAAACCGATTTCCCGGTAAAAATCGGAAAGGAGAAGCTTTGTTGGTTAGGATTCAGAAGTGGTTAGTGGGGGAAAGCTGGATTCTTTCACCGGACGATCAAGCCTTCTCTTTTATTCTTCTTCTTTCTTCTTTCGGAATATATGTAACGATGCTCTGCTTACTATTTTTATATATCAAATCTCATTGTTGTACAAACAAACAAATTCATCATTGTTGATGTGTTGTAATGTTAGAAGATATTTAATATTTTTCTAGATATTTTTGCAGTATTTATATTCTTATTACTACTCCGTAGTAGATTTTATCGAAATGCATTATGTGGAACCACATCACACAGCTCTCTCTCTAAATAATTCAGAGGCTCCACATAATGATTTTTGATCAAATCTACTACTAATAAGAAATTAGAGTTAATGAAGTTTTCTTCTAAAACTAACAGAGTCGATGGGAGCCACTTGGGAGAGTTGTTACACTCCAGTCTACTCACATGTTCACTGATTCGAATTTCGACCTAGCTTCCTTCCTCTTAGTGAGTTAAGAAATATATGGCCAAAGAGTTTAGAAAATTATAATCCAATAGAGCCAATAAAAGTTCAAAATTTAGGTGTGGGCCGTGTGGCCTGTCTCTTCTATATAGGACTAGCTCTAGCTCTAGTTCTAGTTCTAAAACCAAAACTCAAGACCACGACGAACACTTTTTTAGCCGGTAACACACTAAAAAATGTTCACGCACATTGACAATCTCCAAAAAAAACTCGTATTCACTAGAGATTGAGCCCGAAATCTGATGTAAATACGCTGAAATTTGAATCAAAAACTGGACCAAATAAATTACACAGGATAAATAAATTCCAAATTGAAGGACAGTGAAGTGAAAACAAAACAAAAAATCATTTGATTCAACTCTTGACTAAACATGATGTACTCTATTTTAACACACACACACACACACACACAAAACACTAGCAACTAAAATGCAAAGAGAAATCCTGATCATATTTATATGCGAGGAATGAGAGAAACGTTTGGTCTTATCCTGAAAAAATCAGACAACCTCGCATACCAAAAATAAAATAAACGTTGCGGTTTGGTTGGCTAATAAACATAACCACATAACACAGTCGAGAGTCACAAATTCCGTTTGACAATCAAAAGCCCATCATCATCATCGTCCACACAACACAAATTATCATATTCCATTTCTTCCCCAAACATCACCACACGCTCTCTCTCCGGCGATGCCTTCCTTATCCACGCCGCCGTCCCAAAATCTCGCCTTTTCCCCCGCAGCCTCTGCCACTTCATCCAGGCTCACTCCCTCAAAAAGACCTTTTTACCCTCATCGTCTCCCCGATCCCACCTCTCTCTGTCGCTGCTCCTCCTCTTCCTCCGGCAGCAATTCGTCCTCCGATGATAACCCTAGATGGGACTCCGCGATTCAGGATGTCCTCAAGAACGCCATCAAAAGCTTCGATTCTGTCTTGAGCTGGTACACGACGACTCTGGACAACGATGCTGGAGAGCAAGGATCGGAGAATGTCGAGAAGATTGATGATGATTGGGATTGGGAACGATGGAAGAAGCATTTCGAACAAGTCGATGACCAAGACCGTCTTCTCTCCGTCTTAAAGGTTCCTCTTGATGATTGTATCTAGCTTCTCTGCGAATTCTATACTTTGGAAAAAATGTTTCTAATGCGGGGATTTTGTATTTGGGGTGTACAGTCGCAATTGAATCGAGCCATTAAACGAGAAGACTATGAAGATGCTGCGAGGCTTAAGGTGGCAATCGCAGCTACTGCTACAAATGATGCTGTTGGCAAAGTCATGTCCACTTTTTATGTAATAACTCTTCCATGTCATATGTGGTTATAGCTTCTAACTAACAGCACTCTTGGGGATACTTACATTTGATTCTGAAAGATTCCATTTTTGCATTTGTGATAGAGAGCTGTTCTAGAAGAGCGTTACAAGGATGCAGTATACTTGCGAGACAAAGCTGGTGCTGGGTTGGTGAGCTCATTATTTGTTTCTTTTATAACTGTGGTTTAACTTCTTATAGGTGTTACATCGTTTTCTCTATATATGGATTGCAGGTAGGGTGGTGGTCAGGTATTTCGGAAGATGTCAAAGATCCTTTTGGTCTTATTGTTCAAATTACTGCTGAGCATGGAAGATATGTGGCAAGAAGTTATAATCCTCGGTACTTCTATCTTCTTTGCTCATCAATTTATCTGTGGCTGTGTGGGGTTTGTGTATCAAAACGCCAAATTTCTCGAGGCCATTTGTTGTTTTGAAGGATTGTGTTATATGACAACCCTTTCTCTCTCAGGCAACTTAGTACATCTGCTGCTGGTGCTCCTCTTTTTGAAATCTTTCTGACACTTGATGGAAAAGGGAACTACAAAAAGCAGGTTTTTCTTCCTCCTTTATCCTACGTAGGTAGTGTCCAATTTGAGTGATTGGGGTATTCATTGGAGAATTATGTTCCGGTTTATTCGATGAACTTGGGGGTTTGCTTCATTTGGTTCTTTATAGGAAGCTGACCTTATTGAGTAGATAGCAAAGTGTGATTTTTCTACGTTATCTCAAGACGAATGTGTCTAGAATATTTAGTTGGAGAATATATTTCGATGTTAAATTGAGATGTGTGTTTCTTCAGGCTGTATACTTAAAATGGAAGGAGATTTTTCCAGACGTACCAACTATGCCCTCCAGAACTTTGACTTCTGGTAGGTTTTTGACTTCACCTGGAAGGAAGGAAGATACGGGTAATCTTGCTGTTGAGAGTAGTGAAGATGAAGAGAGTGATAACTCAGATGATGATTCTGATCTCCTTGAAGAATCTTCTGGTTTCCAGAGTTTCCTGCGAGATATGATTCCTGGGGTCAAGGTTAAGGTTATGAAAGTAACTGCGCCTGGAAGGGTGGACAAGGATTTCATCTCAAAAGTTATTGAGCAGATAGCTGATGAAGAAGATGAAGAGAACGATCTTGATATAGAAGATATAGATGTGGAAGATGAAACTAAGGCTGAAATCGATGAAAAAAATGCTGACATTGAATTGGAATCTGTGACGGATGAAATCATTGACAACAACGGAGGAAGAGAAATCGCAGTGAAATTTGTGATAGGCGATATTGTTGATCGGCTTTCTGGAAACCAACCTCTTAAAGAGTCACTTCGATCCCCTGCCAATCTGGAATCTGTGGAGAATTCTTCGTTTTATCTTCGATTAGAGAAAGATTTAAACGTAAAAGAGTCTAAGGGTGTAGAAAGTACACTAGTTGATGGAAAAGGTAGCCGCCAAAGTAGACGCAGGATTGATAACATTATGGTTGATTTGGCCAAATCAATTGAGAAAGAGAAGAAGATTTCTGTCAAGGTTTGTTTTGCTGTGTTTATTTTCTTCTTGTTTTACTGCAAAAAGAGATTCGTAGCTTAATCTAGAAATTCACGTTGCAGATGCTTAAGGATGTTGGGGAGCTATTAAGCCTCACTCTCAGCCAGGCTCAAAACCGTCAACAGTTGTCGGGTTTGACGAAATTCCGTCGCATTGATGTGACACCATCACTAGATCCTCTAGACGGTGAGTGAGTAAATTGATTGAATGTGGGGTTGTTTTGTGTCTCTCTGAAGAACATAGAAATTGGCATTGATGGCTCCTTAGCTATTGTAATTTTATCAGTATTGCTTGCTCAGCTGTTAGAGGTTAATTTTTTGGATGTGACAAGTGAGTCTTTTCGATAAAATACTTTAAATTTTGTAACCCTGACCTGGAAATACCAATTTTTTCACATCAGCTTTAGTATGAATTGGATTTTAATTATCCTTGCCCTTCTGTATGCAGGACTTTATATTGGCGCACATGGGCTGTATACATCAGAAGTAATCCATTTAAAACGCAAGTTTGGCCAGTGGAAAGGTGGAAAGGAGTCTAAGAAGCCAACAGATATTGAATTTTATGAATATGTTGAAGCTGTGAAATTAACTGGAGATCCTTATGTGCCTGCTGGGAAGGTTAGCTTTATGTTTGTTCTAGTATGAGGTATTAAGACAAATATGAAAACTTGTAGTTTTTATGGTCAGTGTTAAGAACTTGCGTAATCAAAGGACTGTGTTACCAATCTGGTAAAAAAAAAACACGTTGTTACCTTTCTGACTACACAGGAAAAGAGTATTATCATGCAATAGTCACTTGGATGGATAAATGCACACTTGCTTATTTTCGATATCCTTCCTTTTTTAGTACTTCTTCCCTAATACTCTTTTATTGCAATATCATGATGTGTGCCTTACAACAGTCTTATCCATGACAGGTTGCATTTCGGGCAAAGATTGGTAGACGTTATGAGCTCCCACATAAAGGACTCATCCCCGAAGAATTTGGAGTGGTGTGCTTACCTTACAACACTAATTAAAATTTATCATTAAGCTCTGTTTTCTTATTGGAGTTCTAGTTTGTGTAGCTTCATAATAGAGTTATTCTTAAAAAATGCAGATTGCCAGATATAAAGGACAAGGTAGGCTTGCTGATCCTGGATTTCGTAATCCGAGATGGGTAGATGGCGAGCTTGTTATCCTCGATGGCAAGGTTCCTCTCTTCGTCTCTCACTAATGACTAAACTAAAACAAACTTGTCCATGATTCAAACATAAATGTTTTGTGTGATGTTGTTTGTTGAATTATGGTTTTGATATAGTATGTAAAAGGAGGACCGGTCGTTGGATTCGTCTATTGGGCACCTGAATATCACTTTGTGATGTTCTTCAACCGCCTGAGGCTTCAAGACTAGTTTTCTTGTATTCTGCTCTTCAATCGAGAAAGGGTTTTCTTCTGGCTGTAACCATTTTGTAAGTATACTCCTAGATACACAGTAGATAATGAAGTCGGTATTGAGAAAGGTATAACTGAAATGGTTTCATTATTTGCAGATTCATGGGATCGGTTAGCCTAAGATAAGATTACTTCAAGTTCAGATAGAGCTCCTCGGTCTCTCTTTTCTTCTGGAGCTTAGATAAAGGTACCTAAATTGCGGGGAAGATTTAACACGCCAGAGAGTCTTTGATCAGAAAGGAACCTTAGATTGTAAAGCTTGACAAGTTTATAGATATATATGTGTAAATTAATGTATGTTTCTCCAGAGATTGCTGTTATTTTGGATATAAACAGTTGTTATTATATTTCCCTTGTGTATTTCAGTCTATATGGAAGAAGAAGAGAAGAAATCTTTCTTGTTAATGTCTTTCTTACTACATGCAACAACTGAAAAATAGCTCAAGCAATGTGATCATGCCAATAGAGAAGCAAAGGAATCATTTATCTTCAAGTTTATCATTTCGTTACACTCAGAACATAAAGATTTAAAGCAGAAATGGGAACTTAGGAGGAGGCAGCGGCGGCAGCAGCTTGCGGTGGCGGTGGGGGTGGTCGGAGAGTGATCTCTACCTTGTCGTGAACACCTTGAAGCAAGAGTTCACCTTCAAATGCGACTATTTTGCGTTTCTTGGCGGCTCTCAGAGTACCAACCAATGCTTCAAAGATGTTGGCACATCGATCGTCATTGAACAAGACTCCAAATGTCACCTGAATTCAGAAGAACAAATCAGTCCTCATGATCTATTATCAATCAACCATACATTTCTTTAGATCTGAGCGAGAGAAAAGAGTAATTGTGACAATCTTGATTCTTGAAATTGAAATACTACAGATTCCAGATATAGGGAGATCCAACAAGATTTGAGGAGAGAGAGAGAGAAAAGAAGAGAAGAGAGACCTTGTAAGAGCCATCGGTCTGGAGAGAACCAAGACGATGGATCTCTTCTTCCAGTTTCTGAATCTCTTCTTCTACGTTCATTCTTTCTTCTTCTTCTTCCGTAGAGATTTCAGGTCTCAACAGAGCGTTATCAATGTATAAGATTGGATTTTGAAGAAGAGACTCTTTCTTTCTGATGATGAAGACAGCTCGATGACAGATCTTCCCAAATTCTTGTCCCTCCTAATCCGGTTGAAAAGGCGCACACTTAACCGGTTTTAAACCTTATCGTACCGATTTTTCTTCAACATTGAACTAACAACACACACGTCCGGTTTGAAACTTTAATAATGCTAGGACATCAGCCGGTTTACCACGATTTTACCATTCGATTTTTCTAATATTTTATTTTCTTTTTAGTTTATTCATACAAAACATAACAGATGAAATATCGAAAGGTTGCGTTTAAGTTAACAACGAATATTTAAAGACAGAACATAACTTCAGTTCCTCACTAAAATTGTAAAACTACAAAAAAATTCTTATAGTATATAGTTATATACATGATGAATATGTAAACTCATTTGGTTAATGAAAACACATGCTAATGTTAGAAAAAAAAAACTAATGTAATTAGGTAAATTAAAAATGTTTATTCGCTTGGACTCTAGGATCTTGGATCTTGGATATCAAGGTGAGATTATTCATTTGTTACCCATAACAAGGTAAAAGTGAAAATAAAATTTATTTGAATTTAATTTTTAAGCTGTGATTAAAGTTCACTTTCAGTCGAACCCGTTTGGGATTAATTAAAGCAATTTTTATTTTTATTTAAAAAAAAAAGAAAGTTCACTTTCTTCTTCACGTTTTAAAACTCCTCTACAAGTAAAAAAAGTATTTTAGCGGCGACACAAATAAAAGGGATCCATTGTCTCTCTCTCGATAGATAGAGTTAAGCACGAAAAATCAAGTAATTGACCTTCTCTTCTCTTCTCTTCTCTTCTCCACGAACTCAATTTGCCAAAACCCTAGCCCTTTTCATTGATTCAAATCCGATCCATCGATGACTATTGAAGAAGTTTACGGCGAGACTCCTCCGTCTACGCCTCCTTCTTCTACGCCACCTCCGACTTCTTCCTCCACCGCCGCCACCACCAACGCCGCACCGTTGGGATCCTCCGTGATTCCGATTGTAAATAAGCTACAGGACATATTCGCTCAGCTCGGAAGCCAGTCTTCGATCGCGCTTCCTCAGGTAGCTGTTGTTGGAAGCCAGAGCAGTGGCAAGTCTAGCGTCCTTGAAGCACTCGTCGGCCGTGACTTTCTCCCTCGTGGGAATGATATCTGCACGCGTCGTCCTCTCGTTCTCCAGCTCGTCCAGACTAAAAGCCGCTCTAATGGCGGATCCGATGATGAGTGGGGGGAGTTTCTTCACCTTCCTCCAGACACTCGTATCTATGATTTCTCTGAGATTCGTCGAGAAATTGAGGTTCTTCTTGCTTTATTTAATACCCTTTTGGTCAATCTGTCTTCCAAGTTTGTTCCCTTTCTAGTATCTTGGTTTGACGCATTCCCTTTGTTGCTATTAATGTATGAAATGCAACATCTTTGTAGGCTGAGACGAATAGATTAGCAGGAGAGAACAAAGGTGTAGCAGATAAACAGATTCGTCTTAAAATTTCTTCACCTAATGTATTGGATATCACGCTTGTGGATCTCCCTGGTATAACCAAGGTGCCAGTTGGTGACCAGCCAACCGACATTGAAGCACGTATAAGAACCATGATCTTGTCTTACATCAAGTCAGCTACTTGTTTGATATTGGCTGTTACCCCTGCAAATACCGATTTAGCAAACTCTGATGCCCTTCAAATTGCTAGCATTGTAGATCCTGATGGTAAGTTCTGCTAACAAGTCCTATGACAAGAAAAAAAATTCATTATTTAATGGCTTGTATTGGACATTACTCATCTTCGCCCTTTCATGTATCTATACTGTCTCCAGGTCACAGAACGATAGGTGTAATCACAAAGGTGCATATTCCCAGACCAGACATTTGGTTTATATCATTGTTGTTTAGCCGAAAAGATAGGCGTCCCTGTCTTTCATGTGTTTTACTATTTTTTTTTATCATGTTTTCAGTTGGATATTATGGACAGAGGTACTGATGCTCGAAAGCTCCTACTTGGAAATGTTGTTCCTCTTCGACTTGGATACGTGGGAGTTGTAAATCGTTGCCAGGAGGTAAACCCGTGGTTGCTCCAACTATTACTTTTTTTTTTAATTTGTTTTGCATAGTGTGGCTCTTCTTTTATGTGACTTGAGCTAACTTGCTTCTGTTCTGTGCTTATTTTTCGATGCTATGGTGATATTTTTTTTTTTCCTACTTTTTGTGGCGTCTGCATCTACAGTGTTATGATCTTTTTATTTTATAAACAGGATATTTTGCTAAACCGCACAGTCAAGGAAGCACTTGTCGCAGAGGAGAAATTCTTCCGTAGTCGTCCTGTATGATAGCATCATTTTGTTGATTCACTTTCTGATACTCTTGCTATTTTTCCTGATTAAAGCTGCTTTTTTTGGTACCTATACAGGCTTACCATGGTCTTACCGATCGTTTGGGTATCCCTCAGCTTGCAAAGAAGTTAAATCAGGTATTTTCTCTAGTTTTGAGAGTTCTTTTTTCCTTTATGTCTATCATAGTTCAGGAAGGCATAAGGGAGACGCTTTCTCTATGTTGAAATATCTAATTGGGATGATACTGGAGTTTATTTGCATTATTCACTTTTAAGGTTATTTACATGGCTTGTGCAGATTCTACCCTAGCCTGAAAAAGGACCTTTGCAGATCTTTTTTTTTGGCCCTCACATGTATATCTTTTGTTGTTTTTTGACTAGTATATTTTCCTTTCTTACTTCTAATAGATGGCATGTCGTAGATTTCATACATGGCACTGGTACTTTTATATTAGAACATGTCTGATAGAAGATCGCGTTTCTGTTACATTCTTTTAGATCCTTGTTCAACATATCAAGGTCTTGCTTCCGGATTTGAAGTCGCGGATAAGTAATGCTTTGGTTGCTACAGCAAAGGAGCATCAGAGCTATGGTGAAATAACAGAATCAAGGGTATGTATTTTACTGCCCAATTTGCGACCTATTTATCTAATTCATTTTTCTGTTATTGGCTTTGGTACCCTACCATTTGTTCCATTTTATGGTGTGGTGTGTTCAGTCTTTTCATTTGAATACAATTTTGCTCGTCTACACTATTTGCTCATGTATGTGCTCAGGGTTCATGACATTCATAAAGCCTTTTTGTTTTTAGACTACAAAAAGAAATTTTTAAAGTCGTAGAATTAGCATTTGAAGGTGTTCTTATTTGTCGGGAAAGATTGTTGGCCAATGGGTACTTTTTCTTTTCTTTTCTTTTTTTTGACCCTCCTGCCAATGGGTACTTAACTTGTTTAAAGTATTTACATTTGAACAGACTTTCTTAAAAAAAAATTCTTTATGACTTGCTTCATCTCTATGAGTTGTTGTTTTTTTCTCAATCTTTAACTAGTCAAACTTATCCTATTCTGCGGGTCTTTACTGTCCTTGAAATTCTTAGGCTGGTCAAGGAGCTCTTCTCCTCAACTTTCTCTCTAAATACTGTGAAGGTAATTTCTGAAGCCGATATTTCAGTTGAGACCATGGATATTTTTATTATGTTTTTTAGGGTTCATAGTGAGTCTCATGGCTAACTTTTTTATAAACAGCATACTCTTCATTGCTGGACGGGAAAAGTGAAGAAATGTCTACGTCCGAGCTCTCTGGAGGAGCAAGAATTCATTATATTTTCCAGTCAATCTTTGTTAAGAGTTTGGAGGTTTGTTTGGACATCTTTAAACTTTTTTCCTTGAGCTTGAGCAGCTGTTATAATTTCCCGTTTCTTAACTAGCCATTAGCCAATGTTTTCCTGTACTTTTGTTGATACACTTATGATCTTCGATGTTTAACGTTCATTTCATTGACATTGATAGAGAACTTCTACACGTGTGAATGGCATTTTCTATAAACTTTTACTGCTTTGTTAAGCATTGGCTCTGCTATATTATCTTAGTTTAGCTAGTGACATTATCCACATGGAAGTAATGTAGTATATTTCTGACGTTGAGCTCTTTGGGGCATGGCGTTTTTCCTACTTAATGCTTTCTAGAGCTGACTTGTTCCCAGTTTGTAAAACGTTGAGTCCCTACAATGTTCAATTGTCATTTTGAGTATCTAAACTGTTATTACTGGATCGGTTCCTTGTCTGCTAGATAGTGATTTTTTTCCTTACTTACAATCTACATGAAGTGTATTCCTGTAAATTTAGACTGATTGACTTCCTTCACATTACCTCTTCAGGAGGTTGATCCATGCGAAGACTTGACAGATGATGATATTCGGACTGCAATTCAGAATGCAACTGGTCCAAGATCCGCATTATTTGTTCCAGATGTAGGTTTCTTAACATGTTTCAGCATGTATGGAAGTCATCCTGATTGTCAGGACTTTCAAGCATACATATGTTTCCTGACCTTTTCTACTTTCCAGGATATCTAATTACAGTCTCTTGATTTCATTCTATCATGCATAGGTTCCATTTGAAGTTCTTGTTAGGAGGCAGATATCTCGTTTGTTAGATCCTAGCCTTCAGTGTGCTAGGTTCATTTTTGATGAGCTAATAAAGGTGAGTGTTTTTTTTTTTGGTTTGTTGTTGATAAATGATAAGATTAATTTCATTATCTTCATGAATTTGAATTTCTCTACAGATTAGCCATAGATGTATGATGAATGAGTTACAACGATTCCCAGTCCTGCGAAAGCGCATGGATGAGGTTATCGGGGATTTCCTGCGAGAAGGTCTTGAACCCTCAGAAGCAATGATCGGGGATATCATTGATATGGAGGTCTGTATCATGAATTGAAAATCCTTACGATCATTGATTAGGAACCTTTTTTAATCTTGAGAAGTGATTCCTCGTTTTTGATTGAATAGTTTCTTTTAATTGTGAACTAAATTACTAGTACTGGTGATCATGGTTGCTTCAATGGTGGTGTTAATTTCTTGAATGTCGTTTGCAGATGGATTACATAAACACTTCTCATCCAAATTTTATTGGTGGAACCAAGGCCGTGGAAGTTGCAATGCAACAAGTGAAGTCTTCGAGGATTCCCCATCCTGTGGCACGACCAAAGGTATGAAGTACTCGGAGCAAATACATGAAAATTGGTTTTGTTTCTTATATGCTCTGCAGTGTTTCTTATACATTTAAGTTGATATAGCAGGACACCGTGGAGCCTGATAGAACATCTTCTTCCGCGAGTCAGGTGAAATCTAGATCTTTTCTCGGCAGGCAAGCTAATGGAATTGTTACTGATCAGGTATTGTCATTTGACATGTTATATAATTAATTCTGTATATCATCGTGCACTGTGGGTTAGCCCTAAAGACCCATGTGCAAAAAAGACATTTCCAAGTAAAAGAACGACTATTTGACACTTATCTCATGACTTGTTCCTAGGGAGTTGTATCTGCAGATGCTGAAAAAGCTGCACCAGCTGGTAATATTCTCATCGCTGTCATTTCCGGCCATCCATTTCGTGTTTTGGAAGATTTTTGGCTGTGTGATGACTCTCTTGTTATGTCTCAGAGACTGCTTAAACACATATCTTGTCTCGATTTGCTAATAGCTTATAATTCTGGGTAGATTTTAATTGTGGTTTTACTGATTCATGATAGCAAATGCGAGTGATACAAGATGGGGTATCCCTTCAATTTTCCGAGGGGGTGATACTCGAGCAGTTACTAAAGATAGCTTATTAAACAAACCATTCAGTGAAGCTGTTGAGGATATGTCTCACAACTTATCGATGATCTATCTAAAGGAGGTATGTCTCCTGTACTGTCTTAGATGATTCATATTGCCAATACATGCTTACCTATTTGACTCATACTGTTTGCTTTACTTTTCTGAAGCCCCCAGCTGTCTTGAGGCCATCCGAAACCCATTCAGAACAGGAAGCAGTTGAGATTCAGATAACAAAGCTGTTACTAAAATCATACTATGACATTGTAAGGAAGAATATTGAGGACTCGGTACCAAAAGCAATCATGCATTTCCTGGCAAGTACCCTATCTCTTCCCCAAGTTTCTTGCAGTATCTCAAATTCGTACAATATATCAGCACCTTGATATCTGATTCTTTTTTTAATTGTCTCTTTGAAAGAGTTAAAATGATAAGCTGGTTGTCCATCTTGTGCGAAATAACCTTGTTGCAATCATAAAGTAAACGAAATCTGAAGATGCTGATACCATTTCTTTATAATGCTTCAGGTAAACCACACGAAACGTGAGCTGCATAACGTTTTTATCAAGAAGCTTTACAGGTGATGCTTGCGCTTTTTTTATTCCTCACATCTGTGTTTGGATTAGTAATCTCTTATAACTGACTGGTAGTTTAATCTGGTGCAGGGAGAACTTGTTTGAAGAAATGTTGCAAGAGCCAGATGAGATAGCAGTTAAGAGGAAACGAACGCAGGAGACTCTTCACGTTCTTCAGCAAGCTTACAGGGTATGTTCTCTGACAAACCCAACTCTGTGCATACAACCATATGTTTGATGTTTGATGTTTGATGCTCATATAACCATATGGTTTTTTGTGGGTTAAACAGACACTAGATGAGTTGCCACTGGAAGCAGATGCGGTTTCAGCAGGAATGTCAAAACATCAGGAGTTACTGACATCTTCTAAGTACTCCACCAGCAGCTCATACTCTGCTTCTCCGAGTACAACAAGAAGATCAAGAAGAGGAGGAGATCAACATCAAAATGGATACGGATTCTAACATGATCCAAATATCTCGAATATCTCTCGACTGTGATAACGCATTTCATTCATTTAATGGCTCTTTCAGGTTTTGGTATTAAATTATGTGTTGGTCAAATGAAGAAGTTATATAGGAAACCGGTACACAGTGTGGGTTTTGGTCCTTTTGGACTCTGCATTGGTTGACTGATAAGGGAGTGAAAGGTGATATAGTGTTTCCAGTTTGTTTCAAATGCTCCCCCTGCAACAATAACGGGAAGCAAACTCTTTTCACTCTTATTTTTTTGGGAATGGTTTAATCAATAAGTTATATTACATGATCGGTCCACACGACCTTATAAATTCTGTAGTCGTCTCTTTATTTTTTAAGCAACGAGACCTGGAACAGTCATTCCCCTACTTGACGATGTGGTTAAGAGTTTAATATGGCATATGATTTAACTTTGTTTGGATCAGCGTATTCATAAAATTCGACCCCACTTTAGTCCTTTCTGTATTAAATTCGGACCAAAATCCGATTTGTTGTCTTGTCCCTATCACTGGCTAAGAGCCAAAGACACGATAATGCTTACTCTTCGGTTCAGTAGTGGACACGTCATTCTCCATTTTTTTCTTGTTTGGATAAATTGCATATCCACGTATTGAGCACCTTTACTTCACACGAATGTTTGTAATTTTCAACATTTCCATCATAACACATTTTCATTTTCTCTGTCTACAACTAATCAGAAATCAGAATAAATTCTCTTATTAATTCATGATCTGCAGAAATATGTGATACACATAAAAGATAACCCTAAGCCTAATAGTAGTCACATGAAAAGAAATGCTTGTCACATGAAATTACAACAATTATTATTATTATTTTTCTTCTTAACTAACAACAATTAGTACATAAACCTCATAACCATAATGAATTAATAGACATAAGAGTGATTTTTAATTTCTTAAAACTTAATCAATGCATATAATGGTCGGGTCGCAGCAACATTCATCCACCAAGCAGCAACAACAGAGAGCCGCTAATCTGCAAAACAAAACACATATTACTATCAACAAATATTGTTTATAAATTCCAAAAGATTTCTAAAGTGCAAATTTATCTTCTTCTTTTTTTCCGCAAAGTTCATCAGTTAACTCATATTAGAAACAAACTAATATTATGAAACATAAAAACAGAGCACTTACAGTCCTTCAAGAAAACCAACTTTTCGTTGTGGTGGTGGAGGCGGCGGTGGCGGTGGTGGAGGGTAATACTGTGGCGGTACTCCCACAGGCGGTGGCGGACCTTGCGGGTAATTTCCCGGTGCCGGGTAAGGATATGCATACTTCGGATCGCTCATATTTTGGCCAGAGAATTTAAGCAAAAAAAAAGAATCAACACTAAAGTTTTTGAATAGAAAATCTTATATATTTTGGAAGGGAAATAATAGTAGAGAGAGAGAGAACACGGATTTGCAATCGTTAGCGCAAGTGTTGTCCTTGTCGACGCGTATTTATATTTGCCAAAGAACACAGCTTCAAGATAATTCTTCAATTAAAATAAAAATGTCTATTTCGGAAAGAATTTGACAATTTGTGGAGCTTTTGAGAATAATCTTGAAAGTACATTGAAAAAACAATACACGTAGAAGTGAAATAAAAAGTAAAGGAATCTGCTTCGGTAGAAGATTCGAGAAAGGAGAGGAAGCATCGGTGGTGATGCAAAGTGGTTTGCTTTTGGTTTTGGAGTTTCTTTTTTTTTTTTTTTTTTTTTTTTTTTTTTTTTTTTCTCTTCTTTCCAAAGTTTTGTCATTCGCCAAGATTCCTTAAAACTTGTTCACACATCATAATTATGAACCAATAGGTTATAAATAATAATCCAAGTTATTCAAATATTCTCACCAATAATTTTTAAAAATGTTATATAATTGGCCTTAATTAATTAATATAGGACACATCAATCTTCATGCCACAATAAAATAAAAAACGAAAAAAATCAATTTTTCATGAAACGGATAGAGAAAGGGTAATTATCAGGAATTTAATTGAGGACGGTTGTTATGAAGATCCTTCACAATTATCTTTGATCTCGAGATTTACCAATATTTCATTTTCGGATAAGTTTTTTTTTTTTTTTTTACTTGGTTATCACTTCTCATATGCATTTACAATTACATAAGAGAGAATAGTTAAAACTCTATATTATTTTAATAAGATTTTATAAGATGAAGTTTGGGTGTTGCATGCAGCTTTCTGCGTTGGTCCCAAGTCCACGACAATAGAGAGTTTCTGCACTTCACGATATCGTCATCGTCGCAAGTTCTTTATCTTATCATAGCATTGGCACAAGTTAGCCACCGTCTTAGCGCAAGTTAGCCACGTTGTCCTACGTGTCATGAACTGATTGGTCAAATTTGGATATATTTGTTTCCGTCGGTTATATATGGATAAAATATTTGGTAGGAAACAACCGAAATATCTGTTTCAGCCTTCCTTGGTCCCAAAGAAATACGCACACCTACTCCCTTCATTCTTTATCCTCTACACTTATATTATTAATACACATCTTATGGAATCTCTCCAATTTGCACTCAAAACCTCCCAATTTCTTCGAATCAACAGGATTTAGATCTATCAATGGCCTCATCAGCTGCGATGTTCATGCTACCTTATCCTCTGATTCAGCAGATAACAACAAACAATACTCTGCAGACTGCAGCCACACCGATACCGTCACCCTCCATAGTTAAATGCCTTTTTCCGGCGAGAAACTCATCGGAAAGTTCTGCTCGTTCAAAGTTTAGTCTTTGGCTATTTGGCGATCCCGCTACGTACGACAAGAGGTTCCAAGAAGCTATTGAACTTAGTTGCTGGTGATGGAGATTTTCCGTTTTAAGCCCTTTTTCCTACTTTCTTCTCTCTTTTTTTGGTTTTAAATGAACATATTGTAATTTCTTCAATAATCTCACCCTCTGCTGTAATTTATATAACAGTGAATTCGATCAAAGATGTTCTGATTAGTTTTGATAACTCAGAAAGTTTATTAATTATATCAAACCAGAGTTACACTGTTATTAACACAATGACACAGCAAATGCAGAAGCACTACAAGAAGCAAGACAAGAGTTTACCAGAAACACAAAAAGCTTTTTTAGTTCTGATGGATTCCACTTGGCCATGTCAGATTCTTTACAGGCTCTAAAATAGCTTCAACCTCAGACAGAGTTTCTTGATCCATCCCCAGACTTTCAAGCTCTGTAACTGCTGCAACATTTTCTTCTACCTGGTTCAGAAACACACAAATTGTTTCATATTTAACTCCAATTTCCCACATAATTTGGGACTTGAGAGGGAAATACTAAGTTTGAATACCTGTGAGACAGAGCTCATCCCAACCAACACCGATGAAATCTCCTTGTTTGCTAAACTGTATTGCAGAGCTAACTTTGTGATCTTCTTACCCTTTGATTTGCAGTGAGTAACTGCGGCTTTGCATGCAGACTACATAAGGCAATAAAAGCAGCAACAGGTTATGACTTTCATATATGAGAACAATTTGTTAAGAAATCAGTATCTTCGTTTATTTATCACTGAATCAAATTATCAAACAGAGAACAAACCAAAACTAACTCAGGAGCATCCCCTACTCTTCCAAACATCAAGTCTACCAAATACAAGCCTCCATGTGAATCTGTTCAATGTGTCTACTAACTCATCAAAGACCAACTAACATGTTAATACCCATTGGGGACTCTCTGAACTGTCTCTAATCTTGCCTATGAAGACTTATCACAATGATAGTCTGAGTTAAGAAACAGAGGATTGTCAGTCTCACAAGTATAGCATCTAAGTCTATAGAATATAACCTGCCTATGCTAGAGAGAATGATGCATGCAATGGCGTTTTAACACTGGTATCTTATACGGTATGTTTCAATACAAGTGCTATAGAAATGTTAACAAGAATCACATTCTTATCTAAATGTCAAACCTTGAGCTCAGGGGAAGCAGGGTGCCATTCAGGAGGACCTTGTTCTGTAAGGAGACCCATTGCCAATGGGGAAGCACTTATCACACCCACACCTTTGCTCTTCAAGTAAGGTAGTAAATCCAGCAACGTCGAATCATTAACGCCGTAATGACAGTATGACAATATCACATCAACTGTCCCTGGAGGCACTCTATCAAGAACATAAGTGAAAATATCTAACGGAAGACCAGTGATACCAACGAACCGGGTCTTCCCCTCCTGTTTCAGTTTCTGAAGAGCAGGAATTGTTTCACTCACAATCTGGCAGCAATGAAAGAACACTTAGTAAAGATTGAGACACAAACAGTGAAAGTGATAAACCAAGAGAAAGAAAGTGGTAAACCTGATCAAGAGACCCGAACTCAATGTCATGGCAATGAAGAATGTCAACATAATCAAGCTGAAGCCTCTCCAAGCTCTCGTCGATGCTCTTTCTTACTCTCTCAGCACTGAAATCAAAACCTTCTTTGTATCTTCCACACTTAGTAGCCACAATGTAGTCACTTCTAGGGACTTGCAAAGCCTTTAGTCCCTTACCAAGCATTTTCTCAGACAGTGTTCCTCCATAATACCTTCACACACAATAAATGCCAAATAAATATATAAGAAACCTTCAAAAACATACATATCCACTGAGTTGAAAATTCCAAAAGAAATCTTGACTTTAGCGAATAATTAGTCTCAACAATCACAGAATCAGCAATTAGTATTGAAAGAATCAGTAATCTTTAGAAAAGATAAAAGAAGAAGAAGTGATTACGGGGAGGTGTCGAAGAAGTTGATACCGAGACGGAAAGCCTCGCGCGTGGTGGCGACGGCATCATCTTCGGCGACTGGACCGAAGACACTTCCGAGCGGAGAGGCACCGAAACCAACGGCGCTTACCTTAAGTCCAGTGTTACCCAAAGGTCGAAGCTCCATTTTCGTCATTGATGAAAGACGCGAGAAGACAACACTTGTTTTTGGATATTTACCCACATGGTGTTCAACACGTCTAAATTACGAAAACACCCTTCTCGGTTCAATTTTGGATACTTCAAGTTCAACCAATTCCTTTTTAACCAAAACCAAATTACTTAAATGCAAAACACACATAAGACCATCTTTATCAATGGGTTCTTAAAAAAATCTTAAGATGATTTTAGCATTTAATTGATTAAAATTAATTCTCAAATGCATTAAATCTAAGATGGATTCCTTAGCTAAGGAACAAAAAAAAAAAGTTAAGAGCCAAAATTTATAAATTTAATACTAAAAATTCTTAAGAACCAAAATTAAGAGACTATTGATATGGTGCTCTAAGATTGAAGTTTGCTCTATAGCTCGCAGATTCAATAATCTCTTTAATTTAAGTAAATGTTAATTTGCTAAAGTTGTTTACAATAGATGAAAAAACAAAACAAACCAGAGGAGTTCGAGTTGTCAGGATATAATTAGTGTTGTATTTATGGTGTTAGCAAAAAGGCAATTGCCTAAGCCACCAATTTTTTTTTTTTGATTTTTAGGCCACAAATTTTATTCTTTTAATGATTATTAGGCCACATTATTTTGTTAAGATAATCATCCTGTCCAATGTATTTGGGAGCTTTAAGGTGCATGTTGGAAGTAAAGCCAGATAAACATGATTTGATATTTGTACACATTGTGCTCAAGAGATGATCCAAAGTAAAACTCGTTGGACAATCTTACTTTGACCATAACATAAGCCGTTGTCTAAACCATGTGTTGTAATTCTCACGATCTCTCTATCTCGTGTTTGGTTTTTAGTTTTTTCTCTTTATTCTAGAGACAAAAACAAGAAACGATTTACTCTTTAATCTTCTACATTGATTAACTTGGATGATCCTTATTCCTCACACAACACACTTATACTACTTTCACCACTAAGACACTAATGATGACTTCTACTACTTAGATTCTTACACAAGACAAGTAGTCACCCTACACATACTGGAACTCTCATTCCTTGATTCACTCTTTTAGACTCTATGTTGGTATCTGCCTTAAGTACTCACTGAATCTGACAAGTCAGGCCTGGGAGACAGGGATCTCAGGGCTTAGGCCTTCAAAGTGGGAAGAAAATTATTGCAAGACGTTGTTAATTGGAGACATCATTGTAAGATTCTACGGGAAGCGGCTAACCTTCTACAATGAAGTGACACAGACCATGAAATGTTGAAGGCTTGTCAACCTTTCCTAAATATTCTATAGGAAATTCTTTCACTTTTTTAACATCGATATGAAAAATAATTTTATAGCATGAAATTCTAAGCTAATAAAATAGGTAAATTAAATATATATATATATATATATAATTAAATGTAAGAAATCATAAAAATCTCATTTAATCTACCGTACTATAAAAACATCATTAATTATAACCAATTCAACTAATAAAAAAATATATGATTAAATATAATTGGTTGAAAAGTATTAAATACATTTATTATTTGCATAAAAAGTTGAAAACAACACTTATTTTGGAAAAAAAAAAAAATCTTTAAACTATATTTATATAGAAACAAAAGAAGTAATTAATTAAAATATCATGTAGAAAATGAGTCAGTTGTCACTTGTTTTGGATATTTTGTGCTCAACAAGCTGAAATTACGAGAACGCCCTTCTCAATCCAATTTGTTTTTTGAGGTCACTTTCTCCGTCCAACTTAAATATTTCATTTCGCACACTAATTCACTAATTTGCACTTTTTTATCGTTATTAAAATACTTGCCAAACTGCTTGAAACATTGGTGTCTACAAATTCCAGAAAACAATGAAGACGACATTATTTTAACTCAAATCATGTCATAAAAGAGGGTGATGATGATGAGGAACGATTACAAAACAAGGTTCTTCATTTGTAAAGCTGCTTGAATCTTCGACATGCCTCTAAGATGTTCTCTCTGTGACCAAAGGCACTGACACGGACGAACCCTTCACCACCTGGTCCAAACCCACTTCCTGGAGTTGTAACCACATGAGTCTTCTCCAGAATCTCAGCAAACACATCCCATGAGCTTTGGTTCGGGAAGTGAACCCATACGTAAGGCGCATTCTTTCCTCCATATACATCATACCCGAGAGATGTGAATGTGTCAATGATTATGTTTGTGTTTTCTTTATAGAATCCAATCACCTTGTACATTGCCTGCAATGTTTAAAAAGACAACAAAAGAATTCATTTTGCATGTATGATGAACTAGTGGTAAACTGGTTAGGTTTTGAGATCTCTATTTTGCTAAGCTAACCTCAAGTCCTTCAGGTGTAAGGCAAGCAAGAGCACCAGCTTGTGAGAGATTAGATGCACCATTGAAACAAGTGCAGATAATCCGATTGAAGTCTTTGGCAACAGGGAAACCGTCTGAATAGAGTAGCTGTTTCGGGATGACAGTCCAACCAAGTCGAACTCCAGTGAAACCAGCATATTTGCTGAACGAAGCTGTCTCCATAGCGACCTGTAAGCAGTTGTGCCCATGAAGAAAGTTGTTGAAAAATGAACCTTTTAACTTTAATAATCAATCACACTCTTACCTCCTCTGCTCCAGGGATTTCGAAGATGGATCGTGGGTTATCATCAGACATGTACATTGCATAGGCGGAATCATACACTATTATAGAACCGTTCTTCTTTGCAAACTCAACTAACTGCTTTAGTTGCTCTCTCGTGGCAGCAGCACCCGTAGGGTTATTTGGGGAACAGAAGAAAATTATATCTGTCCTGCCAACAGTGGACAAGTCGGGAAAGAAGCCATTCTCTGGAGTGCATCTCATGTACTCGATGTTTCCATACTTTTGCACATCAGTGTTAAATTGCCCAGTCTGACCCATAATAACACTGGAGTCGACATAAGCCTGTATAATCCAAAAACCGAGACAGCATAGTTCCAAGTTAAAATGAAGCAAAAGCAGAGAAGACTACAACTGCAATTTGGTTTCTGTCTGGCCAATTACCGGATATGAAGGATCCTGAACAGCAATTGTAACATTGGAACCAAACATAACCTGCAAAAAGTGGAATCAAGAAACAAATGTTCAGATTTCTTAATCTTGTATCAATTACGGATGAATAGTCAGCAATAAAACAAACCTGGAGACGTGAGATATCACATTTAGCTCCATCAGAAACAAAAACGTCATCATCCCCTATGCCAAGGCCACTGTAGAATGTTTTCGCAATAGCAGCTCTCAGTGGCTGTTCACATATGTGAAATCAAGGTTAGTTTGGATAAAAACTTAACAGATTAAGCTTAACAGGTAATGAAACGTGCACTGACCTTTGCACCTTGTTCAGCACCATAACCACTATATCCCTCTATTGTGGACAACTCATGAGCTTTCTGCCAAAGGAGAAATATAATTATTCTCAAAAAATTACATGCATGAGTACTATAGTAGTTCAAAAAGACAAAAAGAAAAACCTTTTTAAGTTTTCATTGTCGGATTATAAAAATAAAAAAATCTTTTAATCAAAATATCCGAAAACATAAAATGTTGAAAATGTCAAAATGAACCATTATGTATACTAGGAGTATGAGTAAAATAAGTTTAAAATATGCTTGAGCCCAGAGAGGGGCAAAGAGCACATGAAGCTAAGTTAAGAAAAGGAGGTACCTTTGCCATTGCAGAAGTGATCACTTCAGGAATTGGCTCAGTTGTGTCGCCTATTCCAAGACTTATAACTTGTGCATCTGGATATTTCAGTAAATGTGCAGACCTTCTTCTTGCAATCTGTTTGCATTTGCCAAAAATAGAAAAGAGAGGAGCATCATATAGAGAATCAATGAGGATATATTATCTTATTACACAGGTAATCAAGTGGGTATGACTTATTATATTTCAGATCACTACAAGCTTTCAAAAATATTAACTTAGTACTGACATTTTCTCTGTTAAGAGAGGGAGCAATGCTTTTGCTTGATGGATTATAAGCTATAATTGAATAAAGGCCACTCCTTTAGGCATTTCAAATCTTAAATAGTAGTAGCAAGACAGTAACAGTCAACAAACCTCAGGGAATAGGTATCCAGCCTGAAGTTTGGACATGTTTGAATTCCGTGAGACCTTCGTCTTATATTCTTGCATCAGAAAACAAAATCATGTCTTGTGAAAAACAGATAAACAGCTAAAAGACGATAAATCATTAACAAACTCTTAACTATCTTACTAATCATTACAGCAAAAACAACATGGAGTAAGAACATTACCGATCTTCTCTTGCGGCGTTGCAACGCATTTGCAAGTATTGACCCGTTTTGCCATGGGTAAGCAAGCATTTCGACTTCTGAAGCAAAAAATCAATCAATGATCAATAATGTTATCATTACAAGCAAATGCACTGTTCTCAGGCCAAACAACAGCATCCAACATCGACTTAAAACCAAAGGATTGAAATTCAAAAGATAAGCAATCATACGGTGGGAGAAAAAGATAACATACAATTAATTTCTAGAAATGAATTCCAATTTCATCTTCATCCTCTCTAGATTTTATAAGCAGCAAACAGAGAGTAAAGAAAACAAAAAGACGCACCTGAGATTGAAATTTGAAGGAGCTAAGAAAGTGGATGAGGAAGAAGAGATCATCGAAGAAACTAACTGATGGGTCGACGACATTTTTCCGCTTCGTACAGTGGTTTTTCAGACAAATTGCAGCCAAATGAGTCAAGAAACGTGTTTTGTTTGGGTTTTAATCATGTGAGAAAGAGTGAGACTGATAAAACTAGGGTTCTTCTTCGGTTTGGTCCGGCAGGAAATCAACCCGGTTTGTTCCGGTTCGGTTTACTAAGAAATTTTGGGAATTTTAATTCAGTTTATTTTTATTTTTTTTATCTGGCTGGGGCGACGATTTTTTTTTTTTTTTTGAATAACCGCGGGTCTCCCAAAGGCTTCCCAGGCCCAAGGACTAATCCCACGAGGCTGGCAATTCTCCTATATAAACCTGCCAGTGGCCGTGCCTCGAACCCTGGTGGCGGAAGTCACAGCTGTGACCCCTTTACCTGGGCGACGATTTTGCTTTGCGCTTGCTGGAAAACGACGAGGAATCGCACGATTCCGTGAAGCTACTTGATTATATCTGAGTCAATTCGATTTCGTGGTAAGTAATCTCCTCTTCGATCACAATTCTGGAGCAAGAGATTGGGTTCTCCAAAATCCCTTTTTGATTGTTGTCTTTTACGTTATTTTTGTTTGTTTTTCTTCGTCTTTTCGTTGATTTCGAGTCGAAAGAACGTAGCTTTGGTGGAAGTTGTATATTTGGGAGGCAATGATTTTGATAGCTTTATGATTCCCGAATGAATTTAGTTGTCGAATTAAGTTTATGCAAGCTTTATTAGATAATTCTATCAAGTTATCGGTTCATCATTGTTTGATCAACCCAGATTGATTTGATCACTTGCCTTGATTTGGAGATTTGAGGCCTATACTTTTTCTTTTACCTTGGAGTAGATGGATCTGGAAACTGAAAATCGAATAGCTTCGATTCTTTTAAGAGAAGCAGCAGAATTGAGGAGACAAGCTGAGAAAGAAGGCGTCAGAGCATATCTTGAGAAGCCTAATGTAAGGCATCGACCTAACTCACGATTTCTCACGGCTACTGTTCTTGGTGTTCAGCAAGGTATAATCTTTATTCCTAGATCTTGCTTCTATCGAACAAAAGTCTAGTTTTTAGGCTTGATCCAACATCGTTTCTCGTTTATGATGTTTAACTTGCATCTTTAGCTTTGTATTCTGATATTCAAACGTGTTTTGAGATTTCAATTGAACGTTATGGTTCAAATTTGTTTACTTTATCTCTTATTTATTTCTTCTATACGCCATTTCAGCAAACAAAGCTGTGGAAACCAATGAGATGTGGAGTCTTCGGAGTAAAGAGATTGAGCTTGATGAAAGGCTCAAAAGAAAATCAAGAGAAGAGACCAGCAGTTGCCAAAGTGAGCAGAACAATAGGAGGGATTTTCTTAAGAGATGTACTTCAGTTGATGAGAATGTTACTACTAGTTTATCATCATCATCAAGCCAGAGCAGAAACAAAAGATGGCAATCAGAAGATGATGATCAAGGCTTAGGAGATGTTGAGGTTAAGACTTTTCTCCAATCAAGGTATTTCCATTATACTCAGATCAATGCTGCCTGATTATTTCCTTTACACTATACTAATGAAACGAATTGGGAATCGGTTCTTGTTGATAAAATCTTGTGATTCTGGTCTATGATAGGGTCAAGCGTGGCAGAGGCTCTGTTGGTGCTAGGATGGATGAACCATTACCTTGTCTTCCTCTGACGGAACTGTCAAGAACTTCTGATACAGGAGATCGGAAGCTAGTGCTTCAGCCAGAGCGATCACCTTTATTGAGACATGGGACAGATTCTTCTTCTTCCGAGGAGGATGTTCACAAACGTGCTCATAGAAAGAGAAAGGAGCATAAGAAGAAACTTAGTAAGAAACACAAGTCAAAAGAGAAGAAAAGGGATAGGAAGAAGAGAAAATATTGTAGGGACTAAATCTTTTTTTCCGGACAAAAAATATTGCCTTTACACCGGCAGTGATGTTGTATCCATAAGATGATCATATTTCATTAATTCTAGTATTTTTAAAATGCTAATAATACATAGCAAAAGAGAGGTGTGCAGTAGGTTAGAATCGAGTATGGAGTCATCGTATATACGTAGAGACAATTCTCAGTGCGGCCTAAGAGGGTTCGGATTTGGTAAAGATCTTTGAAGCAAGGAGAGAGTGAAATCTCTAAGAGACTAATGATATATATAGAGAAAAACATCTTGAAACCATAGAAACGATGCTGTTCATGCCTATATTGATACACATTCGCCGGACAAGTGACAAAGTTTGAAAGTTGAAAACAAAGACTAAAGTTTTCGACATTCATAACCAGTTCAGTGGTCATGCACTGTGTTAGGAGTCTTCAAAATGGTGATCAGTTTCGTCAAAGATCTCCTCCTGCAACCAAAAGGCAAACAATAATAAATAGTCCGTGAAAAAAGAATCTTTGGTTTGATAAACTTATATAAGATTCCTTACCTGCAGAAGTTCTTCAATGACATCCTCCATTGTAATGATTCCGACTGCTTCTTCTTCCTCAGCAAGTTTAGGCAGCGGATTGCCATTCAATTGAAGGATGTCTGCATCATTGTCTTTTGACCACTTCTTGGTCTTTGACCCTCCTTTAAACGAATTTGCTCGATTCGGAAAACTCTTCCACTTTTGAAGCGATCTTTTTGTCCTTAACATTCTCTCCTGAGGAGTAGGAGTTCCCTCACTATCCATATCCAGTCGGGCTTCCTTAACACTCCCTATTAGAAACCAAAGAAAAGATTCTCAAAACTTGTAACTCAGCAAGACAATGTTTTGTCGATTAATGAAACAGTTTACCATTTTTAGAAGGTAATGGGTAGATTTTGTCGCACTGTCTCACAACAACAGCCATGTGGCTGAGTCCTTTCTGGAATTCGTTCAATATGTCATATAAAGGCAAGCTTTCTGGAACTCTAAAACAAAGCAAAAAATCAGCTTTTAAAGCACATTCAATGGGCTTAATTGCTTAGATTCGGAAATTTCACCTTGGAATCCTTCTTATTGTGACATTCTTGACAGGTATTTCTTCATCTGGGTTGATAGTCAATAAGTTCTTTACCTGAAGATAACAGATATGAATGGTTAGAAGTGGAAACAGACCACTAAAGAGGAAAATGACTTCACATAGAACCGAGTCAAATTGTGGAAGTAATGCATGAGACTGGGAGTTACCAGAACAAGGCCGATTATGTTAGTTGGCTGCTCATAGTATACTGGAACTCTGCTATGCCCTTTCTCAAGAATCAAGTTCATCAAGTCTCTATACCAAAGGAACAGAGAAATAAATAAATAAAGATTAGCATGAGTGGAATAAAGACTCTAGGCAAGTGTGTTTCTGATCAGATAGGTCTAAAAGGAATCACAACACAACCTATCTAATTTGGCATTGATATCAATCACAAAGATATCAGATATTGGTGTCATTGCATCTTTGACCATTTTCTCAGACAGTTCGAGAGCTCCTGCGATGATTGTCGTTTCATCATGAGTCAGCTCCCCACCTTTCCCAGCCTGAAAGAAACAAAATACTAAACAACATGACATAGATAGAAGGGATACTGAAACTTTTCAATCTTGAAGATGGGAGCAATGCATACCTCATTTCCATGAAAATCCACAAGTGTTTTCAGCTCAGCTCTTCGAAAAAGTGCAGCACGACGATGACCCAATAGAAAGTCCAGCAGCTGGATTATTCAAAAGAGCAAAAACGTATTATAACAACGAGCATGATGGGTGGGGCACTGAGTCCTGGGGAGATCGGTATAGTGTTTTTACCTTGCTAATTGGCCAAGCAACAGGTAAGCAGATAAAGACTAGGACACGGACAAACGGAGCCACTGTTGCACCAATCGCCAAACCATAGCGTGAACAAATTGACTGCGGTATAATCTGCAGTTGCAGTAAACCCAACCATCAATGTTAGTATCCTGATTTACATTCACATCTCAGATACAGGAAAGTGAGGGAAAATGTTCAGAGACTGTTTTCCTTATTGAATATTGCAGGAAAGGCTAATCTTACCTCACCAAAAAGAAGAATCAATGTAACTGAAATCAAAATGGCACCCCATGCCGTCACAAGGCCATCAAGAAAAATAGGAAGAGTCTGAAAAGATAAATCATTACTAACATCAAACAACATTCCCAAAACCTATAATCACAGAGGCTAATGTTAAGTTTTATATTTACCTCCATAGCAGCTGCGTTGCATATAAGTAAAGTGACAAGCAACAGATGCTGATTCTTCACCACTGGCAATATCTTTGCTGCAGAAAACAAAAACAACTCTGATCATCATTAACAGAGAGAGTCTAAAAAGACATGAATTAGACCAAAGCAGGCTGCTCACAACAACTGAATCATTGATGACATAACAGCTATTATGTCATCAAATTTGGAGGTTCTGGCTTAGAGTAGCAAAAACTGATAAAAGGGTAATCTAGTCTTGATTAGTAAAGTTAGAATAAGACTAAAATCTTCACCAGTATAAACTCACACGCAGCAATTGAATATTACAGAAACCAAACTCGACCTACTTTGAACAAATGCTTTAGAAAGTTAATCAAAACGGCCAATAGATGAACTAACTGATAACCAAATTCGAATATGAACATCACAAAACAAAAGACCCTCGCAACATCTAACCAGACACGTGTAGGCCAATCAAAAACTGTCAATTTAGTGAAAAAACAAAACTTTACTAAGGAAAATTGTCAAATGGTGAAATAACAAAACTTTAATAGGTGTAAGAGAATCGAATCAGCGAAAAAAGAGGGAACACAAAGATTTTACCAGCATATTTACGATGTTCGGGTGTACCCGATTTAGCGAGAACTTCAAGATCAACGAGACTCAGAGACATAAGACCCAATGTTAAACCAGACATGAGTCCAGCGAACAAGACAAGAAACACAATCACAGCTATATGTATAAAGAAGTTTGGGCTGCAACATACATACTCCACCGCCATTCAAAATCGCCTCTTGCAGATAAAATAACAATCCCCAAAAGCTCAAGAAATCAGAAAACACACTAAACCCTAGCTCACTCGCAGACTTGACATCTTCTCCTTCTCCAAAAGTTTTTAACTTTTTTCTTCAGAATCAGGAAATGAACAGTCTCCGACTCAATTAGTAACGGCAAAGATCGGAAACTTAAGCACAAAGAGAGTTGAAGTGAAGCCCAGAAAAGATCTGATTAAAAGCACTTTTTGCAGAGAACTCGAAGCAATTATGGAGATGATAAAACAAACAACAGAGGCTCGTGCGGTGGAGATCCACTGGATATATAGGTCCTGGCAATTAGATATATAATGACAATAATACCCCTGTAATGAGAGCGACGTACGTGGGATAACAAAAGGTGTTTTCGTAATTTTAAGGGTCATGTCTTTTTTTTAATGCTGGCTCAGCAACTAGCTGGGTTTTCCCGCTATGACGAGGATTTTGATCCGATACGGATTCTCGCCACAACACTTTTTTCTGTGTCGTCAAACTCAAAGTGTTTTTGTACATCTTTTTTTATGAAAAACAATTTGTAGATATTTCTTAAATTTGACTAGATAATTTACCTTTTTCTTTTTGAATGAATGACTAATGTAGTTTAGAAATGCTAATTATTATCAAAAAGTTACATTACCAAATTTCTTTTTCCATATGATATGAAGAAGAGAAAGCTTTCCTTTTATGCGCTACTTATTAGGTCGGCAAAATCCTTTTTAACTTGCTGAGCAAAAGCATACAATATTTCATTGTTTGTTGTTTTCCCTCGTGGCCGTGCATTTCTTTTACAATCTCAAATAAAAAAACAAAATTAATTTAATACTTAGGGTTGTATGATATAATTATGTGGATTCCAATAGAAACGCATTTTTCTTTACCCAGAAAAGAAGCCCATAGAAGTCCATGTATAAATATATATATATGCCTCTTATTAGGTTTTTGAGTAAGATCCTATTCTATCCGGTGATCGAATACCTACCGTTGAAGATAGACTATTCAGTGTACTGATGTCTCTCAATTGTCTAGGATTTCTTTCAAAGGAAACAATACTGGTGCTGCCTCGTCTTTGGTGGGTGTAAACGGGTAAGAGACATCTTAAGGATCAGCCATCCAGAGGCAGTTGTTGCAGCTAGAGAGACAACAGACTTATCTTATCAACAAACTCCAAAACACTATGGTGACTTTAGAGGGCAAGGTAAGGGGTTTAGAGAGAATTGTCGAAGACATGGGAAGAGATCTTTCGACTGCTGGATTTGGCAAATCTAAGAGCTTTGCTAACTATCCTTGTACTGGAAAGTATAATGGCCGAGCTCCAGGAGACAGAGACTCGCAACCTGATGGAGCTGTGAGGGAGACGATGTTGAATTCTGACATACCTTCACATGTTGCTTCCAGAAACGGACAAGGTGGGACAAGATCACCACGGTCAGAACAACATGAGAATGATGGTGCAGTCACTAGACCAACCTCAATTGCTGCTGTCCCTGAAGATGATAAAAACAAAGGGCAGGAACTCGTCGATGTACGAACCTCATATAGCAAGGCAATATACTCACTCCAAGCTGGTGACATCAATTCTGCTTACGCAGAAGTTTTTGGCTTGGGTAACATGATGTTGATCATCTTTCTGATGCAGCGCGCACACATGACCCATTATTAGCCATATGTCTAATGAGATTGCAAATGAAGCTCTAAACTTCATATGTACGCGCTGCTGCCGGATCACGATTTCTACGGCATCTGCGTATCTTGGATTCAACAGGTACATCTTTTACAATTTCTAAATGATGTTTCGTCTTAACCTCTTTCCCTCTCTCTTTGTAGCTGGTAGAAGTACTGCTTTTAAAAGGTGGTTCAGAGATGTTTAAGTTCCAATGGAGTTGAGGTACAATTTCTTGTACAACTTTCAAATGGCATGTCCGAGTCCGACAATGGATCCACCGGACCATCTCGTTGTGCAGTTAGCAAGTGCTTGGAATATCGAGGTGATTTAACGTGAGCTTGTGATTGATTTTTTTTTTGGTTGTTTCTTCTATTAAGAGTTTTCTTAAGCATGTTTATGCATGATCTCGACTTCTAAAGCTGTTTAATTTTTCATCCACTAATCATCAAGAAAATCAAGAAAATTCACAGAATGTAGATACTATCCAAGATATTATTATTTGTAATAAACTATCAAATACAAATTCATAGAAGAAATTCTAAGTCTATCACAAGCAAGCTGCAAAACGACTACAAAAACAGTGACAAAACTACATAAAAGAAATATCGATGTCTGAATATTTAAGTAATTTCTCTTTAAACTTATGAGATAATTTGTCTACCCCTAATGAAAATATGCTTGTTTTCTTATTGTATAGACATTCGACCTTACTCATTGATGTCTCTATTCGAGTAATCTAAACAACGACAAATGGTTGATCCATAAAAAAGAAGAAGATAAGTAATTCTTAATCAGTTCACATTGATAATAACCAGTTTTCACGATGAAACACCTATTTTAATTACTTAATTAGCATCATCGCCATACATTCATTTGACCTAGTAAAAGTCATAGTAATTAACTAGCATAAAACATAGAAATTATCTTGAGGATAAAATATACAACATTGAATGGGAGTATATTCTAATGTTTCGTCTGTTTTGTGCTTCAAAGTTTCTCCATAATAATAATAAAATAAAAGCATACAAACGTATATGAAAAGATAGGAAGATATTGTCTTGGATTTTAATACTGTAAAAATTGTTTCAGTCAAATTCTTTTTTGAAATGTATGTACGAAGGGACATTATTAAGGCTCTCTGACCCCTTCGCCTAATTGACTTGGTAAAACAGATTAAAACTAATAATACAATTAATACAAGTCGTGTCTTCGTTGGTAAAAATTTAAAAATATCTCGCAAGTGTTATTACTCGTCGAGAAAATTACTCCAACTCTATATAAATCCTCGTTTCTAACCATAACACACAGAACACTTAAAAGAGCTCAGAGACAACTAAGATAAAAAAAAAAGAATGAAGATGTTTACCTCTCCTCAAACCCTAGTACTATTGGCGTTAGCTCTTGTCCTAGCTTTTGCAGTTCCACTGAAAGCCCAAAACCGGCCAAAAGACTACCTCGCTGTACACAACCGTGCTCGAGACAACGTTGGTGTGCCTCATATAAAATGGCATGCGGGGGCGGCGCGATACGCCTGGAACTATGCTCAAATAAGAAAGCGGGACTGTCGACTCACTCACTCAAACTCAGGCGGGCGTTACGGTGAAAACTTGGCATGGAGCAGTGGTGATATGTCCGGAGCTGCCGCAGTGAGATTGTGGGTCAAAGAGAAGTCTGACTACTTCTACAAATCGAATACATGTCGTGCTGGAAAACAATGTGGTCATTATACTCAAGTTGTGTGGAAAAAATCGAAGTGGGTTGGGTGTGCCAAAGTCAAGTGTGACAATGGTGGAACCTTTGTGACTTGCAACTATTTTCCTCCTGGTAATGTTAGGGGCCGTTGGCCTTACTAAGTATATGTGTTAAGTATATGTGTACGCTGACGAGTAAAACTTTTCCATAGAGGACGTGTGTGTTTCTATAATTCCAATAAATGATCACCATCTATCAGGATGTGGTGGTTCCTTTGTGTGTTTATGGTTTGTATAATATGTTGTGATGGAATATCATACATTTTTTTATGCTTAAAGGTTCCCTAGTACTAGCATAATATCTGGTTGTTTCCATGAATACAACAAATGTTGGATGTCAGCATAAATCCATTGAAATACAAGTGAATATATATTCCATATTCATGGAAACCTAATATTCCGATAAGTAGACATTGACATTTCAAATTACTGGTTTTCTTTATTCATGGTTGCTCATGCGCCAAATCTGTGAACTCGCTTATACCGTCGGCGTATTAATTATGGTGCAAGTAAGTTTTTATTTGGATCCATCCGAGGTCTAAAATAACTTGAAGAAGAAATATAGTTCTTCTTTTTTTTTTTTTTTGCATTGTTGTGAATGAGAGTAGTAGATTTATATTTCTAGATGAATGTGTCTGTATTTTCCCACAGATTCCCAACTAAATTTGAAATCATATAACGGCTATATTTTCTGATGGATAACGGTTCCGACGACGAATAACGAAGTAAATCCGTTGAAAATCCATCAAAACTTTAAATTGCTTAACGGCTAATTATTATTACACAACGACTATTTCGAATAATTGTTTTTTTGTTCTAAATTAACTCACTATAACGAAGGCAACATACTCACTCCAAGCTGGTGACATCAATTCTGCTTACGCAGAAGTTTTTGGCTTGGGTAACCTGATGTTGATCATCTTTCTGATGCAGCACACAGGACCCATTATTAGCCATATGTCTAATGAGATTGCAAATGAAGCTCTAAACTCCATCTGTACGCTGCTACCGGATCACAGTTTCTACGGCATGTGCGTATCTTGGATTCAACAGGTACATCCTTACATCTTTTACAATTTCTAAATGATGTTTCGTCTTAACCCCTTTCCCTCCCTCTTTGCAGCTGGTGGAAGTGCTTTTAAAAGGTGGTTCAGAGATGTTTGAAGTTCCAATGGAGTTGAGGTACAATTTCTTGTACAACTTTCAAATGGCATGTCCAAGTCCGACGATGGATCCACCGGACCGGCTCGTGGTGCAGTTGGCAAGTGCTTGGGATATCGAGGTGATTTAACGTGTGTTTGGGAGTGATTTTTTTTTTGTGTTTGTTTCTTCCATTAAGAGTGATCTTAAGCATGTGTAAGCTACGAGAGCATGATAAGCTGTTTTATTTTTCATCCACTAATCATCAAGAAAATTCACAGAATGTAGATACTATCCAAGATATTATTATTCATAATAAACTATCAAATATAAATTCATAGAAGAAATTCTAAGTCTATTACAGGAGAAGCAAGCTGTAAAACGAATACAAAAACAGTAACAAACCTACATTTGAAAATATCGATGTCTGAATATTTAAGTAATCTTCTCTTTAAATTAACTTTGAGATAATTTGTCTACCCCTATTGAAGATATGCTTGTCTCAAAACCTTGAGATAATCTCTCTATTCCAGTAATTTAAACAACGGCATAAAAAAAGATATGGTCGATCCATAAAAAAAGAAGAAGATAATTAGTAATTCTTAATCAGTTCACATTGATAAGAACCAGTTTTCACGATGAAACGCCTAATTGAATTACTTAATTAGCATCATCGCCATACATTCACCTGACCTAGTAAAAGTCATAGTAATTAACTAGCATAAACATAGAAATTATCTAGAAGATAAAATATACACCATTGAACGGGAGTATATTCTAATGTTTCGTATATTTTGTGCTTCAAAGTTTCTCCTTAATAATAATAAAATAAAAGCATACAAACGTATATGGAAAGATATGAAGAAATTGTCTTGGATTTTTTATACTGTAAAAATTGTTTCAGTCAAATCCTTGTTTTAAATTTATTTACGAAGGGACATTATTAAGGCTCTCTGACCCCTTCTCCTAATTGACTTGGTAAAACAGATTAAAAATAATAATACAATTACTACAAGTCGTGTCTTCGTTGGTAAAAAAATATCTCGCAAGTGTTATTAATTACTCGTTTACAAAATAACTCCAACGTAAACTTTATATAAATCCTCGTTTCTAACCCATAACACACACACAACACTTAAAAAAGCTCAAAGACAACTAAGATATATAAAAAATGAAAATGTTTAACTCTCCTCAAACCCTAGTACTATTGGCGTTAGCCCTTGTCCTAGCTTTTGCAGTTCCACTGAAAGCCCAAGACCAGCGACAAGACTACCTAGATGTACACAACCATGCTCGAGACGACGTTGGTGTGCCTCATATCAAATGGCATGCGGGAGCGGCGCAATACGCGTGGAACTATGCTCAAATAAGAAAGCGGGACTGTCGTCTCGTTCACTCAGACTCAGGCGGGCGTTACGGTGAAAACTTGGCATGGAGCAGTGGTGATATGTCCGGAGCTGCGGCAGTGAGATTGTGGGTCAAAGAGAAGTCTGACTACTTCTACAAATCGAACACATGTCGTGCTGGAAAACAATGTGGTCATTATACTCAAGTTGTGTGGAAAAACTCGGAGTGGGTTGGGTGTGCCAAAGTCAAGTGTGACAATGGTGGAACCTTTGTGACTTGCAACTATTTACCTCCTGGTAATGTTAGGGGCCGTTGGCCTTACTAAGTATATGTGTACGCTGACGAATAAAACGTGTCCATAGAGGACATGTGTGTTTCTATAATTTCAATAAATGATCACCATCTATCAGGATGTGGTGGTTCCTTTGTGTGTTTATGGTTTGTATAATATATATGTTGTGATGGAATAATACAACATGTGGAATCTTGGCACCATGATTCAGATTTCCGTGTATCAAATTAACTCCGGATACTTTTGTTATATGAGCCATCAACAATATATAGCTAACTATGATTAAAACAGCAATACGAAGGCACGAACCATGATCTCTTAATTTCATGGTGAATTTTAACCACTAGACCAACATGAAATTGTTTTTCATATTACCATGTTTAGGGTTCAATTTGTCTTCTTGTAATACATGTGTTAATACGTTAACTTTATTATCATAGATGGCTAAAATTCATAAACATTTGAAAAGTAAATCTTTGATTGCATATATTTTTTATTCAACTCGTGACCAATTTGTGTCAAAGTGATCTATGCATATTTGATGAAGAAGATTAAATTTTTGGCTCAAGTCGTGTTTGAATTGTCAGAAACTGGCGTTCAAAACAATCGAAACCCAATTTGTATCATAATAACAAATAGTAAAACGAGAAAGCAGAATATTTGCGTGTGGAAACTATGAGGTATATATTGATGCAGACACATCTAGAGCATATATAGCAGCCAGCAATAAACTATATATTAAGCAATATTTAAGAGAATTAAGATTCGAAATTTATCCTCAATATGAGCTACTTTAATTCCAAATGACACCCAATAAACGACAGTTACTTCTGTTGAGATTATGGAGTACCGTTTTAGAAAATTTGAAAGTTTCTGCGTCTAGTCAACGTACACAAGTAACACAACGTGTAAACGTCTGCGTTTTTTTTTTTTCTACATTCGAAAAATACTCTATATGTAAATAATTAATGGAAATTACATATGTAAGTGAAATCTAAAATATTCTAACTATATTTTTAAAATATGCATGATATCAAGTATCGAATCTCTTTTAAGTCGTTCAATTAACTAAAACTATAACAACAATTAGTATGTTTGAAACATTCTGCTGATAATAAAATGGCCATCTTGCATGCAAAAGGAAAGAATAGAGTTAATATGAACAGCCATCATCACAAATTATATTTAAACCAAATTATTCGTAGTGGCTATATATATATTTTAGCCATCCTAGGTCGAAAATACGCAGAAGCTAGTCAGCGATGTGAAACTCCAACAACTATGCATCTTATAGAAAAGCTTCCTCCTTTTTAGCCAATCTAGGTCGAAAATAGACAAAATCGGTATTAAACTAATGAAGATGTTCTCATATCGTTACATCTCACCATTAAAATCTTAACTAAACATAAAAATTTACCATCGACAACAATAGACGGATCATAATTTATACCTTTATGTATCCATGATATAAACACGTACGAACATGGCAATAACTCTATCTGCAAACTACTACGTACATATGTCAGGATCTCCAAAAACTCTATAAGACATACTGTAATCTGTATTATTATATACTAATTAAGTTTCATACATAACCAATATGAGAATGCAATTCATCATATCAGAATGTCACTAATCACGTCAATTAATATGACGTGTAGCTATGAAATAATTACACTTAATCAATTGGCCTACTATATTAGACCGAATACGCATACGTTTCTAACTATTAATTTGTAACTTAAACTATTGTTTTTTTTGTGGAAAGCAAATTAACATTATAATTAAAAAATTACAAGTGATTATTTCGAAAATATAAAACGTTCAACAAGTATTGATACAAAACTACTATATAACGTATTCAATCCTCACTTCTAAAAACCACAAAAACTTTAAAACGAAAAAAAAGATGAAAATCTTTAACTCATCTCAAAACCTATTCTTGGCTATAACCTTTTTCCTTGTTCTCATAGTTCATCTAAAAGCCCAAGACCGTCCTCAAGACTTTTTGGCAGCTCACAACCGAGCACGCGCTGAGGTTGGGGTGGGTCCCTTAAGATGGGACGAGAAGGTGGCTGCTTATGCCCGTAACTATGCGAACCAGCGTAAAGGTGACTGCGATATGAAACACTCGAGCGGGGAATATGGAGAGAACATCGCTTGGAGCAGCGGTAGCATGACAGGCGTTGCAGCGGTTAAGATGTGGGTGGACGAGCAATTTCACTACGATTATGATTCCAACACATGTGCTTGGAACGAACAGTGTGGCCACTATACTCAGGTTGTGTGGAGAAACACGGCGAAGCTAGGATGTGCAAAAGTGAAATGCAACAATGGCGAAACCTTTATCACTTGCAACTACGATCCTCCCGGTAACTGGATTGGCGAGTGGCCTTACTAAAAAAACTCCATTTTAATGTTTTTGAATATGTGTTTATACACATGAATGTATTGTTTCTATGTTGTTCAGTTATACCAATCATCTGTCGTCAGCTAATAAAGATTGGTTTGTCCGGTCCGGTCCTCTTTTGTACCATATGTATACGTCGATTTTTATAATGGAATAATAAAAATGCAATGCTACGGCTTGCACTTGCTTTGTTTGCTATATGAAAATCTCCTCTCCCTTTTATATACGTACACATAACACATGATTAAATTAAGCCCCATATATTTACGTTTTTATTCTTTTGCATATCAAATTTTTGTATCTACGCGCGTACATTCAAAAGAAAACAACATATGTACCAGATTTCCTTTTTTACCAATAATCTCTTCTAAATTTTTAGGTTAAGAACAAAAAAGTCAAACGAAAATGCTATCTTTTTCTTCCGTTTGCGTTTTTGGGTTCAATTTTAAAATATCAATTTACTTAAGAAAATTTGTAGGCATGTACTTATTGAATCGTAAATTCAATTAAAAATTAAATTGTATTAATATATAAAAATGCAAACACAATCAGAAAAAGCAAACGATAACTTGTTTAATTAAGATAATGTTCAAACCCTTTAATTTTTTATCTCCATATGAATCAACAAAAAAATGCTCCAATAATGATTAGAAAGCTACTCACTCTCAAGCGATATCTCCATTAAGGAACAAAAAACTCGAAGCCGATTCGTTTCTTCCGAGAAACAGAGATTCATTGTTAGCAAAATATTTTTTGTGGAGTTCTCTGATATTGTTTCCACCCTTTTTTAGTCTCTTTGATATTATTGTATAGTATTCAGATAGTGACTTATTCGGAAGATAAGCTATAGATATGTGAATTGTAAAACAACGTTAACTACCACACGAAAAAGACTTTAATTTGCTATAATAATATTTTCACATCGACATTAGGTCATCCGGCTGCTTGTGCAAGGAGGCTGCGCATTATACGTTGACTACTGTAATAATAAAGTTTAAACACATTTGTGATTGAATATAAGAGAATATGCCAAGGGTTTTTAATCCGTTAGCTACATTTTTGAAAACGATTTTACACCAACCATAATTTTGATTTGGATACTTTGGCTATAGCCAACGAGGTCAACTTTTTAAACCAACCGAATTCCGAATCAAAAGATATAGCATCTTTTAAAATTTCTTTTAAAAATTTTAGAGAGATCATGAGCCGTCTTTTCATGTGTTACTTACACAGTGTTAGAGTTAACAGAACATCATGGAGACGAAAATTGATAGTTTTTTTTCCTCATCATGTAGGGTTGATTAGCTCCATTACCACCTAAATAGTCCAGAGTAAAGATTGAACCAAAAATATTATTTCATAGCTATCGGAGACCTAAGCGATGACTGGTTAACTCCATTACATTTCTTTATTAATCGGGTGAACGAAAAAAAAATACGAGTCCCATATTTAAAAATAATATCTACTAATCCATAGCCGAAACCAATAGTTTTAAAGATATTATTCCACCACCCTTAGCCGACCGAGATACTCATCTCTATCAGCTCTACAATCATGCCACCTTTTTTTTGCACACCTACGACAACCCTAATAACGTGCGTACATCATTTCACAATGTTTGGAAACTTTTTTAAGTATAGTTTAGTTTCTGATCAGATTTACTTCAAAACGTGACACCAACTAGGCCATATACTATAATATATGTACATTCTATATAAACATCTTAAACATTCTACAAGTATCCATCAAAAACACAAGAAAGCCATCTCACGCTATATTTATACATTTTAGAAAAATGTTTCATAAGGTTGCTATTGAAACCTTGGTTCTCCTACTTCTCATCAATTACTTGACACAAATCGATGTTTCTTACGCACAATACTCTCAGTATCCTCAGTCCCATGAATCTCCTGACAGCTACCTTAGACCCCATAACGCAGCCCGAGCCGCGGTCAAAGTCAGGCCTCTAAGATGGGACTTCGGTATAGCCACTGTGGCTCAGGACTACGCAAACCAACTAGCCGCCGGTTCCTGCAGTCTTGAACATTCCTCTGGACCATATGGAGAGAATCTTGCATTTGGCAGTGGAGACATGTCGGCGGCTCAGGCTGTTGCAATGTGGGTTGATGAGAAGTCCTACTATGATTTTTACTCAAACTCGTGCCACGGTCCGGCTTGTGGACACTACACGCAGGTCGTGTGGCGTGGCTCAGCTCGGCTCGGTTGTGGTAAGGCTAAGTGTAATAATGGTGCAAGTATTGTCGTGTGTAACTATGACCCTGCAGGCAATTATCTTGGAACTAAACCATATTGATTTCAAATCAATTGATGAATGTGTGTAAAGATTGTTGTATTGATTTTTTTTTTTTTTTCATTCGAGAATTCAGTACATGAGAAAACATGGCATTAAAAGTTGTATAATTCCCTTACAAAAATGTTAAGGGACTTTCCTTTTTGAGCGCATAACCAAGGATCACGGTTCACGGAGAAGGGACTTTCCATAATGATATGGTTTTACTGTGGTTAAGCGCTTAAAACAGATATTAGTACATTTGATCTCATCATGCTGGTTTCATGGAGATTCAGAGAACAGCTCATATTTTCTTCAATGTCTCTTTTTTTTTAAGCTTAAATGTTGAAAGTTAAAAGCCAACTTAAACTTAAATGGTTTGAAGTAGATCAATTATTTTAATAGAAAAAGTTGATTTTCATTTTTATAAAGTTCCAAGGAAAACTTGTAGCTGTGGATAACGTAGAGGAAGTGTTTTATTTTCATTTGAACCATTGTAGAATCCAATAGATATAATAGTTGAAGATTTTCCTAGTCCGAATACTTGGTCTCATTAATGAAAAACTGTTGATAAAAGAAATAGCATGTTGACAGAAAAAAAAAAAAGATTAAGAAGAGAACACATCAGAGGATATATCAAATGTGTAATTGCTCTCGACAATTGTATTTCCTAGACTAATAAAATGGTATTGTCCCCTTCTCTAGTCCACTTTGACCACTTCAAGAATGACTCATACACATTAGGATTAGGTTACCTATAAAATAAGAGAGCATGGAAGTGGATTTATTTGTTGACAAAATAATGTTTTAAATAACTTTTTATTTCTTTTTATTTATTTGTTTTTCTTACCTTAAGACATATATAGGAGGTTGTGTTTCAACTTTCAACCATATATCTACACATAGGAGTTTATTTCATTTTTAACTAATTAACTAGACTTATTTTAGTTTATATTTTTCTTATTTTCATGATTGTATAAGTTATGAAATTGAACAATTTAAAGATCATTGAATTATTGCAAATAATGTCACATACAATTTTTTCTCAATAATTGAAATTATTAGAGAATGATTCCCAAAGATAATTAAAATAAATAATGGAGCAGACAATAGTCATCGGTTCACCATCTTTGCGTTGTCTGGGCCTTACCTCTGTCCTTCACACTCTTTCCTCTGTTCAAAGTTTTTCTCTTTTTTTGGTTTTTAACTATAATAAACTCGAAGCTCTAAAGAAAGCTTCTCTGTCTTCTTCTCTTAGATAACTCTCTCAAACTCCCAGGTACTATACTCTCTTCCTCACAAAACTCCAAGTTTTGTTTCTTTTGAGTTGTCTCCGAATCTGATTCTTGTCCCTTCTATAGCTCATCTTTTCCTGTAATATCTTTGTGAATGTTCTTGATTTTGGCTATTTTCAAGAATTAGTTTCTTGATTTGACTCTTTTAGCTGTTTAAAATCGAAGTTTTTGTTGGTGTGTTCCTTTATGCCATGCCCATTCTTCTTCTACTACTTGTTCTTCGTTGAATTTGTCTTCAAGATTTGGGGGTTTTAGTTTCTCGGTCTCTGTTTGCTGATTAGGGTTTCAATTTGTGTAGTTTGGTTTTACTTTAACTTAGGTTGCAATTAATTTGATATTTTTCTCTTTTGCATGTCACATCTTCTATTGTTCTTTGTGGTTTTAATGAAGTACAAAAATTTGGTTTTTGAGGTGATTGATTGTCTTATTCTATAAAAGCTGTTCCTTTATTGCCACAGGTTAAGAATCTGAGTTATGGTTTTTGTATAGCAGCTGAGAAGTTTTGTTGAAGATGAAGAAAGCATCAAGCAGAAGCCAAAGAGGAAGCAAAGGTATTAAAGGGAAGCATGTCCTGCAGATATGTGTTTTGCTTGGAGTTTGCATTTGGTTAATCTATCAAGTGAAGTATTCTCATGATAAGAAGAAGGAATTTTATGAGAAAGATGTAGACAAATCAACGGTGTTGTTGTCGGAGATTGAAGATGGAGTGGTGAAACTTGGGAGGAAAGATCTTCTTCCTAAGTATCATAACCAGAAGGAAAACGAGAAGCATGTGGAAGAGGATGAGGATGAAGAAGAGGTTAGCCATGAAGGAGAAGAGAAGGAGAAGAAGAGTAAAGTAGAGAATGGTAATCATGAGGAGGAGGAAGAGAAAGAAGAAGAAGAGGAAGTTGTTGAGGAGGATGAAGAAGATAAGAATAAGCAAGGAGAGGAAGTAGCTGAGGAGGATGAGGAAGAAAACAAACATGAGGTAGATGAGATTGATGAACAAGATCAAAGTAAAACCGGTGGAGATACTGATAAGGATGATGAATCACTTGAAGAAGAGAAAGAGAGTGGAATGAGTGAGAACAATGAGAAAGAAAAAGAGACTAACCATGCAGATGAGATTGATATGACCGTTGATGAGGCACGCGAGGAGCATTACAAGGCTGATGATGCTTCCAGTGCAGTGTCTCATGAGTCTCGGTTACTAAACACTGAGAAATTGAAAGAGAGTTCAAATGAAACAGCTGAGGAGAACAATCCCAATGGCGCTACGAGCAAGGTTGAGATCCAGAAGGAACCTGACTTGAAGTTAGGAGAAGCAGAAAACGCCGATTTTGTGAACAAAACAACCATAGAGGTGAAAGATGGTGACAGTGAATCATCCAGTTCTGAAACAAAAAGCGCGGTAACTGAATCACAAAGTGAGACAGTTAATGGCAATTCGACAGTAGCACTTCTTGAAGCTTCAGAGTTTGTGCAGAACGAAACACAAATCATGCGAGATCGAAGTCAAGAAGATGGTGCACCGCCTGCAGGATTCTCTGAACCACAGCCTGTCTTGGAACTTGAGCAAACCCGTAATGAATCTGATCCCAATATCCCTATTTCTGCAAACATTACCAACAAAGATTTCATTCAAGATGAGTCCAAGAACTCAACTTCAGAATCTTCTCTACTTGAAAACATCGCTGGCTCAAACACGACCGAGGCGAATGAGAATTCAAGGTCTGAGGGTGATGATGAATCAGGTGAAAAGGAAAGTTCAAACATTTTCTCTACAGAGCTAACAGAGGAGGCAGATAATACTTCCGAAACCTCGATTTCCCAAGAAGAGATGGATGCTCTCACTGATCCACAAACTCTTCCGGATATAAAAATAGAGGGGAATGAAGAAGATGAAGAGGAAGCACTTGGAGCAGAGAGAAAGAAGCTCTAGTGGAAAAAAAGGATAAGTTAATGTGAAATGTTTTTTATGCTTTTGCAGTTATGTCATTGTAAAAGCTAAAAACATCAGTCTGTCTCTGTTACTTAGTTTCGCAAATCTGTATATTATTCATTTGGAACTTTGGCTACCAATTACTTTCACTGCTCTCAGGAAACTTGACTTCAACACTAACAGTAGACGAAGAGCTCAATAGTCAGTTAAGTCTCCTGTGATCAACCATGCCCGTAAATAAAGCTGCAGAAACTCAGAAGACATGAATATCTGATCAGGACTCGCTTTTTATAGATGCATTTGGAATATAAACTCTATAAATGGTTATTGTGTGTTAATTACACTATGTCAAAAGTGGGAATTTCGCAAATCACTTCTGCAGATATTGTTTCAAAAAGTGACATTGATAACAAATTTCTTTAAAATCAGTAACCAATGATGTTAAGAGTAAACAGAAGATACAATTGTTTTGTGTTGAGAGCTATTATTTGGTGCGGATGGAGAGATCTTGAAGCTGCTTTGGATCGACTTCAGAGGGAGTCCTTGTTAGGGCACATTGCGCTGTGGTTGTCTTTGGAAAGGCTATTACATCTCTTATGGAACTCGCACCTCCCAGCATCATCACCATTCTATCCAATCCATAAGCAATTCCACCTGTAATTTCATATCAAATTCTAATGTTTCATCAACCATGCTTGACCAATCTTGTTTAGCATCATCATCAACAACAAAGTGTCAAAAAAGTTTTTCAGACCCCATTTTGTCTTAAAGATCCTAGGCAGAACCAGTATAGACTCTAGGCATATACGTTAAGATCATGTATTTATTTTCCCTTAATTGACCTTGAGAACATTTACATACCATGAGGAGGAGCACCCATGTCAAGAGCCTCCAGAAGATAGCCAAACTTTGATTCAGCCTGTTTGTAGGAAAAAAATGAGATAAGGATTATCTGTATATATGATAGAGATGGCACTCTGAACAACATGAATAATCCATTTAAATGGATAGTTCTCAAAAAAAGGAAGTGATTCTCACCTCTTCAGGCGAGATGCCAATGATCTCCAAAACCTTTTCTTGAACGTCCCGCTTATATATCCTCAAACTTCCTCCACCAATCTGTATACATAAGAGTGTATCTCAAAAGTACTCCCAAGCCACTGTGCTAGAGAGAAGATATGGTTAAGCTGTTTGGTTTACCTCGACCCCATTATAGACCATGTCATAAGCGAGAGCTCGTGCAGAAGGCAAGTCATCCATATCTTCAGGCTTTGGAGCTGTGAATGGATGATGTAATGCCTGAAGAGAAATGCCTTTTCATATTAGCGCACACAAAACATATTTGGACATTAATCTCATCTCATGCAAGAAGTTAAATTACAAAACGTCATACCTCTAGCCTCTGCTCTGGCTCATTCCACTCGAACATTGGGAAATCTGTCACCCACAGAATTGAGTGCTTGGACTGTATAATATACAAGAAATGGCATAAATGTGATGAACTGTCATCAAGTGGAACAAAAAAAGTGATTGGCCAATAGAGAAACTTACATGGTCAATCAAATCCATGTCATGGGCTACAAAGAGTCTTAACCTATCTAGGGTTTTATTAACCGAAGTAACAGGACCCACTCCAAATAATATAAGATCACCAGGTGCTGCTCCACATTGTTTCACAAAGTTGATTTTACCTGCTGAGTCTAAACTAGAAACTAATGCTGCAATTCCCTCGATCTCGCCTGCATCATTAGGTTAGACCTAATCAGAGCTGAATGTACAAAGAATTATTATATGACTATATTAGAAAAAGAAAAAAAATTCGAAGAGAAAGAAGTAATCTCTTTACCATTATCCAAGACCTTCAAGAAAGGCAGACCCCTTGCTCCGGATTTCATTGCTTCATTGTAAATATCTCCTTTTTTGAGAGCTGAGTTTGAATACTTTTTAGAACCCAAAGGCACACATAATACCTTAATGATTCCACCACTTTCAAGGGCCTCCGTGAAAACCCTGAAGGACGATTCTGTGAAAACGTTGGAAACCTGCAATTTCAGAAACTTGAGATTTTAACTTTAATATATACTTCAGTGCAGAAAATGGGAAACAGCTCTAAAACGCACTTCCTGGTTGAAGAAAAAAAACAGCATAAGCAATTATTCCCATAGAGACATATAGATACTTCTTGTAACATTAGCTAAAAACCAAGAAGTAAATAATATTACATCTTTCAACTCGAGATCAAATCTTGTATCTGGTCTATCTGAGCCATATCGATCCATCGCATCAGCATATGTAAGCCTTGGGAATGGATCAGGTAGCTGGATACCTTTGATCTCTGAAAAGACCTGCACAAGAAGGTCCAACAATCAAAAAATGCAGATAGGACATTAAACTAATTTAAAGTGAAGAGATCCACATAGAAACTGAGCTTGGAATTCAGGACATATGGGAATTACTAGAAACATATCAAGAAGCAACAAGTTTGTAAAGATATTTCTTGACAACATTGAGCTACTTGCGTCATTATCACACAAGATACAAAGTCATAAAAATAGTTCAACAGTACTCTAACCTTACGGATAAGATCTTCATTCAGCTTCAGCATGTCTTCCATAGGCATGAAAGCCATTTCCATATCAAGCTGAGTAAATTCAGGCTGCCTATCAGCTCTTAGATCTTCATCTCTAAAACATCTGATAATAGGAAAAAGAACGCATGAGAGAGAAATCATTTTCATCAGGAGTCCTGCTTTTGGTGGTAAATGAAGGTGATGAGCCATTTATATCAGGGAGGCTTATGCTGAACCAAGCTTAAGTGCCAAAGATCATATAATATACCTTGCTATCTGGTAATATTTGTCAAAACCAGAGACCATTAACATCTGTTTGAAGAGCTGTGGACTTTGTGGCAAAGCATAGAATGTTCCTGACTTCGAAAGAAAATTAGATAGAATCAGACCTATAAACTATGATATAAGCTTATATTTCAGGGAAACTTAATACTCTGACGGGAAATAAATTAGGATGGAAAAAAGTAGTGGCACCTGAATTCTTGAGGGAACCAAATAATCTCGCGCGCCTTCTGGAGTAGATCTAGAGAGTATTGGAGTTTCAATCTGACATAAACAACAGACCAAGATGAAAAACTGGGAAAGGGCCAAAACTGAAAATATACTATAAGTTAAATACAGCGCCTGTTTCAAATAGAGAAGGACACACCTCAATAAAATCATGTCTATCTTCTAGGTATCTCCTAATCAGCTTCACCACATTATGGCGAAGCACTATATTATTCTTCATTTGCTGACGGCGTAGATCAAGACATCGAAATCTAACATCGTACAAGCCAAATCCAAAATATGAGTTAGCATTTGGAGATTCCATACGATAAACCAACCATGAAAGATCAATCATATATCTAATATTTCACCTTAAGCGAATTTCTTCTTTAATCAAATCTTTGTTCTCGTCTGCAGTAGTAACTAAGAAGGGAAGCTTTGTCCTCACAGGATTCAATATTTCGACATTCTCTGCAACTACCTAATGCAACATACTACACACATCAACTTTCGAGAAAAACCGAAACATATAGGATATTTAAAATGCAGCTGAGCTGAAATGAGAAGGCATACCTCGACGAATCCTGTTTTCATTTTCTTGTTGACGGACTCATTTGGCCTACTACGCACAGTACCTTCCACCAAAACAACGTACTCAAGCCTCATGTCATTGATCAAGCCATGTGCCTCAGGAAACTCATCCGGAAGCGTCCTCACCTAAAATTATAAAACTTTCAAATAAACGAATCATAAAGTCCCCAAATATCCATATTTGCGTAACACAAATTGGGTAAAAAAGAGTTGAAATGGTCGAATCAAAGATAACCATATAGCACCAAAGAAACAACGACAGATAAACTCACTCAAGTAAAATCCAGGAATGGATTGAATTAAACACTACTTAATCGTTTCTTATTCAGATTCAATACCAATCACTGAGTCAAAAGTTCATTGTTGAGAAGAAACTTCTCAATGCTAATCTATTGTAATGCAAAGTGTAAAAGCATTAGGTGAAACCTTAAACCTGGACAATGCCGGTATGATCTCTAAGATTAAGGAAAGTGAGGCCACCATGGACTCGGTGAAGGGCGACCCATCCGCAAAGGCGGACCCTTTTACCAACATCATCGACTGATAACTCCCCGCATAGCTCTTTGCGCGATACCCACCGAAGAACCGACGGAGGAGATGGAACCGGCTTCACTGCTACATCGCCGGTGGCAGCTGCAACAGTGGAATTGGAGAAGGTTCTTCGGGTTCCAGGAAGTGGGTTTCTCCGTTTGGGTACGAAGAAGAAATTGGCAGCGTTAGAGGCGGATATGGCGGTGGCGGAGAGGAAACGAGCAGGTCGGAGAGGCAAAGTTCGCAGGAGGAGAGACATTGTTGGGACGAGAATTAGCTAAAGAGAGGAAAAGGTTTAAGGGATTGCGTTTTTAGAGACGAAGAAATCAATTTGATCAAACCAGTTACATTGGTTCGGTTAACATATCGAACCGGTATGGTCAAACTAATAATTCAGTTATTGTTTTGCTCAACTTTGGATGAAGAAACGTTTATTTTATTTAAAACTCAAAATCAGTAAGCAAAACTTGTTTATCTGATACTGCTTCCAAAAGGGATAGGCTAATTCTGTACAAATCCATAATTAGACATTTATTATTCGTGGCTCATTAAGAACATCTAACACTGCCTTTCATTTACAATGCTGTCTCTTCTTATATTTGACTTGCGCCAGATTTTGGAAGAAATCTACAAATACTTGCTCGTAATCTGGCATCTTTCCGTAACCTGCAAAATCGATTTCAAACAGAGAAAAGTTCACTTCTCTGCTTCCATGAGAAAACTGCGCAAGAGCTTCAAAAGGAAAAAAGTTTACCAGGAAAATAGTTGATGTCAATAACATAAAACACGTTTTTGCTCCCATGTTCTCTGATCATGTCTATGTTGAAAAGCCGCAGTCCCTATAGTAAAAGAAAAGCAATAACAGATTATATAAAAAACCGGACTTGCAAGGTAAAATGTGGAGAAAAGCAGCTAAAATTTTATACCAATAAGCTTCTTAGCTCTTTCACCAGTGCCTCGAGGAAAGGCTTTGGAGGTAGCTCAGCAACACAAGGGTCCAAATCTGCGTTGTCTGCTGAAGCAGCAGCTGATGAAACCCTTGGGAATTGGAAGACGCCATCGACTTTGGCTTTTTCACAATTACTCACATTTGGTAGAGAAAACCGTCGCATGACTTTTATAATATCACCCACCACAAAAACCTTGAACATAACTCCACCTACAGGCACCAAAAAAAGATACATTGAATATTTTGAAGACATATACATGGGACAACTGCGTACAGCGTATTAAACTATCTAATTAAACCCAATACCATGATTAACAAACTCTTGGAGGACTAGAGGCGGATCAAGTTCTGCAAGCGAGCGCCTGTCATAAGCTAAGTACAATTGATGTGACTTTGCAGTTCCATCGATCCAGAGCGGCTTTGCAACTGGGACAAATTTGAAACAAGTTTGAACCAATTTCATCCCCGGGTCATGATCATCATTTATACATATAAAGATATTTGATGTCAAGAAAATATGTTCAATTGTACCTAGTGGAAATTTAAGACCAGCTTTCACAACTTCATCAGCAGTAGCTGCTGAATCTTTCAAGACAACCATTTGCTTTGGAACAAAAAGGCTGCCTACAAAGATTTACCAAAGCAAAAATCACTTACAGAGAAACTTTAGAAAAGCCTTAAATTTCAATGTCAAAAGAACTTATTGAGGATTGTTACCACTGCAATCTGACAGTTTCAAATCTGCCATACCCTGAAGCATCGATTGTCGATTATATATGCGCTGTATTGATCCTGGAGGATCAAGCACAGTCACTTCTGGATGTTTTTGTTGGTAATCCTACAAAAACGGTGAAACACACATGAGATTGTATTTGACGACAACATATAATTTCCACAAACTGAAAAACTGTTCCAGCTTAACAGAAGTCTTTCAAATACAAAAGGTTCTCACAATACAAAGACTCATGGGCGAATAATATTAATCCTATTTTAGTTGAATACATTTACATAGTTAAAACTAAGAAACTCAAAACCAGATTGGTTGCAATCTCCAAGCAAGAAACTCAGGAATAGAACCTGAAGTGCATTTAAGAAAGAAATAAGCAGTTTATGAAAAACAGTCAGTTTTCCAAACCTCAATAACCTCTTCCCACTCTTTTCCCAGCAACTGCAAGAGAGCAATCATATAATTCATTAGATTTCCAGCAGAAACACAGATTCAAGCTCAGAGAATTCTTAGTTCTCACAAACCTTATGCAAAACGACATCAAATGGCCCTTGTTCAGATAGGGGCCGGTTCAAATCGATGGCGACAAAGAAAATGCCTTTTCTCCTGAAATAGACCGACACACAAAAAGTATTACTGTTAGCATTTTCTTCAAAACACTGCTGGAAGAAGGAAAAGAATGAAAGCTATGGGTTGATTAGAAAGAAGCAAAACAGAGACCAGACGTCAAACTAAACCAATAAGAAATGTTCTCTCTGGCCTATTAGAGACATTCTAGAACATGACATATTAAGTAGAACCAGTGATTGTTTTAACAAATACACCCATGTGGCTGAAGAAGATTTCCAAGCCACAGAAAAGGCAAAACATCAAGTATTTTATTTTTAAAAGCCAAAGTCAAACCTCAATGGAGACTAATCCAAAAGGATTATACAAGGAATATTCCCATAGAAACAAAGGTGTTTATAAAGATGCCTGATATCACAAGTATACTATACTAGTGTCAGCCTAACTCTAAGCAAAGGAGTCGGCTAAGGACAAAAACATGGCAGATGACAAGACATAACAAGTGGCAATGGTCCTCAATAGAATCAGGCAAACCAATAATAGGTACCAAAACAAGAGTAAGGAAACAAGAACCAAATCTGGAAGAAAATGTCAAAGTCCTAAAGATATTTTTGAAAGTAGAAAAGAACTTGTCGGTTATGTTTAAACGCCAACAAAGGAACAGTCGTCTCTCAGGAAAAAAGAATTCGAGAAAAGATTGTTCAACAAATTTGGAAACTTTGTAGTGAAAAATCAAACCTTTATAATCAATGAAGCATTTTGGGATTTGTATTCATTACCTAGCAAGAAGTTCAAGCTTGGGCTGCAAGAAACTCTTCTTCTTTTTAGAAGTCAGAGCATACCCAACAACGAGTTTCTGCTGCTGCTGAAGAAACAACGGTTGTTGCAAATGAAACGGCGTCGTTTCGGTCACCACCACTTCGTCTTCTTCCTCCTCTTCAGCTTTGAGTGGCACCATGTTTTCCCCTTCGAATCTCATAGCAAAGTCTTCAAATCCACCGCAGGAAAACCCTAAATTGGACGTAATCCCCAAATTACGGCTCAATCTGGCAGTTTCGATTTCGCCGGAAGCAAGTGTCTCGAACATTAATAGAAACGGTATAAAAAAGAAGAAGCAAAGGGAGAATCTTTGAAGATTCCTCTCAGATTCTATATCCGCTTACACACAAGTGGTGAAATTGGCACTGCCTAGAAACGAGATAGAGAACGAGAACGAGAGATAAAGAGATAACTATACGTATAGATCAAAATTCGAAGCAAGAAATCAGAGAGGAAAGGAGAAGTGATGAGGAAATGTTTGAGGGAGAGATTGGTCTGGAGATCAAATATATTTATAGAGACAAGACAAGAATTGCAGAAAAAAGATGTGTAATAGTGAAATGGTCGTTCCCAAAGATTTGCTTCTTTTTTTGGTTTTTCCTCTTTTCAGATTATTTATTTCTTTTTCTTTCCACAATGTTAAAACACACTTAAAAGCTGCTATAGTTTCCACGTATTCTCCTCGTTTTTTTTTTAATTTTTAAATTCTCTTTTTAATGAAATACGCGTACTCTACTTGGATAGAATTAAAGAAGTAAGCTACAGATTTTTAAGGAATTGTTTAATTCTAACGATTATAATTTTTAAAATATTTTAATAGAATTTGGTAGAAATTATCCCACGATTGTAGCTCCCCACTTAACCTCTATCCAATCTATACGATCCATCTTCTTCCTCTATAGGTAGGGTTAATATTCTGGTCATGAAGAGAGGAGGCACCATCATCTCTCATTAATCTCACTCCCAATCTATTCTGTCACATAATCCTTCACACTCCTTCCTTTGGTTCCACCATGGTTGTGCTGTTTCCATAACCAATCTCTCTTCAAACCCACTTTAAGCTTACTACAGATAATTCTGATGTCGCTTTTAGAGATAATCTTGTCTCCTTCCAGACGCTAATCGCACAAGTTTCCGGCGACGGTATCGATGTCAGTCCCGGTCTCGGAGATGCTCCCACCTCCACCGTCAAACCGCTAACTGCACAATTCTCCGGAGACGTCACCGACAACGTCAAAACCTAAGCGTCCCAATATAGTTTTTAATTCTTTCAAAATCACAACCTAAAAGCTGAGAATTTGTTCTTTACATTTTACACTAGAATTTCTATTAAATTCTTGTCAAATAACTTTTTCATCCAAAACTACATAATATTGAATAACACTTGCATTTGATAGAATTAAGAAATTAAGAAATTGAATAACAGAAGAATTTAAAAGAATTCATAAAATACCTTGTTGAATAACACTAGAATTTAACATTCTATTAAATTCTACCAAATTCACTCGTTCAATACCCCCACCTACATCAATACATTGTATTTGATACTTAGAGTATTTTAATACCATCGTTTTTTCGTATCTATTTATAACAATGAATTGGCTAATTAGTAACTACTGACGATTGATATTTGGATAAGCTTGTCTGTTTTTAAATCTATGATCGTTCGTACACGCATACAAATTTGATAGTAGTCTTACGTGCCCACTACTATAATTATTTTCAAAAAAACTTTCGTATGTCGATTTCTTTTTTGTTACACACAAAATGTAACAGAAAACAACTAATATTTTATGAAATGGAAAAACAAATGTTGCAAAATGTCTTAACAGATAGCTTTAATTAGATCTTTTCTAGTGGATCAGGTCTTTAGATCACATCCAATTAAAAATTATATAAAGGTAGATGTTAATCTACTGATTTCCAACTTATATTATATACTATAACAAATATTATAAATTATTGATAAATGCAATTTACTTTATAGGAATATGTTAACGATGAACAACATGCAAGGGAATATGCTCCTTTTGTTTGGCAGCAGAGTCTCTTGTTTCTGCCAGAATCTTCCTTTAGTTTTAGGTAGATTAAAAATATCAAACTAGTACATAATATTTACTATAATCATGAGTAGTAAACATTTTCCACGTTTTAAAAATTTCTAATGTAATTTAGCTATCAATATCATTCGCAATATATTTTTTTTTTATATGAATGTAAAATTATATTCACCAACAAAAAGACTGTTTTACAATAAATGCAACATCATGCCGAATAGCCGAGAGAAATTTTCAAAGATTACAATAAAGAGCTTAGCAAGAATGAGATTGGAACCAATATCGCAATCCATTCGCAATATAATTATATTATACGTTTCATGTTTTAATATATTTGGAAATGATTACTTGTGTATATAGTAACTAAAGACTAGTACTTTTAAATACATCATCATTATTTTGCAAAACACTAAATATATAACTCTTGTTACAACTAATATTTTGCTCTGATTTGATAAACCAGTCACCATTTATTTTTTTAATTCAAATTACTAAAAATACAACTTCGTACGTATATGTTGTTTGTCCTAATGTTTACTAGACATTTTGTGATTAGTAATTGAGTCAAACAAAAAAAATCCAATTGAGATGTAAAACATGTGATTCAGAATTCATCTGCATAGTGGTGCAGATAGAATACGATCCTTGATGTTATAGATATATATGCACTGACATAGACTTATCAAGTGCTGACGATTAACTAATTGTAGAATCATATACCGTGTTGACTTATCCCTTGTCGGACATAAATGTTCATGTTTACGAGAATATAATGTGCCGTCAAATATATATGCGATTGATCGTTACTTAAAAAGGAATGCATATGCTTTTGTTCTGCACCTGACAGTTGACTTCGATATAAGCTGAGGCTACTTCTCTATTTTTGGTGAATGGAATATTTGCATACGTCAAGATGATGAGAAGAAAAAAAGAACGCCTTTGTAAGAATATATATCATGACAACGTCACATGGAAATTATCCAAGTGCATGCAGTTAGCGTTATTCGCTAGAGGAGTGTTGTTTCACCTAACGGATTTCGATTCAAATGTGCTACATATGTGAAAAATTATTTTTGTTTTTACATGTTATATATAAGATTCATCCAAGGCGTAAGAAAACTATGAATCGGATTTGAATTCTTTTTATAAAAATTCTTGTTTTAAATCATTTGCAAAGAGTCAGATTTGAAATTCCAAGTCCTAAAAGAGCGAACATAATAAGTAGGCGACATAAATTTCTGCAAATTCTCACAAGTTGACGAGCATATTTCTTTTTATTTTTTGGAGATACAATTTTATTAGTCTATTGAACATAAAAACTTTATACACCACTCGATATATATAAGTAGTATATATACTGAGATAGTGTGCATTGTGTCTCTGAGTATATGTGTACCACTAAGTGGGAATAAAAAGGTACATACGAACACAGACTTCAAAATGCATCTTAGTGGAATTTCATACACCCACTAATCTTTTGGCATTATTGTCGACTTTTAGCCTTTTGTGGGTGTTTTAGTTGTTTTTTTTGTTTTAGATGAAAAATATATGTCTATATATGTATCGTAATTTGTAAGTGCATTAGAATAGAACATATCCGCTTTTAACATCTACCTTATAAACTTCTCTTCTCTCTATCGTTATTATTCTTTTAAAAAATTAATAACACATCAGAAACAAAACGTTCTATAGAATTAGCTCTCTCATTTCTCCCTTGTGAGGTCTGTGATTCCAATTTCATTCTTGAACAATGGGTTTAACATTTGACCCAAAAAGAAAAAAAAGAAGAACAACAATTGGTTTAACAAAAAGAAGAAAGAAAGAACAAGTATTGCAATAGCTAGGAGTATAACGATTAAAATATAGTTTAGAAAGCTAACAACAAATCCAATAGAAGGCAAAGATTTAGTCTTATGAGCTGGCATATAAATCAAGCCGAATCTATACCAAACATTTTAAAGCAAAACCGAAAAACAATCGTTTATAAATTCCTCGTTTTATTATTATACAAAACCAATCTAAAACCTACAAAACTTATGAAAGTCCGTGACTTGTTTGTATTTCTCATAGAGTACAATATTTCAACTAAGCAAATTGTATCCTAAGTTCCTAACTATACAACCATAAGTTGATAACCCAAATATAAAACCTAAAGATTATTGTACATCCAATCTAAAGCATAAAACCTAAAACAGTGATGGGTAGGCCTTGCATGAAGGTTGACATACTGTAGCTGTGAAGGAAATAGAGAACCTTTTTACTTTGAAGGAAAATAAATAAATGTTTGAGAAAGAAAGGTTTTATTGGTTTGGTTTGGGATGGGATCGGTTTAGTTCAATTAACCCGCATTAAACACACCTAAATTTTCTTGACCAATAGACTTAATTTGATTTACTTTAATTTTGAGGGATTAGACAAAAATAAACCTTGTTAAGGCGAATCAGATTTATACAATTTTTGTTATTGGGCCGAGTAAGGCCTACTAACGAGAAACTAAATCATTCGTTTTTCATCTCCCAATCAGAGAAATCTAAATACCAAAACATACCGAATCGTAGCAACCGGACCGACCATAATGCCAATTTTAGTGTAAGAAAGATAAAACCACTGCAGAGATTACATCCTTACAACAACAAATTCAAACGTTTGTCTATGTACAAAAAAAAAGTTTCTCGCAGTTGTAGAACAAACACACAGCAATGGGGGTAATTCAAATGCAATCACAATACACAAAAACTGATCAAAACAATTCTCTTCAGGGCACCGGAGACTTGTGGCTGTGGAGCTTTTGTCTCTTCCTCTACTGTGTTATTTATTGTGCGTGTGGTTTTGGTTATGTGATTGTTATGAGCGAGCTTCTTCTTTATAATGTGTCTGCCCTTTCTTCTCCTTCTTGCTATGTTCTCTTTCTCCTCAATCTTCTTCTCAACAACTTGTATACTCTTTTCTACTTAAACTTTTGTGTCTCTCTTCTTTATTTCAGACAATAACTTGTTCAACTTCTAAACATTGTCATTAGCCTTCGCTCTTTCCATCTCCCTCAAATTAAACTGCAATTCCTCTTCTTTATTTAACAAGGCATCTTTCACAACTTCAGAACTCTCTTCTTTAGCATTCTTGCTCAGATTCTCATCAGTGACAAGAGCTTCAAGTAATCTACTGTTTTCATTTTCTCCACTCTTTTATACAACTCAATGAACACAGATTCTTTCCCATTCAAAGCAGAAAGTGATTCACCTGCTACAATGAGCATGTGCAAGACTCTCCTTTTTTTTTTTTTTTTTTTTTTTTCCATCTCAATCTTCACAGCCTCAATTTCGAAATCCTGAACAGAATTATCATCTTCTACTGGTTCTCTTTCGCTTGAATCTTGGCTAATGAGAGCACGTGCGAGACTCTTTATTGCTCTATGCTTTCTATGTGAAAAAAAAGGAAACAACAAAGAAGAGTTAAAAAAAAAAGGAAACTTTGAATCCCAAACACAATTTATAAATAAAGAGAGTCTCGAGCCTTCTCTTCTCTATGTGTAATCGTTTTGGTTTCAGAGAAACAAACATAGAGAGAATTATAAAGTGAGAGAGATGAAATTACATACGCAATTGCTCTGATTTTTCACCTTTCTCTTCTTCGATTCCTGCTTCTATTTCACCTCTGATTGATGATGCTCTGATTCTTCTTCTCTCTTTCTCTCTCGATAATGGCCTAACGATATCTTCTCTCAGTCTCCGTCGTCGGAAGTTTTCTACTGTTGTTTCACTTCAAAGGACGTCGGATTTTGTATACACTCTCTTCAATGCCACAGTTCATCGGAATTCGTTTCTCAGTCACAAACACGCTCTGGTTCATCGGATGATCGGAAGCTTTTGCGTTTATCAGTTACGGTCCGTGACTCACGGCCATGGTGGTGGAAGCAAAAGGCCTTGGACTGCAATCTCATCTTCAGCCCAACAAAAAGCAGAAGGATTTTCAGCCCATATAATACTCACAAGCCCATGAACAAATCGAGGTCTATTTTCTATCCCATATTATCTAATGTTTTTTCCTCCGTCTTTTTTTAGGTTTTCTTAAAAAAAAAAAAAAAGGGTTTTATTACGAATTTTCAATCTACATAAAGATGATATAAAAACTAACCGGATTTTGGATCCAGCATTAGTCGTTAGCGATTCCACATATTCAACTTGTTTTCATGTCATCTTTATGTGGATTTTAGTATCCAAGTTTTTAATTCGAGTTTTAAAAATAGTTTTGAAATTTTGATATTTTTTATTCGGATTTTAAAGATTTTTTTTAATTATTTGGTTTGTTTTTTCATTTTTATTTTTTTGATACTAAATTTACATAAAGATGATATGAAAACTGACCGGATTTTGGATCCAGCATTATTCGTTAGCGATTCCACATATTCAACTTGTTTTTATGTCATCTTTATGTGGATTTTAGTATCCAATTTTTTAATTCGAGTTTTAAAAATAGTTTTAAATTTTTGATATTTTTTATTAGGATTTTTAAAGATTTTTTTTAATGTTTTGGTTTGTTTTATTTTTATTTTTATTGTTTGATACTAAATTTGCATAAGGATGATATGAAAACTAACCAGATTTTGGATCCAGCATTAGTCGTTAGCGATTCCACATATTCAAATTGTTTTCATATCATCTTTATGTGGATTTTAGTATCCAAGTTTTTAATTCGAGTTTTAAAATTTTGATATTTTTTATTCGGATTTTAAAGTTTTTTTTTAAAATTATTTGGTTTGTTTTTTCATTTTTATTGTTTATATACTAAATTTACATAAGGATGATATGAAAACTAACCGAATTTTGGATCCAACATTAGTCGTTAGCGATTCCACATATTTAACTTGTATTTATGTCATCTTTATGTGGATTTTAGTATCCAAGTTTTTAATTCGAGTTTTAAAAATAGTTTTAAAATTTTGTTATTTTTTATTCGGATTTTTAAAGATTTTTTTTTAATATTTTGGTTTGTTTTTTTATTTTTATTGTTTTGATACTAAATTTGTATAAAGATGATATGAAAACTAACCGGATTTTGGATCCAGCATTAGTCGTTAGCGATTCCACATATTCAACTTGTTTTCATATCATCTTTATGTGGATTTTAGTATCCAAGTTTTTAATTCGAGTTTTTAATTTGAGATGACAAAAAAAAAAAAGTTTTTAATTCGAGTTTTAAAAATAGTTTTAAAATTTTGATATTTTTTATTCGGATTTTTAAAGATTTTTTTTTTAATTATTTGTTTTTTTAGTTTTGTTGTTTTCATACTAAATTTACATAAGGATACATGAAAACTAACCAAATTTTGGATCCTTTAGTCGTTAGAGATTCCACTAATTCAACTTGTTTTCACATCATCATTATCTAGCTTTCAGAATTCTAAGTTCTTAATTCGGATAAAATAGTAGCTTTAAGGCTTTGAACTCTGCTTCTCGTGGAACTGCAACACATGAGATCTCCGAACAAGTGCAAGTGAAGTATTGTACATCATCCACCAAACTTTGATATCGTTGAATCGGCCACCATCGGACTGTTCTGGCGGCAACCTTTGACTTGGTGTTGATTGGAGCAAGTCAAGAATTGCTTTCTCTTTGATGAATCACTATTCGAGAGCAGCTAATAGAAGGCAAGGGGTGAAGAAATTGAAAGTCTACTAATTTTGGTTATATATATACAAAAAAAAACTACAAGGAAAATGGTATGTTCTATATATTTGGTTTATTTATTTAGAAACTAAGAAAACATGGTCACCATTGGCGACGACTTAGTTCCCAGTTGAGCTACACACCAGCTTCCATAGCTGACTTTGTGAATGCTACAAATATTACACTTTTTTACTTACTAAATCATCAGACATTGCCAATGAACATGCACTGTAACTGCTTTCTGACTCTGAACTCAGATGTGGTTTTATTGCCTTGGAAGAACCTCAACCCCATTATGGCTCCCAAAAGTCAGGTATTCTGATTTCTACAAGTGTAAAGCGAATTCATCAGGAAACTGGTTGCACCCCGTTCCATGCACGAGGGTCATCAGCGAGTTCATTGATCCTATTGTTGCGGCTCTCTTGCATGTATGCTACACCGGCCCAAAGTCCACGTATAAGTAGAATGCTCGTAAATACAATAGTTCCAAGTGTGCAAGCTACCTGCGTTCCACCATGGAAGTGACATTAAAAGCCAATCCAACAGAAAAACATTTACCACGCTGTTCTTTAAGTAACACAGGGCATTTGCCCCTTTCAAAGACATAAAGTTAGCTCAAGTATTCAAAATCAACTAATGAATTAAGATCCATTCATTTACTATGAATGAGAAGAACAAAACAGAGAGGTGCTTAACTTGAGTTCAGTAACATTTTCTAATTAGTTAGAGTCTAACTGTTAGACCTTCTTAGCATGAATTTCTATAATCCCTGAACAAAGTTCTAAGCTTGATGCTACTCTCTCTATTCAACTTTATGGTAGATATAAAATTCTGCCATAGTCAGTGAATCCAATAACAAAGATATAGCAATCAAAGGGTAACAAAACAATCCGCTCCTTGTTAACTTCCTAAGCATGGTACAATAGTTGAATAACACCGAGATTGTTCCAAGTTCAGTTCATTTAACAACAGCTAAGCACAATTCTTTACAATTTTATAATTCAATGGATTTTAGAGTAGTTACCTCGAGGAAAGCCTTCAAGATCCACAAAAAGGCAAGAATAAGTACTCCATTCACTGAAAAACCCACCTAAATTGAACCAAAACTTGGTGAGAACATTGTGATCCGAGAACTTAAATCTACAGATTAAAGTAAGTCTCTTTGAGATTCTAAATATGTTTAAATACTCGAAAGGATCATCATTCATCAATGTAATCGATGAAGCAGCTAAAGACTTACGAGCTTCGTAGAGATCGAAACAGGCAAAATTGATCGGACAGCTTTCCTTGCTCTCTTGGAAATCTTTCTGAAAACATTCTCAACAAATCTAAGTAACAGATCCAAGCTTCTATCTTCTTCCTCGTGATCATCTTCGTCTTCTTCTCCATCGTAATCCTCATCGAACCCATACTCCGGTTTGATCTTCCGGTTCCAGCTCCTCGTATCGTCGGCGAAATCATCCCTTCCCTAATGAAACCCAATAAAAAAAGTTGAGAAATTGAAGCTCATGTGTACAAGTAGAGGAACAGAAAATCGAATATATATACGTTGATGAAATCGCGGGATCGCCGGGAAGCAAGAAGGGGATAAGGGAAATCAGAGATCCTGGTTCTGGTGAAGATTAGGGTTTTGGGAGTGAAGATGAAGAAGGAGAGAGGCGATCGTTTTTGGGATGAGAGAAGCGCGAGAGAAGAAGGCGATGAGATTGAGGCGGAAAATGGCATCGTTCGTTATGCATCAGAACGCTCACTTTTTTTTCCTCTGTTTTTGAAGAAATTTAGCTCCACGGTCAATATTATTGATGCATAATATTTAAAATATAATAAATCTATTTTTTAAACTAAAGTCAAATTTTTTATTCTCAATTTATTTTTAATAAGTTGATAGAAAAAATATATTAGTATATATATTTATCATAATCTTTTCTTATATGAAATTTGAGTTTTGATTTTAGATGAAAAAGAAAGTTGAGTTTCGATTTTTCCAATGTCATCAAAATGAACAGATTTGCTAAATTTGTCTTGCTTTATTTTTGATAATTAAGATGTTCAATTTTATTATGATGCTAAACTTTACATGGGGGCAATGTATAGATACAAAAACTTGAGTAGTGCAATAAGCGACTCAATATAACTTTAGAGAAGGAGAATGCAAAAAAGCTTCTCGAATTGTCAAAACAAAAGTTGTAGCCAACGATGTGGGTTTGTGCTGGAAATATTGAAACCCCAAAGTATGGTGATCGAGCATCAAGATATGGTTGGATGCTTGCAACTCGGTTGAAAGAAGTCAATTTACTGTGATTGATGAAGTTGATTTCTAAGAAGATAACTGCCATAGGTATATTACAGTTGTGAAAAAAAGAAAAAAAAAAGGTATATTACAGTTGAACCTCTTAAAATGCTTTATGTCATAGCCCTCACTTGAAATTAATCTCTTAGACTACTACCAAAAAGATTTTTTAGTTTGCACGTTATGGTATGGTTGTCTCGGCTTGAAGGTCAAGAATATATATCCGTTATAGATTCGTGTTCGATTGTACTATGAGCAAACACTCTACTCAGATCATTTGAGTTTCTACTTAAGTGTTTTGTCCGTGCTAGAGATGTGGGAAACTGTTTGGCACAGCAATGCCTAAATCCCCAAATGCTAAAAATGTTTCCCTACCATTCTTCTTAGAAGCCACAATGTTTTGATATGATGTGTTTAATATAGTGGTAGACCTAGATCAAATTGTAATCTAGCTAGGAGTAGTAACAGAAAGGTCATTTTGTTCATTTTGAAACTAAAGGTGCTACTTTGGTAATTGGACTGTTTCATGGACATATGATCAATTAACTCTAAAAGTAAATCTTAAAACAACGAAATGTATTTTAAAACAGATGGAATAATTGTTTCCGATTTTATATACTATTAAGTGATATTAAAAAATACAAGGCGTTGAAGAGAATAACATCTAATATATAATTTTATTATAGAGATAAAACAGCCCAGGTCTATAGCCGAATTGTCGAATGAAAGCAGATCAAAGAGAACTATAGTGTGCACATAATGTATACGCGTTGTAATACAATAAGATAAAGATTATAAAATTAAAATTATTAGAAGACATATTTAAGCAGTCCAATAACATGTGTATTCAAAAAATAGTCGTCCCAATCGATAACCTTTGGATCGAAATAGAACATCTCGCTTTCGACTCCCGTCTTCGATACCATTTTTTGCAATTTTTCCGTGTTTGTATCATCAAATCTGCATATATACATAATCCGGTTGATTAGTACAATATGGTTTAAATCTCAAACCATATTAAACCACACAAACAATGAAGGAACCAAATTAGAAACTGAAAATTTACTTACATTCCATAGAAAAAGAGGTAAGGCTGATAGAGATCAACAAGCCGGTATATAAAATTTATTTTGCTATGGAAGTACTTAAATTCCTTCTCCAACAACTTGCAAAGTACCATGTTTACCAATTCAAGTCCCTGAAATGAACCATATAAATCATATAGGTATTTAGGAACCATATATGGGTTATTCATAGATCTAAAAAACACTAGATATATCATTACTACTATTACCTTCAATGAAATCAAGTAACGTATGGTCATGTATCTATGGAAACTACGCATAGAATCCAGAATCTCAATGTTCCCGACCCGAACGACCTTTCCTTCTTTGTTGATCCACGGTTTGGTTGAGAAATACCGATACGCTAATTCAGGAAATTTTTTATTTTTCATCGGATTCCTTAGTGAAGAACCCACATGGTAAATAATCTCTTCTTGTTTACCGGCTTGAGCGGCCATTGATACTAGAATCGAGTTTACTACCATATCCGCGGGCAGCTGATCCCATCGTACATGTCCAAAATATCAAATGAAGATGAGTATAAATGAAAAATATTAAAGTCGAATGTCGAATGTAGATTAAGATGAATGTTAAAGTAGGTACCACATCGGAAATAGCATTAAGATCACAAAGAAAGCACGTGAGTTTGCCTTTGCCATATCCAACAGCTAAACTATCAATGGTCCTGCACATTAAAGAGTAGTTATTTCATTGCCTTGACTAGTAAACTATCAATATCATTTCTATATTTTCTAACAAAAGAGCTTTTGATAGTTTTACCTGATGCCCTCAGTCCAACCAGGGAATGGTTCTTTGAATGTGCTGGTAATAATTGAAGGACGAAGCAACACAAGTGATAGATTTTCCCTTTTTGTCCCAACCATCATCTCCCCCATTGCCTTGGTGAACACATATGTGTTTGGCCATCCGTACATCTTTGCCCTATCATTGATTTTAAAACATAGCCATTTTTATTTCAAAGTTTAACACTACTTGACATTTTTATTTGCAACATAAAGTGTGTATATAAGTAGGGATATGAACCTCCTGAGTCCGAGATCCTTCATGGCTTGTGTGACGGTTTCAGGAGATGCTCCACTGGCTCGGAGCTGGTCAAGTTTCTCCTGAACTAATTTCTTCTCATGATTGATATCTAGACCGGTGGTACCATTCAACGTCTCACCCATACGGTACGGTGTTTCCATTATCAAGCCAGATTTTTCTCCGCACACGTAAGCTTTAAAACAAAATTCGTTAGTTGGTGGCATTTAATTACGAAAGAAGCTTTCTCACCGACATCTTAATAATAGTAAGCCAGATTTATTTCAAACGAAAATGATCGGGTTACCTACCTAGTACAAAACCCGTCATAAATAATACAGGTTATATATTTAGTGTAAACAGTGATCAATGTCGATAGATTGTTTTCTTTCATTCTAATGTTGGTAGTTAGATGTCGAAATCGAGATAACCTATAGGCTACTTTACATTGGGGTCCTAGCTAATACTCATATATAGTCCTTTTCAATCTAATTTTCCATGTGAACTTGTTTATCTTTTGATATAAAAGTCTCGCACAAAAAAAAAAGGTATGGAACTCAAAAATAATGTATTAATATATAGTTTCATACTTCTAAAGCAACCTTCTCGAATCTCGACCTTAAAAATATGAAATTGTAATTAAACGTGCGTATTGAGATCCTTCTAATCAAGATAGGGATTAGGAAATTGGATAGACTAGATGTTTATGTTCAATTCAAAGACTGGTTGTCATGTAAGAACTCTTGTATATATGTAAATATATTTCACTTGCGATCTAAAAAATCCAAGTTATTTCAGTCTCATTGACAGCATAGTACTTTGAATATACCTGTTGATACATGAACAAGGATCTTAACCTTTGCACATCTCTTTGCAAAGTTCAAGACATTGAGAGCACCCAATGTGTTGATCCCAAGAGCTACATCGTATCTACAAATTAATTAAAATTCCTTTAGTTTTACAGTATAAAAATGTAACTAAAAATTATAATCAGTAAAAAATATTCCAGATTTATAGGACTGTTAGTGATAACTAAGATATTAGAATCAGTACGATGGGATAATTTTATTCAAACGTAAAATTTTAAGATCAATAGGTACCTTTCATCAAACTTCGTAGTTGCAGCTAAATTAACAATGGCATCAACTTGGTGGATCATCTCATGAGCCAAGTCGAAGTCTTGAAGACCTAAATCCTCAAGGCAAATGTCTCCATCGATAATAGTGACTTTCTCTGATATAAGTTGATTTAGATTGGGACCATACTTCTCCTTCACCACCTTGAACAAATCTTTCCTCAAAATCTGCATTGATTTCAAACACCTCAAAAGTTCTAACACTATCACTATCATATACAAATTAGTCATACTTGTATCAACGAATTTAATATATAAGGGATAATTGATTAAAATACACATGTTTTATTTAATTTATATATTAAACTACTAATATATATAGGTTTATTATCTACATGTAAATCTTAACATAATAATAAACACTAGCAAAAACCCATAACAGCTAAGTTATCCATGGATGCAGTTTTTTTGTTGAGCTTTTTGTTTTTATACATTTTATTTTTTTAAAAATAATTGGCATTCTAAGCTGAATAAACCAAACCAAAGATTACATATATATGAGTTTTTAGTGTTTGTTTTTAGTTGTTTTTTTCATAGGATTTTTAGTTAAGAAAAAAGAAAGATGGGTGTCTAAACACTTTAAGCAACGAGTGTTTAAATAGATTTTTTAACCACAAATACCAAGCCTATCTAACAACCACAGACATCAAAGCCCAAGTCTGTGGAAACAAACCTCGTCGTTAAACCTCTGGGTAGCAGATTTGCCATTTGATGCTCGTAGAAGGAGATACAGTTTCTTCACGTTTGGTGCCACCCTTAATATCTTCTCCACAAAAACTGCAATTAAATTTTATATGAGTATATAACCATACGTTAATAAATTTAAGAGCTAGTTTCATTTAATAAAGAAAGTTTACATATATATATATATATATATATAACGAAGAAGCAACTTGTAGTCTTGTATTAGGGCCTGACTGGTTTAAACGCAGCGGTTGCGGTTGCGGTTGCGGGAGTTTGCGGAAGCGGGCGGTTGCGGCTTCAAGCGTTATCAAGCGTTTTGAACGACTGGTTTAGCGTTTGAAAATGGATGCGTTTGCGGGAGTTTTATGACTGGTAAACCAGCGGGTGCGGTAGCAGTTAAATAAAAAATGACCAAAATAAATAAAAAATATTACAAAAAAAAGAAATAAAAACACCAATATATTATTACGATAATATTAGAAAATTTGAACATGCTTAATAATTAAAACCATAAATAAAGTACTAAATAATTATTCAAAAATAAAGAAATTTTGTAACAAGATAGTACTTTATGCATCTGATTTAACATCAAAAATTGCATCAAATAATGAGACAAACCGTAAATAACGTTGAATTCAATCAAAAAGCAAGTGAGTTTCTATTCGAGAAAACAAATCGAAACATATATTCAATCAAAAAGCAAAGCAATACGTAATGAAAAGAAAAAAAACGATGCCATGAAAAATATTCAAAAAGTTACACATAAGGTGATGAATGAAGAAAAGGATATATGATACTTACGTTTGGTTATTGATTTTCATCAGTTTGGGTGGAAGACATTGAGAAAATAGGGTTTCAGAATATTATCAGGGTTTCTGATGAGAACGTGATACAAAGATGAAAGATATATATAAGATTAATATATATTATAATAATTATAAGTAAACGTTTGATTTAAAAAAAAAAAAAAAAAAAATCCAACCGCTACCGCCCGCAACCGCAAACGCTTGCGGGAAGGAGCTTTTGAAATCCAGCGATTTCGAGCGGTACGAAGCGGTACGGAGCGGTTTCTATGATTGGTACCAACCGCTAACAACCGCAACCGACCGCTAGCAACCGCTAGGAGGGTACTAGCGGGAGAACCAATCAAGCCCTTAGTTACGACAATATACATATCCGCAGCCTGGTTTGGACCCCCCAAATCTTGACCGGTTAAGACTAATGCAACCACAAATTATTTACTGAGAACGTAACTAATCAATCTTTTACTATTCTTAAATTGTTAACGCTACAAGCATTTCCAATACGTAGAATTTCATTACCTCTACGTCATACATGCATATAAATTACAATCTATACCTTGATTATTATTATTTTGTTGGCAATAACATTCATTATGCGGGTAGGAATCCGCATGATAACACATGAACAGTTTTAGTGCAACTTTAATATTGTTCTAGTCATACTTTTAAAATTTATAATAAGCTAACTGTTCAAGTGTAGCTCAAGTGTTTTCTTCATAATATATACATACATAAATCATGAATCTTGTCTATAACTTCATAACTTGTAAATAGTAATGATTCGTATAGAAAGAGAAAGAGAAGAGATTTACTATTTGCTAAGAACCCAGCAGCTCCAATGACCAATATGGACTTGTTGTCAAGGTACTTAAGAACACTTACGACGACCTCCGTTTCTGTCGACATAACTTATGTTTGAGTGAGAGAAATAATGCAACAGAGTACAGCTGACATATCACATATGAGTTACTAAGATTTATAGTTTTAGTCTTTACAAGGTGAAATTAATGTGAGCACCTACCTACATTTTTGTTTTGTCCCAACTACTTTAAATTAGCTGTCATCAAATTTCATAACATATAGTATAACTTATAAATTTCAGTTTTTATATATCAAGATATGACGCATTTAAATTAAACGTGGCATAACTTGAGTATTTTGCCTACGAACCTACCCACGTTGAAGAACGAAAAAAAGATTCCAAACTACAACAATCTTGATCCTAATTAATATGGTTAGTTAAGCTATGATTCGATTCTAATAATGGAAGACGTACATAGAAACGAAACCCAAAAAAAAAAACTACAAAACAGTATTTTAACATATTCATTTTTAAAATGTAAATTTCAAATTAGAAAAATAGAAAGAATGGGAAAAAATGTGCATTTGGAGGCAATTTCTGTTGCCACAAATGTATGGTTGGGCGAGATAGAATCCGACAGAGTAAAAAGATAGAATCCGACAGAGTAAAACAATAAGATGATATGGAGATACTTTAACAAAAAAAAAAAAGATATGGAGATATCTAATTTTAGGCTTAAAAATTAGACAGCCTACCTTCTTTGTTTTTAATAACAACGACTTTCAAGAAATGTTCAAAATAGCGGTTTAAGTGGTGCTCTAGGTGCCATATATCATGATGATTATTTGATATATCATGACGATTATTTGATAGTTGCTGAAATTATACAAATTGTTATTTAACGAAATTTAGCGAAAATCATACAACAACAAAAAAAAGTTAGCGATTTTAGACAGTTCTAGATGGCATTAGGCGGTTTAGGCGAGCGACGATATCATATGATTTTACATAGTCATTCATCAATTTATTTTTTTGGTTCAAAATCATTAATCAATTATCATTTGATTTTTCTGTTTATTTCAGTGTAGGTATTTCAAATTTTAATTACATAAAATTCATTATAAGTTTTAACTTAAAAAGTACATGGTTATCATAGATTCATAGTTAGCATATATAGTTTGATGTCAATTGAATTGATTTTATGGTTATCTTGAAGTTGAATATAATATTTCTGTTGAAATTTTGATGTAATATGAAATTTAAATGTACTTCTAAAATTAAAATATTTAAAATATTTTTGCAAATCATTATATTTTAATTTATAGAGAAATACTTTAAAATATGAAAATATCACACTACTAAATTTTTGTTCTATACTATAAACGTTTAGACCTAAAAACGTTTAAATTCTAATTAAACGTGTTAGACATTAAATCGCCTCCTATTTAATGTCTGCCTAACCATTGCTTTTAAGTAGTTATTTGTCATCACATCCAAAGCAGTTGTCATCAAATCCAACTTACAACCATCTATACTAGTACGACTGGTTAAGGCATGATTCGACCCTACTCATGACAAACGCAAAACAGCCTAGAATATTAAAATTCTAAAATTAAAGTATTAAAGTTGTAGTTTATGTACTCGTATTCGACATATAGAAAATAGAACAACTGCGACAGCTGATGATAATACTTGAATTTTTATATTATGAAAGTGGTAGATTTGTACACTTATATTTGGATTAGTTTGGTTTGTTTGTTTTAGTTTTATATTTAAGGTTAACTGAAACACCCTCAACTACCAATTAACGACAATTACGTATGTTTAAACAAGTAACATTAAAATATTAATTAAAGTCAACAGATAGACAAAATCATGCAAATTATATAAACAAAGTATATTCCATTCATGAAAATTATTTACTGAAAATTTTAAAATTGCAATTAACATCGGCCAAGCTCAGATATGGACCAGAAAACCATCAGGCCTATTTCATGCTTGGGCCGGTTAACACCCCCAATCTCGCTAGTAACTCAAAAGAGCAACAATAACGGACTGTCAACATGATCTGTTACATCAATCTGCAGAATCTCAAAAACTGATAAATCTCTTCAGAATTAGCTTTTCTCTGCTCGAGACTACTTCAAACTTGTACTGTCAAAAGAGGAATGCGTCAAGCCGATAACTAGATTTGGATAAGTTTCCATTTTTCCCTTTTATTGCTTTACACATTCTTCTAAGTTTCAGGGTTAGCATTTTGGTTATAAATAGGTTTTCGTGCTCTGTTAATTAAAATAATACATTTTATTAGTTTTTTCTTGAAACTTTTGAATAGGCCCTCTTTTTCCTCTACTTCGAATAATTCTTATTTTTAGAATTTAGCAGCTTTGATAAGAACCATTAAGAGCATTTTTTTGTTTCTAGATATTTCTTGGAAGTGATCTTCCTTTGTGCAAAGTAAGAAGAAGCTTATTTAGGTACTCAAATTTGTTACGTTATGAGCGAAGATTGCAATGGAAGTGTTATAAACCACGAGTTACATAAAAGGCGGCTACAAAGAAAACTTGTTGGTGAAGAAATTACAAAGCAAAAGAGAGGAAAGATTCAGTTCCAATTGAGAGATTTGAGAACCGTTTTTTTTTGTCCCTTCATTGTTGGTTTCTTTCTATAGCAATTTTTTTGCTTAAAACTCCTTCCTATCTTTCATATTTGGACTATAAGATTCACTTTAATGATTACTCAAATCCATAAAAGCTTCACAAATGTCCAAAATAGCTGCTCTTCATCAGTTTGATCCTCACCTGCTAATTTCAACGTTTTAGTCAGATTGGATATATTCTTCATAAAGTAAGAATAAACAAAGTAGTGAACATCTACAGAAATATTATATAATTACTTGTTATTTAGAATCTGGTTTCCATATGCAAATAACCATACTGCTCTTGGAATGCTGTTTTGTCCTGCATGTTTCAACACACAAAATACATATGTATATATATAGTGAGACTCTTGAGACAAGTCACGTGTAGTCGACAGAACCTAAACAGAGAGATAGTGAAGAGAGAGAAACCTGAAACTGAGTAGCCGAGAAGCCTTGTGAGTAATCCAATGTACTTTCTGGAAAGTTTTGCTCTATCTTATTACCACCAACACTTTTCTGCAATATCTACAAGAAATATGAAAACAAATGTTAAATCCCAAAAAACTAAAGAACAAATCTCTTCTTTTAAAAGGTAAAAAGAGAGTCTTTGTTTTTCTTTTAAGCTCTCTAATCCACCATATATCGACTAGGTAAGAGAAGTAATCATGGACTTCAATGCTAAGTAAATTCTCTATGGTGACTAATGATTATGTGTTTGTGTTTACGTTTGCGTTTCTAATATATATGATAATCATCATAACATGGAATGCAAAGACTATGTACGCCAAGAAACAATCAGGACTTAGTGAATCTAACAAAACATTGAATTTTGTTCTCGAAGAACAGAGCGGACTATTATCGGTTGGTTTACAAAAATTAGTTGAAAATAGAAAGACTTACATGAGGGAAATTGAAAAGAGGAGAACTAGCAGTATCATCAAGAACTGAGTTCATTTTCTCATAATCTCTTCTTTTCTTTTCTCTCTTGCATTGTTTCTTGAGACCAACAATATTTGTTTTCTTCACAGAATCTTCCTCGGAAATATTCCTTGGACCAGAAGAAGCATCTGAAATCATAGACAAATCGTCTTCTTCCTCTTCTTCTTCGTCTCCTTGATGCACGTAGTTTTGGTCCCATGAATCTTTGCTTCTTCTTCTGTTTTCAAACCCATTGATATCTCTATAACAAGAAGGTGTTGGTGAAGAAACAGACTGGTCTAAGTACAGAGTCCATCCTGACTCGCATCCACTACTTGAACCCAACATTTTCTTCTTATGTTTTAGAAAAAAAAGATAGAAATACTTCTTGAGATCGAACAGCTGTGTTGAGAAAGATTTAAAGCAAAACTTTGGGTGAATAATCGACTTAAACACTCTGTTCTTTCTCTCTATCTAATATTTATACTAACACATGCATCTATACCTCTCTCTGTTTCATTGTTTAAGTTATTTATTTCAATTTTTGGTCTTATCTTCAAGAGGTACGGAGTATAAACTTATTTTAACTTATTATCATCGTCTCCTACTTCTTCTGCCTATTAATTTTCAAATTATAGGTTGGTCTAATAATTTGGGCTTTTGTTTTGTCGTTATTATAGCAAATATGAACGAGATAAATTTTCAAAGAGAAACTAATGGATAAGTCGGCGTTGTTAACTTGTTATTAGGCACACTCAAGCGGTCTTTGCAAGGTCGCAACATGTGAACTCGATATAGATTGTATAATAAATTCTATTCTAGTTTTTGTTAACTCTTTTCACAATGCCAGTTTGTAACATGGGAATGACATGCATCGTTTGTATCCAGGCATTTTTCATATTTAATCCAAAGATATAACTGATATTTCGGCTTCAAAAAAATAAATGAATAACGCAAATATCTAACTAGAGTGAAACATAATACGTGGATGTCTATTAAATACCATCCTAATAGGAAAGTTAATTCCCACGTGACATATGCCCAGAACTAGTCTAGAAGAGATAATTAATACTCATTGATTGTGTATTATATTTCAATTATTCACTTATTATGAATATTTATAGTGTATTAGTGGGAGTAATTAGATGGTGCATGGGTCAAAGCGACTTCGACAGACAGACAAGTGGTGACAAGAAGATCCGAGCGGTCTATTGACTACGCTTTTATGATATCACATGTCCTCACATTTCGTTTTGCATTTTTTTTATTTCCTTTCGTACTCTCTAATTTAATTCTTACCTAAATCTCTCCTGTCGAAAATAAAATCTCCCCTAATTATTTCTCTTTTATGTTCCTTTTCGTGTATTTGGCACTCTCTATACCTGGGATAACGAGATATATTTTGGTGTCATTATAGCATGATAATGCTTTGAAAAGAGCAATAATTATATAAAGTTTGAACAAAGAAAAAATCTAGAAAAAGATTGTAATTTTTTTTTGTATAATTCCGTTAACATAATATTTTGGTTGATTTTTGAAATAGAAATTAAATGTTTGAAAGGAGTATAAGATGATAAGATTATTGGAGGATTTGAAATGTGTGAAGAAATATCATATTTGTTGGAATTGCATCTCTGATTTGGCACACATGCTCAAATAATTTAAGAAAAGAGATGAAAGAAAAAGAATTTTGATTGATTTCATTGAAGGGGTTCGAATAGCTAGCAAAATCAGGCATGCATGTGGGCACGTGTGCACGTAAAAAAGAGAAATACGCAAGGTTCAACAAATTCACACATGTGTGCACGTGCAACAACACGCATTTCGACCAACTGCACACTTTTGCAATTTAGGCTCTTAAATGTGTCACCCTCTGATCCTTCTCTTTTCAATTGCTGATAATTTCTATGCTTTCCCGATTTCGATGTTCTCGTCCTCCATGTGTTCTCTTCACTTTTTTCACTTCCTTTCATATATACATACATATTGGTGTGTGGTTTCCAAGATCCGGTAGGAGGAAAACACGATTTTATATAAATGCTTTACGTCGAACAAATTCTGTCTCTTTTGCTATTAGTCATGTTTTAGCTATATAATTGAACATATATACCCACTCTTTTCAGCCATAAGTTGGTTCGAAATTCTATATTTTGTTGGTTTTATAGTTTGTTTATTGATAATCGTGTTTTTCTCTATCAAACTCTCTTTTTCGTGCACCACAAAGACTAAGTTGTGCAGGAATTTTAAACTCTGCAGGAAAGAAAAATCTTAAGTTTTTTTTTTGTTGGTCAAACGAAAAATGTTAAGTTTACGTGTGGATTTTTAAAGGAAAAAAAAAATTACCTTGGTATGTGTATTATTAATCTAACTCTGTTTTTTTTTGTTGATATTAAAGTAAGAGTATCATTAATCAAACTAACTCTGTTAGAAATTTAGAAATTTACCTTTGAAATGTGTTTTGATAATAATGTGATTACATAGTCTATAAAGACATTACTCTCTTCAAGAAGCTCATGTAGAAGAAGACGTTATTATTCATGGTAGAAGAGTTTTCGAGCTTTATATGATTATGATCATTTATGAAAATATCACATATTATTGTAATTTCAAGCATTAATTACAACTCTAACCACCTGATGCTGACCCATCTCCTTAGTTACCTCCAAGCTGAAACTGGTGGATATGTTCTTCATCAATGTATGACTTATATTCACATTGTAATGTCCATGCAACAGTGAGACCTCTTTTTCGTCATTATCGGAATCTTTAATGAAAATCTTTGGAATCTCTGAAGGTTGCTGCCACTCCTTGAGCAACTTGTCAATTACATCTCCTGTTGCAGTGTTGTTGAACTCTTTGTCCGAAAGAGTTAGCTTGTCGAAACCAGACACCTCAGGCCCAGCAAATATTATGATGCCTTTAACCGCAGGATGCGAATATGCTTCCCTCAGAATTTCTTCAATGTATATCTCCTATCGAGCAATTGAATTAGTTAACAAACTTTTTATGACTATGATAATGAATGAAGATGGAAAAAGGCTTTCTTCTTAGGCAAGGTAAGTTGATGACAAACCTGATTAGGGCACTTAGGCATATCAAGCTCTGTAAGCCAAATAGGCAAACCTAATGAGCCTAAAGTATCCAATGCAGATCTCATGTAAGCTAAGTTAGGCTGAGTTGGACGAAAGTGACCCTGAGCTCCAATTGCTCCTTTAATGTTCATGTTTCCTGGGTATGCAAGAATCTCCTCCATCTTCTCCTTCACCTTAACCGGCGTCGCAGTAACCTCTACACGATTCTCTATCGTGTTGTACTCGTTAACGAACAATGGCAAATCAGGATCTAGCTTAAAAGCCAAATTGTAGAAACTTGACGAAGCGTTTGCACCAAGCATTTTCTCAAAGTAATCCCAATGCACGTTCTCATTCACCACATCCCACCCGGTTAACTTCCCTTTGTATCTCGTCATTACCGAGTTTATCCGGTTCAATGTCACATTCATCAAATCGTTTGGATCATCTATTTCTTGCACCCAAGTTGGCTGCATTATTGGGTCGTCCCACAACACTGTATGACCTCTAACCAATATTCCATTCTCTTCCGCAAATTTCAGCATTGAATCAGCTGCCGTGTAGTTCTCTTGACCACGTTCTTTCTCCGTTGTATACCATTTCATTTCATTGGTGAAGGATGTGATTTTAAACCGCGACGCAAACCAATTTCTGTACCCTTCGCTTTGTAGGATCCGGAAATTCATTGCGCAGCCTAAGAGGAAAGATGGTTTGGTTTGCTCTATGGATATCACTGCGCCTTTTACCGCAGTTTTGTTCTGATAACTTACTTCAAATCTCACTTTGCTCTTCCTTATCTGCAATTAACATAAGTCATGTAAGAGCAAAAACAACACACTGACTGAACGGTCGACCCAAAAAAAAACTGGTCTGGGGGTTGGTCAGAGTCAGACCAGGCATGGTACATTGGTACCCTTTTGTATATTTTTTTCATGTGATCCGTAGGGTAAAATCAAGATCGAGTTCAACTTAAAACAATTATAGGCCTCAAATGGGCCGAGATCAACAATGAATCGGGCTTAATTATACCGGCCCATTACAAAACCCTAAAACTATACAGATGGACAAAAGATGGAAAATGCTACCTTTTCAATAAGTTGGTCTTGTTTCAGTTTCCATTCTTCTTTGCTGAACTGTTTCAGCGACACATCGCTTGCAGAAATCTTTGCTTCTTTGTCATCACTCTGCTTCCACATAGAACCCGCATTGACACAGTGTTATATATACATATAGGAATATATTACATATATAGCTAGTTGTTGTACCTCGAAGAAAATATCTACAGAGCCTGAAACATCTGGCACAATGCCACCTTTAAGCAAAGTCCAACACCCTTTCTTTGCCCTAACTTCACCACCATGAACAAGTCTTCCATTTTCTGTCCTGAACACAACTCCTACTTTCTTCTTGTTTCCTTCTCTCAACTTCACCCAAGCTGTATTTCCATTAACAAAGAAACTATGGATGTTCAATCTCAACCGATCCAAACTGAATTAAGAAAACATTCTAAAATTATCATTAAATATTGGTTATAACGATTCTATCCGAAAAAGAAAAAAATAAAAAGTGGTTTAAAATCATTTAAATTGATAGAAAACTAAATCTAAACCAAAAGTTGAGATGCGCTGTACCAAACTGATCTATATTAGATTTTGTTACAGTTTGAGTAATACTCTTAAACCAAACACCCTGAAAACAAAAACTTGAAACCAAACTGAAATCAGACTGAACACAACTATCAAGATTCAAGAATCTCTGGTTTAAAACAGTAACTTATAAGACAAGAAACTATGAAACGATGATGCATTATATTATATATAAACTAGAAAGTTGGTTGCATGCATGTGGTACATATAATTACCAGAGAAGCTGTAAATGTTTCCTTGGTGAAGCTGAATTCTTTGTGTCATTTCTCTAATGGATCCATTTCCATCTATTTTCCATCCTTCATCAGAGTCAGCTTCGACAGAGCGGCTAAATTGTAATAATCCTTGCGTTTCATTGCTTCGTGGAGGCTTCATTACACACTTCATTCATATATACCAGAATTTACCAATGTTAGAAAGTTTGAATTTAATTATATAAAAAATATAAAAAATCACTTCTATTTAGTATTTACTGAGGTTTTATCAGTTTTGGTTACCTCTGTTTTGAGAGAGTCGCTTTGGGAGAAAGGATCAATGGAAATCCCCGAATGCACAAAACACCAGAGGAGTAAAAGCATGCAGAGGAAGAAGCCATTGTTGATGTTCTTCATCTTCCTTCCTGTAAAAACAGAAATATCCCTACAAAACGCAATATCTATAAAAGCTTTGGGGTTGTCAGATTCTACTGTATTATTATACTGGAAAAAGGCTTTATATAGATAACTATGTTTTATTTTCCTATGGAAAATGACTACAAACTATACAATTCGAAGCAAATATGTAAGAACGAACTACATATATAGACTAATACGGTCAACCTAAAACTAGAAGAAGTCGACACGTAAGAAATATATATCACATGAGTACATGACGTTATTTGTTGCGGATCATACCTTTTTTCTCCCTAAAAACACTTGTGTATTAATTACCAAGTGCGTTGGGGATAAATCCCGTATCCCACAAGTTTAGGATCTTAGTGATTATTGTGATGATCTTGTGCATATACATGTATGTATCGACACTATAATTAAACTATCCAGAAATTTCTCAACTCTTTAGTCTTTTTTCCTCTGTTATTTTACAACGTGGGTACTAATCCAATAAAAGTACTAAAGTATGATTCACTCGTAATAGTTAAGAAGGTTATAAATGTATTTTGACATGAAACGCTTGGAAGCAAATATTTTGTTTGGTTGGAGTAAAAGCGACCAAGAAGCAAAATTGTAACATAGCCGTTAAGCAATATATCGATAGGTTTCGGTCCTCACATTGGAGGCATAAACCCTCGCGTGCCAAGGTGACAAGCACGTGGGCCGACCGCTAGCCCATGGACCATTTGCTATTAATTTTTACAAAAATATGTAAGTAATTTAAGAGAGAAATAACAATTCTTTTTGCTTTTGATGATACCAATGCATTATGTAGAACGAAATGCAACATACTACTATTGCTGACCTTGTTTGGCTGGTTAACTCTATAGTGGGGGTGGTTGGGACTTCGGAGACGAAAAGCCATGCTTAATTACACATACACATGATCTAATGAGATGTTTTTATCATTTGACCCATAAATAGGGGGATGTTTCATTAAAAAAATTTAATACGACGCGAAATGAATTTTTTTTAATATTCTTATTAATAAGTTGACCATTTTATTAGTCTTTTTTTTTATTCGTTCATTAGTCTATAAACTCTAGCTAGGCATCACTTTTCTTCCTGTAAGAAGACGTTTTGACTATGATAATCTCACTTTTTTTTTTTTGTAATTTTAAGCATTAAGTCCAACTCTAACCACCTGTTGCTGATCCATCTCCTTAGTTACCTCCAAGCTGAAACTGGTGGACAGGTTTTTTATCCAAGGATGACTTACATTCACATTGTAATGTCCATGCAACAATGAGATCTCTCCTTCTTCATTATCGGAATCTGCTGTGAAAATCGTTCGAATCTCTTTTGAAGATTTTTGCTGCCACTGTTTGAGCAACTTGTCAATTACATCTCCCATTTCTGTGTTGTTGAAGGTTTTATCCGCAAGTGTCAGCTTGTCAAAACCAGAGACCTCAGGTCCACCGAATATTATGATGCCTTTCACCGCAGGATGCGAATAAGCTTCCCTGAGAATGTCTTCCATGTATTTCGCCTATGGAGCAATCGAATTAGTCAACCAATTTTATGTTTATAAAAACGAATGAAAGGCTTTCTTGTTAGTCAAGGCAGTTGATAACAAACCTGATTAGGGCATTTAGGCATATCAAGCTCTGTAAGCCAAATAGGAAAACCTAGTGAGCCTAAAGTATCCAATGCAGATCTTATGTAGGCTAAGTTAGGCTGAGTTGGACCAAAGTGACCTTGAACTCCAATTGCTCCTTTAATGTTCTTGTTTCCTGAGTACGCAAGAATCTCCTCCATCTTCTTCTTCACCTTTATCGGCGTCGCAGTAAACTCTTTAGGGTTTTCTATCGTGTTGTACTCGTTAACAAACAATCTTACATCAGGATCAATCTTAGAAGCCATATTGTAGAAACGTGATGAAGCGTTTTCACCCAACATTTTCTCAAAGTAATCCCAATGCAGATTCTCGTTAACCACATCCCACCCGGTTAACTTCCCTTTGTATCTCGTCATAACCGAGTTTATCCGGTTCAATGTCACGTTCATCACATCTTCCGCATCCTTTATCTTTTTCACCCAACTAGGCTGCATTCTTGGGTTGTCCCATAACACTGTATGACCTCTAACCAATATCCCATTATCTTCCGCAAATTTCAACATTGCATCGGCTACCGTGTAATTCTCTTGACCACGTACTTTCTCCGTTGCATACCATTTCATTTCATTAGTGAATGATGTGATTTTGAACCGCGACGCAAACCATTTTCTGTAATCTTGGCTTTGTAGGATCCGGAAATTCATTCCACAGCCTAAGAGGAAAGATGATTTTGTTTGTTTTAGGGATATCACTGCGCCTTTTACTGCGGTTTTGTTCTGATAAGTTACTTCAAATCTCACTTTGCTCTTCCTTATCTACAATAAACATAAATTATGTAATAGCAAAACAGAACACATATAGATATAAGAACATAAGGCTCAATGCAACCAAAGCATTTTATATGGATTCATACATCCGAACATCAGATACATGTAAATTTTATATGTAGAGATCATTTCTACCTTTTCAATAAGTTGGTCTTGTTTCAGTTTCCATTCGTCTTTGCTAAACTGTTTTAGCAACACATTGTTTGCAGAGATCTTTGCTCCTCTGTTTTCACTCTGTTATCGCATAAAAACCACATTAACGGAGATAATATACGTATGTAATACATATGAATCCACATGTGTAGTGTTGTACCTCGAAGAATATATTTACAGGGCCTGAAAAATCTGGTACAATACCACCTTTAAGCAAAGTCCAACATCCTTGCTTTGCCCTAACTTCACCTCCATGAACAAGTCTTCCATTTTCTGTCCTGAACACAACTCCTACTTTCTTGTCGTTTCCTTCTCTCAATTTCACCCACGCTGTAGTTTCCATTAACAGATATGCATTTTCAATATTCTAGATAAACATAACTGATCCAAACTTAAACCAAAAATCTGAAATTATCATTAAATTGGTTAAAATGATTTTACTTATTTCCGTTTCCTGAATCAAGAACCGAACCAAATCTCATTATCGTTGAAAGTCATTCGAGTTGATAAAAACCAAATTTAAATCGTACCAAACCAATCTAGATTAGATTCGATTTGAGTTTTTGGGGCTAGTATACTTTCTCAACCAAAAAATCTGGGGGAAAAAAGTCTACACTGAAATACTGAAACCATGAAATGATGATGCATATATTATATTATATGAACTAGAGAATGGGTTGCATGCATGTGTATATATATATGTATATTACCAGAGAAGCTGTAAATGTTTCCTTGGTGAAGCTGAATTCTCTGTGTCATTTCTCTAATGGATCCATTTCCATCTATTTTCCATTCTTCATCAGAATCAGCTTCAGAGCGGCTAAATTTTAATAATCCTTGCGTTTCACTGCTTTTTGGAAGCTTCATTACACACTTCATTCATATACACCAAAATTTACCAAAGTTAGAAATTTTGAAGTAACAAATCTATAAAAAATCACTTCTGTGATATATCTATTTATTGAGGTTTTATCAGTTTTGGTTACCTCTGTATTGAGAGAGTGGCTATGGGAGAAAGGATCAGTGGAAATCCGTGAATCCACAAGACACCAGAGAAGAGAAAGCATGCAGAGGAAGAAGCCATTCTTGATACTGTTCATCTTCTTGTCAGATTCTACTGTATTCTTATACTGAAAATAGGCTTTATGACTTATACATATATTTTATTTTCCTGTGGAAAATTACTATCAAATACACAATTTGAAACATATTTGTAAGAACTAACGGTCAACCTAAATCGTATACCTACCTTTCAAGTAACAGTATCCTAAAACCTTTTTCAAAGACCAAACAAAAATGTAATGGGTGGTTATAACTTTTAACCAAATGAAAGATAGATTCTGCTGATTATTTATGCATTAAAAGGAGATTTTTCATTAAATTTTATAATGTGAAGAAATAAAATTTCCCAACAATTCTTCAAAACAGGTTGACCACTAGTTAGTCTTCATTTTGTCATCTAATACATTAAATTGTTTGCTCAATATATTATTATTTTAACGTCTAAATTTTTCATAATGCTCATATGTAATTTGATTAGTTTCGAAAATAGACGCATTTGATTTGATCAACCTTCCTGCGAGTTTGGCAATTAATGTTGGGCCAAAAATAAAAAATTGTTTGATTTCATGAACAAAAATTGGGCTAGAACAAGAAAACTTAAAGTGCAACAGCTACTAAACAAAAAAGTTAGAGAAAGTTCAATTTTATTGATAATAAATCCATTACAATACATCAAGGAAACCAACCCAATGATGATGCTCATGAAAGGATCCTCTCACACAAGTATAATTCAAAATAGACTATCTGCCACATTTTTTCACTAAGAATCAAACTACTCAAATACAAAGTAGTTGTAAACTTAGCATCTCAAACAGAAAAGACAAAAATTGATGGTTGGGTCTGTGAAGAGGAGTCATCAGAAGTCAACGTAAAGTTGTAATAAGCTTTTGAATTGGCGAGAGGGTGAGATATATTGAGATCATAGTCACCATGAAAGAGTGAAGCTTCAAAGAATCCATCAGCATCAGTGACTCCAGTGGTTTGACTACGTAGCCCTCCCCATTCACGTAGCAGCTTGTCCACAACGTCTCCAGTGGGTAGGTTCTTGAAGTTTCCATCAGTGAGGCACATATGGTAGCAACTTGGTGAATAAGCAGTCCACATCACCATTCCTTTCACATGTGGATGCGCATGTCCTTCCCTTAGGACTTGCTCAAAATACGTGGCCTGCAAGAACCAAATATCAGATATACAAGTGCTCAAAACCTCAATTATATATAGGGATGAGCAAACGAGAATTCGAGACCAGATATTGTGGGAAAAAGGACATGAAATTTTGTAGCCTACTTTTATAAGAGAATATGAGTTACCTGAACATTGGAAGGAGCTTTAACGTCGATCTCAGTGAGCCAAATAGGCAAACCAGTGGCGCCAAGAATATCAAGTCCTGATCTCATGTACGGAATGTTAGGAGTACTGAAATGAGACTCAAGACCGATCCCCAATGGAATGTTTCCACTAACCCGAATAGATTGAAGCTCCCTAAGCTTCTGCAAATACTTTGCTGGACTCGCTTTCAGATCCGTAGGGTCCTCTAATGTATAGAATTCATTCATGAACATTGTTGTCCTTGGATCGATGGCATGCGCCATTGCGAAGATGTTATTAGAGGCGTTAGGACCAAACTTACTCTCAAAGAAGGAGTGATGCAGATTCTCATTCACAACATCCCAACCGGCAAGCTGGCCTTTGTATCGCGAGACCACCGAGAAAACCCTTCTTTTCACTGCATTGTAGAGATCGTTACGTGACAGAGAAGTAACCCATTTAGATTGGTACTTAGGGTGGTCCCATACAACATTGTGTCCACGTACAGCAATGCCGTGCTGCTTGAAGAATCTCAACATCGCGTCCGCGATCGTATAATTCTCTATGCCTCTTACAGATTCCGTGCTGTACCATTTCATCTCGTTTTCGAATGTTGTCACGGTGAATCTTTGAGTGAACCAGTTTTGGTATGCTTGATTCCCAAGTATGTTCTGTGCTACAGCGCTCCCGAATGGGAATCCGAGTCTATTCTGTACTATGGTAATGGATGCGTTTGGTATCTTCTCGCCTTTGTTATTCACGACTCTGATTCTCACGGCACCTTTTCTTGCCTTGTCAATGCTCTGTTCCTGGTGAGCCTTCCACTCTTTTTGGGTGAATGGTTGCAAAGAGACGCTATCAACCCAAATCTCAACCGTTGTGTCCTCGCTCTACACATGAACAATGAAATATGAATCATCATATATAAGTTGAAAAAGAGCAGCTTGCAAGATGCAAACATGTAGACAAATAATCAAGACCATGAGTATGTTTTTGTATAGAGAAATACCTCGAAGTAGAGTTCAGCAGGACCAGATTCATCAACAGTGAGACCACCTTTGAGCATGGACCAGCATTTGGATTCAGCAACAACCGAACCGGCATGCTTATCTTCACCATTTATTTTGAAAACGGCGCTCACCGGAGATTTTCCTATGCTTACTTGTAACCAAGCTACAAGCATAACATAAAATACATCAGATGCAGTTATAAAGAGTGCGCTTCAAGAAACACAAAATTCAAAATTGTTTTCACCCGAGAAAGTGTAGAGAATTCCTTTTTCCAAGTAAACCTTCTGTGATACGCTGTCAGAAGATTGATTCCTCTGTGTGGCAACAACAAACTTATTGCCTCCAAATTCTCTGAAATCGACTTTGGCATTTCCGAATTGTGACCAGCCTTGTGAACCATTTTGCAGGTCAGGATTCACGATGATCCCTCCATTGTACTGTGGTTTATAAGGGGTATCCAGACACTGCACCAAGGCAAAAAGAGATTCAGAATAAAAGTTTCCAACGACCATGTCTGAATGAACAGAGCATTGCTTGCCTCTATTGTTGCCGAGTAATCATAAGGGACGAAAATTTCTTCACACCCTGCAAACGTTTTCATAGAAAAAATATTGGATAAATTCATGTTTCCCGTTGTTAACTACGTAATAAGAAATTCAAAAGGGGTTTCCTTAGAAAAACATGAAATGCGAGGAAAAAAAATCTTATATGACATTTTAGATAACAACAAGAGTATAGTATTTTACCAAAAGAAAAAAAAAAAAAAAAAAAAAAAAAAAAAGAGTATAGTAAAATCATAGAATGAGATCGAGAATAACTTGATAGAGAAAGACCGCAGAAAGCAAGAAGCAGCAGTAGTAGAAGCTGCATTGCAGAACTAAAGAATCACTTATTTTTGTTGATGATTAAGGATTTCCAATACATATATATATAGTCTTGGTATATTTATTTCATTAACAAAAACATATCTTGACTATACGTCTATACTTTATTTTTTGCAAACTTTTACCACATTTGTTTACAAAATAATATATTAACCGCCGTTAACATGCAGCATATGGAAAGAAAATGCAATCAATAGCTTAAATTCTAGTCAATAGTCAATAGATACGTTTGGTCAGAGTTAAAACAAAAAGGCAATAGACACGTAAACCATAAATCTCCAAAAACCCTATAAAGTTTGTTTTTGTATCACCTTAAATAGAGATGGTTTTGTCTATCTTTTAATTGATTTTTAATTGTTTCTTTTTAAATGATTTGATTTTTGTATTGTAAAGTTATATAGGTGATGGCTTCCATTGATATTCCGGCGTAAACCACATAAAATCTGATGGAATCTACATATTCTACGCATTTGGTCAAACATCCTGCGAATTTGACAGTAAATATTGGGTCAAAAATATAAGTTTGTATTAAAATATTACCCTAATATGTTCTCCCTGGGTGTTTGTTTAAGGAAAATTAATGTTTTATACAATGTATATTTTTTTGTTAAAGGATTAATTATATATATCTTCATTTTATATGATGTAAGTACTCCACAATAGCAAAAATCAATAAACAAATGAATGATATATGAAATAGCTTTGGAAAAATGAATAATTTTTACTAATTTAACTCGAATAAAGAAAATTTAAGGATTCATCAAGAGCTCAAAATACTTGACGAAATAGTTAAAGGAAGTTCAATATCATTGATATCAAGGCTTAATTAAAGTATAAGAAACCAACCCAACGATGCTCATGGATATCCCATGGGAGTTTCCTCACACACAGCTATAATGCAAAACACACTATCTGCCACTAAGAATCAAACTACTCAAATACAAAGTAGTTGTAAACTTAGCTTCTCAAATACGAACGACAAATAGAGATGGTTGGGTCTTTGGAGAGGAGTCATCAGGAGTCAACGTGAAGTTGTAAGAAGATTTTGAATTGGTGAGAGGATGAGATATATTAAGATCATAGTCACCATGAAAGAGTGAAGCTTCAAAGAACCCATTAGCATCAGTGACACATGTGGTTTGGCTGCGAAGCCCTCCCCATTCACGTAGAAGCTTGTCCACGACATCTCCAGTGGGTAGGTTCTTGAAGTTTCCATCGGTGAGGCACATTCTGTAGCAACCTGATGGCGAATAACCAGTCCACATCACCATTCCTTTCACCTTCGGATGCGCATGGCCTTCCCTTAGAACTTGCTCGAAATAGTTGGCCTGCAAGAAAAACCAAATATCAAACAGGTAAGAACATCAAAGGAGGAAATGAGAATTCGAAAATGATGATTTTTCCTACTTGTATAAGAGAATAATGAAGTTACCCGGACATTGGGAGGCGCATCTACGTCGACCTCAGTGAGCCAAATAGGCAAACCAGTGGCACCAAGAGTATCAAGAGCTGATCTCATATACGGAATGTTAGGAGTGCTGAAATGAGACTCAAGACCTATCCCTAACGGAATATTTCCGGCAACCCGAATAGATTGAAGCTCCCTAAGCTTTCCCAAATACCTTGCTGGACAAGAAGTTATATCATTAGGTTGCTCTAACGTATTATAATCATTCAAGAACATTGTTGTCCGTGGATCGAAGGCATGGGCCATTGCGTATGTGTTATAAGAGGCTTTAGACCCCAACTTGCTCTCAAAGAAGGAGAAATGGAGATTCTCATTCACAACATCCCAACCAGTAAGCTGGCCTTTGTATCGCGAGACCACCGAGAAAACCCTTCGTTTCACGGCGTTGTAGAGATCGTCACGGGACAGAGAATTCACCCATCCAGGTTGATACCTGGGATCATCCCATAAAATATTGTGGCCACGTACAGCAATCCCGTGTTGCTTGAAGAAACTAAACATCGCGTCAGCTGTCGAGTAATCCTCCTGGCCTCTTATTCTTTCTGTGCTGTACCATTTCATCTCGTTCCCAAAAGTTGTCACGGTAAATCTCTGAGTGAACCAGTTTTGGTATGCTTGATTCCCAAGTATGTTGTTTTCTACAGCGCACCCGAATGGGAATCCAAGTTTCTTCTGTTCTATGGATATGGTTGCGTTTGGTATCGTCTCGCCTTTGTTATTCATGACTCTGATTCTCACGGCACCTTTTCTTGCCTTGTCAATGCTCTGTTCGTGGTGAGAGTCCCACTCTTCTTGTGTGAAAGGTTGCAAAGAGACGCTATCAACCCAAATCTCAACCGTTTTGTTCTCGCTCTACACATGAACAAAGGATTATGGATCATCATATATAGGTGTATAAAGTAGCTTGCAAAATGCAGAAATGTAGACAAACAATTGAGACCATGAGTGTGTATATACGTACCTCAAAGTAGAGATCAGCAGGACCAGATTCATCAACAGTGAGACCACCTTTGAGCATGGACCAGCATTTGGATTCAGCAACAACCGAACCGGCATACTTATATTCACCATTCTTCTTGAAAACGGCACTCACGGGAGCTTTTCCTATGCTTACTTGTAACCAAGCTACAAGGTTAACATAAAACACATCAGACAATAGTTCTAAAGAGTTTACTCCAAGAAACACAAACTCGAAAGTGTTTTTACCCGAGAAAGTGTAGAAAATTCCTTTTTCCAAGTTAACCTTCTGTGAGATGCTGTCAGAAGATTGATTCCTCTGTGTGGCAACAACAAACTTATTGCCTCCAAACTCTCTGAAATCGACTTTGGCATTTCCGAATTGTGACCAGCCTTGTGAACCATTTTGCAGGTCAGGATTCACGATGATCCCTCCATTGTACTGTGGTTTATAAGGGGTATCCAGACACTGCACCAACACAAAAAGAAATTCAGAATAAAAGTTCCCAACGAACATGTCTGAATGAACAGAGCATTGCTTACCTCTATTGTTGCCGAGTAATCATAAGGGACGGATTTTTCTTCACACCCTGCAAAGGGCAAACGTTTACATGTAAAAAACATTAGAAATTTTTTTCCCCGATGAAAATATAACAAATTAAAGATAAGTTTCTTGTCGACGAACAGACAAAGATAAATCATGGGGAAAATAAACCTAGCTAGAACCATACAGGAGATTTTACATAAGAACAAGAATATAGTAAAATCATAGGATAAGATGGAGAACAACTTGATAGAGATAGACAGCAGAAGGCAAGCAGCAGCAATAGAAGCTTCATTGTAGGACTAAAGAATCACACGTTGTTGCTGATGGTTAAGGGTTTCTGGTAACATTAACATATATGTACATTTTTATGGTAACAATTAACAAAAATATCTTGACCATACTTTAATGAAACTTTTACCACACTTGTTTCCAAACAAGAAATTGCCACACGTGTTCATTAACCGTTAATAGAAGAAGCAACATATTAAAATCTAGAAAAATTCTCAACTAATTTTCATTAGGGTACCCTATTGTTTATTGCGCGAGGGGCGAAATATGGAAAGAAAATGTAGTCAATATATAGCATAAATTCTAGTCAATAGTCAATAGATATGTCTGTTTATCAAACATAAAGTCAGTAAATACATAATCCTAAAATTTACAAAAAAACCTAAATGTTACCCAAATATTGTTTTATCTGTCTTTCTAACAGATTTTTTTCCTTTTTTTGTATTGTAAAATTATATAGGAGATAAGATTGCTTTCATTCCGGTTTTAATCATACCAAAAAAATTCGTATGGAATCTACTGATATTCTCCGTTTAGTCAAACTTTCAGCGAATTTTGACAGACATTGGATCAAAAATATAAGTTCTAGATCAAAAAATTTAAGGTTTTTGTTTGATGATAATAGATGTTTTATATAATATTAGGACTCCATAATAATTGAAATGAATGATATTTGAACTGGCTTTAGAAAATTGGATAAATTATTTGATCTCTTCTTCTTTCTTTGAGAAATCATAATTCTCATTCTTCCAAAAAAAAAAAAAAAAAAAAAAAAAAAAAAAAAAAAATCATGGCACATGTGAATGCGTTTCTGTAGAAATCACTGGGTAGACTTTTACCAAAAAAAAATCACTGGGTAGACTCGGTTTGACTCGTCTCGAATGATGATGCTGAAGAGAAGCTTAAGCATCTGATTCGATGGCAATTTCAGTGATCTCGCCATACATGCATGTACCTCCGACGATGTTTCTTCCAACTGGGCTCATTAGGTCCACTCACGTGGTCGAGACGAGTCGCTCCGCATTACAACTGTTGAATCGATACGTAAACCCTAAAATCCACAAAAAATCCTAGTAAAGATTTAGGATAGAACAAGGCAACTAAAGTTAAGACTTCAACAACTCAAAAGATTTATCGAAGTAGTTAGAGAATGTTATTGATAAATATTCATTACAATACAGAGGATTAAAACTTTGAGAACCCAACACAATGATGCTCATGATTAAGCCCTTGGTGGTTTCCAGAGACACGGCTATACATATATACCATGTCTAGAATAATAACAAAAAAGACTATTTGCCACCATTCTTGACTAAGAATGATCAAACTAGCTCAAGTATAAAGCAGTTTTATACTTGGCTTCTTAAACACGAAAGACAAAAGAGGATGGTTGCGTCTGTGAGGAGGAGACATCAGAAGTCAGCTTAAAGCTGTGAGAAGCTTTTGAATTGGTGAGAGGATGATCAATTTTGAGATCGTAGTCACCATGGAAGAGAGAAGCTTCAAAGTATCCGTCAGCATCAGTGACACCTGTGGTTTGTCTGCGGAAGCCTCCCCATTCGTGGAGAAGTTTGTCCACAACGTCTCCAGTGGGTAAGTTCTTGAAGTTTCCATCGGTGAGGCACATTCGGTAGCAACCTGATGGAGAATAACCTGACCACGTTACTATTCCTTTCACTTGCGGATGCGCGTGGCCTTCCCTTAGGACCTGCTCAAAATACTTGGCCTGCAAGAAAACTCAACATTAGACAGAAGAAGTGCTCATAAGATACAGGGGTGGACAAACAGAACAGGATCGGGTGGGAGGTTTATTAACTGGTTATAAGAGGATATGAATTACCTGGACATTTGGAGGAGCTTCGACGTCAACCTCAGTGAGCCAAATAGGCAAACCAGTGGCAGCGAGAGTGTCAAGAGCTGATCTCATGTACGGAATGTTTGGAGTCTTGAAATGAGACTCGAGGCCGATCCCTAGCGAGATGTTTCCACAAACTCGGATAGATCTAAGCTCCCTAAGCTTCTGTAAATACCTTGCTGGACTAGAATCTGAATCTCTTGATTCCTCTAATGTATTGTATTCATTCATAAACTTGGTTGTCGTTGGATCAAAAGCTTGCGCCATCTTAAAGATGTTATATGAGGCTTTAGGACCCATCTTGTTCTCAAAGAAAGAGAAATGGAGATTCTCATTCACAACGTCCCAACCCGCAAGCTGGCCTTTGTATCGTGAGACCACCGAGAAAACCCTTCGTTTCACGGCGTTGTAGAGATCGTTACCAGACAGAGAATTCACCCATCCAGGTTGATACTTAGGATCATTCCATAAAATATTGTGGCCACGTACAGCAACCCCATGCTGCTTGAAAAATCGCAACATCGCATCAGCCGTTGAGTAATCCTCTTTGCCTCTTACAACTTCTGTGCTGTACCATTTCATCTCGTTCGCGAAAGTTGTCACTGTGAACCTTTGAGTGAACCAGTTTTGGTATGCTTTGTTCCCAAGAATGTTCTTTTCTACCTCGCACCCGAATGGGAATCCGAGTTTCTTCTGTTCAATGGAAATGGTTGCTTTTGGTATTGGCTCGCCTTTGCTGTTCACGGCTCTGATTTTCACTGTTCTCTTTCTCTCCTTTTGAATGCTTTGTTCGTGGTGAGAGTTCCACTCTTCTTGTGTGAATGGTTGTAACGAGACACTATCAACCCAAATCTCAACCGTTGTATCCTCGCTCTACACATGAACAATGAAACAGGACTAAACATGGCTGGAAAATAAATTCGCGGAACGCAGAAACTGGCAACCATTCAAAATTTAGAAACAATTAAGGCCATGAAATAGATACCAAGCATGGACCAGCATTTGGATTCAGCAACAACCGAACCAGCATGCTTATATTCACCATTCTTCTTGAAAACGGCTTTCACAGGAGCCTTTCCTTTGCTTACTTGTAACCAAGCTACAAGGAATATAATATTTTAGAATTGGCACAAAATCTTATAAAGTGTGGTGCAAGAAACACAAAATCAGAATTATTTTTACCAGAGAAAGTGTAGAGAAGTCCCTTTTCCAAATAAACCTTCTGTGAAACACTGTCATAAGGTTGTTTCCTGTCTCGTGCAACAACAAAATTATGGTTTCCAATTTTTCTGAAATCGACTTTCGCGTTTCCGAATGGTGTCCAGCCTAGGGAACCACCATCTCGTAGGTCAGGGTTTACGATGATTCCTCCATTGTACTGTGGTTTTAAAGGTATCTCTAGACACTGCACCAAAACAAGAAAAAAAACAAATTATTACAACGAACATTGTCTAAGGTAAATAAACAGAGCAATTGCTTGCCTCTATGGTTGCAGAATAATCATACGGCACGACTTTTGATTCACACCCTGCAAATGTTTTCATACAAAAAACATTACACACTTTGTTTCCTTAATAATAAAAGTGAGAGAAAACATTAAAGAAAATGAAGAACAACTTGATAGAGAAAGGCTGCAGAGGACAACAAGCAGCAGCAAACGCTTCATTGTGGAATCAAAAGAACAAACCGATGATGATGAAGGAGATGTAAATTCCTTTTGTATGTCTTATTGTATGACTTTTCCAGTGATAAATAGTGGAAATCTTTACTATTCTTGATGATCGTGATATATTTATTGAACTAATAGAAGCTTTACTTTTAGGCGTAAGAAAATAAACTTTACTATTCTTGATGCCCTTGATATGTATATTAACTATTATGAACTTTTTACCATCCTAGTTTTGGAAAACAAAATTCAAGATATATCCGTAACTAATAATAGAACCGTCATGTTAAATTTCAGAAGAAATTCTCAAAACTATCATCCTTTTACAGATGCAAGATATTGGAAACAAATACACAAATATAGTAAGAAAAAATTAATAGTACTTAAAATGATAAAGCTCCCTAAAGAAATACACACACACCAATCTAACAGCAAAACCAAAGCTATTGGTTATCATTATGAAAAAAAAAAACACAAAACCATAAAATAGCAATGTCTTTCATAATTAGTAATTGTCATGCTTTGACATAATTTCATCAATAAAAAGGAGTGCCTTATTTGAGTTACAAAAAAAGGGGTCCTATTTTTTATATAAAATGAAATTATATATGTGTCTTTGCTTTAAGCATTGAATATTTTGTTAACGTAAAATAAAGATGACAAAATCAAAATAGGAAATATCCATCCACTTACTACATATACTGAGAAAACCTAGAAGAACACATGTTTACAGTTTATATGTAGTGTACACCCGACCAATGAAAGTTAACATAATTTCAAGCAAGCATAATAAGATATAAGTCTAGTATCTAAAGAGACCACCAATTCAATAGAATCTATAGTGGCCCAATATTGTAAGAAACTTGGCGACTCAGCTACAACTTCCGGGTGTGTTTAAACAATTTTCAGTTACATTCTATAGAGACTGCTTCTAATCAATTAAGCAAATATATTTGATAAATTTATAAGCAATAGTAGACCAAAGTAACGCATAGATTCAACAGCTCAAAAACATTATCAAATTAGTTCAATCGATTACAAAGTTCAACGCATAAAGTTTAAAAACCCAAAAGACACGATGCTCCTGTGTAAACATCGATCATCAACGGTACTGCAAAGAAAGGCAAAACAAAACCAGAACAATGAATAATCTATATCCCAGAGCTTGAAAACACTTCATGGTTCAAAATCCAATGAAGAATTTACCTTAATGAAACCGATTTCCTTGGCATTGCTACGGAAACACTGTCTGCAGCAATTGAGACCATACTTCCTGATTAGCCCATGGGAGTTTCCACACACACGGCTACAAAACAAATCCATGTATGATTAGATTGCTCAAAATCAACAATCTATAACAGTAATCCATATTTATTAACAAAAAAGAGAGCACTGATTTGTATAAATGGATAACAAAACAATGTTTAACGTTAAACTAAGAAAAAAATGGATTGAAGAAATCTAACAAGACAACTTAAACAGAGAGTAACATATCTTAATTATCCTAAGCAAAATTTCACATCAAAAGTTTAATATAATCAATGAGGATCAGATTCAGAAAAAAAATCTTCCTCTATTAACACCAAATGATAAACATGAAAAATTTCTTAGGCAAGCCAAATTTCTCAAGACTAATCAGAAATTTTTATTAAAAAAAAAAAAAGGCGAGATAGGGGAAGAATATAACAATACCATAAGCGAGAACCAGGACCGTATTTCTTAGGATGAGAATTCCAGACGTTGGAGTGACCCATTATCGTCGACTGCTCTCTGCTCACAGCTCAAAGCGATTAGATCAAGAAGACGAGACTAGTGCGGCGCGAGAGAGAGATAACCAAATTTGTAAACCCTAATTATTTGTGGTCTTCAAATATCTATGGGCCTTATATATGGGCCTAATCACAAGTATACTAGCCCATTCTCAGTATTAGCTCTACTAAATTTTCACTTATATTTTTGAATGGTATATCAAGCCTATATATGGGCCTAATCACGAGGCTTATCTAGAAAACTAGCCCATTCTCAATACTAGCTCTACTACATCTCCCTGAATCCTGATTGAAGCAGAGCACTGATCCAAAATATTATGTATACTAAAAAAAAAGGGAAAATCACATTTTTAACCCTCAAAGTGTAACTGGGAATCACTTTAAACCTCCAAAGAATTTTACTAACACTATAAACCACCAAGATTGTTTTACTAACACTTTAAACCTCCAAACTAACTTTTCTGTTTGCAAAGCTATAAAAAATGATAGAACAATCAATTTATGTTTGTGTAATATATATTTATTTAATTTAATTTAAATTTTAATTAATTTTATTATTTATTACAATTAATAAAAATCTGTAAAAAACAAAAAAAAAAACTTTATTTTCTTCGTTTACTCACTGTCTGACCATGAAATTTCTTGATAAACTGTTGAAACAATCTTTTAAACTGATCCATAAGCATTTTACTCTCTCCAGTAGATAAATTAGAATCTCATAATACCAACTTAATAAAAAGATGGTGAATACATACAATAAACTATATAAAAATTTGAAAAATTGTGTTCGGACGGTGAATAGTCGAAGATGATGATTTTGTTTTTTTACTTTTTTATTTATCGTCAAAATCGTAATAAATAATAAAATTAATTAAAATTTAAATTAAATTAAATAAATATATATTAAACAAACATAAATTGATTTTTCCATCATTTTTATGGCTTTGCAAACAAAAAAAACTAGTTTGGAGGTTTAAAGTCTTAGTACAATAATCTTGGTGGTTTATAGTGTTAGTAGAATTCTTTCGAGGTTTAAAGTGCTACCCAGTTACACTTTGAGGGTTAAAAATGTGATTTTCCCCTTTAAAAAATGAAACAGTTTATGTAAAATATTATTTGAAAAATAAGAAAACTATAAAGTTTAAATAATTTGATATAAAAATAAATTAAAAAACATTTTTAAATAAAAGAAATAAATGTTAAAAACTTAAAGAGAAATTGTTAAAAATGCCCCTTTTTCAATACCCCTTTTCAAAAATGACCCTTTGAGAGTCCATTTTTAAGTTTGCCCTCTTTTATTTTTTAATGACCATTTTACCCTTATTTGAAACAAAATTAGGTCCACAAAATACAAAATATTTTTTGGCGGGAAAAGTGATCCCGCAATTTTCCCGCCAAAACACTTGTAAAAAACCTTTAAAATACCTTGTAAAATTTTCCCGTAAAAATTTTTCCCGCCAAAAAAATTTTTTTGCGGGAAAAGTGATTCCGCAATTTTTTTGGCGAATTTTTTTTTGCGGGAAAAATTTACAAGGTTTTTTAAAGGTTTTACAGAGTTTTTACAAGTGTTTTGTAAGGTTTTACAATGTATTTTAAAAGGTTTTACAAGGTACTTATAAGGTTTTATAAGGTATTTATAACTTGTAAAACCTTATAAAAAACTTGTAAAACCTTATAACTTGTAAAACCTTATAAAATTGCTTGTAAAATCTTATAATATCTTATAAATACCTTATAAATACGTTGTAAAACCTTTTAAAATACATTGTAAAACCTTATAAATACCCTGTAAAAACCTTCAAAATACCTTGTAAATTTTTCCCGCCAAAAATTCAACGTCAAAAAAATTGCGGAATGACTTTTCCCGCAAAAAAAATTTTTTGGCGGGAAAATTTTTTGGCGGGAAAAAATTTTACGGGAAAATTTTACAAGGTATTTTAAAGGTTTTTATAAGTTTTTACAAGTGTTTTGGCGGGAAAAATTGCGGGATCACTTTTCCCGCCAAAAAATATTTTGTATTTTGTGGACCTAATTTTGTTATATTTCCTTATATATTTGTGATATATTTTATTAAAATAAGGGTAATTTAGTCATTTTGTACATAAAAAGGGGTATTTTTAAAAATGGACAGCCAAAGGGGGCATTTTTGAAAAGGGGTATTGAAAAAGGGGCATTTTTGTGAGTCTCCCAAACTTAAATTATGTATACTTAAAAAAAATAGTTTAAATAAAAAAACAGCAAAGTTATATAATGATATAAAAATATTAAAAAACATACGTGTTAAATTTTTTTATTATGTGTAAAAACATATTGAACCTAGAACACCTCTTAAGCGGTTGGATGTTTTGTCCAATTAGTTTACACAAAATTTAAAAATTTAATACTTATCTTAAAAAATAGTTTATCCAAAATATTAATTGAAAAATAAAAAAACCTTAAAATTTTAATAGTAATATAAAATATAAGTTTAAAAAAACAAGTGTTAAAAATTTATATTATGTGTAAACCATATTAAACCTAGAACACCTCTTAGGGGTTTGAATGTTTTTTTTTTTTTTTAGGGGGGTTTGGATGTTGTCTCCAACTAGTTTACACAAAATTTAAAAATTTAACACTTATCCAAAAAAAGTCATAAATTTTTAATAGTAACGTAAAAATATGATTTTAAAAATATTTTTTAATAATAAAAAAAACTAGTGTTAAAAATTTATATTATGTGTAAACCATGTTGAACCTAGAACACCTTTTAGGGGTTTGAATGTTGTGTCCAATTAGTTTACACAAAATTTAAAAATTTAACACTTATCCAAAAAAACTTAAAGTTTTAATAGTAAAATAAAAAGATGAGTTTGAAAACATATTTTAATAATAAAAAAAGATAAGTGTTACACAAAATTTAAAAAATTAACACTTATCAAAAAAAAAAAAAAAATTAAGAAAGAAATACCTTTGCTTGTGATTGACGAAACCCTAAGATTTCTAGGTGACTCGTCGGAGCCATGGAAACAGTACCAATCACATATCATGATTTGGTTCTCTACTCACTCGTTGCTTTCACTGTTCCTGTCTTCTTTATATCCTCTTTCCCGCTTTGGCATCCTTGGTCGTCGTGTTCTCCTTCCCCGTCAGAATCCACCGCCTAACTTGACATAAAATCGATCTGGATTGACTTAAGATGTATTCACAACAGAGGGTTTTGAGATCAATCACCAAAAAGAGATGCTTTATGTTCCGATCAATCTTACGGTGAAGTTGTTGCAAAGATCATCGGCCTACTTCATTGTCTACATAGATCATCGGCGAACGATGGCAGAGCTTATAGTTCGAGAAGAGAACTACAAAAAGAAAAAGATGTTTTTTTTTGGTTTCGAAGAAGAACAGAGAATGGAGAACTTTGATCACTCACGGAAGAAGAGAGAGTGACCTAAGTGCATTTATATAAGCAACGTTTGTTCAATGGAAAAAGGAAATTTTGGACTATTTCCTTTTCAACGAGTGTCGGTTATTTCCTTTTCTTATTTGAATTTCAAAATAAAAGGAAATTTATCATAAGAGTAACAAACAAAATAACTTAACCGTTTGCTTTTAGAATCAGTAATAAACAACAAAATAAACTTTAAAAAGCGATTTGATCCCACAAAAATAAACTTTCAGAAAGTTACAGTTTTACATCTGTTACAAAAGCTGATGATAATCATCGAATTCTTTGAAACAAAAGAGCAACCAAGAAGTGTCTTATGCATTGCTTTGTTCAAAACCAATACTTTAGAGTTTGTCAATTAAATCTATGTGCAAATCTCTGTTCTTTTGCTTTTATAAGCTAAATGCATGAAGAAACTACAAAAAAAAAAAAGTGAGAGACGAATGTTATACCAAGCTTATCATTTTTCTACCTAATTCATCATCTCATATGTTAAGCACGCCTACAATTTTTTGACATCAATAGTAGTACAACGAAGCCTGCCCTTTTGGCACAAACCAAAGTAACATTTCCTATCAACAAATGAGGTCAGAGCCAAGATGCAGTAAAAAAATTGGGGATGATCATACTCAATGAGGGATTGTTCTCAACTTATTTATCTGCCTTCTGAAATCAAACTCACAATCCTCAATTCACTTTCTACATATTCGAAAACAAAATCAAATCTTATCAACAGGAATCCGCTAAAGTGGTAAAAGAGAGATCAGTTCCTGGGAAGGGCCTTTGAGCAGCTTGTTCTCACTTGTCCTAGTGGACCAGTCAAGACATGATTGCTTGACAGTTTCATCATAGACATAGCAAATTCTCTGCGGAACAAGAGAGGATCAGAAGCATATGCCCTCACCCACATCTCAGTCACTTCATTACCCATTAGTTGCTGGTCAGAAAACAGCAACCCTTTCTTCTGCATCAGTCTTCTGAAGTAGCGTGTTCCAAAATTTTCATCACCTCCTTCATTGTTGTAGCTCAAGTCAATTACTTCATCGTTCCTGTTTCCTGAGCTCATACCGTAGCTGTTTTCGGAATCTGATGCAGGTAAGGACGGTAGTAAACCAGTGCCAAGGGAAGCAGATGGAGATGAAGCCGAGACAGAGAAGGGGCATTTGGTTTTCAGTTCTTGGAGGAACCCTGGATTGAGTTCAGGGTCAGGCTTCCCGGTTGCTGAGAAGTTGTAGAGGCGATTCTTAAAAAATGTGCAATGCGTGATGCCTATGCTGTGTGCTCCTGCATTAAGATCATTCAGAAGAAAAGAATCATGTCACAAAGAGTCAACCATTTCCAAGAAGTGAGGAATACCCCAATACGACACTATTTAGCTAAGCAAAGAGAGATGTTGATATCTAAAAGTGAGAAATTACCGAATAAGCTGACGGTTTCTCTCTCGTTGAATCCTCTGACAGAAAACTTTCCAAGAATCTCCGAGAGAGTAGCGTCTGGTGCAGGAAGCTGTTGTTCT